GCTAAGGGCTACTCGGTAAATGTGTTGAAACAGTTTTATACATTCCTCACCAATCAGGGCTTTGTCTGCCAGCTACTTTCAGAAGAGGTCTCCATCTTGATCCGTAAACTCGAGCTCGTGTACACGCTGATGGGATATAATAGTAAGCCGTCGCGATCAATTTCAATAGTCTCAATGAGATGAGCCGAATGACAAACGAACGTTCAAAATCATAAAATCGAGATTAATTTCAGAGTGGAAACAAAGCGGTGTAAATTGTTGTTACGTTTTCTGTCTAGGTCGTGCTCTTCAATCAAGACAGGGAGAGAGCTGTTTCATATCATGTGATTTGTCACCATACTTATTATTGCATCATTGTGCCATGCTCTATATGTATGAATATGCAGTAGTATGCAGTAGTGTGCAACAGTAGCATAAATGTCATGTGACTTCATATCTTCTACTCGCGAACTATCCGTGCGTATCTAATGACTGGGAAATATTAACAGTACTCGAGCTCCTCAGTGATCAATTCCCTGGAAATCATAAATAGGAGAAACAGAGTATATCGAAAATAGACAAAGATTTCATTTTAGAGTGTCAAAGCATGAAGATTTTGGGAGGCATAGTGCTCTCTGCTACGCTCAATTAGCGAGTATACATTGATTTCGTGGCAAATGATGAGCGCTGGTCATCAGCAACCATTTTTCAGAAAGTGATGACTTATAAGGAGTTGAGCTCCAATGCCACGATCAACCTCGGTAAGTGACACGCTTCACCGCTAATCGCTAGGGCAATGGAAATGTGTTCAAATTCTGACACCTGATTCTCTAGTGCTGCCAATTCGATTTGAGCTACACACTCTTGCAGTTAGCGCTCAAGATTCGCACACGAATGTTCAACACCCAGCTATTCGTTTTCCCCGCCATCGAAACGTCGCACGTTCTTAACTAGTTGAAGCTCATACCAAATATCTGCCCGGAAAAATGGTCAAAAGTAGCTTGTCGATGCTCGTAAGTTGCCTCTACCTCGAAAGGTCTTCTTTGTTGCACTGGTAACCCTTCTGTAAACAGTGCCGGTCTTGACTAAGTCATTTAATTCAAGCTATACTGAGCTTAATCAGTGGCAATAGACGATAATGTAGGAAGTTGCGACCCATGAAACCTAGAGTGGGACATGTACGTCAAGCTTCTTTAGGACCCGCTCTCAAAATCTCAAAGTATGAGTCCATCTTGCCAGAGTGTACAATAAGCTCGTCACTATTCAAACGAACATTATCGATAGCATCTTCTTCAACCTTCAATGGACGCCTTTCAGTGCGCTTTAGCGAAGTTAAGAATACACAATATACATCAAGGATGTGCTAATATCAAATACGAGCTACTCATTCTATAACATAAGCAAAGCAGCAGCAGCCAAGAGGGAGCCTTTTGAAGCACTGAACTTGATACCTTCGTTACCACTGTAGTTTCCAAGGTCACTATTATAAGCACTCGCAGTCCAGCTCTTGGAACCTTCGGTAGAAGTAGAGTAAGTTCCTGTTGAAGAGGTAGAGTTCATAAGTGTTGACGCAGTAGCAGCAGTTGAGCTTTCACCGCTAAGTGGGCAGTAGGTAGTGTAAGTGGTGTGGTCTTGGTAGACAGTAGTAACACCGGTAGTTAACTCGGTTTCCGAACACTTCCTGTTTGAGCAGGATGTAACAGTCACGACAGTGGTTGACAAGTTAGGCTTAGTTGCGGTCGATGGGCTACCTGATTTTGATGTATTTGCGGTGACGCCGGTTAATGGACAGTAGGTAGTGTAAGTGGTGTGGTCTTGATAAACAGTTGTGACGCCAGTGGTGACCGCCGATTCGGAACATTTGTTGTCGGAGCAGGACGTAACGGTAACAACAGTTGTCGACAATTGGGAGTCGGTGGAGCTAGTTACGCCGTTGTTGGAGTGAACCATTGAATAGAAGGGGGCCACGACTGAAGCTGGGGCAGAGATAGAAGCTGGGGCTGGACCTAACGCTGGGGCAGAGCCAGAGCTGGAGCCAGCAGAAGCTGAGGCTGGGGCAGATCCGGAGCCGGAGCTGGGAGCTTGAGCTGGGGCAGAGCCAGGCACTGACGCTGACGCTTGGACTGGAACAGAGGCTGAATCAGAAGATTGGGCTGGAGCAGAGCCAGAAGCTGAAGCTGCGGCTGGAGCAGAGCCTGAAGCTGGGGCAGAAGCTGAAGCTGGGGCGGAAGCTGAAGCTGGGGCAGAAGCTGAAGCTGGGGCGGAGCCCGACCCGTCATTTGCAGCGTTGGGTCCGCACTCATCCTGTAAAAGACACGTTAGCGGAGCCTGTGCCTGTCCCTGATAGGGTGAGGGATTGCAATAAGAATAGATACTTTCATCAGCTTCCCAGACGACCATCACTGCATCATTAAAAGGAACGCCCGACTCTGCGGTTTCGGTAACTATCGTGGTTGGGAAACCAGCTACTGAAGCAAATCCCTGGAGGCAGTCTACCAAGTCGTTCAGCTGATCAGGGTAGTATGTCAAAACCCAAGATGCATAGGAAAAATCATCATAGCAGGCTAGACCCTTTCCGTACTTGCTGTAGCACGTCTCGAAAGACCCAGTCCAAAATGGATCGTTGACGGCGAGAGGCATAAATTGAACATCGAGTGCTTTCAAGGTAGGTAATTGCGACATGGTCTATGTGGAATTGAGCTTATAGGAAAGTGCTTCTTCGACGTCAGGTTTTTGTCCCAGACTTCCCCATCTTAAACTCAAATCGTGCCTTTATATAGGAACATCGTCTTCAACCCCGGTGACAAGCGGAAAATTCGGCTGTTCTATTGGCCGTGGCGAATTTCCGTGTATTGTTGTGGTAAACCGTGCATTGAATCACGCTCAACTGTCAACAAATTGCAACATTGGCAAGTAGTAACCACGATGCCGCTGTTTGTGTCTAAATTGCCTCGAGAGCCCGACTAAAAACCTTTCCACGCACATTTACGACCGACATTCCAATGTTTTCCTGTGAGCTGCCCAATCCCGTTCTTAGCATTAGTTAGGTCACCATGCAGCTCATGATCTTATGAGTTTGGCAGATTTTTTTACGCTTATACTATCTTATCTGAGGGATAGATTTTTTGATTGCCTAACATGCTCGAGAAAAACTTGGCTGCAGAAAGCGGCATATCCGGAGAATTAAGACGGGAGGTAAAAGTGACAACCGAGAGGGCGATATATTTGTGAATTGGGCAGGATTAACAGGCTTTCGCGATAATCAACGGAGGGATACATCGATGAGCAGAAGAAGACTATTTGGGTAGTTTCTGAAATGTGTATCCAGTTTTATACTGCAGCTTTTATGGTACACGTTGGTTTGAAATCGCCTCCTATGCATATAGGTTTTTACAGTTGGTAAGTTCGGAAGATATCGTCTTGTGTGCTTTTCAAAACATTGGTATCTGACCACTGTGGCTATTGTATACAAAGTGTGTGCTCTCGGCTTCTATCAGGCGCCTTCTCCAAGCCATAGCGGACGGCATAAATATCTCAATTCACTCCCAAGCTAATGATTTATTAACCAACCGTCGACACTCGCTGATTTGAAGTGTCAGCTGTGCCCAGAAATCCATGTCCCAATTGCTCACAAAACAACTTCGCAAGCTGAGCTTCGGCTCCAGACCCTTAACAGATCAGTGATGTTGACTTGATGAGTTCCACTGTGTTTCGAGTCTTGAATCGAAAGTTCGCTTATCTTGCTGTGCTGATCCTCCTATGGCTTGCTTGATTTGGCTACATGTTGTGGAAAAGAGACAATGTGGGCTTTCCTTCGCAGTGTAACAAAGCGAAGCTGTTTCGAAAACTGACAAATATTCAGCACGAAGAAATTGCAATAGATATCGCAGTTTTCGGTTGATTCAGTTCTTTTTTATGAACCTATACTATTTAGGGCACACAAATATTCAGAGAACACGGGCCCTAAAGAAAAAGCTAGATCTGCTTGAAAATTTCTAGACCTCTAGTCAGACTTGGCCAGCAAGTACCGCAAAACTCCGAGTTCGCCTGGTCTCCATTTCGGCTATGAGCGCATACTAAGCGGCAGATTTTACAGCAGGGTTGTTGATTTGACATCTTTAACGTGTGAAAATATATCTTCGAAGGTCATCTTGGTGTGCTTGTAAATTTGTCAGTATCTTTTGGTTTGCTAGCATGAGTATCATAAAATATCAAATGAGTCCTCTTGATGATAGAGACAAAACCTACCGAAAAATCAATAGAGTGTGCGACATGATGGCATCCAATACCAAGCTACTGCGGCATAATTTGATCATTTTTTGCTTGTCCTGCAGCTAGTCAGCTGTGTTGATAGATTCGTTTATATGCCGCAAGAAAGGATCAGTCTTCATAAAGATCGCGGAGAGCCTTTTCATAGCTTTCTGGATGTTCGACATACACGCCGAAATAGATCGTAACCTGACTGATTCATACCAATGTTTCAGCCTGACTGAGCTTCTTAGTAATCACAACTAGGCGAATTCATATATTATGATGGTTCCTTGGGATTACGCTTCAATTCACAGAACTCTCAACGTTTGAGAAACCGAGCTCTGTCTTATAGTTCAAGCCTATCGCTACATTTTTCATTTTCTACGAGTATGGTATTTTCGAAGTTTCATTAGAAAACTGCGAAAAGTGCAGAAATATGGCTTCTCCTGTGGCTATTAAAGCAAAAACAGTAACACGACACAATGGAACTAAAAGCTAGAGAGAAGCATTCGATGCGGGCATCACATTCAAGCAATGAACACTTGATGCTCCCGTACATTACTTTCCATAATAAGTTTTAATATGAAATCATCCGGCACAGGGCCGTACTCTTGTTGCTTAGCTCAGACTTCATATTTTGTTCCTCTCTATTTTATATGGGATTGCAAGCTGAGAGTGAGGAAGCCAGGATCATTATTTCGATTTTTGTGGTCACACTCGGGTCATTTGCTACCGTCTCTACATGTACGATCCTATACTATTCCGCGATCAAAGGGTCGAAGACCGCGGCGAACAGACTTGCACTTGTGAAATTTATAGCGAGTCTGAAACCAGGGATTGACATGAGAGAGTGGGACGTTATTGCTGCTAGGATGAACCCAATTTTGTGTCGCAGCAGTTCTTTGGTTTCACCTTATTTCTTTTACGATGGTGAGTCATGCTATTCCTACTCTAGGAGTAGTTACCTAGTGCCTTTCTTGGAATTCAAAAGCGCAAACGATGCGAACGAAAATAAATACCTTTAAGTGAATATCAACGCATGCTTGACCATGCTATAAGAATATACGAAGAAAGGGCGAACGAGGACTGGCAACGAGTAGTAAATGGGAGCTCGTCGCTGGACAATTAGATTATGGCTGCATACAACAAAGCCTTTTCAAGGTGATGCTTTCTCCGGCTGATGATAACACACTGCCACCGAACGTTTAATCAGAACTCGGAGTTTTAATACTGTTAAGAACATTGTGCACAAATTTAGAGTCCAACATGGTGGCAAGATATCTCCGAGCTATAATCTTCATAAATCCTGCAAGAATTTGAGTATGGAAAAATTGCGGTGAGCTGTTGACGAAACGGATTCTGAAATTTCGGCCTCTCTCGGGGCGTATGACTTCACCCTTTTTGTTTTCTAACATTTCATCTAAACAGGATTTCTAGTCCCATAGAGGTGTACCGAGTTTTGTCCGTTGCTACTATCTTTGCCAAGACGCAGGGCCCCAAGCTGGTGCGCTATCTAGACGTCTTTTAAAAAGGTAAAGCTGAGTGCCGCATACTGCAAGCAGCACAAAATCTTTCACAGTGGTACATATCAACGACCACATCGTTGCCAATGTTTCCGATTGCGAGTTACACACGACCACATTGTTGATTTCCAAACATCCTTTGATCGCTTTCCTACCAAAGCTCTTACAGCCAATAATTTATCAGTTGAGAACGATAGCGCCTTCGCTTTTCAAGGTCAAAGTCTATAGAAGAGAAATTTTACTCTTGATGCTGCAAGCCACCAAGGGGCAACTCAATGAAAATCCGTTATAGCACAAACGGCTTAGGTAGATACTCAAGATATCATTGCTATGATCTCTACCCGCAGCAAGTGTACACAAAAAGGTCGACACAGAGGAAATAGTCTGATTTGGCTATTTGAAGCGACTGCTTGTTCACTGCTCACAGTACCAGTCGGTTCGTCTCTCTGGAGCATGGGCACCAAAATAGAGTTTAGCGACACGGCCATACATCGACCAAGCCACGCTTGCCAACTTTTTTAACAGGTTGACTGGCAATGTTCTTGGATAAAGGACGTGTTTGTCGTGGAATATTCATTGATCTCCAGGAAGATATGCTACAGGGCAACGGCTTTTAGTACCACAAGCGATTGACCCGTCAAACTCATCACTTCAGATCTGCAGAGGGCTCACTCCTTGTCGAGACAGATAGCTCTTACTTCGGGAGGATTTCAATAGGTTTCTTCAAGGGCAGTTTGATGCAAAGACCATGTAGACTGCTCTGTTCCTGCTTTCTATTCGGTTGCATAAGTTGAAAGACAGGCTGTCACCATAGTTGGCGACGGGTTTTTATAAGCGATCAATTTGAACTATTATACATATTGTGGCCATCGCGCAAAACGTACTCAACACATCAAACTAACAGGTGACTCAGTAGTATGATCAAAACAAATAAATGGATGGAATTTAAATGCTATGAGGCCCTCTCTTCAATAAGTTGGTCATATCAGAACCATAGATTTTTGAGTCCTTAGTTGCTTTCAAATTTTCGAAATGGAACGGTTAGCATATTCAACTGATTCTCAAGCTGAATCAAGCTAATTTTTTGAGGTCTTTTTGTACATTCTGGTGCTATTGCCAATTTTTGAGCATTCAAGGCCTATTCGCACCTGTCAGAATAAGTATGTGATGTTCTTTTTCGTGCCCAACATCCTCTTTTAAAATGTAAATGAACTGCTACTTTATGTCAGAGCCCATGATACTTTTAGCGGGAAAAATCTTGAAGAGAACCTGTCGCCTTACGAGCAGCAACTTCTATCGATTACTTCAGGGTCCCATCTATCATTGACAGATATTCGGCATTGCAAAAGCATTAAAACCCAGATAACAATGGCGAGGAGCCCTCATATACCTCCATGCAATCTCAATGTTCTTCGCCGATATGCTCTCCAAAATCCTTCATTTATTGACCATGCAAAGAAAAAGCCCTAGCTTCTTGCTGTGAAGTGTCAAACGTAGCAAACATACCGGATTTTTTTGGCCATTTGAACAGCTAAATCATTCTCTCATTCATTCCATCTACCAATGGAAACTGAATAGCTTGGCATTTGAACAAAGAGTAATAAGGCTCTGTTACTCCGTAACAATGTTAACCGCACGGCCCCGCGGTTTTCACAAGAGGCTCATTCAAACAATTTTCATACAGCCAGCGATTTAACTTCTCACGCAGAAGTAACCCTCGGTTCCAATTAATTTTGTATAGTCAGGCTAATTTTGTGTGTCCGTTTGCACCTCTTCTTTTTTTCTGGGTGAAGTTTTCACTACAATTCTTCGATCTAATAAACGTAACAACCACAGGCAAATAGTATACTATCAGTAATTGCACCTTGAAAAAAAAAGGTCATGTTGAACAAAAGCTTTTCACCCTTCTTGAAGACAGTACGGAACCAAATACATACCAAATGCTTATAAGAAAGATAATCTTTTCTATTGTCCTATCCTTTGACTCTTCAACTTGTTTATTGAAAAAGATATATAGCTCGAGGATCTTGGCAGATTAAAATGACAGGCACCGATGAGACCAACCAGGCTATCCAGCACAGCTATGTTACCGCGGATTTTGAGACTAAAAACGGTATAGTAGACGAAGGGCTGACAAAGGAATCCTCGGACGAGTATATCCTGCCAGATAAAGCGCAGTTGACAAAATCGCTAGTCATCCGTAAGGCTGAGTTAATGGCGAAACAATACGACACCGTGTTGCTAAAGTCTCTATTTCTATTCGCTGCGTTCATATGTTCATTTGGCTACGGATTGGATGGAAACATAAGAAGCATCTACATGAATTATGCCATGAATTCTTACGAAAGTCTTTCCCTGATATCTACAATCGAAGTAGTAAGCTCAGTGATGTCTGCTATTTCCCAAATTTTTTTTGCAGGGCTGTCAGATGTCTTTGGTAGGCTCAGCTTATTCATTGTGTCTATTGTATTTTATGTGGTGGGTACAGTTATTCAATGTCAGGCATATAACGTCCAGAGATATGCGGCCGGATCTGTCTTCTATAGCATAGGACTTACTGGTGTTATGTTGGAGCTGGTTTTGATTCTCTCCGATAACTCGTCACTGAAGTGGAGATTGTTTTACATATTTGTACCAGCTTGGCCAGCTATTATCACCACTTGGGTTTCTGGTAATGTTGTGGATGCCGCAACCCCAGAGAACAATTGGTCTTGGGATATCGCTATGTGGGCATTCATTTTTCCATTGACTTGCGTTCCGTTGATTGGTTGCATGCTTCACATGAGATGGAAGGTGAGAAACGACCCAGAGTGGATAGAGTTGCAGACAGAAAACTCTTTTTATCAAACCCATGGGTTGATTCAAACTCTGGTTCAGCTATTTTGGAAGCTAGACATTGTGGGTCTCTTATTATTCGCTGCGAGCATAGGATGTATTCTTGTTCCCTTGACTTTAGCTGGTGGATATTCTTCGCAATGGCAGAACCCTAAAATTATTGCGCCATTTGTGGTTGGCTTCGTTTTGGCTTTGGTGTTTATTTATTGGGAAAGCAAGTTGGCTCTTCTACCATTTGCCCCATTTAGGCTGTTAAAAGACCGTGGTGTCTGGGCGGCTTTATGGATCAATTTCCTAGTATGTTTCATTTACGCTATGGCTTGTGGTTACCTGTACCCCATTTTAATTATTGGTATGAATCAGACTGATCTTTCTGCGACGAGAATTTCGAGTCTATACTCTTTCGTTGCTGCCATTTTCTCTCCATTCATGGGCTTCGCCGTCACCAGATCTTCCAGATTGAAACCCTACTTACTTGGTGGTTGCTCACTTTATTTTGTCACGATGGGATTGTTTTACTACTACAGAGGAGATCAAGGATCTGCCAAAGGCATCATTGGTGCTATGATTGTTTGGGGTTTTGCTAGCTGTATGCTCGACTACCCTGTAAATGTTTCGCTTCAATCTGTCACCTCTCATGAACATATGGCAACAGTTACAGCCTTAGGCTACACAATTTTCAGCATTGGTGGGGCGGTTGCGGCCGCTGTCTCAGGCGCCATATGGACTCAATTACTATACCCTAAACTTGTAGAATTCATGGGCGATACAGACTTGGCGGAAGCTGCATATAGCTCACCATATGATTTTATCAATGACTATCCATGGGGAACTCCTATGAGAACTGCTTTGGTTGAGGCTTATAAACATGTGCAAAAGTACGAGGTCATAGTCGCATTAGTGTTTACGGCGCCGATGCTCTTTTTGACATTTTGCTTGAGAGATCCTGAGTTGGGTGACGATGTTGCTCAAAAGCTGGATGAAGGGGAATACGTCAATGCTGCAGAAGAGGATCCTATTGGCGACTGGATTTCTTCTCGTTTTTCCAAATTGAGGCGCAGAGGATGAAAAATCAAGGACTAATTAATTATTCAGATAAAACTTTCCTTTCCAGCTCGTGTTGGAGTAAGCCTATTAAAACTAGAAAAAACATCTTATAAATCCAAACCACTAACGAAGTAATACATGTTTGGTAATATAGCTGCGCTGGATACGTTGGTTGATCTCATCGTCCTTCACAGTCACGAATAATGGAAGAGTGCTTATATCATATGCTTCTTGATTTGCAACACATCTCAATGGCATATTAGTACTTTTTTACATCTTTGCTTGTCGTGACTTTACCAGTGAGGACACAACAACTTGAAAGTTTAGTTGGATTCAACCCTTGCTCCATTTTCTTACTCTCTTCTTAATGTTGTCTCCATTCAGGGGAAGGGTGAATGAATGTCTTTTACAGCTTTGGACGAATAAGGTACATATTTAAACGACATGCTCTTGAGTTTCGTGTATTATTTCTTTTCTTCGTTGCATCTTCTCGATCTAAGGAGTTATTTTCAGCTTTGTTAAATAATAAATATTTTGACAATTAAATATTGGCTTTCTGGATCTCGATCACCTAAAGTAAATTCTATGAGTTCATCCGTATTCGTGTCATTGAATTTTATGTATTGACTGATTGAATTGTACTGCTTATGATCTCCGTGATGTGAACTCCTTAGTGATTTTCTATATGTGAAGGGTATAAGTGCGACATTAAAAATGAGCATTGAATATTTGTCTTTTGTCTTGCCCGACAAGCTCTGACGGCCTGAAATGTTTAGGGCTGGATCATTAATTGCATCATTTCCATATTGGGTGCAGCGCGTTGGATTCTGGACTTATCACTTAATGTTGAGATTGACAAGTTTCAAGTGTTTGAGATCGCGTGTAAGGTTTTTAATGATAAGCAGTACCTACTAGCAAGAAATTCATGGCTGGATTTTCTCTCTGTAATCTTTTATATGAGAACATGGTTTCGATACACTGAAAAACATCGTATTTACACAATTATTTATCGGCTGGATGCGCCTGACTTTTAGTTCGAATTGAACAGGCTAATATTGGCTACTCTGAGAAGGTTTGGACGTCTCACTGTCGCTAAATCGCGTCGCGAGTGCCATATATGAAGTATTTGTTATCACAGCATACTCAATATCACTTCGGACTTTTGTGAGACGGTGTAAATTGCGACAGAACACTAGCTACGATTCATTTTGAATCTGAGGTTGGAGCACTACATTGTGTTTTCATACTTCTTCTCGCCACTAACAATAATTCTGTCCTTACTTTCTTGAGGCTCTTCCGCATCTAAGTACTCACATATATCATTGAGATTTTCTTCGAACGGTAGCATTCCCAGTTTTTGCAACTCGGCATCGGAGAAGCAATTGAAGAAGTCCAAAGGATCGACATGGCACATTTTTTCATGGTGATCAGGGAACATATACGTTAGTCCGCAATACAAAACGCCGGTAACGAGCGGGATAAAAAACATGTAGCCATAGTAATAGTTCATCATCGCCGAATTCATCGTAAGGTCAGGTTGTGATTGGTAAACAAGGCCAGGAATTCCTAAAGCTACACCAATTAGGAGGCATGAAATAGACTTCCAATTGAATCCGGACGAATACCAGTACGCGCCCTTTTTGGATAAAGTAAAGAAGTCAATCAAGGTGATCTTAGATTTTCGAATCCAGTAAAATTCGATAATGTTCAACGTCATGATAGGTGTCACAAAGATACCAAAAGAACTCATCGCATTTAAAAAAGAGGAAGACGTGTTGAAGAATGTCCACGGTTGAACCACCCAAGAGATTAATTGAGCAAAGAGCGTACCACGAGTTACATCAATGTAACGAGGAAAAATTCCTGCAAGGTCCATTCCACAAGCATAGCCGTTCTGAGTCAAGTTCAGAAAAACTTGAGAACCCGTGAAGCTGATACCGATAAAAAACGCTGCGGCTCGCGCTTTTGAAGAATAGTCATTATTAAGCCATTCCTCCACAATTTCATTAGGTGTCCAGTAAGCAGAGCCATATAACCCTTTACAGGCTGAAGCGCAAAGCATGCCTGCCAGAGACACAAAGGTTCCGGGCAACACTATGCCAATGAAAAGGCCTAAATAACAGGATAAAGTTCCGGAACTAAAACGAGAATAGTCGGACTGATTGGCCACTGCCGGGGATATGCCACTATACCAAATCGTCATAGAGTACAACCACATCCAGGATCTCTTACTCGAAGAAAGTAGCACCTTTTCGTAGTATAATGGGCCGGGGCCGCCATTTGTCTGGACAAGATAAGCCAACATACCGATGATGGAGAACAGCGTCATAAAGCACGTCACTATGGATGGAATGTTGACACGACTTGGTCTTACGAACGCAAAAGGTATCTGAATCAATTGGAAACAGAGAAAACCAATAAGATCTTTTCGCGCCATCGGTACTGACTCTGGGAATGTGTTCTTCATGTTCAAGTAATTTGAAGAAAATGAATCGAATACCATGTTGATACAAAGACCACCAAGCCACCCTTGGTAGCCGTAAAGCACCACTGATATTCCAACACGGATTATTATACCAATGTAAGAGCCGTATATTCCAAAAATCATTCTTTGACTGAGTGTGTAGCCTATGTGATATTTGACACCGGGATTGGAGTTCATAATGGTGTAGACAGCTATGAGGACATTTGCTATCACCAACGATCCGATAGATTGCTGAATGTTTAAGTCTAGAGCTAGTAAGGCTGAACCGGTTGAAAAGGTTGCCACAGCGAAATTAGGAAGACCCCAGTATGCGAAAAAGGACCAGAACCCCCAGGTCCGTTCTTTTATCAAAATCGGCTCAAGATCAGGGTTCCGAAGAGCGGACAGAGGTTTTTCCTGGTGAGGAACTTCTAGTGCTCTCATGAATTTTTGCCAGGTAGTTGTTGGCACATTTTCCTTTTCCATTTCTTGATTCTTCTGCATAATGTCTATCTCAGTGTTACTCATAATAGATTTGACAGCTCTGGTGTTCCCACTGGGGAATTCATGATTAGCGTTGCTCATGGTGATGATAGATGTGAAGGAAAAAGTTTAAAATCGATCTTCGTAAGTGTTGGGTTTATAATAGTTTTTGGTTAGTTATAATAAAATATGGGTTCATATTAGTAGTACTTTCAGCGTTGAAACCGTTTAAATCTCTCCTCAGCTTTTCTTGATCTTTCGCTGTGCGTTGCCCAAATTGATGACTTTTCCTCTTTCCTATAACTTGATACCTCTTATCAATCAATTTCCCAAAAAGTGAATATTTTCACGATCTTGGATATCCCTGGCGCTACCATTCGTAATAACCGGACTTGCTGCACTTGCCAAGAAAAAAGTAAATGCACCCAGAGTGGCCTCTATCGACCAATAAGTTTTTGAGGTTGCTGCTATTGTCAATGGACATCTTTACGCTGTTGTTTATATCGATATAAGCCTTGGCCTATAACATGGTTTCATCTCTAATTTTCTCTCTCACTCTCATGGAGAACATGATCTTGTTATGCTGAAAATTTATCGATCTAAACTTGATTCCAGGTAAACCGCAATTCTCTTTATTTTTGTGAGAGAGTAGGCTTGTTGCCGTCACACGCGTTGTTTATAGAACCGATGCGCAGGAGATATTCACAACATCCTCTAGGCTACTTCTTACTTCGCTGACGCGGTTTAGCCTCAGACCATTACCGATCTCAATACCAATTGTAGCCAAGTTATCAATCGGAACAGCCTCACCAAGGTCATAATGATGCGTGTGCAATTTGTCGTCTTTATAATTATCGAGAGGCATTATGAGCGACTTAGTAGTACGAAGTGATCATAATATGCGTTTTCCTCGACGTTGAGATCGTGACATATTAGCTACCACCATGCATATACATTATACGGTATGCAATTGCAGTACAAGCAACTCTCTCACAAACAAGCATTTTCGAAACCGCGCAGCCACCTCTGACTTAAAATGCCCCCATCCTCACTTTCCCCTCCCCGAAGCTGCCACGTACTGAGACTTCGAACCTTCAAGAATCTTGTGCCTTGCATATGAAATAGGTCTTCGCTAACGAGACTTTTCAATCAACACCGAGAATTAAGGAGCTAAACAAGTAACCTATATTTTAATGACGAACAGTGTTACAGGACCAGGTCCCACCAAAAGTTGTCAGCAGTTCTGCAGCGATACTAAAACTTAGTCTGCCTAGATCCCATTAGGCAGCCTCGGATGCCAATTCAAGAATTTCCTTGCTCTCGATAATTTGAATCTTCGAGGTGCGCGAATGGTCGACTGCCAACTTGACTCCCGCTTTCGCCACGTCTTCGCCCGAAGCTGGGTAACTCAATAGTCTCTGTAATCTTGTCTTGTACAGAAGTTGTCCAAGTTTGGCGGATAGTCCGTTCATGAAACCTTTGTCTTTGTCTCTCTGCCCAATGAGCGGTCCGGGACGTAGAATAATAGTCTTATCAAAGTTCAAAGCCAAAATGTCCCGCTCAATCTCACCCTTGGTTTTCATATAATAAAAGCTAGAGTTTTCGTTAGCCCCGACGGAACTCACAAGCACATATGTGCTACAACCTTGGCTCTTGGCACGCTTTGCAAGCTCGACGTTTAAATCGTGGTCTACTTTGTAAAAATTATCCTTGCCAGCTTCACCCATAGTGGTGGCGAGTCCTGAAAACATGATGTTGACATCTTTTGGTATCAAGTCAGCCCACGAATCGGAGCTCTTTGCGATAACGTTTTTGACTTTACTTGCGTCGTAGGAATCCTTTATTTCTCTCCTTGTTATGGTCAAAATAGTTGCAAAGGAAGGTTCCTTAGCAGCGAATTTCAAAATAGCAGAGCCGCAGAGACCAGTGGCTCCCAGAATTAGAACATTAAATGACATTGTGCGCCGGACTGCTATTTTCCGCGATTTGAAGGGTTGACTTAATCTTACCATGAAAATCTAATATGCATGTTTTTTATCGGTCACGTTACAGATGATAAATCTAAATTGATCTCAATTCGTCGCGTCATTCAATCTCTAGTTTGAATTAGTTATCATTGCAAGACCCGCAGTATTGAAAAGTTGCTTCAGACAACAATTGATATGCCTGCGACGCTGAAAGCGCAATATTTGCTGATCTTCTTGAGTAGAATACAAACTAAAAGTCCCTAGCATACGGCGAGTTGCTGGTCCTGTCATCAATTTTTCGACAGCATAGCCCGCAAATTTTGATTTTGAGGATTTTTTTTGGTTCATTCACCTTCTAGGACAATTTCAGATCTCTACTATGCACTTCCACAATTATGCCGCGTTTAAAAAACGGCCTGCTTTCAAATTCCCCTGATTCTTTCCTAAATTACGTGTAATCCTTATCTTTTGACGGTAGTAGCTACAGAGTGATACGCATTTGAAATGTCATTATCATTCTTAAATTTTATGCACCTAAATCGATTTTGTCAGATCCCCTGTGCTACAGCTAGATAGCTTCAATCGTAAAAAGAAGTAGATCAGAATAGGATCATAACTTCAAATTGTAACATCATAGTAAAAAAAGACATATTAAGATAGTTTATCGAGCATATCCTTTCAGATAGTGACAAAAATGCTGAGGTTTAGACACTGATCCTTAGAAGTGTCTATAGTCACACTGTGTAAGTATCATCGCGTTCAAAAATGAAAGCTGATACACTGAATATCGGTTTAGAGCACCTCTCGCTACCAATACTTATTATGCAAGTAATTCTGTAAAATCCGATGACTTAATCTATATTTCGAGATCTTGGATCTTCACATCTGAAAAGACCACGGACGGAGAGATGAGTAGAATCCCAGTTCCTAAATCTAATCAACCAGACACACATGAACGACTTTTATCGCCATTTCAGTAAGCTAACGTGTGCTGACGCAGACTTTCCCCAATAAATATTTAGTTTCGCACTTATGAATGATATGAACGAGAAACAGCACAATTGGCCTACATTTATATTCGATCGAATATCGAAAATCTTTTCTAACATCAAACACATTTTTTGAAAAAGAACCGGCTATGCCCACTTGCCAAGCAAGGCCATAATACCAGCACCGAATAGAGTGCAAGTGACCATGAACAATAGTTTGGGAATGTCGTTAGTTCTGTTTTCGTCAAAAATAAAATCACGAGCAAGAAGCTCAACCAAACCAGTGTAGATCAAAATACCAGCAGAAATGGCATCCAGGACACCAGACACAATGTTCACGGTAAAGGAATTACCATTATACGTCGTTCTAACGCCAAGACCAATGGCGATGCAGATAGGAGTGGCCATACCGTAGGCGACGCACAAAGCGTATGGCCACCATTTCTTGCCCTGTGGAAATTTGATAGCAGAAAGTCTAGCGCCAATACCAAGACCTTCGAAAGATTGATGGAAAACCAGAACTGGGTAAAGAGTCGAAAATTCATCGTCGGTAGTTCCCAAATTTAAACCGATCATAACAGAGTGGAAGATGACACCAAATTCCAGAACTAAGAACGCAGCAATTTGACTTTCAAACGATTGTAGTACAAGTTCTGTACTAGCATTGGAAATAAGATCGTAGGACTTTTTGCTTTTTTCGTCAGACTCGGTTACTGCATTAAAGTGGCCTTCGCTTTCAAGATCGACGTCGCCCACTGGTGAATTGTCTTCCTTCCTGACGATAACGTTTTCGATGTCGTCGCCCCCATGATTGTGACGAATGCCGAACTTGCGCTGCACAAACACATCACTGGCCAAGTCAACCAAGAAGACCATAAATACGGTAAGCAAAACGATGGCGGGACACCAACTGTAGTCAGCCCAGTGGCCTGTTTGACCCACACAGGAATCTCCGCCAATCTCACCGTATGCAGGGTCCAGTAGATGGATAAAAGCTGTGGCAACAATAACACCAGTACCAAAATACCTCGCAAACAGGTACACGTACCTGGGGATTCTCAATCTCTTTACACGCGCCGCAATCACCGGGAACAAGGTGAAAAAAGTCGATACAAAAAAGATGACGAACACCGACGAGATACGGGCGCCAAGCGAGCCGCTGTACTTGTTTCCGCCGAAGTACACGCCGCTGATAGCGCAGATTTTCCACGAATCAGGCACCGACTTATCGGCGATGCTCACGTCTTCTGGATTCCATTGTGACCACCAAGGCTCTGTGCTGTTGCTGCTCATTGTAACCAAGAATTTGTGGAGCTAGAGTTGGTTTCTGTTTTTCACAGTCCAGATTAACCTCGTTCTGAGCGTTCTTGGACCCCATCCTCGTTCTTATATCATCTATCCGATGCCGAGAAACTTCATAAGATATCTTAACTTGGCACTTCAAGGCTTTAACCTCCAAGGTAGAAAGTCCTTAAATCCATCTCATGTTGCAGTTTGCTTGCCACATTTAGGTGGAGTATGAACGGTCTTAACCTACCTAGTAATCCACAATGCATAACATATAGTATGAATCAAGCGTTCCCAGCGCTTAGAGCTACGGCCACTGCAATTTGTAGCCCTTCAACTGCCAAGACAATAAGATATATTTGATGTTTAGAAGGTGCCTTGTAGCCAAGATCCCACTCAGATCTCTGACAACTGATGGCCTCATAACCAGGAGGGTAGAATGTGGAGCCTAATTGGACAAGAAATAAAATGCAAATAGTCACAGCACTGCTCGCGTATGTTACTTTGTGTCCAGCATCAGGAAGAAGATCCTTGTATTTGGTTTTGCATTGGAGCCCTTCTCTCTTTGCCTCGAGAAGTGAGCGACGGACTGTTGCTTGGTAGTTGCTAAAAACGGGAAAGCGAGCGTCGCAATTCGCTATTACCATCCTGACTTCATTCACTGTGCATCTCATGGCAGTTGCTTGTCATAGGGTGAAGGATGCTGGCGTGACTGAGCTGTAGCCACTCGCGACATACGCTAGTTTGTATGTGTAGTCAGGACTCTGAAAATATTTATAGTGCATGTGTGAAGTGTTTTTCAATCCGATCTGTCAACTCTCAAGAGAAGGTACTTCAGTTACAAAAGTTTGCTGTGCCAAAATCCTATCGTGGCTAAGAAATGAGGTTTATACTTCGCGCCTAACCACTGCTTTCACAGAAAAATAGCTTTTCATAAGTAATTATTATATGTGTATATTTGCATTCGTCGTACGCACCTGACGCACGCGCTGAAAGCCAGCTCTCAGCTGTACCTAACCGCTTTTCTGGTGCGATAGAATCTGATCGATTACATCCTGTCCCACCGCATCCTCAAACTCTTTGTCGTCCAAGTTGGATTTTGGTCCGTGGAAAGTCTTATGTTTGTATACCACGTAATAGATCAAACTGCCAAACCAGACCCCGCCACAAATAACACAAGTGTAGTTCATGGTCTGTGGGGTCAGGCCTTCTGGATCTGTTGGAAACATAATCATAATAATGATAAATCCTTGGAACACAATGGACACCCAATTAATAATGGGCGACCAGAATTTGCCCATGTGGAAAGCACCGGGCCGGAACAGATCCTTGCCGGTGGTCAAGCGCAAGATATTAGGCGTCATCCACGCGAAATAGTTACCGGCAATACCTAGGGAAAACAACGCGTTGGAGGCCGCAGGACCAATCAGACAAAGGAGTCCAATAACCAGAGCACCGCCGGCGCCGAACCAGGTGGCTCTAATTGGAGATGAAAGCTTGGTGTTGACAACTTTGAAGAACTTAGAAAATGGCAAGCCGTCGTCGCGTGCAAAAGCCCAAATTTGTCTCGAAATAGCAGTCAAGATGGAGCATCCCATTATAAACTGGCAAAACGCAATCAAAGTCATGAACGCAATAGCCCATTTCTTACCCAAGGCATTGTAAATAATTTGAGCCATTGGAGAGCCGCTGGAAGAGCTCAAGACATTGTCGATGCTAGGACCCATGCAAGCGGCAAGCGCAATGCAAATGAAAAATCCCAAGATCCAACAAGCCGTAATAGAGCCGATGATTCCAATAGGCACGGCCTTGGTCGCATTTTTAGCCTCTTCCGACATGTGGATGCAGGCATCAAATGCACAGATAGTCCAGGCAGCTGGTTGGAAGCCGGTCATCATAAACTGCCATCCGCTGGGCCAGCTCGAGGCGTTGTCCCAATTACCAAAAATGAAGGAACCGTCGTTAAATGCCATGTCAGATTTGGAGACTCCGATGGGGATCGCAATCAGGAAGAACGCTATCAGCGCAAGGTTGCTAATGATACTAAACGTCTGTAGTTTCGAAACTCCCGCAGTAGCCACAGAGGTGACCGCCAGACAGGCAGCCACACCGGCAACAAAAACCCCATACGTTTTGGCGTTTGTGATTTCGAAGTCTCCGTCTTTCGAGAGAGATACAATCGACAATATCTCTCCGGCAAAGCCATAGATAATGGAACACAAACCAGAGGTCAATGCCAGCGAGTTTGAATTCCCGATCACGAAACTGAGGACAGACTTATATTTCTCGGGCGCGTAGTAGTATGTGTAGTAGTAGAGTCCGCCCGATGTTGGAATAGCAGAGGCCAGCTCAGACATGGCCATACCGATCGTTAGGATGAAGGCACCGCAAATTAGCCAACCCCACACGAGAGAGACGGTACCACCACCGTAAGCGATCGCCAGCACCGAGGCGATACTGGGCAGCAGTCCCATGATGGAGAATGCTACCCCAAACACTTGGATAGTGCTGAAGTGTCTTTGTAGCTCTTGTTTGTAGCCGATTTCGGCAAGAAGCTCACGGTCATCGTGTGCATCTTTGGCATTGATGTAATTGACTTCCCCGGCTCTTTTAGACGTGATAGTCCGTAAGGAGCGGATTTCGCGCAGCTCACCAACCCCGCTACTGGAACTGACTTGGGTGACGTCTGTGCTCTGTTGGTTTTTCTCCATGATGTACGAGTTGCCTGGATGTGTGATTGTAGGCTTGACAGAAAAGGGTATCAACCGAACTATTTTGAGATGTTACATACAGCATGTCGAGCTCTATTTAAAGCATCTCATATGCTACCAACTTGCATAGCGAGTCTTATCAAGAGCGCATCTATTTCCCGCCCTCCTCATCCATCCCGCGAGGGCACCTGATTTAATCTTACTATCGTGTCTCTAAGTCAAGCTTTTGCGCTTCTCGGTCTTCGAGATAACTTGGAGCCAACTACACTACTACTAACCATCGCAGCTGATGGAATATTTCCACCATCAGATAAATAAAGTGGGTAATCTTGAGATAAGCTAATGCCTTTTGAAAATCTAAAGATCGAGATATGCAAAAAGCCAACAATGACACTATCAATGAAAAAAAAAAAGGCTAATGGATTAACGAAGCGTCAGTGGCATCGAGAGTGGAATGAAACAGGAGTACCGTTGTTACGGCTTACAATGCAAAAGAAATGCTATCACACGATGCTTGGCATTGTTAAGAAGCGATGTGTTATTGGTTATAGTCACAATCTCTGCAATGAGGAAGATGAAAAGCCCATGACCTTTGTTATCTGAAAGGCACGCAACCCGCTAAACCAAACGATAAGGGGTTGTGCTTACAGATTTTATATACAGACAACAAACACTCCACTTGTACAATCGTGTGGAATGTGGTGAGATATGTATACGATTCTCATTGAATCGCTTTGGGTTCGCAGTACAGTAGCGCCCTGTCTATTTGCGAATTAGGCTCGCATTGTAGTTTTTCTGCTCGTAGTCCCAGTAGAAGGTTAGCGCCGTTTGGTTGCTCGTGCTTTCGATTTTGCAGTCGGAGACATAGTGCGTATCGTTCATTCTGGACTGCGCATAGTCGACGAATTCGCCCAGCTCGCACGAAAATCCAGGCCCGGAAGAGCATTTTTCTATTGGAATCACCACATCGTTGACAACATATCTCACGTAGGATTGGTTGGAGCACTGGTACAATTGGGTGTACACTCTGGCGCCCTGAGGAACCATCCAGGATTTATGGTAGATGTGATTTTTGATGGGCACGTAGTCGACGGGCATGGGTTGATCCGGATTGAAAATTCCAATGGAGCCCAAGTAGTTGACAATGTTAGTGTCGTGAGTGAAACTCAACCACACCTTGAGGTCCAAATCTTCGTGCTGTTTCAAAAGTTCGACGGAGGCATTGAAATTGACAGAACCAACGGTGGGGCCTAGCGAGTTACCTGGACCATTGTCGTAGTAGCTGGTCAAGTCATCGTAATACGCAAAGTAGGCCAGCTCTTCGGACGTGAAAATATCACAAGCATTACTGTAACCTTTAACGTTTATTTCGTAGGCGCACCAGATGTAGAAGTTGGTAGCGTCTTTTTTGGTCAAGTTCAAACCTTGGTTCTGTTTGTTCAATCTATGAGCAATATCCGATAGATATTTCTCAGAGAATTTGGAGTAGACGCCGGCATTCTCAGTATCATTGTAAGTAGAGCACGATTTGATTGGGGTCAAGGTGTTGGCACCAGAAGAGGCATCTTCGTCGATAATTTGCAGACTCACATTGTACTTGTCACCGAGCGCTTTGCCAAAATAATTGGCGGTGTCGTGAACTCTCTTGGAGTTCGAAGTGAAAATTGGAAACGTGGTAGTGTTTTCCAATAGCTCTTCGTACTCATGTAGAAACGCACGAGCGTGTTTTTGGGCATCCCACTCACCTACATAAGGGTTGATGGGATCCTGGATGTTGTCCCAAGTAGTGAGCTCTTCAAAGTTCTTGGAGTTTAGCGCGAAAAACTCGTAGTCCTCGTCAATGAAAGATAGGTCGCCCGAGAGAGTGGAGGTGTAGTTGCTGAGCTTGTAGTAAGTTTCAGCGATTTGTTCACCTTTCTTCTTGGTTGGGTATCTCTCTCCGTGACGAGCAAACAATTGAACCTGCTGCAGGGTACATTTTTCAGGGATATCTTTGGAAACACCGTAGCTCACGGGATAGTCAAAGTGAGGACCTGAGCCAGCCAAGTAAGGAAACAAGCCTTCTTGGGTTCCAATCTTGGACACATCTGCTTGCTTGAGTTTTGTTTGTTTACCAGTGGGTGCGGCCTCAGCTAGCGCAGCTGCGAGCAAGACCAGCGTTGGCGTAATCATTGTGAATTGGAATGGTGTGGATGTTTTCAATTGGATCTTTCAATTGAATAATACATCTAACTACAATTGTTCTCAGTACCAACTATTTATACAATAATTTAATATCCCTGAATCAAGAAATGAGCCCTTCCTGTGCCTCGAGCCTAAGGGTCCAGGGGCGCGACCTTAGTGAGCTAACGTTGTTCCACGTGGAGGCGAAGTAAAAGCCCTTCGCAACGTACTAGCTCATTTGATGTACCAATATACTTTAGCGAGTAATGATTACCTTTTACTCTGTTAAATCGACCACATGGCAGGTGCTATAGGCCAAGACGCCCGAGGTATGCCACGGACTTGGCATGAGAAAAATATTGATTATTGAACTACACATCCGGAGCCAATTTAAAAATCTTTCGCCACAACTAAAAACATTCTTAACCGGAATTTTGTGTCCTCATCGGCAATGCAGGGTTTTTTCACTTGTTTTTCACACGTTTTTTTATTTACGAGATATGCATGCAGGAGACTCATTTCCAAACACGATCGACTTCAGGGTGCGTGAAGTCCTCGGAACGAATGTCGCAGCCAAACGAATTAGTGCACTTTACTTTAAACTTCAATCTAAGAACACATGCGAAGTATCTTCTCTTATCATTATTACAAGGCGGAATTTACGCGCTTAGCCACTTATCACGTTAGAGTAGAAAGCTACGGTATGTTACCTCGTGCCATATCTTGTTTAGTCCTTGTAGATAGCAACAAGCTTTTGAAGCGCATGGCCCAATTGGGTGACAGTATCATGGAACACTTCTGTTAAGCGCACGATAAGGCTCTAGAACAGCACCGGCCTCGAGAAATGTGAGATAAAATATACCAAAAACTGGAGGGGAGCAGAGAACAAAGGCTACCTAACAAATGTATTTCGATGGTCTTTGGGGGTTTAGTCAGCTCAGAGTACTTTTAGTTTCAATTAGCTTAATGGGCGCGTTGACTTGTAATTATATGGATAAACATTGACAAGTTGCCTGGCCGTGGCGTCAAAAAAGTAGAAAGTGACATGAGTTTGTTGTACGGCATAGCAGGCCCATTACGGAGCTGTCTGTCGGCTGCGGGGGCTCTTTCATTTTTGGGCTCTCTCCGATCTCCAAACTCCAAATAGACTTGCTAATCTAAGGTGAGTCCCGTAGCGTTACCTGCAATAGCGTCAGTTAGCACATTATATCACTTGATTTATTGATATTGAAAACAAATTCGGTGTTGTAAATCTCTCCTTGTTTTTTCTAGATTTGAATAGTAAAGTCTCGGCGTGGGGAATGAACCACGGTATTTAGACGATTACTTGGTGGCGACTTCTTACAACATGATATTTTTCAGACAGGATTATTTTATCCACCAGCTTCATTGCTTAGCGCAGTATCTAGCCGAAAATGCAGATATGTTACCTATCTATTCCTACCTATCAGTACTCTGATTTGTTGCTTGAGCCTTATTGCCGACGTTGAAATGTGCAGCCAGTAATAAATGTATGTCACTCTACACGATATGTATCCCTCAATCCCTGTTTATTCATCAAATGATATTATTGCAGCACACAAAAGACATATAACTATAATACAATAACTCAGTACACAACTCCAAGCTGACAATACGATGTTCCATTCAAGTAACGCTCAAGGTGGACAACTCCAAGCTGATGACGTTGAATCAATGAGACAGCCAAAACCAATGGATAATTTTGCCAAAATTATAGTCACTTTCGTCATGATAACGCAGGCTATAATTAATATTGTTCTAATAGTAAAACTTGCCAGTCTATCAGAGAAGGACCATTCTTGAAATAAATCTTTTCGTCCGGTCAAGCTTCATCCGGCAAAGAAGAAAATGAACTTACATGTGCACACAATCATGTAATTTCCAACTGCTTTGTAGAAAGACATGCCTTGTCTGATAGGAAAGAGCCTTGTTGTACCGAGTGAAGTGGAAATAACCATACAGGCGGTCGTGCCACAAGCACCTTGCAAGAAGCGAAGACGGCGGCCAAAAGAATGGTGAGTATGCAGCGCACAGAACGCAGACAGCAAATTTCTAATACCTGTGATTTACCGAGGCTGGAAAGGATCCACTACGGCCGAGAGCTGCCCGATGATTAGAAAAACCAGATGAAGAGCCAGAAACAGTCTCGGGGGCGCTCCTTAGTTTCGACGACAATATTCCGGTTTGGAAGAACCTCGAGCACTACTATTGTCATGAGCGACTTGAAGATTCCCGAACCTGCCAAGCTGGTGATCTTTGGAAACGACGACTCTCTACGAAATTGCAGGAAGCAACCGGCACAGGTGCGGAATAAGCTACACAAATATGGCATCAGTAGAAAAGTTTCAGTAAAAACGCTAGCTCAAAATTTCACACCAGTGCAACACATTTGCTTACTTTGTTCCATATCTTGTATAGTTCGTATTACAGCATCCTTCGCGCCAGTAAGGGCCAAAGTGATACCCCACAGTAATTTCACGCGGATTTTTCAATATTTAGCAGAGCCAATGAAGAGGAAAGCTTCTTCGAGGACCAAGCACAAGCCCAGAAGACCCAAACATGAGGCTCGTCTAATCCCAAATGTACTTTATCTGAACTCAAATGCCGTATGACCAATTATAGAAAACTCCGCTGCCCATGTTTCCACCAATTCCGTTATATTTCTCACTAATGGAACTTTTTCCGCTTATCAATTGTCGAGACCGGCAACAAGGAAGACGTTGAATTACCTGGAATTAGGAACATCAACGCGAAAAAATGCTTTGAACAAACTCCCATGACTACTTAATCCGCTTCAAACAATTACAACACCCCGCATTCAATTTCTAGCGCACTGTGGGTGAATTAGGACGCCAGCCGTTGCAGTGCAGGCAGGTGTAGATAAGTATTTTTGTTACCCTTAAGAACAAAAGTATCGAGAAAACATCGTACACCTTTCGGGTTTCGGACGATCTGGGGAAATTGAAACCACATGGAGTGTGCCCCGCTTGCCTCCGTTGCCCAGCTTGCCAAGCCTGCTCAACTTGCTGAAGAATCGTATATAAAGGGTAGGGCGATGCTTGAATAGTGTAAAAATGTAGAAGTTGGGATTAGAATTGTTAAGCAGAGATCAAAGACACTTATATTTGTTGACCATCATGACCCGCTCTCAAACTCTAGATTCGCATCCAGAAACAAAGCCCAAGTGGTGGAAAGAAGCCACGGTGTACCAGATCTACCCAGCCAGTTTCAAAGACACCAATGGCGACGGGTGGGGCGACCTTAAGGGAATCACCGAAAAACTGCCTTACATCAAGCGTCTCGGAGTAGACGTTATTTGGATGTGTCCCTTCTACGACTCGCCCCAGCAGGACATGGGCTACGATATCGCGGACTATGAGAAAGTCTGGCCACGGTACGGAACGAACGAAGAGTGCTTCGAGCTCATTGACAAAGTGAAAGCGCTGGGCATGAAAGTTGTGGTCGATTTGGTGATCAACCATTGTTCGGCAGATCACAAATGGTTTCAGGAATCGCGCTCATCCAAGGACAACGCTAAGCGTGACTGGTTCATCTGGAAGCCGGCCAAGGGGTTCGACTCCGAAGGTAAGCCAATCCCACCCAACAACTGGCGCTCGTTCTTTGGAGGATCTGCGTGGGAATGGGACGAAAAGACACAGGAGTTTTACCTGCGTTTGTTCGCGTCCAAACAGCCCGATTTCAACTGGGAACTCTCGGAAGTCCGTCAAGCGATCTATGAAACCTCGGTGGGATTCTGGCTCGACCGTGGCGTTGACGGCTTTCGGATTGACGTTGGTGGCATGTATTCCAAAGACCAGAACTTTCCTGACGCAGAGGTTAAAGACCCTACGGTCGAGTTCCAAGACCCCTTAAAGCATTTTGCCAACGGACCTCGTATTCACGAGTTTCACAAGGAAATGCATCAGTTTATGGTTGACCGTGTTACGGATGGTCGCGAGTTGTTGACCGTGGGCGAAATTGGGTTTGGTACCGAAAAGGACTTCGTAGAGTACACGAGTGCCAAAGAACGTGAAATTGGTATGATGTTCAACTTCAAGCACGTCAGTGTAGGCGAGGATCCTAACTTCAAGTTCAAGCTGGTACCCTTCTCGTTGAAAGACTTCAAATTGGCGGTTGCGGAGAGTTTCCAATTTATTAACGGCACCGATTGCTGGTCTACTATCTACATCGAAAATCACGACCAGCCTCGTAGTGTCTCGCGTTTTGGTGACGATTCACCAGACTGGCGCGCTATATCTGCCAAAATGTTGTCAGTTTTGGAAATTTCCCTCACCGGTACCCTTTTCGTTTATCAAGGTCAGGAGCTGGGACAACCCAACATCAAGGGTTGGACTATAGATCAATATGAAGACGTGGAACTACACGGCAATTACGACTACATCAAGAAGCAGTTTGGTGAAAACTCCAAGGAAATGAAGCATTTCCATGAAGCAGTTCCGGTCATTTCCCGCGATCACGCACGTACCCCATTTCCATGGACCGCCGAAAATCCCAGTGCCGGCTTCAGTACAAGTACAACGCCATGGTTTGCTTTAAATCCATCTTATCCTGAGGTCAATGCAGAGAGTCAACTAAACGACCCCCAATCTGTTTACAACTTCTGGATCAAAGCCTTGAAAATTAGAAAAGAGCATAAGAACATTCTTGTCTACGGATATGACTTTGAATTCCACGACCTCGACAACGACAAATTGTTTTTGTTCACCAAGAAATACGAGGACAAGACTTTGTTTGCGGCGTTCAACTTCTCTAGTGACATAGTTGAGTTCACCGTCCCAATCGATGGTAAGCTCACTCAATTATTTGGCAATTACGAGGACGTTGATGCGTCCAGTCCCTTGCAGCCATGGGAAGGTAGACTTTATTATGTGTTCTAAACGTCATCCTACGATCGTGATGAAAACGACTGAAGAGACCTTAAAATTGTAGACAATTGACGATAAATAGTTATGACATACTTGCGCAAGCTAAATGGAAACTTTGCAAACCTTATAACAAACGATTTGCTATGTACGATGGGATTTGACTTCTTGAGCGCCATAAAAATGCTGTGCGAAAGAAGATTGGACCATTTCTAGAATTAAAAGGGAGCGAAAACACAGATCTTTGACAAATCTTGAAGGTGCCGCGAGTGCAGACAAAATCCATGACGTATATGCTTCTCTTACACGCTCGGGCTCTATACACCTTGAAGAAGAATATTCTTTTGCCCTTTGAACGTGAGAAATAAGAACTACGTCGGCCGAACGTACCGCATAATAGGGTTACTACGATGACGGGCTGGAAACTATAAGTACGCGACAACAAATCGAATATTACAATCAGTAAGGCTGCAATATTTGATAAAAGGCAAACAGCGAAGCATACGATCAAAGCCGTTTGTTCGTAATACGAGAGTGAACCTCAAAACAACGCAAGGGTATACATTACATTGCTACTGGACAAGCGGACAGTCTGAAAACCATATAGGCATGAGTGACAAGATAACACGACGATGGGATAGACACCGTGCATCTCTAGGCTGTAATTTCCAGCTACCAGCAGCTCCTCCAGAAAGTAAAACAAAATGAGTGCTCGATGCTGCAAATTCTCTTTAACACAATCTTTATGGCTGTTGGCTTGTAATCACCCCTAAACGATCTATATTTTGTTTGTTAGCCGTAAATGTCTTATCAGTATCAATAATACAGCTATCTGCGCTTCGGCCGACTTTTTTTGAAATTCTTTATATATCTGCTGCAAGAAAAAATCTAGCTTTGATAACATAGACTTAATTTGAATTTTTGACGCTTTTGAAAGATCAAAGAAGTCGTCCACAAGCTTCATATATTCAATTTCAAAGGTTTACAGTTCCAGCAACGCTAGGAAATAACTTTTAAAATGAACGCCACTTATTATTGCCCACAATTGTCACAAACACAAAAAACTGCAGAAGGATCTGCACTACCAGTAAGCTACTCATGGATACTGGAATCGCGGATCTTTCCAAAAGGACAGCGAGAGCTGGACACACATCTCTAACTTTGGTTACCGGAAACCACTCGCAATGCTGACTGTTAGGCGCGTCTAAGACATCGCCTTAGCGCCGAAGCGGCGGTACTTGCTCGCTTACTACTGTTTGGACCACACAACACTAAAACACATATCAATAAAACCACAATAACAATCAGAATTAGAACATTACAAGCACCCAATAAAACGAAGAACACAACGAATCCTATGCAGCGTCAAAAACTACCCAAGCACTCCAGAATATCTCATGTCTGCGACATTTGCCGCCTGCGAAAGCTGAAATGTAGTAAAGAAAAACCCTCGTGTAAGCGATGCGCTAAACATGGACTAAAATGCGTCTACACTCCGTACCGCCAGAAAGGTCACGAGCCTGCATCCGTTGAAGCGCTTGAATGTGAGCTGCAAAGCCTCAGAGCTCAATTGGCTGCATCTGCGAGTTTGTCTGCAGACGAGTCATGCGATTCCGAGCAGTCGACGAAACAGTGTGTCATTTATTGGGACGGGCTGGTCTCTCCTATTAACGTCAATGGCGTATGGAAATCACATTTCGCGCCTTACAGCGATTTAGCGCTGTTCGCTCGTGATCCTCTTCTGAGAGGTCAAGTGGCAGAGTTATTCGAGCAAGAAGTTGCGTCCCCACCACAAATGAACCCACAATTGAACACAGATCTTCTGATCACAATTAGAACAATACTCCCCAACCAACAAATCTTAGACAAGACAAGACTTGTCTTTGAATCAACAATTTACCCAAGTTATCCTTTTTACAACTTGGAAGCGTTTAATCAATTTTTCGATAAAATTGTAACAAAAAAATATACTCCATTTGAAGACGATCCTAAGTCTTTTTGCTTCTTGATCTTGATGCTTCTTATGTTGTGTCTAACCAAAAACCTCGTTCTCGAACCGAAACTCTTACTTGAATGGACAGAACATTTGCAAATTATGAATTCAGTCAACGAAGAAAACCTGGCTTGCTTACTATATTTGAAGCTTTACTCTAGCCCTCTTACACTTTCTCTATATTCCAAGGACAGGCTTTCCGACTGTATCAGTAGGATGGCTTTGGAAATGGGTTTGTATTCAAGTGCAACCTATCTGGAAAACAACGAATTGAGAGAGAAGCTATGGATGGGCAGTGTAGTTCTTTTGGAACCTACCGCCTTTGATGACTATTACACCAACCAATTCAACCGGAGTGTTTTGCCCTCTGATATGCCGCTGTTTATGAAGTATCACTTCCAATTGAAACAATCAAAAATCTGGAAGTGTGTTATGAACTCTTCAAGTGAAATAGACAGTGCTATGTCGACCTTGAAGAGATACAACAATTTTGAGATCAGGCTGACAAACGACCCCTCGATCACAACTAGCAGTGATCTAGCTGTTATGAGCATGGAGCTCAACTTGCTCATGATGCGATTCTTGCAGTCCGAGGACCAATCGCTTGAGGACGAAACATTATTGTTTTCTATGCAAAGTTCTTTCGATACTCTTTTCGAAGCTCTAATGGCATTCACAATGGCAACCGGGAGTCACCATCTCCACTTGGCTCAAGTCAGTTTTACGCTTAAAACAGTGGCCGCATATGTGCTGGGTATGTATCCAAGGCTGAGAGAGAATCAAATCACTTGCAGAATCAAAAATGTTGAGTCCAAAAATAAGCTTGCTCTTCACCTTCGGAACAGATTTGAGACAGTAGCTCAAATGTGGTCAATACACTTTGACTGGTGCCTTCATGTAACCAAATTACTGGACAATGTCGAAAAACCCATTAAAAATCTGGCTGAACTGTCCGATAATTTAGTTAAAGACGTCCACTCATCTGACTTATTTTATGAGCTAAATGAGTCAATGCTTAACGGGGATAGCGAATTTAATGTTGACATCGACACCTTTTCTCCGCCGCTTTCCCACGATTCCATTGAGACCATTTTTACCGAGTCCTTGGCTAGCTTTAGCGAGCCATTTGATCTTCTTGGTTCACAAACGCTATCCAAATCAACTAGTGCTTCTAGCGATAACAAGACTGACTTCGACTTTGATGCTTTCTAAAGGATTAAGATCATTAGACCCCTTCAATATATTATACATACATTTTAGTTTACCTATGACCCCACCTAATCATGAAATTCACTGGGAAACGTTCTAACAAGATTCGTTGTAACCACTTGCTCAAATCAGTGCATTGGCCCACCATGTTTTATCACGGAGAGGTCGCTCATTGATAAATACAAACAAATCAAATTAACACAAACATCATATATATAAAATAAATAAATAGCTGCAATTTTCATGGAGTCTATTAGCACAGATCGCTCCAAGTACTTGGAATATCCCAAGCAGAATACTCCGATTGCAATTCATTGACCTGGAGTAAGAGCCCGCTTTCCATGTGCCACCCAATGTGACAGTGGAAAGGCCATATACCTGGATTGTCAACAACAAACCTAATAACCGCGTAACCATACCCAGAAACACCTAAAACGTCTCTGGAAATAGGATTAGTAAAATCCATCTCACCATTGTCGCTATCATAAAAAGACTTTCTGAAATACCCACGGTCAGCGGTTGACAAAACCCAAAATTTATGGCCGTGAAGATGAAATGGATGCGCACCGTCGTCGTAATTGTTAATCACCAAGTCCACAACGGCTCCACGCTTGTCCAAATTTATGAGATACTGACCATCGTTTTTGGTTTCTATTTGTGTGTTGCCGAGCGTTTTGATTGTATTATTGTTGGGATACGATACCAGTTGATTCATGGTTGAGGAGTTTGTGAGCGACTTGTAGGTCATGTCATTGAAATATCCCCGATCTAGTTGGTACGCTCCAATCATAAATGACACGTCCAACTCTAAATAAACATCGGGCCTCGTTGAACCATTTTGCGCCCTAGGCACTGTTCCGTCCAATGTTTTGAGCAAGGTCTGATTGAAGTCTCTGCACCGAACGTCGCCACCATTGTAGTCCCAACTGTCACTGTCAGGAGTAGAGTTGAACTTTTGATCATAACGGACAATTGCCCGAAGATCGGTGTTGAAGTTTGGGTTATCTTCGGCCAAACAGAAAGTGTTGAATCTAACATGCATCCAATATTGGGTAAGCTCAGTTTCCGTAGGCTCTAGAATGAAAGAATATCTTTGCGCAACCGAAATATCAATGGATTCTAGGCTTAGAGGCTCGGTTACCGTACCATCTGCCTCGACGACTCTCAGTTTATGACTATCAATAGCGAAATTGAATGGCGCAAAGAACCCAGCGTTGATAACCCGGATACGATACTTCTTCTTGGGATCGAAATTGAGAACCGCCAAGTTACCGCCAACATACGTGGCAGTGATATTACTGTCGTCATTGCCGCTGTTGGGGACAACATACGTTGCAGAATCGTAGGTGAAATTATTTGTGCCCTGGATTAGTCCGCCATCGGGGGTGGGCTCATTATTTTCGTTATCGGAGCCCATGTACTGGGGCAAGTAACTATTGGCCATGTCATGATAGTAGTCATTGGCCATGATTACAACGTCAGCGTCGTACTGGTCGCCTATTAGTTCTCGTTCGTGGGCAGAATGAATCACCAGAGGACCAAAAATTCCATCTGCTTGCTGCGTCCCGTAGTGCGAATGATACCAGTAGGTACCGCTTTGGGTGTCGTCCAGAAGAATCTTGTAATCGTAGGTGCCACCGTCCGCGGAAATAGGGCATTGGTTGATGTAGGCGGCACCGTCGTTGTAGCTATTATTTTTGTTGAAAAAGAGACCGTGGCAGTGGATCGTGGTGGGAACGTCGTGGGTCTCGACGTGGATAAACAGAGTGTCGCCGGCATTGGCCTGGATCAAGGGTCCCGGATACTGTCCGTTGATAACGGTGAGATTTCTGACGATGCCGTCGGGAGCGACTTCCGCGAGCGTCGAGATATTGAAGTAGTAATGGCGCTCCGCGCCGCCGGTCTGCGCGTGCCAGTAGTCCTGGTCGATGGTGTAGTTCTGTTGCGTGTCCAGCCGCCAGGTTTTCGGAATCACATCTTTGGAGTCGCGCGCGTGGCTGGGCACGCCTATCAGGTTCAGACACAGCGCGATCACGAGCACTGGGATTATAACGCAAAACAGCATCTGGAGCAGGAACAGCAGCACGGGCCGGTTCTTGTGCCGGGCGAAGAACCCGCTGGGCCCTTTCTCCAGGTCACGTGGCGCCTCTTCCGACCCCTCTACCAAATCCTCCGTATCTGACGAGGGCGCGTCTTTGCATATCGCGCCACCATCGCCCGTGTTGTCTACTGCTCTGAGCTTGAACTCCTCTCCCTCTAGCTTCAAGGGCATTGCAGCTAGCTATTTTATTATACACGGCCTGGCGAGAAAAAAATTATTTTTCCAGCTTCAAACTACTACATGGCGGCCCTACATCGGAATCTCATTGTAATTATACCCTAGGCACGCTCGAGTGCCGAAACCACCATAACTAACGCCGAGGCGGTTACCGCTGCATCTTGGCGTTTTTTTCTCGAACCCTTGGCTCGTAATTTGCCATGTGGGAGAGCGATGCCCATAATTAAAAAAATCGCAACGTGGTGCGGGCCGTGAGGTGGCGAGAGAGTTGAGGGAGGGAGAGACGCAGCGAAACTATCGCATACACACACGCACACGCATGAAAGAACGGGAGACGGTTGGACTCATCCGTGGGTCCTGGCAGATGAATTTTTTTTACGGGCGCCAGAATAGTACAGAGTGACACACCGCCCGTTTTACAACGCTACTGAAAAATTGCGGACGGCCGAAGCAGCGCCGGCCGCGTCTTGCCCAAAGCCCTTGCGTGCTGCTGCGCGTCTTGGGCGAAAATCACACAATTGCGGGTGTCTGTCTGGCTGTCTCTCGAGTGTGTATGTGTGTCACTCTTCACGAGCACGTGTGTGTTGCGGCCCCCACTCTCCCACTCTCTCCCACCCCGTTGATTCCGATCCGATCCATCCAATTACGCTTCCCATTTTGCTCCCCATTATGCGCTTGCTTGCCTCTCCGGCGTTCCCAGCGCCCAACGTGGGCCGCCTGGCATTCTCTCTGAAATATTATAATTTTCTTAGCACGGTAAAGTCCGATGAGCACAGCGTGGGCCAAGATATAAATTCAATTTAGTAAAGCGAATGTCGTAGTGAACAGGGCCTCTGGAGCCAATTAAACTGCACATGCAGCGCGCGCTGCATGTTAATTATGTATTTATGTATATGGTCCACGTGCGGGCCTCGAGGGCCTCGAGACGCCGCTGGGTTTGCAATATATAAACAGGGTCCGGCGGCGCGACGAGACGATTGTGTGTGGGATTCAGTCTCTTTTCAGTCTCCAGCAGCTCATACACTCTCATCCATCCACATCCACGCTTGTCCCCATGAAGATCACCAATTGTGCGAGTTTCGGCGCTCTGGCGTTGTCGCTAGCCTCGGCAGACGCTGCGTCGTCGTCGTACAACGCCCGTACGTTCTCGAGTGTCAGCCCATCGGCCTCGGATATCGCCAAGCAGGCCTCCAACGCTACCACTAACCACAGAACCTCGAACGTGCAAGGCGCTGCGGCCCGTGCGCTCACCATCATCTGGCTCGAAAACACCGATTACCAGAAGGCCGCCCTCGACGAGAACTTGATGTGGCTCGCTGCCCAGGGTATCACCTTGGACAACTACTGGGCCCTCACACATCCTTCGGAGCCCAACTACTTGGCCTCCGTCGGTGGCGATTACTTCGCGCTCGACGACGACCGTTTCATCAGCATGCCTGCCAACGTGTCGACCGTTGTGGACTTGCTAGACACCAAGAACATCTCGTGGGCCGAGTACCAGGAGCATTTGCCTTACTCGGGGTTCAATGGCTTCAACTACTCCAACCAAGAGACCTTTGCCAATGACTACGTCAGAAAGCACAACCCATTGGCCTTGTATGACTCCGTCAACACCAACCCAGACCGTTCCGCCAACATCAAGAACTTCACCATGTTCTACAACGACTTGAACAGCTCTTCTCTACCACAATACAGTATCATCACTCCAAACATGACCAACGACGCTCACGATACCACCATCAAGGTTGCCGGTCAATGGGCCCGTAACTTCTTGGAGCCTTTGTTGTCCAACGAATACTTCATGAACGACTCGCTAGTGCTCTTGACTTTCGACGAGAACGAGACCTACTCCGTCAAGAACAAGGTTTTCACCATTTTGCTCGGTGGTGCTATCCCAGAACACCTACGCGGTACCTCCGACTCCACTTACTACGACCATTACTCGCAGTTATCTTCTGTGGAGGCCAACTGGAACTTGCCTAGTTTGGGACGTCACGACGTCGACGCCAACGTTTTCCAAATTATTGCCAACGCTACCAACATCACCAACCAGGAAGTGGACACCACTTACAAAATCAACAACGCAACCTACGTCGGTTACTTGCTCGACACCGATATCGCACTCCCAGCACCAAACGTTACCGCTATTAACAAGAACGGAAAGGGTGTGCTCAAGGATATTGTTTCGGTATGGTCGTCTGAATACTCCGCCCAGAGTTCCGCTACCTACTTTACTTCTACCACCACTACCCAATCTTCGGTTTCTTTGACCGATTTGGCTACTTTGGTTACCGCCAATGCCAACGCTAGCAGCATCCAAACCAGCACTGCTTCTGGATCTCACGGTAACTCTTCGACCTCTGCGTCTAAGGGTAACTCCTCGACCTCTGTTTCTCACGGTGGTGCGGGTGCCGTTGAAATTACTTGGACTTCCTTGGTCGCTTTGATGATCGGATCCATCTTTGCCTAAACAAAAGATCACGAAAACTTTGATGTTGTGAAATCTCTACTTTGATAGACACTTATTTATTATAAAGATTATTTATTGAAAATCGGCGGTGCCGACTACTATATTAACGCTTAGGGTTTTATCCACCAAGACTGTATTTAGCAAATTGATTAACGAAAGTAATCACCTTCGCGCCGTTGAAACTCGGTGCCTAGTATGTTCGCAAACTTGCCCAAATTTGTTTTAATCCACTTAACTGGCTGTTGTCGAATATTCACATCCCAAACAATCAAGCGAATACCACTCAGTCACTACATTCATTAAAACTATTTTGATACCATCAAAATTCCATATAAGACATTAATGCTACTATAAATTGAGAAAACATGATTTTCTTAAGTTTTAGTGTAAAGAATCAGATCTGCAACGTGCATCTCAATAACTTGGCAGCATTCTATATATTTGCTGCCTCGCTGTTTTCGATCTCCACACAAATCGTTTCTTGGAGCTTCAAATTGAATTACGTAGAGAGCTAGAGATTGACACTCGATGTGATAAATGGCAACAGGATATCGGTTACAATTCTGTTATTGTTAAACTCATTTATAACATCAATGCCATTTAAGTATGAAGTGACATAAAGCTGTAAAAATTCTGAGTAAGTCAGTTGGTAGTGCACACTTATTTGCGCATTTGTTATCGTTCAATCCTGAAGCTGTTATCCTGCCACGTATCGAACGCTGAATGTCACAATATGTCTTGGTGGGATATCTTGACTGATAGTAACCCCTCGCCTAGAGAGGTTCTTAATTTTCGGAAGAGGTCATGTTAGTGAAATACAACCAAATTCACAGTTACAATAAGCGGAGCTGCCATTCGTAACTACTAGCCAGGGTCACATTGGCTGGTTCACTTACATACTCATCATAAAATATACCATCAGTTCATCAAAGCATAGTAACTTTAAACGAATATCTTTTACAAGAATATGATGAATCAAACGCTCAGAGCCCTGCAATGTGTCTAAATGAACAAATAAAACTCAAAATGAGTTTGGAAGCCGTTCAGTCGTGTATCCAATGGGCCAAAACTAATGGTGGCTCTATTGATGAAAGAATAGAATTCAAACTTGATCAATCCACAGGTCTCCACGCCATCACAAAATCTGCAATTAAAGACAGTAAAGCTTTGATTACAATCCCTAAAGAATTACTCATTGTTGGTGGCTTAGCAGAAACTCATTTCGGCATCAAAAATCCCAGCCAACAGAACCCCAATGCCTTGCTGCAATTGTATGTTGCCAAGTTGAAGTTTGGGGATGCTTGCCAGGAAGCAGTATTTTACAAACCATATTTGGACCTACTCCCAAACACGGAAGACATCAGTACCCCATATTTTTGGACCTCTGAAGAACTGTCTGCCTTAAAGGGTACCGATCTACTGATCAAAACAGAACGAAACCTCAAAAAATTGGTCGGTGAATGGTTTGATGTGATAGCTAAAGTAGACGCCGCAGATGAAAACGACACGCAATTTTATTTACAATCCTCGTCCAGCCCAAATTTCAACGTATCGGACCATATTCAGCACGCCGAGTCTCTCTCATGGCACAGCTTTAGTGCGTACCTGTGGTCCACCTACATCTTTTCGTCCCGAGCATTTCCCGAACTGATCTTCAATGACAAGAGCTTGGAGAACGTTAACCAAGCTTTTCTATTTCCAATTGTGGATTTGTTGAATCATGCGAATGGAAAGAAAGTTAAATGGCATTGTGTTCCTCCCGAAAACGCTCTGACGTTTTCCACAGATGAAAAGCTAGCTGCGGGTGACGAAGTGTGTAATAACTACGGCGATAAGTCAAACGAAGAACTTCTCCTTGGTTACGGATTCGCCATTCCGGACAATGACTTTGACACTGCCACCTTAACGCTACGGCTACCGCCAGGTCAAATTGAATCCTTTCAAGTTTCAGGCTTGAAATTGGAGGACATGAATTTGACGGAAAACTCTGTTAACTTTACATTGAACATGGCAACGCCATTACCTGCTGAGCTGATTGAAGCTTTTGGAATTTTGAGCAAACTAACCTCAGAGCAATCTGTTACAACAAGAAGCATTTTGGAAGGTACAGCCCAATTGAATGAAATCATTAATCAAAAGTTGGCTTTTTTCAAGAAGGCATCTAAGCTGAAAGTTTCTTTGGGTAATCCAATCAAATCTCAATCGTGCAAGGCATACTTGAGTGGGCAGAAAAAAATCTATCAGGAAGCGTCAGATTTCATTAAAAAGTATCAAAGAAAGCAGGTCAAAGATACGAAGCCTTGGTCTTTTAAAAATACATTCAAGGCCGATAAAAGTTTCGTAAACAGTCTTACATTGACTTTTGGAGTCACCAAGTATGAGGATTTGCTGACGAAGGGATTCTTACAACAGGCTCTTCTTTTATGGATTGTGAGAGTTTCAAATGGTGGGGTGGAAAGTTCCGTCCCCAAATTTCTCGAGGATTGTATAAAGGATGTTGCAGCAACAATAGTGGTGGAAAAGGAAGATGTACAAGAGTTTTTGCCATTTTACAAGAGTATGTTTCCTCAACTGTCGACTAAAATTCCAGAAATCTACGGCAAGGGCGACTGGGGAATCAAAAAGTTCATTATCGCGGGAACTGTGATAGATAGATTGGTATGGACGTTGCCTACATCTCAGGAAGCATTTTTTTTCGAGAGACAACCATTTAAATAATGTAGAAAGATTAGTCGCAGATAGACTAGCCTAGCGCGAAATAAACAATTCGCTTATCGTGTACATATATATCAAGGCGTTCTTACTATCGTGACTGTTAAAAATGGTGCTAAAAACTATACTTAAGTTCGCAATCTGCTCGTTTTAACGAAAAAAATTGGTCATAAAATGCTTCTTAATCCAAGCTTTTATATAGCCATGTTTGGATGAATTCCGACCATTTTAATGGGAACCAGCGCCTTTGCTAACTCTGTCTAAGACGGATTCGTAGGCGACTTCAGAGAAATCGGTACCTTGAACGTCTGTTGAAACACCATTCAAAGCTCTTCTTAGAGCGTCCTTGGAAGAGGCGTAAACCATCTTGGCTCTCACAGGAGCGGTATCTGGAGACCAAGTGAAGAAAATAATCTTGGATCTCTTGCCCTCGTTGCCACCGATTTCGTATTCAAAGTCGTAGACGGCGTACAAACAGTCGTCCTCGGGCAACTTCTCCAAAAATGAGTCATAATCTTGAGCATTGGAGGTTTCCTTCACAATAATTTCCGTCTTGCTGTCGTTAAGCGCATACAACACGAACTTGTACTTCTTACCCAATTTTAGGTCATTGAAGGCTTTCATAGATTCATCGGCAACGGCAACACTAAAGTGGCGTTAGTAGATTGAAAAGGGCGTATTAGAAAAGAGGTGACAAAAGAGGTGGCCCGAATATTTAAGAAAAAAGCCGAGGACCAACCAGAACTCGTCGCAGACAAGCAGAAAAACCGCCAAGAAAAATAGTAGACATCAAGTTTCCCTTACTTGAGTCTCAATAGGGCCTCTTAAGGACTCTCGGGTCCAAAAAAGTCATCAAAACAATCCCACGTTTTCGACCTCAAACCAAAGTAAACAGCGCCAAAAAGCCTTAAAGAACACGTTAAACATTCTTCATCATCTCTGCCTATCTCTCTTTTCCTCTTAAAGCTCGCAAACATACCCAGATCTCGACATGGCTGTTAAATTGAGTTATTCTTATACAACTTGCAATTCTCCAGTTTCAAAGTTGAATGTTCTTTGTTGAAAAGGGGTCCGTAGCAGTTTTATAAAAAAGTTAGTATATAAAAGGCATCCTATCGCTGTTACCCGCAAGCTAAGCAAGCAAACACATAAGACGCCCAATGGAAAGAAAACGGCAAGAATGGAGAGCTTGGACAGGCTAAAAGAGCGTTTATGGGTTGTTGAGAACCGAATTGGTGATGCCGAATACTCAGAAAGCTTGTTGACCAAAGTTGACACGCTAAGCCGCGAGCTGAGGCACCTGTACCGCGATGGAGTAGAGTGTTCGAAGACTTTTTGGAGGCTTCTGGACGTTTTCATTGAAACTAACGGAGTGGAGGCATCTGCAAATGAGCAGACAACTCTTGAGACATGCCTGGGGTCTCTGGACGAGATTATGCAACAGCTGGGCCACTTGGAAATGTGGTATCGAGAAGAAGATCTGGATCACGTGTTATCTTGCGGAGTTGTAAGAGTTCCGAGTGGGGCAGCGCAAGCACAGATTTCGAAGCTTCCGTTGCTGTTTGCGCAGGTATCGGAGCTGATCGTGGGTACGATGATGCTTTTACAGCGCTTTATGAATCTTAACGTGGAAGACAACAAGTTTTGGAATTGCACAGAGCAGAAAGTAAGGTTCTTGGAGCGGAAGCTGAAGGCGCTGGAGGAGTCTAAAGTGATCTGAAGGAGCGGTTGAAAGTTTATTCTTTGATATCGGAGATATACGGCCTGTTGTTCTTCTCCATAGTTCAGAGGAGGGCCTAGTGGTGTACTTCCGCGTCAGCATATCTCAAAGCACATCTAAGTGAATTGTATTCGGGAACAATGTGAGAATCAACCCCTTTGTTCTATCAATCGTTGAGGGACCTTGTCATGTGCCCCGGAACAATAGTATACTAAATAATCTCAACACGGTCTTTGGCGAGCAACCAATTACGCCAGAGCGCGAGGGTACTCTTAACATCGTAGATTATAAATGGGGTATTTGCCGTGCAATTCTCGAACGTACTTTCTACGATATGAAGCAATCGATCCCACAAAGTAGCAAATTATGGCAAAACCATGTGAGCACTCTTTTTGAATCACCGACACGGCACGCCAGCAATCTTAAGAGCAGTAAAACCAGTTAAACAATCAAGCGTGAATTATAGCCCCAGAGCGAAGATGTTTGATTAAGGAGGTCAAGTAATGATAATGATACGGCTCTTTATTTATTTTCATCTTAGAAGAGAAAACGGTAGCTCTGAGATTTTAGTGCCAATTACGCCCCCCCCCCACACATGCTTCTAAAAACTCGGTGCTGCCCCCTCGCCTTTTTTTTTGATTTGAGATTGACGGTAACCACGCTTCTCGATAGGGGCGTCGTCAGTCCCAAATCTGTCATATTTATTTAACTTGTAAGGTAATTCTTCCCGACAAAACTTTTAACATCAATTCTAATTAAACCTTTATGTAGAGTGGTCCCTCTTTTCATCATCACTCGATTTTGATTCTTTTCAAGAGCTCAGCAGTGCTTAAATCTGCTCGCTTTGTTTGATACAAATAAATGTTCGTATCGTGATTGATCATTTTCTTTTCGACACAATCGGAATGTTCAACTCTTTTTACTGCGTCGAGGCTAGTCGTTATTTGAAGTTCAAGTTTGGTACAAAATTGATATAAGCGAGCAATATTAGCAGGAATGGATTCCCCAACAAGTATAACAATCTTATAATCCTTTAGAGAGCCTCTTTCGGCGAAAACTTTACCCTCAAGCTCCAAAATAGCTTTAATCGTTTCAAAAAAAAGTAACGATAGTTCTGGGAGCTCCTGTTGCTCGTCAACCGATACTTTATCAATCTCATCAGTGAAACGATTAATTTCAAAGGAAAGGTTAGGATAAAAGTTCTTCAAGCTAGTACATTCCGAAAGCAGTGTACCCAAAACCCGGACCATACTTGACTGACGATCAAGGTTTGGATTCTCAGCCTCCTTGGAAGCAGCACGAAGCTCCGCGTTGAGTATCACGTTGTAAATATTCAAACTCGCAAGAAATTCGTCAAAGCGACGCTTGTCTTGAACCACGGCGTCAATGTCAGTACAGTTCCCCGCCTTGTTTAATTTTTGTAAACTGAATAGAATTTGTACGTCCCAAGGGGTGAGAGTGACCTGGTCATTCACATTAGCAGGTGCGCCAACACGAATATTAACTCTTCGCAAATTTTCGAAAACGCTATACAGAACGGAAATCTTGCAGTATTCTTCTTTTAGTTGTTGCTCTGTAATATTATTGGAAAATACGGTAGCCCGAATAATGTCTGCTGTACACATCTGACTTTTCATTGTATTGCCAGTATTAAAAAAAGTGCCAGATGTAAGAGCACGCAGTAATCTTGAGGTGTTTTTAATGTCGCTCACAAAACCCTGTGCGGTCTTTTTCTCCAACATGCTATTATACGCAGGTTCAATTGAGCGAATACCGTTGGTGCAGAACTCTTGAAGATTCTGAATTTCGGTCTCGTTGCAAAGACGGGACGGAATAACGGCGCTCGATAGAAGCGGGCCCGAAAACGCTCGAACATGCGTGCCATCTAGTTGTGGAGCTAAAGCTGTAGCTATTTGTCGATTAGAAGATCCAGACTTGAATTCACGAATGGGCATCGCATCACCTGTTAAAGGATGGCTCACGCTTTGGCCTCTAAAAGGTTCAAAAGCATCATGATTCACACCTATAGCTCTACAGGCCAGAGAGTATTTCAGAGAAGGCCACAGAACCTCTAAATATTGGCCGTTTGAACTTCGCAGTCTAAGGATTGTATCCCACGCTTTTTGATCATTGTCTAATTTTAGAGTGTTTCTGAGGTAAACTCCCTTCTCGCCGGAGTATTTTGCAAATTTGTAGAGCGGTGCTACAGAGTTCTTGAACAGGCCTGTTACCATTTCCCAATCTTTCACTTTCCAGCCTTCTGCTTTGCCGTCGCCCGGCAAAACAAATTGCAGTTGGGAATTGCCTTGTGAGACATCTGTCCATAGCAGATGCTGGATACCAGTAACCGGCATCGATTCTAACCTAGTGGGCAGACTCACTTCACGCTGAACTAAATCTTTGCCTCCGCGTTTGGAAATCCATTCCACTCTCGCCTTCTCGATTCGGTTCGCATTTAACTTATAGGTAAAGCGACGCTCTCGCGAGGAGTTTCGATATGCCAACTGCAGTTGGGATACCCAAAACGGTGAATGGCTCTTCGTCATTTTATAAAGCTCGAATAGCAGTTAAATTCGAAATTTTATTGCCAAATCTACTTATTTGGCATTTTTTATTGTTTGATACAACACGAGATCTTGAACGAAGCCATAGTTTACATAGTTTACATTCCAAATCTTAGGGAAATTCGATATATAACAAATAATTGCCAACTAATGTTGAATTCAGAGCATTTTCAGTAACTCATAAATCAGAAGGTCGGAAGCACTTTTGTAAATAGCTCAAGATCAAGGTGGCTCACTTTTTAGGTTTTACTATCTTTCGCTGAAACATTCCATGGAGCTTTTGGACCAAGACCCTCTGCTTCCGAAAAAGTCCACAGACTTGGAGTTGGGATCTACAGAAGAATCTGTACGTTATGGGTCTGTCTCTTCGATCCGAACTGCAGAACTGGCGGAGCTGAATCTTGGTTTCGACCATCACGAAGTCCCTCAGGGTCGCCATCTAGGTATTTTCTCCACTATCGTGCTTTTCGTATCGAGAATCGTCGGCTCTGGCATTTTCGCTACCCCCAGTAGCATCTTTGTAGGATGTGGTGGGAGTTCCGTCCTGTTTTTTGGCGTATGGTGTTTCGCAGCACTAATGGCTTTTGCAGGGTTGTACTTATTTCTGGAGTTTGGATCTCTCATTCCAAGATCTGGCGGACGGAAAAATTTCCTAGAGGCAGTTTACACTAAACCTGATAAAATGATGAGTGTAACCTTCACCACATTCACCGTTCTCATGGGCATGGCGGTGTCGAATGCCATAGTTTTCGGGAAATACGTTCTTTATGGACTGGGTTACGACGAGAATTTCGTGAATCAAAATTCCAAGGCCTGCAACTACATCGGGGCGGCATTGGTGATAGCTATTGCCGGTGTTCATGGAACTTCTGTTAAAGGCGGTGTCTACATTCAAAACTTACTGGGCGCGCTGAAATTGTTTTTTAGTCTAGTGATAAGTTGCACAGGGGTTTATGCGATGTGCTTCTTCAGGCGTAACGACAACGAAGCTCAAATTTTATCCGGTTCGTGGCAAGCTGCATTTCAAACTCATGACCAGGTAACAGTCTCATCAATCACAACAGCATTTATTCAAGCTTTTTTCTGTTTTGCCGGGTGGGATAACGTACATTCGGTTGCATCGGAGATCAAAAACCCTGTCAGAACTCTAAAAATAGCAGGTCCATTGTCGTTAGGCATCTCTTTACTATGCTATTTGTCCTTAAATGTGGCTTACTTGAGAGTGTTTACTTACGACGAATTTAAAGCGGCAGGTCCGCTAGCTGGATCTATTCTCTTCACTAGGTTGCTTGGCCCAAATTTGGGTCGTAAACTTATCACATTTGGCATCGCTCTATCAGCGGGTTCGAATTTGTTTGTGGTTGTTTACTCAGTTTCAAGAATGAATCAGGAATGTTTTAGGGAAGGATTCCTGCCATTTAGCAGGTTCATGGCCAGTAATAAGCCCTGGGGGGCGCCCCTCCCTTCTTTAACTCTCTGTGCATTTATAACCAGTCTGTGGCTGGTCCTTCTACCTTCCTCGGGCGGTGCATACAGCTACTTGGTTGCAATGGAAGGTTATGCGAATCAAATTATAATTTTGCTTGTCGCGGTTGGCTTATTCATTTACAGACGTAAAAATTCTGATAAAAAGGCGGAAATACGAGCCTCCTCGGCTGGAGTAGTCGCGCTCATCATTCTTTCGACTTATCTGTTGATCGGACCCTTCATTGGAAGTCAGAACGAAGCAGCCGTGCGCCATTTGCCCCCATATCCCGTCACAGCATTGTTATTAATCTGCTCCTGTTTGTCGTTTTGGTTTGTCAAGTTTGTTGTTCTACCCAAACTATTGGGATACAGTCTGAAACGTGAGGTAGACATTTTAGATGACGGATTGGTAATGATGAGCTGGCACAAGGTATTTTAGTTCTATTCAAGAGCTTGAGATCATGTTTCCAGTTGTGAAAGCAGTACTTGTTTTGATTACATATTTATAGATTGATTTGAAAGGTTAGGTTTGATGTTGTATTAGATCATTTAGAGTTCAGCTTTTTAACGAAAGATTCTTTGGCAAGTTGAACAAGAGATTCCAATTCACCACTGTCTTCGCACATGCTGTAGAAAATGCTGTTTTTGTTCAGCAGGAGTGAGTATGGATGGTCATATTCTTTGACTTCCCCTGCGTCCATTACCAAAATTTTATCGTAATCAATAATGGACCGGAGTCTGTGAGCGATTGTTAAAATCGTGCTATTCGCGAATTCCTCCCTTATGGTCTGTTGAATTTTCGCATCTGAGCTATAATCAATCGAGGCAGTAGCTTCATCCAATAACATCACTTTTGGAGAGCGGAGTAAGGACCGAGCGAGACAAACTAGTTGTCTTTGACCTTGTGACAAGTTCCCGCCACCTTCGGTGATTTCATTATCCAAATACAAGAACTTATTCACGTTTTCAGACACGGTGGAGGAAGTTTCAGAATTTTGGCTTCCTGCATTATCTAATTCTTCTTGCGTTACGAGATTCACACGCTTCAACGCTTCAAAAATTTGCTTATCAGTATACTCGTCGTAAGGATCTAAATTGGATTTGACAGTTCCAGTAAACAGAGTAGGGTCCTGAGGAATGATTGTAATTGATTGACGTAATCTTTTTAGCTCAATAGTTGTAATGTCAACGTTGTCTATTTTTATGTGCCCACTTTCCGGATCCAAAAAGCGGAAAAGGGCAGTAATAATCGTTGATTTTCCTGCACCAGTTCTACCTACAATACCAACCTTGCAATTGGGATCAACAGTGAAAGAAACGTTCTTGATAACCTTTGGTAGTTTCGGCGCATAACGTAAAGAGAGGTCATTGACCTCAATTTTACCTTGGCTTGGCCATTCTGGTGGAGGGTTGTGAGTACCTTGAAAATGCGGTTCTTGCTCGACGTCCATGTATTCTTTCAACCTTTCCACAGAGTTCATCGTCATTTCCGCAGTTGAGTACAGTCTCACCAACCATAGGGCTCCTTCAGTAAATGAGATAGCGTATGTCAATGAAATACCGGCTAAACCAGAATCTATCGACTTGATATTGAGGAGAACAAAAATGCCTGCAGCAAAAATGACTAGTGCTCCAATCATATCGATTCTAAACGCCAACCAGCGGTTAGCAACCCATAAGTAGAAGAATGGTTTGTTGTTTTCGTCAATTTTTTGTAGGTTAGCCTCCATAAAACGGCGCTCATCTCCAAAAGCACGAATTGTCGTAATGCCTACAAGGGTTTCCGAGAAGTGTTGATGGATGGGCGAACGACTATTAGATTCGTATCTCTTTAGCTCTCTAGACCCGACCATGTAGAAGTAGCCGACAAAATAGTACAGCAAGCCTACAACTAGGGCTACAAAAAAGAAGCCCGGTGTAATGTAAGCAATCAGTAGGACAGTTGATACGCACTGGACAAGGGAAATAAAAGCTCCTTCCACGAATGGGGTCAATTCTTGATCAACAGCTTCAATGTCTCTTGAAAATCTATTCATTATTCTGCCAATAGGAGTAGAATCAAAAAACCTCAGTCTAGCATAGAGCACTTTTTTCAAAACAAGGTTGAAGATCTTCCTGGAAGCATTTAAGCCAGCCATAAAATTGATAATGGTTTTGGTTGCAGATATCATAGCGTGAGCAGCACCAATAAAGAAATAAATGAGAAGGTAGTAAACAGTTGAGTGCTTCGTTGTCTTCTGTATAGTCATTGATTGTTCAGCTGAAGTAATGGGAAGCACAGTAAATTGCATTTCCTGTCCGCTTAAAGGTAAAAAGGCGTTAACAGTACTTTGAGGCAACACTTTCGTGGCGAGTTTCCTTATGGCGTCATAAGTGTTGTGAGCGGCCCAGTAACGAACCCACCAAGATTGTGAAATGTAGACACTCTGTGCTAAAACAAAGATTATTGCCAGAAAAATGACCATTCTCCACCCGCCAAACAATTTAGCATACCATTTGTAGACTTCAGAACTGACAACACCTTCGGATTTAGACTCCTCCTCTATGAGTTTGCCTAGTTTGATCTTGTCCTCTTCTGTTTGAGTAGGCTTTAGGGGCGGGGTGCTCTCCTCTTCGATCTTTTTGTTCAACTTGCTTAAATCGATACCACTTTTAGCAGTTTTACGGTTCAAACTAGTAGATGATGCACCTCTCGAGAGAATGCTAGCTTTCACCAATTCGTCCTGTCCTAAAAGTCCCTTGTTAAATAGCTCAAGTGGTTGACCCTGATCTTTGATTTTACCGTTCTCCATGAAAACAACCCATTCGGCATTCTTTAAGGTCAGAGCAACATTGTGAGACACTAAAATACAAGTTCTTCCTTCCATCAGTGGTCCACTAATGCAGTTTTCATATATCCACAAAGCGGTGTGCGAGTCGACAGCGCTGAGACAGTCATCAAGCAAAAGATGTCTGGAGGAAGAGTAAAGAGCCCTCGCCAGAGATACTCTCTGCTTTTGGCCACCAGACAATGTGATACCTTTCTCACCTATTTCCGTTTGGTCACCAGCTGTCAAAATTTCAAAATCACGCTTTAAGCCACAAGCTTCAATAACGGCGTTATATCTGGCTTCATTGAAAGGGCTACTGAAAAGAATGTTATTCCTCACCGTGTCATTGAGAAGCCAAGCTGCTTGAGAGCAATAGGCAATGGAGTTAGTCATACCATCGCTTTCAATAATCAAATCTTCTCTTGCGTCGAGACAAGGTGCATACACTTTACCATCCAATAAGTCCATCTCTCCAAGTAAACCCATAAGTAAGGATGTTTTACCAGATCCAGTAGGACCAATGACAACGTTAAGCTTACCTATCTTAAATTCGACATTCAAAGTCTTCAACTTAAAGTCTGGATTCTTTCTATCCCATGAGAATGTTGCGTTCTCAAATCCGATCTTATCGGAATTGATAGTAATTTGTTCATATTTCTCTGTCTCATCTTCATTCAAAAAGTCTTGGACTCTGTCAAGAGAAACCTTTGACTGAATAACGAAACTCAACATGTCTGACAACTGATCCAAGGGGTTCCTCAATAGAGTGAACAAAGACAGAGATGTGAAAGCGATAGGAGTTGTTAGAACCTTACCTTGGACATAAATATACGTCGCAAAAGTTACCGAAGTCACTAAGGCAGGGGTAATAAACCAAACAAAGCCACCAAGCGCCCATACGATCGATCTCTTAAGTAAAACTTTCAATTCTTGATCTCTCACGTCTTGAATGTCTTTTTCAAAATTCTCTTCCCACGAGAAAAACTTGATGACACGAATTGCCTGGAAGGTTTCATTTAACTTCTGGATTCTTTTGTCTGTAATGAGCAAAGTTTCTTTCTGTAATTTACCAATCAACGTAGTAATTTTGAAATTGATGGGAAGTAGCAGCACTATTAGCGCGGCACCCACAAGAGCAGACCAACCTAACAAGTTGTACAGAAGTGCCAAGGCCACAACAGTCATAACAGAGGCCTCAACAAAGCCGTGTAAGTAAGCACAGATTTCTGAGACTTTGAATGCATCAACAGCCATCAAATTGATAATAGCCCCCAAGTTGGCAGTGGTGGATTCTTCATCTCCATCCACTTGCTCTTTTGCGTTTAAAGCTTGTGGATCGATCTCATCTGTGGACGTTTTAGAAGAATTTGAAGATATCTTTCTCCTCAACGCTTTCGTATAGATCTCGGATATGATAATGGCCTTCATTCTAATACAAACTCTTCTCCCAAAGAAAAGAGCTTGTGATTGACAAATTGCAACGAGAATTCTACAGGTGAACATGGCACAAACGTAGAACCAGGCAAGATTTCTAGGGGCAGTAGATTGATCGTCAACGTATTCTAGGATACGTTTGAGCAACAATGTTGGAATAAAATTGATCACACTTTCCAAACAGGCCCAAAATCCTTGCAGCGCCAAGTACTTGGAAAAAAACCAGATCAAATTGTAGGTAAAAGTATTCGATTCATTTTTGATGGAAGCTTTGAATTTTTTTAGGACAAACAGTGAGTAATCTTCTAACATAAGTCCCCAGATGTCGGTTATTTTAACAGACTCTTTGTGCGCTTGCCAAACAAATTTATTTATCCACGACCAAGAAATGAAGCTCATAATGGAGGTGACTGGTTCGGGAGATGGCGTGATTTGGGAGTCAGTCTTGTACAGGTAGCTGTAGTTGTTACCGATATTCGCGGTGAATAACAGCATGAACAAGAAAAGGTTCAGGTAAAATTGGGACAAAGTGTATTTTTGCACTATGGGGTCTGTGATGTGGCCAATGTAATAAGATCTGAATGGGAAGATCTGCGCAGTGAAAAGCACCATGTAGGAAACAAATGATCCGGTCCATAGATTTCCCGGGTATTTTTGGATCCATTGAATTTGCTGGTTGATGTTGGCGAGCCTCATGGAGACCACAGCCAAAAGCCAGACCCACAGCAGCGTCGCTACTACGGAAGCTTTTACTGGGAACTCACTATTGCTGCCGGCAAGCTTGACCACCACGAAAACGTGGATGGCAAGTTGCGCTAGTACGGCTAGAAATTCGAGCACCACGCGCGTCTTTTCGACGAACCCACGCTTCACGACCTCCACAACCCCGTGTGGCATTCCTTGCGCGTCGATCAGCCGTATTCTCTCTATCGAGAAGTGGTCCTCTTTGAGGGACGTTCCAGATCGCGTTGTACGGGTACCTTCATCGCCCGTCTCCGTGTACACGGCGCCTGAGTGGCCAGAAAGTAGCGGTTTGTTTTCGTCATCCGACTCTACCACTAGGTCCTTCGCGTAATCCTGCTTGCGGCTGTGCTGCGTCGCATGTTGCACCACTTTATAGCCGGTAAATGCCACGAACCCCACGAGCACTATTAACGGCAGGTAGAATCCCACATACCAAACTCGCCCGCACGGCGTGATATCGTCATATATCCAGAAGTGGCATCGTTCATGAGAGCTGCTGTTCCTTTCCATGGCTATGAACACTCTCAAAACTCTGTTCTTCCGCCTTCTTTCTTACGAGTTGATAATTTATAAGTCTTGTAGCAGAACTTTCAGGTGCCCTTTTTATCAATATATATATACCTTGAAGGGTGAAGAATAATAGTGATGAAATATTGAAAAAGTTAGTCACCCGTGACGGAAATTTGAACTTGAGCCGCGCGTATACAAGGAGAACAGCGATGAGATCGGCCGAGCAGGATGAAAAGAGCGTAAAGATCGTCGAAGCTGGACTGGAAAACAAATGCATGGATTACGGTAGAGAGGAGAAATTTTGGAGACTATTTCAGGCTGAAATCTGGCGTGTTTTGGCGCTAGGAAAGGATAAACAGCAGTGGGACGCGCTAAAGAAGAAAATGGCAAGTGAGGGTCAGTATCGGGTCTTGAAGGTCATGCAAGCAGTGGAGCCGCAAATGGCAGACGTGGGATTTGGAATGCGGTACTTCTGGCTTACTTCGGTTGTTAACGGACGCAAATATCCGCCTCTCGCACCCGAAATGGGTGGTAGTGCGCGCTGGAACCAGCGCGTTCTATCAGAACAGTACAGGGCGCCGTTGGAAATACACAGCGCACACGAGGCGCCTTGCAACGACATCGTCCAGAATCCGGCCATCAATGACTGCTCATTCGTAGCCAGTCTTATAAACATCAAAAACAAGGTGCCAGCGAGTCTGAGGATCATGAGCCCTATGCCTTCGCTCTACAATCTCAATTTGCATTTTAACGGAGCTTCAAACCGGCTTGTTCAAGTCGATCTAGCTGAACTGCGAAATCGCCCCAGCGTCATCTCAAATGACCCCCTGGATGCGATTTTCGAAAACGCCTATTTACAGGTGAAGAACGATTCTAGCTTCAATTACTGCGGCTCCAATACCGCGGTAGATACGTTTTTACTTAATGGATTCATTCCTGAAATCTGCAAGAGCGACAAGAGTACCTTTTCCAAGATTTGTAAGCTGTTTCGAAGCTCGGCATGTCTCATTTCAATTGGAACCGGAGCGTCAGTCACAGATCCCCAATTTCTGATAAACCATGACTATCCAGTGATGGATCTCACCGAAGATAATCTCTTGGTCATTAGGGATCCACTGAATTCCCAGAAAGTGTGGAATTTACAAGAACGTGCTTTCTTTGAAAACTTTCAGGTAGCTTATCTCAATTGGAACCCGGCTTTATTGTTTGCCAAACACCAGGTGCAGCATTTCAAATACGATATTACTAAAAGCAACACCTCTTCAAGTCCCATTGACAAACCTGTTTTCGAAATTCAGAATAACTCGGACAAGCCTGAGCCCGCTTGGATTCTTTTAGAAAGACACATAAACACTTCTGCCATAGAAAGCGACAAGTGCTACGTGGACGAAACCTCGTATGATCTTTTACCTGGGTACAGTGGCAATGGCAGTAATATGGGATTTCATTTGCTAAAATTGAATTTGCAACCTCAGGAGCATAAACTCGTGGTCTGCCACTCTGACATATCTGCAAACTACAGTCTTCACTTTCATCATGTTTCCAATCTAATACAGGTCCATAAGTTCGACAAATGCAAGGTTTTGGTATCAGTTCAAGACGAATGGAATGCGACAGATGACTGTGGCCCGTTTTCTAATTCATGTTATTATATGAACCCAACGTTTGAGCTCATTGTGCGTAGCACCGAACAAACGACGCATTATGTCAACATACAACTGATTAGTTCAGGATGTGCCTTGGTCAACGCACAAGTGTTTTATTTGGATGACCGTGAACTCGCGCGTCCAATTTTATTTGACAGTCGTTATGAAGAGAAAATTCATTGCCGAAGGGCCATACCCCTGGCTACTAATACTAGCTACCAAATTGTATGCTCTTCGTATAAAAAGGACAACAATAGCACATTCCAACTAACTGTCATCAATTCATCGCGGCCCCAAGCTTTACACTTAAAACGCATCTACCCACAATTTGGCCCATACAAATATCGCGAAAGGCGCGACTTCAAATGGAGCCCCAATTCAAACCGCAAAAAGTTTACTCTGTCATCCAACTTTACAACAGCATTTCAATTGCGTATCCTTCGACTTCAGTTCAGTCCTGCACTTTCTATCAGAGTTAACGTTTTCACAACTGACACCAAACAATCAGTGGTAGAGAATAAGTGTTTTTCAACAGCCCCAAGACATGGACTTGTTATAAGTGACGCTTTTATCAGCTCTCGTCAGTCACTCACCCTGCTAATCGAAAAAGACGGGCCATCACAAATGCTTGATGAGACGCTGATGCGATTGGAAGTAGGATCGGAATTTCAAATCGCTATTGACGAATTGTAGATTTGTTTGTTTGTTCGTTGTGTCAAAATCTTACCGATGAGATCAAAGTGTTCTTAAAGCTGGCTCAGAGGCCTTGCCTGACAAAAGAGCGATATCAGTGTTCGAAGCTCTTTAAGCTTGCTTGAAGGTTGCTGAAATGTCTTTCCGAGTCTCAAAGTTTGAGTCATGTCCCATTGAAGGGAGCGAAGATCATAATATGAGTGCAATTGATATTGTCCCCGAAGATGAAAAGGAAGAAGTTAATGAGTCCCGCTGGCGTCGACTTGTGTCTTTGCTCACCAGCTCGCCTTTTGACCTTTTCTTAATGATAAATGAGCACTTTGAAAGTGTTGATTGGGACTCGAAAGCTACATCCGTGGCTAGACCTACAGGTAACGTTCTCACGATGGCCTTGTATGTTACTAGGCTTTGCCAAGACAATCTGATCAAGCCGAATGTACACAATATCGGCAAAAAGCACGATGCTTTTGATCTGTCAAAGTCAAAAGCTCTTAAGGATTTTGAATTTTGGTCTCAAATTCCAAAAGCTGGTATAGCCATTACCCATTTGGACTGGTACTGGGAGCTTTTACGAGTTCTGAAAATATTTCTGCGGGCGTCACTAATAGGGCTTGTTATAATGAATCTGTTTGTTACCTACAAATTTTTGTTGGGACGATATCAAACTTACTCTTTATTTTACTGTAAATCCAGGCCACGTTCGAAGAACGTTATCAAACGGTCTCTTAGCGATTTGAGCATTCGTTATATGGAAGATGTTTCAAGAAGCTCACTTTGGGCTATGATCACATTTATTTTCTTGCGAAAGAGAGCTAACACAGAAAGACAATTCCAAGGGAAAACATATTACCAGCTGCAAAAGTGGACACCAGGTAAATTTTATGCCGCATTATTCAGCACCTTTTCACCAATTTGCTTTATTTTCCTCATGGCAACAGATGTCACTTTCAAGACTGCTATTCCAGTCTTAATTCATCAGTATCTCTCATTCTTGGTTATTTTCGAACGATATGAGAGCAGATTAGATGATGAAGCTTGTCTCTCCATGGCCAATCAAGCAGAAATTCATGAAAAGGTAATAAAACCGAAAACTGCTATTAGGACACAGGATGCTATGGTAGATGCTACACAACACGGCGGCAGGTCTGCTGTATTTTTCCCTTCATTCACTACCACTAGATCTCACATTTTCCAGACACACACACTAACTGGTGATGTTGTCACCGAGCGGTACAATCCAGCTACCGAATTCTTTGAAGACGTAGAGAACTCAGGTTTCACCAAAAACTATGTGAATCATGATTCTAATTACATGCTCGGCGGTACACCCAGAGACAAGGCAATAAATGGCGCGTCCATACGCCCAATGTTTTGGAGCCGACAGCCAAGTCCTAATAAAATTGGTACCCCGCCCAAATTTATGCCCAACGGTGCTTCTCCTTCGTCGGCTCCATTAACACCCAATCTGAAACCTTTGTATGGGACTCATAATGATGTTTCTATAATTAATACATCAGGCCTTATGAACAGAGGAGATTCCGCCAATCGGGATATTCAGTTGCCGCGAAATAATAACTACTCCCGGCTCAGAAGGAACTCGGCGAGTCCCATCAAGTCTGTGGGATATATGGGTACTACAGGTATGCGTAACTCCCGAAAACCCTTAGTAGGAGGAGATAGCTCTATTTCTTTTAGCATGGAAGTTCCTAATGTAGATATACCATTTGAGGAAGTGGCGCAACGTGGGCGGCGTACATATCACGAGGGTAATTTGTCTAGGGATGTACCCGCGAGCCGCTCTTCTGCTTTATCATCTCGACACAGCAGTGTCAGCCCTTTTAAAGGCAGTAACCTTTCTTACAGAAGAGATTCGGGTGATTCAAGACCCCCATTTCGTTGAATGTTTTACAGCTTGTGTAAGAATCAAGGCACAAGTACCCGGAGGATAAATAAAATTAATGCATACAATGTTCACTTTCTTATGGCTTAAAAGATTTATTTTTTGATTAGCGGTAAAATTACAAGTCGTTCCAACCGAAGAGCCAGTTATTGACCTTTCCCATGACTCCGTTGGGGCGTTGGCTGTCGTCTTGATGATCTTGCATCTTAGACTCTATATTTTTCAGGAAGTTTGGACCGTTTGCGGTGCGCGGTCCATTGTTCACAAACAATGCCTTGCCATCTCTCATATCTATACGTTGTGTTTTCAAATAGAATTCGCTGTTCTTGTCTAAATTATGCAATTCCGTGCGTGGTTCGCAAATTGTGCTCATGCCACCGAGTCCAATATTAGACCCTGTGTTTGTTGGTAGGTTGAAACCACCGACGTCATCATTCTTTTCAATGGTGCATGAAGCCAATTGCTCAACGGCACTTTTGTTGTATGGAACGCAGCCGATCAAACACCCTCCGTAAACTACCCCATTCTCCTGTAGAGCACGCAGCGCAGATGATGGAGAATCGTATGTGAGTTTTATCCAGCCATCACCTGTGAAGATTGGATACTTGCGATGAACGCCATTTGCCCGTTTGTTGCGGAGCCTCAAAGTGGCCGCATTAATACCCGATGCACCTCTGAGTGCTTCAAAATCCTCTAGAATATTTCCAAACTTTGAAAACTGAATGATAATCTGATTTGAGATAGATTCGGGATATCCAAACACAATAACAGCACTCTCGCTCCGTTGTGACAAAGATGGGCCAGTCATACCATTCTGTGAACTGCTGGAATCTTGAGATAATGTATCAAATTTTGAATCCTTGTCGAAAACATTACGAAGCATTGAGGCATCTGCTACCTTAGAGGATCCAAATGGCGTATCTGGTAAGTGCGCATCGTGTCGCTGAGTTGGCACCATGGAACCAAATTCATCCTCTCTCTGCCAGTCAAATATGGACTTAGTTGGAGGAGTTTCATTAGAATCTATGAGAATTGCATTTGGCAAAGAGTCTTTGGATTCGTGTGTTTTCTTGGTCGGGTTGAAACTGTTAGGGGATTTCCTGGTTCCAAAGGTCATGGCTCCAAATCCATTTCCGTTGGTTGCAGAAGTTGTACCAGAGTTTCCGCTGCCGTTAGAATTGTCGGAAGGTCCGGCTTTTGCCGAACGCTTGACGATAGATTGGGGGATAGTCCGCTTTCTTGGGTTGTTGAACCACGAAGTCTTAGAATTGTCAGAATTTTGCTCGTAAGCCTGCCCCGCACTTCCAGAACCTACTAAAGTAGGTGCATGAACTTGCTGCTGGTGTGGAAATGCTGAATTCGATTGTTGTTGTTGCAATTGTTGCTGTGGAAGGTTCACCATCAAATTCGAGAACCTACCCTCAGAATTCGTGTTTGAGCTTCCAAAAATTGAAGACATTGTTGCAGATATAGACTCACACGATAGTTCGGTTCTCAAGACAGCTCGTTGACCTTTCCAAGCGCTGAAGGATCGATGTTCTAAAAATTTTACGTTTTCGTGATGATTCAATCAACAAAATTAATTACAATTTGGTTATTCGATAAAATAGTGAACTTCCAGAAAAATGAAACGGAAGAAAGACGTCAAGTCTTCAACTCAGGAAGAGTAAGACTCCAACTTTCTATGAGCTTCTGAAGTTCAGCTTTTTGACCTTTATGCTGACCAACGCACTTTGTCCGCTGTGCATTTTTAAAAAGAATGTTTCCCTGACAGTCCATTGACCAGCACATAACACATCTCGAGGTGTAGATATAGATAGCAATCTAGTTTCTTGTCCCATCAAATCGAACATATGGCATTGATGCTCCGCCAGCATTATCTCTCCAGAACTAAAACCGTTCATTTACCAATTTTTCGAGTTAAATTAGATTTCCTATACCTTCTTCATTCACAGCAGACTGCACTCTAAAAGCGCTTCAAAATACTACTGTTGAGAGCAAAATTTGTAACGAGTCCCTCTCGAATTAGAGTAGCCCAATTTACCATTTATTTATGGCATTAACGCCTCACTCTTTCAATAGCCTCGGTAAGTCCTTGGTTTATATCTCGGCTGATATGATGATCTATGTGAGTGAGCGGTTCTCGCTGATGGCTGGTATTGTGATGCTGGTCTTCGGTGGACGGCTACTAATTCTTCTCCACGATCTTTGAACCGCCGTTTTAATGTCTCTAGTTCTTGTCGTATTATAACGTATCCTAGGTGGATTTTTCCAATGAAGTGGTCTGCAAGTCTCCGGTCCGTGTCTAGCCTTGACAAGTATGCCCCACAAATTTCACACACCTGAAGCTTCTGTTGGGCGCTTTGTCCCACGTTCTCTGCTATTTCTCGTACTTTTTTGGCCACCTCTTGACGATGTCTTTGCAGCTGCTGGAGTTTAACTGACTGCATCATAGCCTTCTTAACTTCATTATTTTTAAGTAGCACTTGAATCTCCTGCAACATCAGCCCAACTTGCGAGTCCAAAACTTCCAGCTCTCCGGTGATTCTCTGAACCTTTTCGCGCTCTTCCGATGTGTGTTCGAGGTTCTTCAATGCAACGGCTACTTGACCGTTGCAGTCATTTACAAACTTTGACAAGATTGAATAATATTCGCGGTCGAAGTCTACGAAATCTTTGCCATTCTTAACCTCTCGCTCATATTGCATCTTGTACTTAGCTAAATGTATCTTTGGACATTTGCCGAGACTCTGCTTAGTGCCTTTAAACAGATCATACAAACATTCTCCGACCAAGAACGACTTGCATATTCTGGGGTCTTCTAACTTCATTTCTCCTCTATAGGAACTATGACGGGAAGACAGGGACCCTTTGCCCATCAACTGCTCGATAATCTTCTTCTGCTCGGCAGCCGGTGTCGTCATTGTTATAAGGCCCTTTATAAGCAGTTTATTTGCCAGAATAAAATAGAGTTGGTTATTTTGACGTTTGATAAATTATAGATGAGATCTTGGCTTAACCTGGGAATTCGAAAATGTATATTGAATAAAGTTCAAAAGTAAAGAAGTTTGGAATGAATTGAAGTAAGTAAGAAGTTTGCGGATACTGGGGCTAATGTCACCTGTTCCTTGCAGCAGTGACTCTCAGTGTTTGCTCTCTTAAGTTGAAGACACGGTATCTTTCGAGGTAAAACGTAATAAGCGCTTGTTGACGAACACTATATTCCCGAGACGCTGTTCAAATATTCGAAACTGATGGCTTACATTGCGTCAGTTTAGTGTATCTTCCTTTCTAGGAGCTTCGTTGGCCCATCAGGTCATAAAGATATAATGGCCTGTGCTTATGTAAAAAATCACTATAATCCTAACTACATGCTGAGGAACTATCATTAGCATATCCCATAAATGCCGTGCTTAATACCTGCCCAACTGTATCTGGGATCGGCGGTAAACCTGTGAATCGAGTATATTGACTGCGTTTGACTTAAACATCTTACATCTTTCATGTGACGTTAGGAAATCTCTGGGCCTCTCTCAACTTAATTAAAAGGTGAAAGGAACGCTCTCTAGATTCAGCGCGAGCATAAGCTACTCAATGTCTCCCGCTGTGGACTTATGGCTTAAGTCGGGTTCTTTCGCCCTGCGAAGTTTCTGTCTTATTCATATCATTCACTCACAGTTTTACGAATTCACTGAAACGCGCGGCGAATCGATGTTACCAACACTAGCTGCCGATAATGACTATGTACATGCACTCAAAACATATAGAGATGGAAAGGGGTGTCAGATTGGCGATTGCATAGTTGCTGTGAAACCCACAGATCCATATCAGAGGGTCTGCAAAAGAATTACGGGAATGCCTGGTGATGTTATCCTGGTAGACCCGAGTGCAAAGAAAGGTTCGAGTCTCGATGGATCGGCGTTTGATTCATTTATAAGGGTACCTCCAGGTCATGTTTGGGTAACGGGTGACAACTTGTCACACTCGTTGGACTCTCGCACTTACAACTCGCTTCCCATGGGTCTCATAAAGGGTAAAATAGTGGCTGCCAATGATTTCAATAAACCAATTTGGCGTAATGGTGTACTTTTAGGTTTTAGAACAATCGATAATACGTACGTCGATGAAGGTTAATATGCCGAGATGTTCACAAGTGTGTTCACCGCTGTATACAGAATACAAATTTCATTTGGTTAAGGAGATCAATAGCTTCGCACCAGATAGGATACCTCCTAGAGAAGCGTAAAAAGCATGCTCCAAAGTCTCAAAAATGCTAGCACCCAAATAGTAGCGAATGAATACGTACTCCATACCACATACGCTCCCAATAAACGCTAATAAGTAGAGCGACTTCGTGTTACAGCTTAAGCTCACAGATGAAAAGACACCAAGTGCTACCCAAGCTACCAATAGCAAAAAGAAACACGCTATGATAATTAGGCTAGTGGATTGGGCAACCCAGGCAGGAACAGTCTTCGAGGCACCTCTGAAAATGTGCTTTATCTCAGGCATAGCTTCGAGCCTTGGAGATTTTGACAATCTTCTGTCTACATCAAAAACTAGGGACAGATCAAAAAGCTCGACAAACAAATTATCGGAAACAGCACCTTCACTGGCCAAAATTAGAGACGCAGTCAATAAATCTCTAGATTCCACAGCAAGCAATAATAATGGCTCAGGAAGTTGGTCAATTGGGATCGTGAATTTGTAGGTGGAAACGCCCTCTTTCGTTTTTATTATAGGCTCGAAGTGGGTCTCTAGCCCTTCAGAAATAGATCCCAATAATAACACTGCCTGTTGAGGTGTTTCATCTGAATTAATTGAGAAATTAAGCTCGAGTGTTTCGTTTGCATTATCAATTGACATTGGCTTGGTCAATTTCTTGTAATTGTTGGTTATAGGACTCAAAGCCAAAGGGCTTCTTTTGGATGAAGTAAACGCGACATGAGGCTGCTTTACGGTCAATCCTAATGCACCTGTGACTCCCAAAAGTGCAGTCAGAGCAATTTTACCGAACAACATTTAGAGTGGTGGCGGACTAAATTCAAAGTACGAGCTGAGTTTCAGTAACCTAGGTAGGTCTATTGAATCTCTTTACTCTCATTTTTCATGCTTTGGAACGGTGTTCAAACACGATTTCCAAAAATCTTCACGTGAGACGGCGACACAATAATATCTTAGCAACAGGATCTCAAATACCAACAACACTTACATGGTCATCGGTATTCCTAAGCTTTTGACTGGAATATCTGCTCCAGAAATTAAAATTGGTTCCGGGGGTCCTAAGTCTTGTCTCTTGTAATAGTTGGAAAACTTTGAAACCAAGGTGGTATTTCTACCTCCACCGGTGGACTCCGCAAAACCAACCGATGGTGGAATTTGATCAGCAACCGACCTTAGCGACTTATTAGTATAGACCGTTGAGGAACCATACACAAACTGGGCCAATCTAAAGAATATGTTGCTGAAAAAGCCACAAACGACCACGCCGCTAGCGAAAAACATAGACATGCCCATCAGAGGGAGGATGAGCACTGACGCCACGGCACTCACCGATAGGAAAATACCTAGGTAAAACAGAGACATTAGTAGGGAGAAAATCGACATGATAGTGATGAATACAATCAGAACAGGTGCGAATGTAGCGGAGAAGGAAAAAATGAAAAGAGCGCTGTAGGGGTGGGCTTGCGAGTATTTAAAAGTTCTCGATACTAGAAGTCTCAATCTTTGCTTTTTTGTGCGCTTGTAGTTCTTGTTTGTTTCTAAACTCTGTTCTTCTCCAGCCTTAATTATCAATTCACTGTGACGGGAAACATGTGTCAGTGCACAGAAACACAAAAACAAGGAGATCTAGTGAAGTGGCCCCCATTATCATATTTCTTGTGAGCCAGGCACATTGTGTTTCACATTTGGTTAGTATTTGGTATTTGGAAAGGAAATTTGCATCCGGAACATACTATAGCTTTTCGGTCCAAGCACTTGCTTGAAGACCTATGTTAACGACACCGGTCCAAAAACCGGTGTAGAATTTAGCATGTACGGTTTGTATCCTAGCTTGTGCATCCAAGACTAGTTCTGACCATGAAAGAGAATCATTACTTTCATCAGAAATTTCCCAATCAAAGCTGTTATTTGCAGTTTTGGCCACTAGGACGCTTGCAGCCCTGGAATTGGGCGTCGGTACCAAGCTGAACGCAGGGTCTACTTGCTCGCACAGAAGCTCATCAAGCACATCATAGTGGCGAAATTCGTCACTCACACTGCAAGAATTTTGGTCATTGTCGGAAGGAGAGCCTCCACCCAAGTCCGTTTCACTAGCCGCCGACCGTATTGTTTCCACAAAAAAATCGCCGTTTTCAAGGTAAGTGGTTGGCCAGTTCTCAATTGCGTCAGTCCTTAGCAGAAACTCTTCGTAGGTTGCTCTTGGGGTTGTAGGCTCTTGTGCCACTCTGCGATTGCCATTATCATTTTCGTTTGTGGATTTTCTTGTTAAGACGCGGCTTTTGGGCTGTTCGCGTTGTTTGATCGCATCTTTGGTCTTTTTGCGATGTTTGGGCCTGCTTTTGGGACCTTTTGACATGTTAAATACTTAAAAGGCGTTATTTGTGATTTTGTTGTGTAGAGATGTGTTACTTCCTGAAACAGATCTTAATTATTCAACGGTGTCAGAAGTACTAAGAAAACAAAATAATTCACAATTGATCATAGAAATATCTAGCCTTTAGATACAGGTTTGGGGCTATAGCTATTCTTGTTTGCGATATGGCACTGTAAATTGTAATTAAAGTGTTATGGATGTTACTAGCTTATGACTCGTAGGATTGGCAATCAATTATCATTACAAATGGCGCTTATAATTTTGAAAACGTCGGGAACTTGCGCAATCGGTACCAAAAACCATTCTTTATGTCGTTTAGGCTCCCCTTGCTCGTTTTTGCATCCATGGCAGTATATCAAACCTTGTCCAAATCTTTTCCACAAGTATCGATGGATTCCAGATTCTATGTCTTCTAATGACCGACCGTTGGCAACATAGAATCCGCCGTCACGAAACCCATGGAATGGCATAGCGTTCCTAACATCAGTTGTGGCGATAGGCTTTGCCTTTCTCGAAATCGAGAGCTTTTGGAAAAGTCGTGCCAACGAGGAATCCCGCTTTGCTGGACCCGCCGACTGAGATCGGCACAGTTCTTTGACTTTGGCTGGATCTAGGCCAGTAATCGGATGCTTACAAGAGCTTTCCCACTCCAATAATCTAGCCAGAACTGTGCGCTTTCGCGTCATTCCTACTTTTAACAGAATGTGATCTTGGGCGGTCCACTGCGACAGCGGTAATGACTTGTTCTCCCGCAAGATGGAGTAATCCATATGCAGCCAATTGAGCTGTTTCTGGTTCCTACGAACGATCGACTCGAACAGCTGCGTATAGGTATAGATGTATATAAAACCTGGCAGCTTTGGCGTTGTTGGGGAGAGTTTTGCGACTTTGCAGTCTTGTGATTGCCAAGTGTGCAAGTGGCAGAACCTCTCATTTCCTTTGGCCTGATTCCTGCAGCGGAGCCTCTTTTTAGTAATGCCTAAGACATTGAGCCATGATCGAAGAGTTCCTCCAAATATCAAAGGTTTATGCAGAAGATAAATGTCGTTTATGAAATTTGACCTTGATCTTAACATATTTCTTGCACGAATTAGGAGCTCCAGACTGAGCAATTGAAGTAAACATGCTGATTGAAGAGACTTACAAGGATGTTAAGACTACCTACGGGACTAATCTGAGACTTTACACGTTTTCACCCAAGATTTCGGGGTATCCCAAAGCGAAGTTCCCTGGTGTTTTATGTTTTAGTGAAATCTATCAGGTCACAGGCCCTGTGAGAAGATTTGCCCAGCGGATTGCATCACAAGGCTATGTGGTGGTGGCACCTGCCATTTACCATAACTTTGTGGGCCCAGAGCCACTCGCTTACGATGCAAAGGGCACAGACATGGGTAACGATTTCAAAATTCAAAAACCTTTGGAATCATACGACGAAGATACCAAACTGTCCTGTGACTACTTGAACACTTTACCACAGTTCAACGGCAAGAAGATTGGTGCCACCGGAATGTGTTTAGGAGGACATTTGGCCTTCCGCAGCTTACTCGACAAGAGAGTCAATTGTGCAACGTGTTTCTTCCCAACTGATATCCACTGCAAAAGCCTGGGTCTCGGCCAGAACGATGATTCGTTGCAAAGAATCTCACAGGAGACTTCAAAGGATCAAGAGTTAGTTTTGATTTTTGGCACCCTAGACACACACGTTCCGCCAGAAGGCAGGGACTTGATCCGTAAGGAATTGAGAGATCATGGTGTTAGTTTTACTTTCTTGGAGGTGCATGCCGCCCAACATGCTTTCATCAGGGACGAGTCTAGTAAAGGCCGTTACGATTCTGCCATAACGGATAGCTGTTTGGGATTTTTGTTCGAACAGTTCAACAGAAAACTCGCTCTAGATTTGGGAGAATATGTTCCAGATGGAAAGGAACTTGAACATGTGTGTTGAAATATGCAGCTTAGTTTATTTTCATGATGAATGCGACTATATCAGAATCAAATAATATGAGCGTAGAATAACAGAGAAGGAACAATTTATTTCGCCAAGAAGTCGAGCCTATGGTGGTTGTAGAGCAGAATTTATGTTTATGATCGTGCGACACTCAATCGGATATTAGAGGTGCGTTGAGTCTAAAGCTAAGGGGAATAGATACAAGTGGTAAAACTTGGCTTTGCTCGTGGTAGTTTTCCATGTGCAGCAAATTTATCGACCTTAGCTATTCTAGAGTATGTAGGAGGCTGGTTTGCACAATTTGCGCGCTTCGTTTCCTAATTTTCTTCTGTTGAACATTGAGTCAAAGTGTCAGTACTATATATTTTTTTAGCCAGACATCTAGTGTCAGCCGACAGCTAATCAAACTCAGATATAGGTTATAAATGTTTTTCCGTATTAAACTTAATTATTAGAGCACTTGGCAGACTCTTAGTAGCCTCCAGCGGGCCATTTGGAACATCTTCGCACAGTTGCCTCACTTATAAACAGCGATTATATTCTGAAATTTTTAAAACCCGAGCGCAACGCTAATTCTTAGTTGATTCCTTGATTACATCTCTACTCTTAAATTAGTATCGAAGTATTGAACATTATGACCGGATCACCAACCCGAGGCCGAGTATTCTTAAACAGTAGCATGCATCGATTTTTTAGAAACTTAAGAAGTCATAATATGACTCACTACTATGAAGTGTGTGAGTCACAATAATAAGTAAATAATTACCACACACTAGCAGGACTCGATCGGACACCTGCAGCTAACGAACTCTAAACAACTCAACTCTCTTGCAAAGACACGTACACGTGATAATCTCATGATCAGCTGGTGGCATTATACACGATGAAAATTTTTCGAATAGCCTAGAAAGCCTTTCCATCAATGAATGGATATTGAAAATTGAAGGTCCTGCAACAGTAATAAGTGAGATATATACTCACAATAGCTTACAGAAAAGCTACGAGAGCGTCAAAGCTACAATCACAAGCCAATTTTTTAGGCCTACGATATCAAAATGAGACCTATTTTGCTAAAAGGACACGAACGTTCGCTCACACAAGTTAAATTCAATCGTGAAGGTGACCTGATCTTTTCATGTGCCAAGGACAGCGTTGCTTCTGTGTGGTACGCAATTAACGGTGAAAGACTAGGAACTTTCGAGGGCCATCAAGGTACGATCTGGTCCATCGATGTGGACAAATTCACAAAGTACACCGTCACAGGGTCCGCCGACTTCAGCATCAAATTGTGGGACATTGAGACTGGACAAAATGTCTACACCTGGAAAACCAAGACACCCGTAAGAAGAGTCGAGTTCAGCCCCTCTGGTGACAAGTTTTTAGCTGTCCTGGATGGTGTTATGGGCTATCCTGGTAGTGTCACTGTCTACGAGCTTCCTCGCGATGCGCAGACACATCAACTAAGCCAAGAGCCTTCGGAAGAGCCTCTATTCAACATTATGACTCAAGAGGGATTCGACATTGCTGCTGTAGCCGCATGGAGTTTCCTGGACCAATACATCGCTGTGGGGCACAAGGACGGCCGTGTCTCCAAGTACGACGGTGCCACTGGGGAGTTTATCGATGCGCTAGAGCTACACACTCAAAGCGTCAGTGACGTCCAGTTTTCGCCCGATGGTACCTATTTCATCACTTCTTCCAGAGACAGTGATGCCAAGCTCGTTGACATAGAGACGCTTGAGGTGCTAAAGACTTACGAGACTGACTGTCCGCTCAACAGCGCGTGCATCACTCCACTCAAACAGTTCGTCATTCTCGGAGGTGGTCAGGACGCCAAAGACGTCACCACAACCAGTTCGCGCGAGGGTAAATTCGAGGCCCGTTTATACCATAAGATCTTCCAAGACGAAATCGGTAGAGTCAAAGGCCATTTCGGTCCCCTAAATTGTGTCGCAGTCAGCCCTCAGGGCACTTCATATGCGTCCGGTGGTGAAGATGGTTTCGTGCGTCTGCACCATTTCGACAAAAGCTATTTCGACTTCAAGTACGACGTGGAAAAGAGTTTTGAGGCTCAAAAGCATATGCAAGAATTGGAATCCAACGCTTAGGTAGTAGTAGTAAATAGATGCGATAATTGTACATTATGAGAGCGTAACATTGTGAGCTGGGCGCACCGGCGGAACAAGAACATTTTGAGATTGCTACTGAATTGTATTAATATTTTTATGGTAAAAACCTAATTTGATGGCCAGATTATGCTCATGCCATTGTGGATATCTGTACGTGATACATGTTATTAACATACAATTGCGGAATTGCAAGAATCTCAACTTGCAGGCAGTCCTGACAGCAAGTGACAGGAGCGCGAACAACAGTTTGTCCCCTTTCTGCGAGGGTTTTTGGGTTGTAATTCACCCAACATACTACGATTCCGACCCTTGTAGATGCTAATCAAGCTTGTTGCTTTCCGCCCCCTACCGATGCTGAGCCGTGGACATTGTTTGCGAAGAGCATATTTTCGGTTAACCCTTGCTGCGACGGATAAGTACAAAGTGATACAAAATTGAAGAGGACAAGTCTTTGCCGATAGCGGGAAATCGAGGTGGCTCCGCTTTTTGCGTCAGTGTTGGGTTGTCGATGCTCGAATACCCACGCAGGTCGCTCCTCCAATTTGAGCTTAATTCAAGATATCTAAAAGGACCCTTTTTCGCGCCAGACACTACTGCACAGAAACCATATCGTAGGCCTTTCGGCAAGGTTGCGTTTTCTTACGAGAGAAGCATTACTATTACACGCATTAAAAAGACACATTCAATCCTTTCCGGCAACTCTAGCATCTACACAAGAACAACCGTGAACGGATTAATTTTAACCCGCCATCTACAAGCCAAACTTTTATTTAGTTTCGTCCCATTTGCCCTCACATTTGTCACACCTGGGTGTGCCAAGTAATCGGACAGGCCTCTCTAATCTCAACAGTCACTCTTTCCCACGCTTCTTTTCACCTATCAAATTTTTTTCCGGTGCTGACTGTTATGGATGAGCGAAAAAAAAATCAATCAATGGCATCTACCCTCATCGCATTTTTCGGCCCGTTCTTCTGTCAGGAATTTTCCAGGTTTATAAAAACGGACAAAAAATCGCAGTTTGAGCTCGAGTAAACTAAAGTTTAGGCGAGTTTTTGCTTAGTAACGTGTTTCCGCCCCTGTCTAAAACTCTTGATAATATTCCTTTGAAATGCTCCAGTTTGCGAGAACTGCGATCCGTAGCGGATCCAGAAATCTTGCAGCTGGCTCCAAGCCGGCTTCGCGCGGGTTCTCCCAGTCGTTCAGGTTGTCACAGCAGAGTGTGAGCTCTGGTACTGCGGCACCCAAGGCTTCGACGCTCAGAAAAATCGGCAAATACACCCTTTACTCGATTTTGGGTTCCGTGTTGGCCGGAACCGGGTACGTCTCCTACAAGCTGTACAAGGAGAAAAACCCTTCTCCACAACAACCTCAGAGCCCCATGTTCGACAACGGAACGCCCAGAAAGACCTTGGTCATCCTGGGCTCCGGCTGGGGTTCTATCTCGCTTTTGAAAAACTTGGACACCACCCGCTACAATGTCATCATTGTGTCGCCTAGAAACTACTTCCTGTTCACTCCCTTGTTGCCATCGACTCCTGTCGGCACCATCGAGCTGAAGTCCATTGTCGAACCTGTCAGAAGCATTGCCAGAAGAGCACCCGGCGAGGTTATCTACTACGAAGCCGAGGCTCTCGACGTGGACCCTACCGAGAAGTTTGTAACTATCAAGTCTCTCAGCTCCTCTGAAGAGAACGCCGAGATTAAGTTGAACTACGACTATTTGGTTATGGGTGTCGGCGCTCAACCAACCACTTTTGGTATTCCAGGTGTCTTTGAGAATGCTTCCTTCCTTAAGGAAATTCCAGATGCCCAGGAAATCAGAGTTAAAATTATGAACAACATCGAAAAGGCTGCCACTTTACCCCTCACGGATCCCGAAAGAAAGAGATTGCTAAACTTCGTCGTTGTCGGTGGTGGTCCAACTGGTGTGGAGTTTGCCGCTGAGTTGCAAGATTACATCGACGAAGACTTGTCTAAATGGATGCCTGAATTGTCTAAGGAATTGAATGTCACTTTGGTTGAAGCTTTGCCCAACATCTTGAACATGTTTGACAAGTCTTTGATTCAATACGCTGAGGATTTGTTTAAACAGGAGAGAATTATCTTGAAAACTAACACAATGGTCAAAAACGTCACTCCCACCACTATCACTGCGAAATGTGGTGAGGTTACCGAAGATATTCCTTACGGTGTTCTTGTGTGGGCCACCGGTAACGCCCCAAGAGAAGTCTCTAAGAACTTGATGAACAGAATGGAAACTCAAAACTCAAGACGTGGTCTGCTGATCAACGATAAGTTGCAACTGCTAGGTGCTGAGGACTCTATCTGGGCTATTGGTGACTGTACTTTCTACCCAGGTTTGTTCCCAACCGCGCAAGTGGCTCACCAAGAAGGTGAATACTTGGCCTCCGTTTTGAAGAAACAATACAAGATCGATCAACACAAGTGGCACATGTTGCAAAACCCTAACGTTCATGAAACCACCAAGTTGCAGTCGAAGGTTGACAAATTGGAAGCCAGTATCAAGCCTTTCAAATACAGCCACCAAGGTGCTTTGGCTTACATCGGTTCCGAAAAGGCCATCGCTGACCTTGCCGTCGGTGAATCTATGTACCAATCCGCGGGTTCCTTCACCTTTTTGTTCTGGAAATCCGCCTACTTGGCCATGTGTCTGTCCTTCAGAAGCAGAGTCCTAGTTGCTTTGGATTGGTGCAAAGTCTCTTTCTTCGGCAGAGACTCCTCCGTGTAGATATTCTTAGTCCCATTACTGGACTTTTTGCAGTCTTTCTAAAAACATTTCGGCTGTTTCCATCTCCACATAGCCCATTTGTTAAAACTCCGTCTCTTCTGCTCGCCCAGCTAATTAATGTGGTCCAGAAGTGTAAATGAAACGGAGTTGGGCTCAAATTTGTTATATATTCGACTGTTAGACTACGTTTGTATTAAGAATTGATGATCTAAATGCTCTCTGAGGAAGTGCTTGACAGCTTTGAAAGTAATCTCTCGTTTTGCGAAGATTCAAACAATTAATTAAATCATTGAAATTAATGATTTTTGCCGCTGATCATCTTCCTCTAATTAAATCAAGGGATACAATTATAGACTCAGAAAGTTACTCGTCAAGTATCTATTGAGGAAGTGCTGTTTGGCTTTTGTCTTGGCAGATGGTGTATATTACTTCATAATTTTGCACTGGCTCGCACTGTTTCACAAAGATGCACCCGTTTCTCAACAAAAGATGAATAGCTTCCGAAGCAGTGGAGACAGCTCAAGGCCAGCAGGATTATTGTTGATGACCAGAATCATATTCATACTTTCTAGGTAGTCTTTGCACTGCGAATACACAATACAATTAACAAGAGCGAGCGTTGGGGAAATTGTGTGAAGATTCCAAGTGCCTCATTTTTCAAAGGTATGAACAGCTGGCTTTCAGCTAATCTCACCACGATCCAACGTTGCTTAGGACTTAGAAGAAATTAGTTCATTGAAGGAATGCCAGCTCGAATATCATTCGTTTTTGAGTCCATTAAATGCAAAATTGGGACACAACGAAATACTACAAAGATAAAGTTGCACTAAGTCGACTACCTGTTACATCCGAATATCCATGTACCGATGCCATTACCAGCGTTAGAACAAAACCAAATCTTCCAAATTAAAGGCAGAAGGTCAGCCAATTTTTACGACTGAAGAAAGCGCATCTAGTATATGGAGACTAATTCCCACGTAGTAAAGAGTTTCATGAAATGGCAAGCAAACACACTACGGCATCGAGGTATACGCGCGTGGAGATAGCATTTCATAGGCTTACCCGGACATTTTATTCAAGTTCCCGATTTCTGAAAATTTTCATCTCTAATTGGTGGCAACAAGATACACGAGAAGAAAATCATATCAACAAGTGGATTGCCAACTTTTAAAGGTTTGGTTGAAGAGAACTAAAAACGTGGGAATCCAAACTCAAAAATGTCCAACGAAGGTGAAGAAGATTTGTTAGAGTACTCCGACAACGAGCAGGAGATTCAAGTCGAGGCCTCCAAGGCTGCAGAAGCCGGTGGTGCGGACTCCAAAGAAGCTGGAGAAAATGGGACCGAAGCGGACAAAAAGGGCTCCTACGTGGGTATCCACTCTACCGGTTTCAAGGACTTTCTTTTGAAGCCAGAGCTATCGAGAGCCATTATTGATTGCGGTTTCGAACACCCCTCTGAAGGTACGTAAAGCAGAAAGACACGCGTCACAGCGATTTTTTTCCACAACTCTTACTAACCCTATTATTACAGTTCAACAACACACAATTCCTCAGTCCATTCACGGTACTGACGTTCTATGCCAAGCCAAGTCAGGTTTGGGTAAAACCGCCGTTTTCGTGCTATCCACGTTGCAACAATTGGACCCAGTTCCAGGCGAAGTCTCCGTGGTCGTGATCTGTAACGCCAGAGAACTAGCATACCAAATTCGTAACGAGTATTTGAGATTTTCCAAATACATGCCAGACGTGAAAACCGCCGTATTCTACGGTGGTACCCCTATTGCCAAAGATGCTGAGCTTCTGAAAGACAAGGAAACTGCACCACACATTGTGGTGGCCACTCCAGGTCGTTTGAAGGCTTTGGTGAGGGACAAGATCATTGATCTATCACTTGTAAAGAACTTTGTCATTGACGAATGTGACAAAGTCTTGGAAGAGCTAGGAATGCGTAAAGACGTTCAAGATATATTTAGAGCTACACCAAGAGACAAGCAAGTGATGATGTTTTCCGCTACATTGTCTCAAGAAATGAGACCAATTTGCAGACGTTTCTTACAGAATCCTTTGGAGATTTTCGTCGACGACGAAGCCAAGCTTACTTTGCACGGTCTACAACAATACTATATCAAACTTGATGAGCGTGAAAAGAACCGTAAGCTCGCACAATTGTTGGACGATTTAGAGTTCAACCAAGTAATTATTTTCGTGAAGTCTACCAACAGAGCTAATGAACTGACCAAATTGTTGAATGCCTCCAACTTTCCTGCCATTACTGTTCACGGTGGTATGAAGCAAGAAGAGCGTATTGCTCGTTACAAAGCTTTCAAGGATTTTGAAAAGCGTATCTGTGTATCAACCGATGTTTTCGGTAGAGGTATCGATATTGAACGTATCAACTTGGCCATCAACTACGATCTACCAAATGAAGCTGACCAATACCTCCACCGTGTTGGTAGAGCCGGTAGATTTGGTACCAAGGGTTTGGCCATTTCATTTGTTTCCACGAAAGAAGACGAAGAAATCTTGAGCAAGATCCAGGACAGATTCGACGTTAAGGTGGCAGAATTTCCAGAAGAGGGTGTTGATCCATCCACTTACTTAAACACCTAAATGTTATTATGTTCGCTTAGGCTAAAGTTCGAATCAAAAAGATAAAAGTTTGTGGTCTATATAATGCCCTTACAGGGAAGGGACTGTATGTAAGAATTAGGAAAAATCAACGCTTCATGAAAAGATGCTAATTGTGCAGTGATTTAAAGTTGCACCTGAAACTAAAAGGTAGTTTTTTTATCAGCTTTGTCTTGTAATGCCAGGTGAAGGCACTCGTTTTATATTTGAGCCACCGGGGCCAAAGAGCGTTATGAATCACGGCAAGTCGTTCACTGCACCATCACAAGTACTAAAACTCCGGAGCTTAGGCATTTGAAACGACTGTTTAGAAGAGGCAGAGTCCTCGGATGTTGGTGTCAACGACGCGCTTGTAATACTGGGTAGCGTTGGAATATTAAGTACGTGAGGACTCGTCGCCGAACCCTTCGCTGAGGACTGATGATGTGAAAAACTGTCGTGAGAAATGTCTGACTCTGTGTTGTCTGCGTTGACTTGCGATTCGTTTCCAACGCTCAAAACATGAGACGCCAATAACCCTAGTGTGGCCAGCATATTAGAATTTCTGCGCTGCAGCTTAGAATTTCGATTGAGTCGTGGTGCTTTTGTGATAGACTGAGGGGTGTTTCTTAGATTTACTGAGTTAGGCGTTGGTGAGTCGTTCAGTAGACGTGCCATCTTGTTGATCTCCTTGTTCTTCTCGATAATTGTCTCCTTGTATTTGGCTAACTTTAGATCTTGAATGCGTACCTTTTCGTGTAATCCGTGAGTCTCCATGACCAACTGGCACCTTATCCTTTCAAACTGCTGTTTGTTCAAACTAGATTCAACTTCGAATCGTGAATTTGAGTCCCTAAGCCCTGTTGTCAGCATCATATTCTTGAGTTTTAGTCTGTTGACCTGTTCATTGGATTGTAATAGCATTCGACTAAGGCTATCAAGTGTGTGAACGAGCTCTTGTTTGGACCATGTTATTGTGTCATCTGGCCGAGACTCCTCTCCGCTGCTTTCACCCAAATTATATAGCCGGTTGGATTTGAGTTTGTCAACCAGGGAGTGAGCCTCTTCGATGACCGTCTGGACTTCAGGAGACGACGCGTTGCAATTGCTGATTTCCGAAAAGCTTCGTTTCACTTCTAGAGTATCTTTCGATGACATCGGTGTATTGGCATTCATTTGTGGTGTATGACTGGTTATAACGAGCGCCACTACTACTAAACACTAGTCCCTCCAGGTAGTTTTGTGTATAAGTTTTACCAAGAGCTGAAAGCTGTCAGCACGCTTTTCGCATAGACGTTGAGATTCGCGATTATCCGCGCTGCATTTCTTGCCTTTCCAAATTGTGTTAACAGTCCTCGCGAGTTTTCGCGTCATAAACAATAACAGACGCGACGCGTGAAAACCGTTAATAGTGAAAGCGAGAAAGAGAGTAAAACAGATCGAAGATCGCGCGCCAAATACGAGTAAGATGGGAATTCTGAGCCCTATCACTACCGTTTTTCACAGCTGATGCTCGCAACAGCACTCGAATGAGGATATACCGTCTTGACTTTGATAATTTAGCGCTTTTTTGCTTATAATTTGACAACACTCCTGTTGATAGCTTGTCAAATTTGGTAGTTCTCAGGCTTAAAAATGCTAGCATCTGCTATTCTTTTATGATAGAAATATCTCATCTCTCACTGGCAGTCGCGGCAGGTTTCAAAGCCATATTATCTCGGCATTGTTACTCGTCGTTTTTTTTCAAACTAAAATTTCAAAATCGTCTCAGGCAATTTAAAGTCAACTACTTGGATCTGAGCTCGCATCTGGTTCAGGTCTATTTTGCCAGTTGACCCGTCCATTTGATTTACAGCTAGGGATGGAGTTCTGGGATGTTTGGTCTAAAGATTCTGTTTTTTACAACATATTGTTAACGATGCGAACTCGGAAACACAGGGCCACTTCAATTTCAATGACGGGTCTATTCAGTAGCTATAATAGGCCTCGCTGTTAAGTAGCAATTAATCTCCTACCGTGGCCACGTCTTGGCTTGAAAAGCTGGTTTTCGAACTCCAGAAGTAGCGTTTTCGAACAAATAAGAAATCTTACTTGGGTTCCCTTGCTAAAGATCATCCACCACACGGAGAGCCCTCAAGAGTATTTCAAGAACTGCTCAACGGTGCGTCAAGAGCTTTCGTTGACGATCTCATTTCTTGCCTCACAAAAATATTCCTCCGCCATTCGGCGGCTGCAGAGAGAATGTTCAGTAAGAGTCGGCTACGTAAGCCACCTTTGGTTCATCACTAAACCTACGCTCTACCAATTCGTTAAAGTGAAGAATAGATAGGTATCACTACGTACCACTGAGTCGCCAAACGTAAATGGGGGTTGTTACAGATTTTCGAAATTGGCTTCGATGCATATGAGACCAGCTTGGCAAGACAAGGCTATTTATTAACTTATGTGCCACAACTGATCAAGAAACAGGATAGTGTGACGACTGGAATGCTAAACACTGGGTCCGATATTTCTCTCAGCGATGCCAGGCGAACCTAATTAATGACAATAATACACATATGCGCAGAAAAATAAGTTCACGAGATCTAACAAACATGTAAGTTATTGTGGGCTACGGGTCTCGCTTGACTTACGGCCTCAGCCCACTCATATATAACATTTACCCTTGATTAAGTTATACAGTATGAAAGACAATAGACAACAGTAATATACCAAGACAATCTTTTCTTCCTGGCAAAACCGAAATCCAATATCTTAACGGTAAGATTTTTGGAATCTGGAACGAGCACCTTTACCACCGAATTTCTTTGGCTCTGGTCTTCTGGAGTCGGCAATCAACAAAGTTCTGTCGTAAGTGGTGAAGATCTTCTTCAATTCGTTCTTGGATTGTTCGTCAACGAATTTTTGGTGGTAAGCAACCAAACCCTTGGCAATAGCTTGTCTGATGGCGTAGACTTGGGAGACGTGACCACCACCGGTGACTCTGACTCTGATGTCGATGTTGGCGAATTTGTCCAAACCGGCTAGGACCAAAGGTTCGTAGACCTTGAATCTTAGGATCTCTGGTTCCACCAAGGTGATTGGGGAACCGTTAACCTTGATCAAACCCTTACCGGCCTTGACATGGGCGACGGCAGTGGCGGATTTCTTCTTACCGAAAGTCTGAAGGTTGTGCGTTAGTAAACAGGAGGACAAAGAAAGGTGGTTTTTTCATGGATTGGAACGGAAAGAGAGAGAGAGAGACAGAGAGGGCTCTGGAAAGGACGAGTAGCGATCATTGGGCAATCGTTGGGCAATCATTGGGCCAACGCGGTGTCGCAGCATCGCTCTCACTGGCTGCTTCTCACGCTGGATTTCCGTACGTTTCGTCCCGCTGGCTCCATTTACAGCTCTCACGGCTGCAATTCGACGCTCCGGCTTTCCCGCTCTCGCGCTCTCCATTTCTCCGTTTCTCACCTGGCTAAACACGACGTGCGACGCCCACATACTTGAACACTTGGGACAGTAGACATCTTGTTTCCTCTATATGGCGATACCCTCTGGCTTGAAAACAAAAACTCTTTTTGTCAAAATTACGACAGATGAGCCCAATAGGATAATACCAACTTACTACTCTGCGCTTCCACTACCACCTTGGTGAAAGTTTTCACTGAGAGACACAGTGAGAGATTCCCCATAGTGTATATTCTGGATTACCCGGTCGGGTCCCACTACTAAGAACGCTCTGCCTAGCCATTCGATCCTAGGCAGAGCAGAGTCCAGCCTGCTAGGCAGCGCCACGCAGACGCTAGGCAGAAACTGGGTCTGGGCCAGGACTCCTGGGGCCGGGACCGCTCTACGCTCCAGGCAGAAGCCAACGAGGATTCCAGCCTAGCTCCAGCGGGCGTGTGCTTGGGACGACTGCCATATTTTCTTTCGGCAATGGACGCACGACGCATTATTTAAAAGCTCATAGTTTTTGTTGGACTGTTTTTTTTTGAAAATGTATGGGCCTCTAATATTGGATTTAGGTTGGACTGTTTTTTATCCTCAGTTTGGTTGTGACTGTCATTTTCTCGGCACCCATACATATTGTTGGCTTTTTTTAGCGTTTTAAACTTTTTGCGACATAATTTTTTTGACCTCACTCGGGTCTTTTTTGAGTCCAACCTCCAGGCGGTATAGACGCTAGGCAGGGGGCACGCAGAGCCCAGGCAGAGGATCTTTCGAGATTCTGCCTAGCTTCTGCCTAGCCTCGGCCTAGCCTCACGACCCTCTGCCTAGCGTCTCTCTGGAGTCTCGCAAGCCTCGGTCTGGACCACGTAGAGGGCCTCGGTATCCAGGTCTCTCACGTTAATATCAAATTTCAACATCGAATTACCAACTTTTTGCCAGTTTGGAAGGTACAGCAGGAATCAAGTAAAAATGGGTATGTTTGCCGGCGTAATAAGGATGGGAACGAACGCTAGACGTGTAGTCGACAGCCGCGGGCAGTAACGTGGGGATTTTCGCCAGTGGGAAGCGCTTTTTATTGGCGTACTGGAGAAACTTCGAATCGATGATTTCTCAGATCCACGTTTGCAGCGGCGCCATGCTGCTTGCTCCCGTTCCCTTCATCGTGCACTTTTTCTTCCATACTAACTTTGTCCCCCCTCACAGCTATCTCGAAGAACCTCCCAATCTTGAAGAACCACTTCAGAAAGCACTGGCAAGAACGTGTCAAGGTGCACTTTGACCAGGCCGGTAAGAAGGTCGCCAGACGTTCTGCCAGAGTCGCCAAGGCCGCCAAGATCGCCCCAAGACCTCTTGACTTGTTGAGACCCGTTGTCAAGCCTCCTACCATCAAGTACAACAGAAAAGTCAGAGCCGGTAGAGGTTTCACTTTGCGTGAAGTCAGAGCCGCCGGTTTGACTCCAGCCTACGCCAGAACCATTGGTATCGCCGTCGACCACAGACGTCAAAACAGAAACCAAGAGATCTTCGACTTGAACGTGCAAAGATTGCAAGAGTTCCAATCCAAGATAATTGTTTTCCCAAGAAACGGTAAGGCCCCAGAAGCCGAACAAGTGTTGTCTGCCGCCGCCACTTTCCCAATTGCCCAACCTGTCGGTGAACAAGGCACCAGAGCCGTTGAGGACAGCGGTGAATCCGCTTTCAGAACTTTGAGATTGGCCAGATCTGACAAGAGACACCAAGGTATCAGAGAAAAGAGAGCCAAGGAAAAGGCTGAAGCCGAAGCTGACAAGAAGAAATAAGCTATTTAAAATAGTTTGTTGTCATTCTTTATGTAAATTGTATTGGAAGCCATTAATAGCCAGAAGTACTACTGAACAAAAACGGTGCGTGAGTGTGTTTTGAGAGTGAGTTGAAAGATTGCGCGATTTTGCGCATAGGGGCCCCTCCGAGGTAAGAACCGGGAGCCCGAGGTGTCGCTTAGTGAACTTTCGCGGTCTGAACAGCACAATCTGATTAATCATTGTGAGACTTGCTTCCTCGTATATGGTGATGTACAACATTCAGCGGCTAACATCATAGTTCGCAAAGCAAGGGCATCACAACCGACCAAACTTTCAAATGCGCAATCTTCCCGCACAGAGCTCTATAACTCTGTATACGCGCTTTTCTTATCCGTTTGTTCCCTGTCTTAATTAGTGCTCTTCCAAATGCGCGTCGCAATAGCAGCGCACAGAGTGTTCCGCCCTATCGGCTCTCATGAGCCTACTTCATCTAACTCAACAAAATATAGAGTCCAAGCTTTATTAAAGCGTACACAAATATTAACTAAATGCAATTTAAAACCACTTTAATCGAACAAACCGAATCCCATGTCGTCGTCGGATTCCTCCTTGGCTTCTTCCTCCTTCTCTTCAGCAGCAGCCTCGTCACCGCCAGCAGCGGCAGCAGCACCACCAGCAACTGGAGCGGCAGCGGCACCGCCAGCGGCAAAGTTGACCAACAAGCTCTTCAAGTCTTGGGTGTCCAAAGCCTTGGCAAAAATGTCAGCCCAGATACCCTCAACGTCGACCTTGGCAGCGCTGGTCAAAGTCAACAACTTTTCAGAAGAGATTTCGATCTCGGAGTCGGCCAAGATCAAGGCAGCGTAAGACAAAGCAGTTTCAGTAGACATTTCTCGGTGGTTTTTTCTTAAAACTTCAAAAAAGTGGAATAGAGATAATCAAATTAAGCTTTCGCAGACTATTTCTTTGATCTTTTAAAAACCAAAAACTTCTAAGAGGTAGGAGAGAAGTGGTGAAATGTTCGATGCCCAAAGTTCTTAAAATTTTTTTCACCAATGCAGATTCTGAAAAAAAGTTTGGTACTCGTCAAGAAATTCAACGAAGTACTCGCAACACCGGGTAATGGTTAGTTCACGCAAGTACGTTGCGCCAATACTTCCAACAATGTATTATAGGCTGACCTGTAGGAACGCCGTTGCAATTCTTTCAAACTATGTGTCTCTCCAAAATTGGCATTCTCGTTATCTGGAACTTTTTTTAGCGGCTTTGCTCTCCGCTAAGCTCAACTTTATGGCTTGTTCAACCATTTGGTTCTCTATTTCAGCCGCTGTGGCATTAGATGGCCACAGAGATCCATTATCATGAGCATGTGCCGCTGCAAATTCCGGATGGTAATTAGATGATGGCACAGTATGGGTCTGAAGATTTGAAGACGCCTGGTGGCCGGGCGTTACCAATTGATTACTTAGATGAATAGCAGTGGCATTTGCAGACCTTCTCGCAAGCCTCATGCGCTCCTTGTTGAGTTTCACTTGCCAGTCAGGCCGCAACGAGTCTGATGTGACCACTAGGCGATCCGTAGCCGCCAGAGACCTGCGCCGAGCCGGTTCGCTGGATTCCACAGGCTCAAGGTTACCGCTAACATACGAGAAAGGTTTAATCCCTTGCAATCCCACCTTGCGGGTCAGAACAGGATCATAGGTGATGCCGTAATCGGAAGTAGCACAGTAAGGACAATTCGTAGGTTCGGATGTCAGCAAATTGGGATCTTTCTCTTCCTCTTCCTTGTGGTCTTCATCTTGATCGTGCGGGAAATGTGGTTCGGCTCTTTTTATCTGGACAAAGCATTCGCTGCAAATGGGCTGTAAACAACACCTGGACATATTGATTGGTTGTGGGTAGTACAGGAAGCATATTGGGCATTCGACACCTTTGTAGTACAGTTCAAATTTTAAGTCGTCGCTGGGCAGGCACGGATTAGATCGCGCGCCCGGTTTCTTGGCCTCTAGCTTGCTTTCCAAGAATTTTTCATTTTCTCTTTCTTGCCACAACAGCCGTTTCCGGTAAAGCCTGGCGTTGAATATCATACTCCTCATGCGGCGCTGTTCGCGGCGCGATAAAGATTTGTCTATCAAGTCGTCGAAATCGCTTTGAGACAAGTCTCCTAGTGGCACCCCCTCAAAAGCCTCTACATCTTCGCTGAAAGGCGCATGTAGCGGCAAGCCGTCGACAATCTTAACCAGTTCCTGATGACTCCAAGACTCGTCGTAATCCTGTAGCGGAGTGTAAAAGGGTGCTAGTCGTCTTTCCAGTATCAAACTTTTCACAACGCCAGCGTCGTAATCAACCTTTTCTATGCTGCTGGACCCATATGGTGCCAAAAACCCGCCATCCACTGATTCACCGTGTTTCACAATCAGTTGTTTGACGTGCCGTTCTTTGAGACGCTCTTTGTCTTTAGTAGATTTGCGTTTGTAAGGGTTCAGATCCGAGGATTCTGAGCATCGTCTGGAGTTCAAAATAGTTCCGACCATCGACGAAGTCCGCGCCTTCCTGGCACCATTCATGCCGTTCGTACGATGCGGCAGTGCCGCTGAGGTGCTCATAGATCGGTTGCTTCTTACCGCATTTTCGTTTTCCAATTTCCCCGGAACGTTTCCCATTGTAGAGGTTTTATTGTATTGATAAATTCGATTTTATTAGTCTTAGTAGTCAGGCGGAAGTCGCAGATTCTTCCTAACTTCCCGTTTCTCTTGATAAGGCCAAATAATAATATGGTGCCAACAAACGCTAAAGTGAGTCCTGGTATGCGATTGTGTCTTGCTCACTTAGCCTCTTCTCCTAAAATATATATAGTATGGGTTTGTTTTCAAATAAAAAGACGTTATGTACGCCCCTATGAATGAAAAATCGCTCGTTTACAAGTACCGAGTGAAAAAAAGGCCAGAATAAACCAGAGAAGAAGGTCCTCAAAACTGGAACTGAAATCTAGTGATCCCAGGCACTCTGCTGGACGGTTTAAAAATTTTAGCTTGCCTTCCTTGTTTTGTACTGACAAATTAAAGCCTGCGCGAAATATTTAACGACGGAGTAAGGAATTGTGTTTTGACTATTCTTGTAACCCAATTTGGCTTTGACTAATAGTTTGAGAGTAGGAATTAAAACGTACTTCGCTTGGTTCTGTTCCATGTCCAGGGCGGCAGGCACAATTGAATTTGGAGATATTAATTTATGCCCTGCGCAAACTGATCCAAGTAGATCGTAAAATTGTTATTACCCCATTGTTATGCGGCTGTTATATTTTCTCAAGCTAGCTCTCAATCACACTTGCTCCGGCTGTCAAAATCCGGCTGCCGAGAGCACTCATTACAAAGAACTTTCTTGTCAGAAAGACTACCTATTTTTTAACTGACCCAGTAGCCATCAAACTTTTAGAGCCTTGTTTCGTACTGATACAGATAATGGCAAATGCTACCAAGTAGTCTTTCTTCCTTCCACGTCTTTTAAAATAACAGCTTCTTATAATCCCGCAATTACTTGCATTTAGACTAAAACTTAAATATATAAAATTTCGATCTAGGAAGTAACAATGGTAGGTAAAGAATACGCATAAACAAATGATTTACAGACATTTGAGCTTGCGAGAATCCGAGAAGCCAACATGGCTGATACCCCTCTGATTTCATCAACTGCTCTTCAAGGTTCAGTCAGTCACATCAAACGGGGCTGTCGCTGTCGCTCACAGTCGTGATAAAAAAAGAGCTGGTCCTCCACACAGTCAAACGGTATGGCTCACTGGCATCTCCGAACTCTGCCAAGGCTGATTCCCAGTAGCGGCACGTTCTCGACTCTAGTATCAATCGCTTTTTGATCTATTATAATATCAATCAAACTTCATCATATTTACACATACCTACCTATGATTGAGCCCGCTCCATCACTACGGATGTGTTGCTCACCAGACACCTTCGGCCCTGAGCTCTTGGGACAATTGCTCAACCGATTTGATCACCTTTTCAACAATAGCATCAACGTCTTCGGCTGTGATAATGAACGCTGGCGCCAACAGAGTAATGTCACCGGATACACCGTCTGCGTTACCTTGCATACCCATGACACTGAGTTTGTTGTCGAAGCAGACAGCTTGGAAACGATGGCCAATGTCAAGTTCAACAGGGAAGACCTCTTTGGTGTCCTTGTCCTTAACGAATTCCAAAGACCAGAAACCACCAATACCTCTAACGTCGCCAACAATGTTGTCTTCCTTGAGTAGAGCGTCTTGCAATTTGGATCCCATTAAGTTACCCATCTCAAAGATGTTTGCTGTTAAGTTGTTCTTCATGATCTTCTTTTGTACTCCCAAGGCAACTTCACAGTTGAAACCGTGGGAAGCGTAAGTGTGGGATCCAAAGACCGAGTTAGAGCCCTTGACATAGGCATCTCTAATCTTTGGGCCCACCAAGACACCGGCAATGGTCACATAGCCTGAACCCAAAGTCTTACCCACAGTTTGAATATCTGGGGCATCCTCAGGTCCAATAAAACTTTCCCAACAGTTCAATTTACCTTTGGAGTTGCATCTTCCGGTACCGCACATAACTTCGTCCAACATAAAGATAACATCGTATTTGTTGCACAAAGCACGGATCCCTGACAAGTAACCCTTTGGAGAAGGAGCGGTTCCCAAGGAAGAACCCGGTAAAGTCTCAACCAAGACGCAAGAAACCGTCTTAGGGTCGTTGTCCAGAATAATCTTCTCCAAAGCATCTAACAAACGCTGAGAGTATTGTTCCTCGGTCTCGCCCTTGCGTTGGTAACGGTATGGGTAGCAAACAGGCATTTTCAAACAGGTGTTGGTCTGGTCGATGGAGATTTCTTTGAACAGATCCGCACGACCACAGTGGGAAATGGAAAGCGCACCTAGAGTGAAACCGTGATACGAGATGTCTCTGGAGATGATCTTCGTCTTTTCAGGGCACCCGCGTTCGATTTGGTACTGTCTGATGATCTTCATGGCATTTTCGTTACTCTCGGAGCCCGAGCAACACCACAAAGCAGCGGCAAATACGCCCTCGGGCGAATTTTCGATGTAAAACTTGGCCAAGTCCTCGGACGCTTGATTACCGACAATTGAGGGGAAAGAGTAGGTATGGTTCTTGGCGGCCCGTTCGATGATGGGTAGGATTTCCTCGTCTCCCCAGCCTAGTGCGCCCACAGCAGCACCAGTGACACCGTCTAGGATGTCTTCGTAAACCTTGCCGTCTTTCTCGATGTCCATGCGGACACCCTTGCCTTTGATGACATGTGGTGGTTTCTTGTTGATGGTACCTTGGAAGACGTACGACTCAGTGGGAATAGCGTCAGTGGTCATTATAGATTAGAGGATGGTTGTAGTTGTTGCGATCCTTTCTGTAGGATTAGTTTTGATTTATGCTGTTAAATCAAGAGATCGGATGGGAAAGATGTGGAAGAAAGCTCGATGAGCGACGCTTTATATATTCCAAAATTGTTGCCTCGAAACGCTATTCGTCCACTGACTCATCAGATAGTCTACTATACTGGTAATCTAGGGAATCGCTTGTTTTACACTGTGATATCTATGTTGGCATTTCCGCTTTCAAGGAATTAGAGCGCCGATTTGAATCTATCTACTGAATACGATCATAAGATCTCATTATCAATGGATAGAGAAAAGGTGAATATGGCGGGAAACAAATTTCGTCTAAAGAGATAGGCGGAAACCGGATGTACTTGCCTAATTCGGATATCGCGATAGGCATTCTCTCACGTGTTCTAGATAAGCGGATATAGTTTCCTAAAGCGGAAATCTCTTGATCTAGCGAAAAGGGTCTATGTAAGCGACGACGAGCCTTTATGTAGCCGCGATACGTGCATGTAAATGATGAATGCACCCGCTATCACAAGACAGCGAGATGAGTCGTGTCGCTGTACGTTTTCGTTCTTCTCGTGTCCCGGAAAAACCAAAAGATCCTAACGGGGGAAGCAACCAGCCAAAAAAAAAATTATGGATTAAACCGGAGTCGAACCGATGACCTCTCCCATGCGAAGGGAGCGCGCTACCAACTGCGCCATTAACCCATATTTAATCGTTAAGAGGAACAATACGTGAACATGAGTCCAGAATTTGGATACGGAAGGATAGTCACGGAAGGGCAAGAATAGGCTTATATACAAACCCAAAGGGCTTGTGACACTAGATCAAAGGCTTGAGGTTCGGTCGAGTGAATTGAAGTATTGGCCAAACCGTCGGGCTTCAAGCCGCCGAGCTGCAAACCTAAGAAACCAACAATGGCGACAGACCGCTATAAAGGCGGAAGTAAACGAAGGAACAAAAAACAATCAGAAACAGGAGACAGACGCCAGACGGCAGATTTATTACTGAATCACACTCATTCGGCTCCCCAGATTTATGCAACTTAATTTGAGTACGTAGGGATGTTTTTAGTAGCGTCGATTGGCATATTAGAGCACTTAATTGATTAGATTATTTATGAAATCGACATTGTAAATCCCTTCGCACTTTAACTTTCTATGAGGATCGGAACCCCGACACAAATAAGCACCATCGAAATTTGTACAGTTACTCTAGTCGATGAGATCTGATAACATGTAGTGTTCCGGATTGGACAAATAATGGCACCAACCTAATTCCTGCTGAATGCGTCAATAAGAATCGCGTTGGCCAGTGGCTGCATCACTTATTTATGACATCCCATCGGTGCGCGGGTTGGCCATTGTTACGATATTGCCTATATTGCCATGTTTGGCCAGTAATACAGCACTTGTCACTTTGTACCGACCTGTCACAGTCAAAAGTTGGCATACATCAATGCGGCCCTGCTTAGTACTATAACAATACGCTTAGGGCCGAGTGAAATCTCATATGTCAATTTTTTATCAACATGTCAACGAAGCGTTCCTACAATCTATCTACCCGTCTCTAGATGCTCAGTTCTCCAAATAAAAGTGGATTTCAGAGCTTTGGCAATCATAGATAAAGCTAGCATATATGGAACCTCTAGTAAAGGCCCTATTATGGCTGCGGTTGCCTGTTTGCTATCATTACCATATGTTGAAATTGCCACAGCTAACGACAGCTCAAAATTGTTCGAAGCTACTGTGAAACACTGTGTCATAACAATAGGATAGCTGGCGGTACAGGTTCTCTTGCCCCAAATATTTTTAATAAGTAGCTCTTGGTCACACTCGCATCCCTCTTCATTTGTAGCTTTGGCCCTACCCAGGAATCGCATTATTGCAAAGGTAGTGAACCAAGCTATTGAAAAATACAGAATGAGAGGAGCGAAACACAAAAGAGCTTGGCCAATTTCATGAACAAACTGGTAGCCTCTACTGATGAAGAGCACAAAAATAGTATAGTGAAATCCAATCATAGACCAAGGTGAGATGAATTTCAGGATGTACTTTTCATATTTTGTTTTGCCAAGTGAGAAAATGAAGGCAAGACGAATAGCAATGCCAGCCGCCATGGGAATACCAAGGAATACACCAACAGACTTAGCAACTTCAGCATACAAGGCGCTTTTGGCGACTGAAGGCTGGTCACCTGAAATAATGTAGCAGTAAAGTATTTGGAATGGTGCGTAAAGGATCATCTGTAACAACGAGTTCAAAATAATAAGAACTACGCAAAGCTCGTTTTCTCCACCTGCAATTTGGTTCCAAATCAAAACCATGGCAATACACCTCGCTGCTCCAATCATAATGATCCCTTGGCGATATTCTGGGAATTTGAACAGTGTCATCCATGCTAAACCTGTCATAAGCAGGGGGCCTACTACCCAGTTCAGAAATATCGAAATCAAGAGCTGATCTCTAATATATTGTTTGCTGAGTAATTTGTGAATAGACTCCCAAGAAACCTTGCAAATCGGGGGTACCATCATCACTACCATACCTACTAGCAGGGGCACAGAAACCCCAACGAAGCTGGCGTGTCTAGATGGGTCGAAGGCTTGACGTGAAGCAGGAACATACACAGATATGACCACTCCAATCGTAATTGCAGAGATGATTGTTACTGGTAAAAGGAGATCTAACACCGCCAAAGATCTGCCCGCGGCTAAGAAATTCTTCCAGCCAGATGGGTTTTTGGTAGCCTTCTTTTCCATCTTGATGCTGCATTTCTCCATTTCTATTGTTTGCTTCAAATAGCTTGATGAGCCTCTGCAGCAGTCTAACAAGTCATAGTGTTATATGTGTTTCGATCTCCATTTTCGTGTTTCTGGCAAAGGCCTGGAGAGACGTCAAAAACCTACAACCACATTTTCTTACAGATTTGATTATCAATCAAATGAGAAAAGTATGGCGACTCACTTAGTTTCGTTGAGATATAAGCTTTCTCGTCCTTTACAACATAGGATAGGTTACCTTGTGCAATTTAATTTGGACAGCTGTATTCAATGCTGAGCTATCTTCTTCGGCGAGATACCAGGGATTCGTAAAAGTAACGACATAGTCAACTATGTAGTAGTTCGAACAATATAAGACGTCAGGATGCTCTCAGCAGCATTAAAGTCGCGACAGGGTCACAATTAGGGTATATTGATCATTGGATTACACCAGTTCTGCTGGACGTACCTAGCGAAAGTGTTGCTGGAAACTAACGTGATATGTTGATGTATAAAAACAATATCAAAGTACCATATATACTACAAAAAGGCTATTCTTCTTGATCTAGAAGTCTTGACCATTTCAAAGCTTACCTATTTCACTGCTTCAAGACTTCTTACTCCAGTTATACTACCCCACCTCACATTTTCCCATCTTGTTCAACATAGTGGTGGTATGCGTCTGCGATAGAGGCCGATTTCCCACCTTCTGCGTCTCTCTGACAAAGCTTGGGATTGCGCCTCCATGAAGCGTCATCTTCGCGGCTTCGCTTGAGACGTGAGACAGAACAAGAAAGTGACCAGAGACTTAGTAACGTCCTCTTGGTGATATGACGATCCGAAAAGGACAAAGAATCGTGACACAAACATAATGCTCTTCAGCTGCCTCAGGTCCATGATTCGATGTTTCAATCACGCATAGACCAATATCATGGAACTGGTCGTCATCACTTGACCTCTTCCCTTTCTACTCTTGAAAAACAACTCAGCTTAGGCTTTTAAAGCTGTTTATGTAGGTTTCGTGTTTTGGAAACTCACAGATCAGATTCGATCTAGGCATTTGTCCAAGTCACTAGTACTAACACTCACATCTCCTCTTTGGCAGGTCGCTCGGGTGCTCAAAACCCTTGAAAACTCCTTCATGTTCAAGTTTGGATAGCTTGGATGTCTTTTCACATGCTGCCAAATTTCAGTTAATTTGAGATCTACATTTGACGCTCTTTCGGGTAGTTTGCTCAAGAGCGGTGAAGCCGCCCGCCCAAAATCCAAGTCCAGGCGCTCAGAAAGGTCATCATGAAAAATGGCATCTAGTTCATTGATTTGATTGAACAGATCATTTTCGAAAATGCTGGAGTAGCATAGGCTATTGTTGGGGCTCGGCGTGCCCTCGGTTGGCCCACTAGTGGAGAAAGCAGGCATCTTGCATTTTTGGCCTCCGCATATTATGTATAAGTCCCGGGAAAATTGTTCATATAAGATCTTTTCCAGTTGCACCTCAAAGACGGGCTCGTTCTCTTCAGGCCTCATTTCACTGACATCAATGTCGAATATACCTTTTTTGAACTCCTGGAACGCTGACACTGTCATAAGCCCTCTCAACTTGGCCCGGAAGACACTCTCGCGTTTCTTTAATATTCTGATCTCTCTAAGCGCGAGCTCTAAGAGTTTTTCCTTGTCCTGCAGTTCCTGTAGCTTGTTTTGCCTACGCTCCCTGAAAGTTTGCTGGGCAGCCCTGATCTGGGCAGCTCTCTGGGTTTTAGGAGGTTGAAATGAGGGCTTCCTACCTCCAGATGTACCTCTCGGCTTTTTTGCTCTAGTGACTGGACTACTTTGCATAACGCTTCCCGCGGTGCTCGTTGCGTAGTGTAAGAAAGGTTTTTTGGCACTTCCCCTAACAATACATCATGTTAATATTTGCGACCACTTAAGCTCCACGTAAGAGCCCAAGAGTGAATGAGTGGATGAAGACCCCAGATTATGGCGCCTGTATAACTATCTATCTCTACCGAGGTCGTGCTAAAGATCCAGGACATATTAGCACACCGCTCAAGATTAAGATACAGTCGTGTCGCGTGATGAGAATATGGAATCTATTCACATGTCCCAATGGACGAGGTGGATATACGTGTACAAGATTAATTAAGATCAACCTATCTTATTCTATACGTAAGACATAATTCAAGCCAACAGCATCTATGAACCATGGGCTGGTTTAACAAGACAAAACCAATGGATGATCAGTCCAAGCCACCTTTGCGCTCGTCTAGAAAACAGTGTTGGGAGTCCAGAGACGGGTTTTTCCAATGTTTGGACAAAATATCCGTTGTGAATGCCTTAGAGAGTAAACATGAGGACGCAATCCAAAAGAGCTGCAAGACAGAGGAAGGCAAGTTTGAAGAAGACTGCGCTACCAGCTGGATCAAGTACTTCAAAGAAAAGCGGGTCGTGGACTACAAACGAGAAAAATTCATGCAGGAGATGGAAAGTAAAAATGGGCAACAAATCGACCTTTCCGGGATGATAAGGAAGTGAACAGCGCTCTGCCAAGGCTATGCGGCGCTGCGAGCGACTATTTAAGAACTCATATACATATTCAAAGTTAAGAGAGAGAGAGAGAGAGAGAGAGAGAGCAAGCCAATTCGGAGACTCCTATCACGTGTGAGGTACGGGTTTGACGGTAGGTGGGAACAGAGGTATCAGGTCAATGCAGAGTTGTTCAGGTCATAGCTCTATAGCCCTATGGCCGGCTCATGCCCGGGAAGGTTCTGCTTTTATGGCCTGTGCCAGGAATTTGTTTGTATTTTCACGAAGCTAGCCATCCAGCACGCTCTGCCGTCACTAGGACTACTCTCTCGACGGGAAACCGCTTGGGACATTTCGTATATCATGATATTTAATTCCAAAACATTCGGTTCGTGTCTAATGATCTGATTGACGCGCGAAATACAAGTTTCTGTGACGCCGTCATCTACGTTCGCTGGCCAGTTAGCCCTTCGCAGTATCTCCCGCTACCGTCCCAGTCTTCTGAATCCTCGTCGTCCATTCTTCTCCCTTTGCACGGTTCATCGTACTTCTTTCCCCGCGTTGTTAGCTTTTGTGGCATCAGTTATATCTTTACCGCCTTCAGATCAATTAGTAATTATCGGCGGTTATCGGGACAAATTAGGGGATTCTGTTTACATTAGAGAGGCGTGCGATGTAGATTTGCGATCTGGGAAATTTTGTATATAAGCAGAGATCCTTGAGGATTCCTTTCGCTTTCCTAAACTACACTTTCTCCTCAGTTGTTTAGTATTTTTTCTTACTTCACGTCGATAAGCCTTTAGTTACATAGTTAAGTAGATAGTGCGCAGTTTTATACCACCAATTCTACATAGAGCACCAATCCCGATGTCGCAATTGGAATTGTTCAAAAGAGCCGGCAATGATGCCATCAACGTGAACCCAGCGTCTGGCGTGGACATCCGCATGACTGAAAGCGGTTCAGATTGGCTCTGGGCCGTGTTTTCCATGTTTGGTTTGTGTTCGTTGATCTACGCGGGGCTTTTTGTGGTCTATGAGCACAGGGGCGTGAACCTGCACCGCTACGCGGTTGCAGGTCCACTCAGCGTTTCTTTGGTGATGGCTTTCTCGTACTTCACCATGGCATCGAACTTGGGCTGGACTGCAGTCCAAGCGGAATTCAACCATCAGACCACAAGCGACCAGATTCTCGTGCCTGGAATCAGACAGATCTTTTACGCCAAATACATCGCCTGGTTCTTGACATGGCCGATCCTGTTGTACCTCTCGGAACTCACCGGGGTGGTTACGAAGAGCATCGATACCATGGCGGAGAGCTGGTCGTTTTTCGAACTTGCCCATAGTCTGGTGCTCCAGATCTGCGGCAGTTGGTTTTTCATAATCGGCTTACTCGTGGGCTCTTTGATAAGCTCCAGCTACAAGTGGGGTTACTGGACCATGGCTACATTTGCTCAAATGTTAGTCACCTTCCTTGTATTCAAACATCAATTGCGGGACTTGACCACCAGCGGCGTCAAGCTGGTGGTTTTGATATTTACCCATTTCTGCATTTACCTTTACCTGATTGCCTGGGCTCTCACTGACGGTGGAAATGTCATCACGGTTGATGCAGGCCACGTTTTCTTCGGGATTTTGGATCTATTGATCTTCATTTTGGTTCCTGCTTTGCTTGTGGCCACCTCTATATCTTTAGGTGCTACTCCCGACTTTGCACTAGGACGTAGGCACCATCACCACGATCTGGAAAAAGATGCAAATGTTGAACCTGTAAGACACTCGGGAGAAACTGAAGTCCCTTTGCACAATAACACGGCTCACGTCGCTGTTGCTGACACCGAACCTAACGTTACAGCCACTCAAGAACCAATAGTGGCGTAGACAGGCAGTTTCCGCTTTTCACCTGTAGTATTTTTATTACAGAACCACCCGGCTGGCAAATGTTTATGCAAACACCCAACGCAACATAATACCCAAACGCGAATGCGAATCAAATACCCTTCCACACCTAATGTAATCGAGTTGGCAGAAGGCAGCTCGTAACGCGGCTAATTTTAATTGTATGATCTCACTTAATTAACACATCTAATTTCAAGTTAATAATGAATGTTTTTTGGCTTTTTTTAATGTTTTGATGAAGTTTTGAGACTTTGGATAATTGTTCAGACTCTACATTCCGCAACAAAAACAAAGTGATATAACTGATAAACTTATAAAACTAATGAACTGATAAACCTGCTAAACCTATGTATATATTATTACAACGTCTGGACTAATTATTGTTTGTTTTTGTTCAAACAATCACAGTACTGGTGACAGTGTGCTGGGTGTCTCTCTTGTTGTGAGCGTGGTGCGACAAATCCCGTTTGGTATTTCCAGAGCTTTCGAAAACTTCGATCTTGGCCTTGGCTCCATTCTGGGCGGTTACCACACAGAAATTGGCTCCGCCAGCTCCGCTACCTCCACCACCCGAGACTTCGTTGACGTTCTGTTTGGAAGGATCAATTTCACAAGGCAAGCCGTTACAACTGGATTCATCGTCACACGTAATTCTCACACCAAAGGATGGCCTGGTATTCTTGAAAGGACATGAGTCTTCCAAGTAGACAGGGTTCCATCCGATCTTGACGAAAGTGTTCTGCGAATCGTCCATGTTGGCACCGGCGACGTAGGGTGACCAGTTACCTTGAGGGTTTGACGAGGATCCCCACTTACACCCATCGGCGACGCTGGTGCCAGGTGGATTGATGTAGAAGTGGGATGCGGTCTTGGCCCAGTAATCGGTTCCTGGAACAGCCAAAGTCTCTTCCGATCCGCTGTCCACGAGTGTGGGGATCAGCATCTCTTCGTTCCCGGGCAATACGGTCTGACAGAAAGCAACTCCAGAACCTGCACTGTTTTTGGCGGAAACGGTGCCCTTACCATCGTAGCAGTAGTCGTTTTGCGAGATCGGTTTTTGCAAGTTTCCGCTCTCGTCACAGTAGAGACCTCCGTACTGCGACTGCGGATACGTGTAACTTGTAGCCTGTGGGTCCCACTGGCCAGAAAGCTGACCTGGATTGCACGCATATGGACACCAGCTGCCGTACGAGCATGGTTGGTCCCAACTCATCGCCCAGCCGCCGTTTTGACCGTCGGACTGAACTGAGACCATGCCATCGTTGTTAGGGAAGGCACAAGTACCACCACGACGGAACAAATGCGTTACTTCCTTGCCCTGGACCGCTTTGCCCAGTTTATTCGCATGTTCACGATTATTCAGATTGTTGTACGAATCGATGGCTGCGACGTAGGCGCCGCTGGCTAAAACCGTGAGCACTGAAGAGTAATACATCCTATAATTATAGCGTCAGTACAAATCTCGTATTCACAGTAACTATCATTCACAAATAGCTCCTGGCGGTCGCTAAGTGCAATATGCTGGGTTCTTATATCATGGATCTGTGAGTCTGCCTTTTTGCACTGGGAGAAATGAAAACTCTCTCAGAGCTCGCGAATCGACGACGAATCGATTAGGTAAAAGTGCTCATAGCTATCGTAGCGAGTAGGTGTGATCCATGCTATAAATCTGCTGCTTCGCTATTCTCTTGGAGAGCTCGGTTACGTTTGGAAAATGCCCTTCTACTGAAAATGAAAAGATTTTTCACTTCAAGTCTTGGCATACTGCAGCCTGAAATGGGGTGCTGTCTGTGCACTAGTTAAAGCACTAAGAGGGTCTCACACTTCTCATACAGCCCACTAAGAGTTTTCATCGTCAACATGATTTTTTTGCTTCTTTTTCTTTTAGTTTGGTGATCCAGAAGGAATTATAGCATAATGGCTAATTGCAAATCAGGATAACAGCAGTCAGTTTCTGAGATGCGACTGCAGTAATCGATTCGCCGTTGTAGTCTGATCTAATCGCGAACTGCGCCAAAAGAATTTAAGCATTGTTGCAAGGTTCTTGCATTTTTTTTACATCATTTGGTCTGGTACTTCACGCAGGGTAAAGTAGACGTTGTGTTGCAGAGGAGGCTGCATTTGAAAAGAACATTGTAGAGTTTGATTTCGGTTGCTTGTAAGTGGAAAAGTGGGTAGTGGACGCGGAGAATTATTGAAAGCGAAGAGAATCCGTTGCGAGTGGTGCGCTGGGTGTTCGTAGGAAGCACTGTAGGCAAGGTTGATCGTGATGAAAGCGACATATCGTAATAGAAGCGACTGTGATATTTTTAAGAAATTGTGCGTATGGAGCTTCTGTCGCTGAGTAAAAGAGGTCTACAAACTTGCTCAAGGTGTGTGGGCCGAGTTCTTAGAAAGGCGAGAACATTGTAGTTGGAGGGACATCTTTGGGGAATCGCAGTTGCATGGCTGATGGTCTAGGCAAGGTTTACTTGACAGCCAGAAAGCTTATTAGTCAACTCCAAAGAGTAAAGCTAACGCTCACGTTGTTTGCGCTATTTGTGAAAAATCTGAGGAATTAGCCTGTTGTTTGGAGGTTTTCGGCCGTAGGCTCGTGATATTCGATCCTTCTTGTTCTAGTCTCTTCCTCGGTCGGCCGCGAACTACAAGTCGTCATCACCGCCATGCGGCACTGTTCGTAGCTTCTAGACCGGGCGCGGTTCAAAAATACTACGATCTTTTACACTATTCAAGCTGAGCATTTATCTCAAAGGACTTGTGATAAATGGATGCTCCGGGGGTTTGACTTGAGACGCTAGCGACACGATAACAACGGAATACTCACGCCTTCAAGTGATCGGAATTACGATGCTAGTCTCATCCACCTTGTATTGCCCAAGATCATATGCCATAGAAATAGTTTTTTGGCAAAATAAGTTGTATGACTTGAGTATATAGACACGCCCATGATCTTCTCGAGACCTAACGAGCAGTCCCAATCAACGTGGGTACCTCATAAGACAGGCATCGATGCATTCGTAGCAACAACATAGTTGTCACAATGTGTCTGACCATGCATCTAACATTCCACTCGTTTCAACTGTATTAGCCACTTAGTGGCACTTCATTCGATTAACGGAAGCCATTCAGCTTGCTGGCCAAGTGGATGGCGGGATGTCCCGTTGTTTTTGTCACATTGTACCATTCTGTCGCTGGCGTAAGCCCAAAGCTACAAGCCTTGCGCTTAAAATGTTCGAGGATTGAGAAATAATAGTACCAAGTTGCCTGATGACAGATTAGTACAAAGTGACGTGATTAAAACAAGAGCGTCGCAGACTAAAGAGACTTAACAAGTGGCTGATCTGATGACTGCAGGACGTTTCGAAAGGTTCTCGAATGCCGAATAATCTGCAGTTCGATGTAAGCAAGTTGCGTGTCACCTCAGAAACTTCTTATAAATTCGAAACTTGAGCCTCCTTCAGGTCCATGGCAGGGCTATCTGCTACTAAGGTACACACATTCCCTGATTTGGGTAACCCTGTTTGGCTCACGATCAATCGGCAAGCACTGCTATCCTCAGAAGATCTATGGTATGTTATGGTTTTCGGTCCAGTGCCGGTGGGGTGGTAAATATAAAAACTATGTCTTTTCAACAAGCATGATACCAGACCCATCTGATGATTAGCCCAAATTTGAGGTCTGATGCCTAATTAATTCAGCTTGCCACTGACAAGAAATTTAGGTGATGAGCAAACAAGTGGATGTCATCCTAGCGATACCGACACGCAGACGGAGGGTCAGAGTGAGAGCAGCTCTCAAGACAACCAAATCCGATGCCGGTCAAGATCTCCAAAGGCCAAATACAGCTCAAAAACTGAGCATGAGATTGATCAATCCAGATTATAGTGCGAGATACGGGCACGTCTCATCTGTTTCTCCCGAGGGTGGTAGTAATCATGCACACGATGAATTTACTATGCAACGAAGATCTCAATCTATTCAAAACTTTGAGGAAGCAAACTCACGTCCGGAATAAAAGATGACACTGACCATGCAGATGACGAAGAGGAAGGGATTATAACAAACGAAACTACCTTTGCGCAATTTATCACAGACCTGCTATCCAAAGAAAGCAAGAATTTTAGGCCTTCGACAGACTTTGAGCTTGTCGGACCGAAAAGAAAGAGAGTATTCTACCTCAAAGTGATATGTCGCTACTTTTTGCACAGAGCGTTGCCGAAAAATCGATTTACTACAGGGATGTGATTGAAAATAATAGCAATATGAAAGAAACAAACGAATATACGGCAGCGTATGATAACGAGATTGATCAAATCCACTTGGGTGACCCACACTGATTGCATATTCTGCGCCAGAATACAAAATAGTCAGCTCAACGTTTATTTTCACCACCAAAAGAGATGGTAGAAGAAAACATAGATGTGTGGCAAGAGGTTACTAGCAGAAACGCACGAGCCAACGAGGCTTAACAAGTGATCTAAAACTAATATAAATGCTTACAATGAATGACATAGCTGCTACAAATGCGGCTCACTCATTCTTTATTCATCTCAAAACAACATAAAAACCGAAAAAGATCTTTATTTTGATTCGGAAAGGCCGCAATGAGATATTCCCGGCCCTCATCTACGAACAAACTGAGCTTATCAATCTCGGAACAACTAAACAAAAATAATAGTTAGCTTATTCTTACTAAGTGAGAGTCGCCTTAATATAAAATGGCATTTTTTCCACTTACTCGGAACTGTTTGTTGAGCAGCGCAGCACACTAATACGTATCCATGTATGGTTCTTTCGTTGTCCAACTACGTGGGGTGTTTGTTTACACCTGCACGGGGCCCCAATACAACCGGGCGGTTCAAGTTCCACCCGCCAAGCAGGTATCGAATTGCTTTTGATCAAGACCCTGAATCAATAATTCAAGCCAATTTAGAATATCACTGGGACCACTTACCGTTCTTGCTAGGCGTTAAGGATTATAGGAGCTGCGACGGCTCTCATAGATTTGGCTTTTGCAGCCTTCAATACTTTTGTTTGAATTTACACCACCACGCAACCTACCCATTTTTAGACATCGCAGGCCAAACTACAAGAATTTACATTCAATCACACTTGGCGATTGCATCTCAATTTACCACCTAATTGAGGCAAAATATTCAAAGATTGCAAGTCTAAAAAGCGTCTCTTTCATGACTGTCAAAAGTTCTAAATGTGGGGTCCCTCGAGGATCCCAAAAATCGGGATTCTGGCAAATACCAAAGCACGATTGAAGCAGCTATTTAGAAGGTAGCACCACCTTCCTCTCAGCTCTCGGACTTGCTCTGGTGATTGGATAGAGAAAAATAACTCTGTACGAGGATATAGGTGCAGGCGTTCTTAATTACTATGTGCAATGTGATTTCTCTCGTAAAACCTTTCTGGTGCCAAGATAAATTCACAATGAACAAGCTTTGTAAACCCTCATCGAATTCAAAGAATTGACAAATTTCAAAGAAAACTCAACATCAAGAAGTCGAAGATGCAATCTAATAAGGAGATTAGAATCATCTCACTCTTGGTGATCGACACGCTTTTCTTCTTCTTGGAAATCGTGGTTGGATATGCAGTACATTCGCTGGCCCTAATTGCTGACTCTTTCCACATGCTGAACGACATTTTCTCCCTCCTGGTGGCTTTATGGGCCGTGGACGTTGCTAAAAACAAGAGCGCGGACTCTACCTACACGTACGGATGGAAACGAGCTGAAATCTTGGGTGCGTTGATCAACGCAGTGTTCCTGATCGCTTTGTGCGTTTCGATTCTAATTGAGGCTGTGCAGCGGTTTTTCGAGCCCCAGGAGATTAACAACCCCAAGTTAGTGCTTATGGTGGGTTTTGCGGGGCTCATTTCCAATATCGTTGGTCTGTTTTTGTTTCACGACCATGGTCACTCCCATGGGCACGGCCACTCGCATGCTGCTGCTTCATCTCCCCAGGACGAAGAAAGCGGCCATAGTCATTCCCATGCTGAATTCAACAATGGCGACGAGTCGTCGCAAGATATCAACGACCTTTTGCCCTCCACAGTAGTCCAATCATACACCCCTGAAACGTCTCCTCTCCTTACGAAAAAGGATGATCACTCCCACTCTCACAAGACCGAGGTGAAAAAAACCCAGAAGTCTCTCAACATGCAAGGTGTGTTCTTGCACGTACTGGGAGATGCACTTGGCAATGTAGGTGTCATGGCCACTGCCTTGTTCATTTGGAAAACTGATTACTCCTGGAGGTTTTACACTGACCCTGCCGTATCATTGGTGATCACAGTAATTATATTCTCTTCTGCTTTGCCCTTGGCTAATAAAGCATCCCGCATTTTGCTACAAGCCACCCCGGCATCCGTTTCTGCTGATGATGTTCAGAACGAAATCTTGGGTGTCCCCGGTGTTGTGTCCGTCCACGACTTTCATATTTGGAACTTGACCGAATCACTCTCGATCGGCTCCATTCACGTCTCAATTGACTCCACTCCAGAACAATTTACAGAAATTGCGAGCACGATTAGAAACATTTTCCACCAACACAACATTCATTCTGCTACAGTTCAGCCTGAGTTCGTTAAGGGAAATGTCGACGATGACGCCTACAAGAGATTTTCCAGAATAGCTGGCGGTGGCGTTTATGGGTCCTCTTTGTCATTGAGGCAAGATACTGCAGAAGGTGGCAATACTTCTTACGGTACAAACGGAGAAGCCCGTTGTATAATTGACGAAGCTGCTAATTGTAACACAGATAACTGTCTGCCTAACAACTGATCGATCATTCGGTACTCTAAACATTTCAAAAACAACATCTAGAAATATAACATATACATTCATTGCAGTAGGACTCTGTAGGTAATCTACTTTAAAATATCATTTTAGCTATAAATACAACTTTTATTTAAAATACAGTGAGGGTCGTTAAATGTTTAACAAAATATCAAAATGTTTGTTTCCAGGGTATGTTTGTGTCTTGAGCACTTAATGCTCCGCATCTTCTTTTATTATTCCTGTTATGCCATATATGTTACAATGCTTTTAAGATGTTTTATCCCACCTTAGCTTTCTTTCTGTCTCCAATTTGATGCCGGTTCTATTGTTTCCAGGGTTTTCAATGTTGTACTCGTAGCCCCGTATTATAGCAGCATCTTTGACCTTTGGGAATTCCTCAAGTTCGTCTAAATCTACGCAATCTTCATAACCGTGACCCATCAATTTGACGCGGCCTTGGACAAGTTGATCTCTTATGTCGATATTGACAGGAATGGTGACCCTTTCCCATTTATTAGCAGGAAGCGGTACCTTGTCAGTGCATGCGTTTATCTCAGTCGCGAAAATGGTGGCATTAACAAGGGACCCATTAGTGGCAGTTACCAAATAATTGAGGGAATCTGGGCTCGAAGGTCTCTTCAAGATTGATTTTAGACTCTCCAATCTTTGGCGATCGTTCTTGCGATCGTTCTTGCGTGGCAAAGGTTTGAAATTCGTAGCCTGTGGTAGCGGCTTTTTAGCACCAGCGCTGAATAAAGGAAGTACGTCGGGCTTCTTGGAGTGTAACTGCGAATTTGGTTCCTCATGCAGAGTGCCATCGTTGAGTAAGCTGGAATGCAAGAGTGCAGATGACAAAAGGAAGTCTTTTATGGGAGGGGGGCTTACCGAAAGATCCTCAATGGGACTGACACCAGCAGGACTGATCATGCTGCAAGAGCTCATGTTACTGTCGTCGCTTAAGGTATCGTCGTCAGACGTCAACTCCGGAGAGTGTTCCAAAATCGAAGCGAACATCGTCTCTTTAGCATGGGTTGAAAGCGTCTTTGAGGGTTTAGAAGGTGAGTCTAACACCGAATTGGTGAGATTGCAGTTGGGTGGGAATCGGTAACCATTTTTGGAGCCGAGTTTGAGAGGCGGAGCGTCCAGCGCTTCGCCGAGTACTTGGGCCTTGGGCGTCATGCGGGCGAATCTTGAGTGGCCGGCATAGGACTGGAGGTTTTTTAGAACGTCGTTACTAGTTTTCGTAGGGGTAGTCGAGGTTTTGTGCATGGTGAGTGGAGTGAGCGAACGAATAAGTGGGTAATGATTGAGATTGGGTATAAAGCGAATGTGGGTCGTGTCTTAGTGACAGAGAGAGTTAGCGAATGTGTGTGTTGTTTTCAGACAAAGGAATGTAGGATGCTTTCGACAGTACTAGGTACTGATTCTTTGCAAAAGCAGCTCGTTGGGTTTGTAGCGTTTGCTTGGCGTTCACGAAAGTTCAATGCCAAAAGACGACCCCGAGATTCAAAATTTTTACGCTCGGGTTTCCACTTTAAATACCTTGTTACTACCTACTTCACCTCGTTCTCCCAATGTCCATATCCATCGGAAACATGCGTTATAATGCATCCCTCCTAATCATTTTCTATTGGTAAATTGACGAATTACTGTGCTTTTCTCGAGACCTAACCGTTGAGAATCAATTTTTTTCCAGAACCTGGCCCATTAAACGTTCGAGTCGCTGCAGGAGTTTCTGAAGTAGGCACAGTCACAGGCAGGTGCATACATTTTATTGTTTACAAGTAGTCCCAATCTGGGAGGCAAATTGCCAAATTGATCTCGACGACAAAGCGTCCCGATCAAGAAGAATTTTCAGTTGAAACAGTACTCGGTGTGTTATCTGTTAATAGTCACGAATGCTTTTACTTGTACGAACCGTGACGCAATATGGGAAGGTTCCGAGAAGCCGACGAAGGCACGGTACTGTTCATGAACGCTTCGAGTCAATTTTTCAAATGCGGAAACCTGTGTGATGAAAAAGACACACCAAGAAAAGAATAGTCCGAGTGGCTTAGCTACTTGACTGATGTATCTACCGAAATAGAGCTATTTCCAGAGTTTCTGTTTCTGTTTTGCTTTAACAAGTCAAGTCTGGGGTATCGGACGGGCACCAATAGGTAGGCAATCGTTCTTTAGAGCCGAGTTCCTAGAGCTCCCCGAGCCCCTAGATAGGACGGACCATGGGTCAACTGATAAGCAGCATCGGGAACTCAAGCGAAGGTCGGTCCATCTGTTTTCTTTCTGTTTGAACGGTTTGCCCGTCGAGAGTGCGACATATAAGTACAGAATGATAAACTCCGTGCCAGAACAGAAAAAAGTGATATAACACAATATCAAGGTGTCAGCGTCAGCGTGCACAAGTCATAAATCTCTAAAATTAAAACGTATAAATACGCAGATGTGATTGTTCTGGCATTCTTTCGGGAATGATACCCTCAGCTTTCTTGCGACCGTAACTTTTGCTCGCCCCAAATTCACTCGCACAATATGCCAGAAATCGAAGTTGTCAGCAACCAACGTTCCAAATCCGTCCAGCACGTTAAATCGTACCCACTAGTCAAGCAAACGCATGAATTTATTGCGCAGCTGCCCGCAACCAGGGTTTTTGTAGCCAACACAAAACCAGTTTATGACTCCGTGGCCAACTCGAAGCCCGCTCAATGGGTTTCGCCCGTCACCAGAATGGTGGACTCTGTGGCCGATAAGGGTTTGGAAGTAACCGACAAGTGGATTCCTTTTCTGAAGACCAAGACCTACAAAGATCTGCGCCAGGATGCATCGACACCGTTCATTTACACTAAAAATGCCGTGGTGCAGGCATCTAATGCTACTGTTGAGGCTGCTGACACCTATGTGTATGAGCCCACACACAACCAGGTTATTAAGTTCAGACAGTTCTACAACGCGAAGGTCTACGACACACACGGCAAACCACTCTTGAGAAGCTCCATGGACCCAGTGGTGGGGCCTTACAACCAGAAACTGGAGACAATGACAAAGTCGTATTTCCCCACTGGTAAAGAAGTGGCCACCAATGGGTTCAACAGTGAAATTTCACGCACCTTGGCGCTTACTAGCAACTTGTTGGAACGGATGTCACCCGTGGCCCAGCAAAAACTTGTCAATTTTGTGATGGCGCCCTGCACCTACACGCAGCACGTTAACAACGTTTTCAATCACAACCTGGACAAACAGGAGAACTTGGGCCCTGCCAATTCTTGGAACGCTTCCAAAAACGCCGTCTCCACTTTGAACCAGGAAACTCTAGAGTACGTGAACAACGCGAGAAACAGGACGGCCGACGTTGTGAACGAGGCCGACGTCCCAGTTGTCGCAGCTTGAAGTTGTAATATGCCCTGCCTCTTGTTACAGCGCAGACAAGAAATGATAAAAAATCGAATGCCGTAATCTGAGCTTTTCCAGAACTCTGGTGTGAGAAGTGTATGCCAGTCCGAGTGGATTGGCCCCCCGCACCTCTTAGTCTTTAAAGCATATAATTGAAATCAAAAAACCGCTTCGGGATGAAATCGGTAAAAAGCGCTATGCACTGTGCGACAGTGAGACACAGGAAAGGATACAGAAACTATCCGAAACTTCGGGTAAATCTGTCCATGGCTTTCTCGATGGTCGAGTACGTAACCTTGATGTAGTACGACATAACAAAAACGATACCCAACATTTGACTGCTCTTCTGCTCAACACCCACACATTCTAGAACAGGAATATTTTATTTTGGAAAAAGTTTGGAAAAAGTTTGGAAAACTTCCAAAAAACACAAAAACGTTGAGTGGGTTCAAAAAGTTGCGTGGGTATCTGCTGTATTTTTTTCAGAAACCTTTGGAAGCCAGCGGAGGAGAGGTGACCACTTAGCCCACGGCTAGGCAGAGCATTGTGGGAAGTCCTCAGCCTACGCTGCATGCAGTCTCTGCCTAGACTGTTTCACTCTAGGCGGGGACTCCAGTAGGATTCCTCACCAGGTCCTAGGCTGGGCTGGACTGGCTGTCCGTCTGGATTCTCTGCCAGTAGGCGCTTCGTCGCACCACCAACTATGGCCTAACGACAAAAGTTTTAGAAAAGTGATATTCTTGACTCTTGAACCGCTCGCTGTTCGAACGTCAAGGAATCACCCGTGAAGAAAAGTATGTGCTAAGTCAGGGACATCATGATAGCGCAGAGTGTTGAAATACCAGCAGAGAACTAGATTTGTGGGTTATAATGCCAGTGTGAGGAGAAGAATTGAAAGTGTGGGAATATCAATCTCCATAAGAGAATTGCATATGTGTTTTTGAGCGCAGCAGTGACTGCACGCTTTAAGGCCTGGGAATTGCGTATGCCAAATATCCACTCGTCTTCCAGGGACGCCTCCATCGTGGATCAGTCGCTAGTGTGACCAACCAAGCATTCTCAAACAAATTCAGTTTTCACAGCATTTCCAGTATCTTCCTCTCTATGGCTATTCGCCTGCACTTCTCGCCCGTTTGTCGCCTCCCCCGCTTCCTTTCGCTTGTTTTACTAACCCTTTCACCCAGTGGCTCGTTTGAATGAATACCAGGTCATTGGCCGCAATTTGCCAACTGAATCCGTTCCTGAACCAAAGTTGTTCAGAATGAGAATCTTTGCTCCAAACGTGGTTGTTGCCAAGTCTCGTTACTGGTACTTCTTGCAAAGATTGCACAAGGTCAAGAAGGCTTCTGGTGAAATCGTGTCTGTCAACACCATCAGCGAGGCTCACCCATCCACTGTCAAGAACTTTGCCGTCTGGGTCAGATACGACTCCAGATCTGGTACCCACAACATGTACAAGGAGATCAGAGACGTCTCCAGAGTTGCTGCCGTGGAATCTTTGTACCAAGACATGGCCGCTAGACACAGAGCTAGATTTAGATCGATCCACATCTTGAAGGTTTCCGAGATTGAAAAGACCGCCGATGTCAAGAGACCTTACGTCAAGCAATTCTTGACCAAGGACTTGAAATTCCCATTGCCACACAGAGTCCAAAAGTCCACCAAGACTTTTGCCTACAAGAGACCATCCACTTTCTACTAAGCGTATAACACCAAAGGTTTGGCATAACTTTTATGGGTCCTCCCAAGATGTATAATCTGTAGAATTTTATTTCAAAATTGTTTCAAATAAACTGTGAGAACAGATTGATAACGTAGCTAGAGGCGATGTGACAAAGCGCCAAGATGATCTATACCCTGGTATCGAGAGGATACGTTGTAGCACTGTTCAAGTCTACAAAAATAGGCGCAACAGTATCGTTCAAAGCTAAGGGCGAAGCCAATTATGCAGGAGAGGCACGAAGTAGAACTTGGCTCAAACCAACACTTATTGGGCGCACGATACTTATACAACCACATAGACCAGCCACAGATATTCTCTTATTCATCATCTCAGCGGCTTATGGTTATCGGTATTTCACATGATATAACATTGTCGATGGGCCTTGAAAAAAAATTAGATCGCTTTTAACACTTATCGGTAAAACTATTATTCTTGGTTCTTAAACATCTTTCGAATAAAGCTAATTCAACATTGCATGGTAGATTTACAAGCTGGTAGTGGAGGAGAAGTGTCCGACACCGCAGGGTTGTCGCAAAGGGCCAAATATAGTGCCAAATCAGATGCCAATGAATCTTCCAAGACTGAATCTTTAGGTTCTCGAAATGAATCCAACAGTGATGTGCACCTCCCGTTGACTCAAATCCACTTGAAGAGTCACGAGTGGTTCGGAGAGTTCATCACAAAACATGAGATTCCAAGGAAAACGTTGCATTCATCCATCGGGTTCGTTACACTATATCTCTACACGACGGGAGCGGACTACAGGAAAGTGAAATGGCCTCTCATATTTGCATTCGTTAACATTTTCGTTCTTGACTTGGTCCGTCTGAGATGCCCAGCTGTCAACAAACTGTATTGCCGATGTGTTGGCGCGCTCATGCGGAAACGAGAGATCCACGCCTACAACGGAGTGCTGTGGTACTTGTTGGGACTGATTTTTGCATTCAGTTTCTTTCCAAAGGACGTGGCGCTTATCTCACTCTTTTTGCTGAGCTGGAGTGATACTGCCGCTTCTACGTTTGGGCGCAAATATGGACATTTGACCCCCAAAATTGCTAGGAATAAATCCTTGGCGGGTTCCATCGCAGCGTTCATCGTGGGTGTGTCCGTTTGTTATCTGTTTTATGGTGTGTTTGTGCCACGTTACGCTCATATCAGCTCTCCTGGTGAATTGAGCTGGTCTGCGGAGACCAGCAAACTATCGCTATCTCAATTTTCATTGCTGAGCGGGGTCTTGGCAGCGTTCAGCGAAGGGATTGATCTTTTCAATTGGGACGACAACTTCACCATTCCTGCATTATCTGCTATTTTCATGAATACGGCAATCCGCTTGACGAGAAGGTCCAATTGAGCCAGTGGCAGAAACTTATGTACCTCTATATAGAACTGTGAAGTAATAAAAATAAAATAGCTTCGTAATTTTTTATGTTATCTGGACCCATAGCACTGCCGGAGATTGTAAACGAGATGGAGGGCTTCGCCGCTGTTATCTAATCGTTTTAATCAGTCCCTAGCCTCCTGCTGTCACCCAAGGTTATGAAATGAAAGGCTCAAGGCACGAATTTCAAGTTACTAACACGGAGCTCCTAGTGGACCAGCGAGCTCCGGGAAGGACTCATAGGTTTGTATCTAATGTGACTATTGATAAATTGAGACTAGTTCGCGTTTAATGAACCAGAGTTTTTATGTTGAGATGGCGCAGACGCATTTTCAATGCTAAATATCGAAAAGCTACTTCCAATGAAAAGGAATGGTGCAAGGAGACAGGCTCAAAAAATCCTACATTATGTCGTAGTTTTCATTCATAACAAAAAATACTAGCTAACGTGTGCCAGCTTGAAATTACAACTTTCTACCACCCTCTGGGTAAATACGAATGTGAATTGAATATTACTGTACAAACATTACATTCAACTATTTGTGATTAAGATTCACAGATAGCTAGAATTTTGATTCTGCAAACTTAACAACCTATTGGATTCAAGCTCGCCCCATGATAATTTATGAATTCATTTGCTGGGCGATCATCGTTGTTCTTTCCTGGCGCTAACTCTATAACAGATATCCGCCGTCACTCGAGACGTGCTACAGCTCATCGCTTTTCTTTCCTTTTTCGTCACTTCTTCAATATTGAAAAATTTTAACTAAATTTGTTCAAGCTCATCGGATGGAAAAGTTTTCGTCAATATATCAATTCATCGCATAGTGGATTATTACCAGAAGTACCATAACTGAACCATCAAAACGGTCCTGAGCTTCAAGTTTTGCATCTGTATTCGACTGCAATAATAGCGTGGGTTTTTTAGTATTTTTGCGAGGATTGAATAGGTGATTAGATATTTGCAAAGATGGCCTACGTATTGACAGAAACCTCCGCTGGTTATGCGTTGTTGAAGGCGTCGGACAAGAAGATCTACAAGTCGTCGTCGTTAATCCAAGACCTTAACTCGTCCGACAAGGTGTTGAAGCAATTCAAAGTGGCCGCTTTCTCCAAATTTGGATCCGCCGCAGAAGCTTTGCAAGAAGCTAACAGCATCGTCGAAGGTAAAGTCTCCACCCAGCTACAAAAATTGCTGGACGAGAGCAAAGCCGACAAGAAGGCCACTTTGGTGGTCTCTGAAACCAAGTTGGCCAACGCTATCAACAAGTTGGGACTAAACTTCAATGTGGTTTCTGATGCCGTCACTTTAGACATCTTCAGAGCCGTCAAGGAATACCTACCAGAGCTTTTGCCTGGTATGTCTGACAACGACTTGTCCAAAATGTCTTTGGGTCTAGCTCACTCTATTGGCCGTCACAAACTTAAGTTTTCTGCTGATAAGGTTGACGTCATGATCATTCAAGCCATTGCCTTGCTCGACGATCTAGACAAAGAGCTTAACACCTACGCCATGAGATGTAAGGAATGGTACGGCTGGCATTTCCCAGAATTGGCCAAGATTGTTACCGATTCTGTTGCTTTTGCTCGTATTATCTTGACCATGGGTGTCAGATCAAACTGTGCTGATACTGATCTCAGCGAAATTTTGCCTGAAGAGATTGAAGAGCGCGTTAAAGCTGCTGCCGAAATCTCCATGGGTACTGAGATTACTCCAATCGATTTGGAAAACATTAAATGTCTTGCCACGCAAATCACAGAGTTTGCAGCTTACAGAGAGCAACTGTCCAACTATCTATCCGCTAGAATGAAGGCTATTGCGCCAAATTTGACTCAACTAGTAGGTGAATTGGTCGGTGCCAGATTGATTGCCCACTCCGGTTCTCTAATCAATTTGGCCAAGTCTCCAGCCTCTACCATTCAGATCTTGGGTGCTGAGAAAGCTTTGTTCAGAGCTCTAAAGACTAAGCACGACACTCCTAAGTATGGTCTACTGTACCATGCTTCTTTGGTCGGCCAGGCTACTGGTAAGAACAAGGGTAAGATTGCCAGAGTGTTGGCCGCTAAGGCCGCTGTTTCTCTACGTTATGATGCTTTGGCTGAAGACAGAGACGACTCTGGCGATGTTGGTTTGGACTCTAGATCGAAAGTCGAAAGCAGACTCTCGCAGTTGGAAGGCAGGGACCTAAGAACCACTCCAAAGGTTGTTCGCGAAGCGAAGAAGGTAGAAATCACAGAAGCGAGAGCCTACAACGCCGATGCCGACACTGCCACTGAAGCGGCTCCAGCCGCTGCCGACTCTGATGAAGAGGAGTCTGATTCTGATTCTGAAGTCGAAAAGAAGGAGAAGAAGGAGAAGAAGGAAAAGAAGGAAAAGAAGGAAAAGAAGGACAAGAAGGACAAGAAGGACAAGAAAGACAAGAAGAGAAAGAGAGACGAAGATTCTGAAGACAAGGAGTCCAAGAAATCCAAGAAGGACAAAAAGGACAAAAAGGATAAGAAATCTAAAAAGGACAAGAAATAAGTCGAATGATGCAAATCTTTCCATACTTTTCACCCCTATACACTAAAACCCATAGGCGGAACTACAAGATAACCGCCAATCCCATATCCCCACTAGTCATCATTAATTGTATTTTTTTGTCATACATGTAAATTAGTTATTTTGGACCGTTTCGGTGCTATGTACCCTGATCCATCATATATACGAAAGGCGATGAGCTTGATTGATCTCCTATAATCGAGAAATGGTACAACACAATCACGATGTTCTGAATTTCATTTAGTTGGGATTTCAACAGACTTTAATTTCCGGATGGACAAACCTACTTTTATTTTAAGATCTCTGAAATTCAAAAGCTAAACTAAAAACGCCACAACTCTAAAAAATGGCTCACGAAGTGTCTCTTTCGATCGAAGAAACCAACAAGCTAAGACTCTCCTTAGGCTTGAAACCTATTGTGGCAGATGTTACAACGCCGGCCAAGACAGAAGAGGTAGCGACTGTAAGTCAGAAAAGTTCAAAGGAAGGTGTCGATTATGATAAAAACAAATTCATTGATACAAAGCTTTCAAGACTGCGATGGAATTTGAAAAGAGCACAGTCAAAAGCGAATGACGCTACACTCTTGGATGATGATGAGGACGAAAATCAACAGGATTGGCTCACAAACGTGGGGTATAACAAAAAGAAGTCAAATCCGAAACTGGACCAAGGGTACTATGATGAAGTCGATGAAGAAGATAGAAATCTCAGTAATAATGATTCTCGAGTAAAAGTCTCACATCGAATGTCAGAAGTCTTACCTGGCAAGAATGTTATATTAACACTCAAAGAATCAAAACTAGATCCAGATGAAGATGAAGACGTGCTAGTGAACGAGGGCATGATACATGATGCCCAACAAGCAAAGAACGTAGAGCTAAAACGGTTAAACCAAGACAGAAGGCGCCACAAGGTCACCATCGGAAAAGGCAGTCTCGAAAGCGAGCACTGCAATAGCGAAGAGACCGAATCTTCATTTCATTTAGTAAACGGAAAGATAGTCGAAGCCCAACTCGACATCAAAAACCAAAAGGAGCCTGAAGACAAAAGAAAAGTCATACTCGAAGAAGATGAGGAGAATGAGGATAACCTAACGTCAGACTTTGCACCAATAAAGATAAAGAAGCGCAAGAAATTCAATGGTGGAACAACATCAAATAAGAGACCTCGACCGGTGTCTCAAGTTACTAGAGTGGCCCTAATTGATGAAGACACCATCGACCCAGCTGAAGAAGAATTTCAGGGCTATCTCCATGTAAGAAGACCTAGAAAAGACGGTAACGAGGAGATTAGGAATAGTGCAGAGGATATAGCCAAAGAGGTGGGGCAAGAGAAACAAGAGAAACAAAAGCGCGCCTTGCTAATAGCTAAAATGAATAACACCAAATGCATCACAGTAGATGAAAACAGCACTTTTCTCTCCTTATTAAAGGAAGACTTGATCCCCAAAAAAAACGAAACAGAGATGTTCCAGAAATTAGATCTAAAAGCAGCAATAAGCTCAACCAAAGATCAAGAAGAGAAACCAGATTATTCAAGCGATGGGGGGATCGAAAATGATAACGAAAAAGAGAATTCCAAAGATGATGGAAATAAGATAGATTTCCAGGATGGATTGGCGTCGATTCTGGGATTTTTAAAAGACCGTAATGCACTCCCATCGCAAGTAAGTAATCTTGCCGCTGCAGAAGCAAGCTTAAAGGAACAGGAGCTTATGGCGCTAAAGCAAAAAGTCGAGGCCCGCGAAGCCCGCGAAAAACTGAGCAGAGAATTAACGATGGGCAACGTGCGGTATACCAAGGATGAGCTTGAAAAAATAAAGCAGTCCCAAGAACAAAAGATCAATAGCCAGTTTCAAGGTTTGCAAAAACAAAAACTTGCCTCTTACAACCCAGATGTTAAGCTTACGTATAAGGACGAAAATGGCTACGAGCTCACCACCAAGGAGGCTTACAAAAAGCTGTCACAGGCGTTTCACGGCACACGTTCCAACCGCAAAAAGCATGCCAAAGCGCAACAGAAAGTGGAGAACAGAAACAAGCAAAATAATAATTACGTAGGTTAGGTAGCGTAAGGGCTGTATTTTTAAAGGCGTCATACTCCTCATGGTAGAACACGACAAAACTAACTATCCCCAGCACGACGGAGTTTCACAAGTTTACCCAGACCTCCCGGCAGAACTTGTGTTTTCGTAAAGTCAACGCCAAGATAAAAAAAATTGGACGAGACCGGAGTCGAACCGATGACCTCTCCCATGCTAAGGGAGCGCGCTACCAACTACGCCACACGCCCGAATTGATGAAAGGTTATGGCATTTGATCAATTATACCCTAGGACTACAATCATTTGGTCCATGATACACTGAAATAGTCTGTATGAGTCGTTTTCTATGTGATAGAATTCCGAGAGATTACCACATAGTCAATAGTTATGACCTTGTTATAACGGAACTGTCCCTGACAGAATGGCCTTTTCTTCATACCTTACTCTCCAGCACGAAATTGTCTTATCATTGTTTACCGCGTCGTCGCGAAACCAATGTACAGCTTACGATAAATACAAGGCACGTAGTAAAATGTAGCAGAGACATAGCCTGATAATGACAACACAACTAGTAATGTTAAAGAAAGCTACTGTGAGGGGAGATGTTGCTGGCTAGCATTTGTTTAACTTTTGTATAATGTTCACGAGAATTTATTTATTCATGCTGGTGCATGTTGGAATAAAAATAAAGTAAAATAAAAAAAATTCAGCGAAAAACAAACAACAGTAAGAACAAAGAATTCATCTCCTGAAAACCATCACCTTAAGAAACTTTGTTTTCCCTGTTTAATCCAGCCTTCACCGCTGCTTTGAAGTGACTGACGTTTAGCGGCTTGCAAGAACACTAGATTTTCGGTTCAGTACCCTTCTGCTCCAATTGGTCACATCTCCGTGTTTATACAAAAGCACTGAGTTACTCGTGTGTCATCAGGGTAGACAAACGTCGTTGTATTATTTAAGACCGCGGCTATTACTGCACCATAACTGCAAACCACATTCGCTTATAGGCCTTCACTCGCTTTCTCTTGGACCTTTTTCCCTCTCGCTATCTTTACAATAATTGCGCCATCCGTTGATACCTCAGCATCTATGATTACCACTCAAAGTACCACCCAGAGTACTACCACCAAAAGAAGGAATTCCATCCATACCAATCTTTTCGACCCAAAACTTTACCAAGTGCCTCCTTTGCCTCAAGGCTACCATAACTCGCCCAGTCCTTCACTGCTAGATTACACTATCCAGGAAGAGCCTCGAACTGCCCAACATGAACAGAAAGTTAAGGGCAAGTTAGTGCTCTATGTACCCGAAAACCTGAAAGCGCATTTACCGGCAGTCAATTTGAGAATAACATTGCTCTGTTGTGTGTGGTATGTCACATCTTCCATCTCCAGTAATCTTTCCAAGGCCATATTAAGCGATTTCCCTCATCCTGTTGCTCTCACAGAGCTGCAGTTTTTCATCAGCGCCGCTCTCTGTGTGGTGTTTGTTACGCTAGCAAACTGGCTGAGCTCCGAGACCCACAAGGCTGGCACTATGGCTCGGACTTTGCTTTCCTTCCCAGAGGGTATTTTACCTAATTATTTGAATGGTGATTTCAAACTGTGTGTGCTGCGCAAGTTTTTAACTCCTTGCAAGCTGGCACTCGCAGCAACTTTCCCTATGGGCATATTTCAACTAGTCGGACATATTAGCTCGCACGAAGCGACTTCCTTGATACCCGTATCCCTTGTTCATTCAGTCAAGGCTTTGTCGCCAATAATGACCGTGTGCTACTACAGGTTTGTTAAAGGAAAACAATACAGTTTAATGACTTACTTCACTTTGATACCCTTAATAAGTGGGGTCATTATAACCTGCTGGTCAACCCATGGACACAGAAAACCCAATGAATCCATCAACGAACATAGTTTTGTTATGGGTCTTTTTTTCGCTCTATTATCCATGGGGATTTTTGTTTCTCAGAACATCTTTGCGAAAGGGATTCTTACGGTCAAGAAGCAACGTGGAATCTTACCTTCTAAAGCGGAAAAGCAAATGATTCTCAACGAAAAAGACTACTCGCCTCTGCAGATTGACAAACTCACAATTTTGTTCTACTGTTCATGTATCGGCTTCATCCTTACCTTGCCTATATTTATCTCCAACGAGATTTTCCATATGAATTCTGCACACAATGTCCAAAAAGATCTCGGCGGGAGAGCGGTTTTGTTGGTGCTTATTCATGGTATTACACATTTCTTTCAAGCAATGTTGGCCTTTCAGTTGATAGGCATGTTATCTCCCGTAGATTACTCCATCGCAAATATCATGAAGCGTATCGTCATTATTGCCGTAGCGTTGACATGGGAATCGCACCTGTCTTGGAGACAAGTGTTCGGCTTATCAATGACGATTTGGGGTCTCTATGGTTACGACAAATGGGGTCTATCCAGAAAATAAGCTTGTAATTAAAAAATTAATATAATCTGTCTTTTTTGCATGGTGACTACATCATTTAGTAGCTGGTTGGCTGTTTAGAAATTTGTAAAAGGTTCAGGGACTACAAAAAACTGTATAAAGCTCCCATTAAAGCAGTGTCTATAATTGTCCTCATTAATTGATTATGTTTCTCTCCTAACATGATACTACTCAGTGGTTAGCGACAGGTGTTTCCCCAGTCATTTTACCCACGAAATCTTTAGCTATGTCGCCAAAACCGACCATGAAAACTGTTTGCCAAACACCTAGACCGATTCTTGGTGCTACACCACGGTATAGACCCTTGATACCGCTGGATTGGTAAATATATTTGAAAGCTTTGGCTACCGTCAAGTTCTTGGGTCTCTTTGGATCGTCCTTTTTAGATTGCATTTCTACTCTGATAACCTCGATGGGTTGATTCCAAGCACTCAAACCACCACCAATAGCAGAGGCAAAAATCTTCTCAAGCGCTGTTAGCTTTTCGTCTGGGTTAGTCTTGCCTGTGTATTTTCTAATACCGTCTTCAACCAATCTAGAGAAACCAAAACGAGACCCCCAGTTGGTCATTTGTCTAAGAGCGACAGCGTTGACACCCTTGTTGATACCTCTAATACCCTCTCTCTGGTAAATCTCCTTAAATGCAGACCACGAAGATTGTGGAATGGCACCAGCGACAGCAGACTTGACTTTGGTAATTTCGACAGTCTTCATGCATGTGCAGAAACCCATGGTCAAGTAAGCCTGTGCAACACCACCGGAAACACCACCCATAATACCAGCACCAAAGTTACCCAAACCAAGTCTTTTGAATTGATATTCGGCTTCAGCGGAGACAAACAGCAGAGCTGCACCTTTCGTGGAAGCTTCGATCCAGGCCCAAGGGATAAGACCTTGATAAAACCCGAAAACACCACCACGGGCCCAGATGTGCTTCACAGACTGCAGAAAGTTCAAGTTACGGTTGGCAGCCATGGTTGTTTTGGTCACCTCCAGAGGCTGACCCAGCGTGGTAGCCTCGCAAAGGTTCAATGCCGAACCCAACAAGATGTTGGAAAAAGACACTGGCTTCTTTTTCAGTTCTGCAGGTTGTTGTGGAGCGATTGACATGATTTACAGCTTATGTGTCTAAGTCTCAAAACCGATCTGAGAATAGTTGATAACGACTTGAAGAAGAAGGTTTAAAGGTTTTATACACACTTTATTTACATTTGCTAAAATTTTCAAGATTAGAAAAATTCCCGTGAGATTATAAAGATAAAGCTGTGATCAATAAGATAACTAGGTTTATGTTGTTGACGCTACCAAGATCAATTTAAGAATGACCACAATTACTTAATATCACACAAATTTGTTGCTACATGTCTGTATGCGCTGAGGTTGATAATGCCGGTGGATTGGTTGGTAGAGGGAAATACCGCCAATATGTGACTAGATTTGGAAGTGCGTGACCAAATAGATCATGATGAGTCTTGGTCAAAGTGAAGCATCATGAACATTCACGAAAGCGAACCGATACCGCAGCATTCACAGTAGCCAGCAAACTTGAGGAAGGTTGGGTGTTAAGTGTTTTCGAATGTATGGCGAAGACCGGTCTTAATGTGCCACCCGCAAATATTCTCGGTTAAGCATGGCTAGTGAACATAGATGGTGAAACATGGGCTATCTTACAGTCACAGAAGACATTTCCTGAAGCTGGCAAGTGACTAAATTATTTTGAGTATATCAGGTTTCCTTCTTGACCTCTCACGCTGTGCTGCTCTTAACCTGCTTGTATTCCCTGAACTTGAGCCATTGCATGACTCCACAGCCCCGCAAAAGCTTTGAGGCGTACTCGTTTTCGTAATAGTTCTGCAACTTTCCGGAGTTCTCTATGTCGTACCAACCCTGGTGAGACTTTAGCAATTCGACCCTGACGTAGACCAACGGAATTGCCAGACCATTCATCACATTCAGCCCGTCTCGGGTTAAGAAGTTGGGTGAACTCAAAACCAACATGTATTGGTTCTTCTTGGCGCTGGGGACTGCAGAAGAGAAGGCGCCCATTGTCTCGCGCACTTCTTTCCCCGTAATCTTGGCGCTCGTAAACGCTTTGCACTGAACAAGCACATTCAAGGGCTTGAACGGTTTTTGGCCCTCTAATTTATGTACAATAGGCTTGAAACTGGCCCCTGCCACTGTAACTTTCTTGGCAGCGTTATCATCAAGCTCGAACTTCCGCTTGCAAACATTATAAATCTTTTCCAGTGGCCATTTCCCACGTATATCAATGCCCGCATCATAAGAACCACCACAAACCACGAGCTTTTCCATGGCCAACTTTTCACTTAATTCCCGAACAACTAAATGTTCATATAAAGTTCCTTGGAAAACTGTAGAACCAGAAATAGCGGCGTTCTCGAGAACATAGTTACGAATTGCTAAATTGTGATTACTCCTGAAGCAGCACCTTGACCAAGCTTTGTTTTTTACACTTGCTTGAATGCGCTCCTTCAGCATGTCGAAACCTCGATCTTATAGCTTGGTCATGAATGATTTCGTAACATACCATCTGGGATCATAATATAAGTTCAATATTAATCAAAATTTCAAAAGCTGCTCAGATTACGGCCTCACAGAGCTCACGAAAGTAGCAGTATGTCATCTTTGGAGGTACGCAAGGAGTCCGGGAGCTCTCAGACAGAAACCAAGCCGGAAAGCAGCGAACAGGTCGTCACTGTTTTTGACTTGGCGACTGAGATAGAACAATCGCTACAAAAGGTAATGAAAGATATAGAAGGCAACGATCAAGAGTTCCAGGAGCAGTATAAGGCCATCGAAAGACGACTTAGAAGTCTGGAGAGGTAAGAAGATTAGCGGCAAGTATTAAGCTTACCTCTATAGAGCTGTAAACATGCTTGGAAAGTATGAGATTGATTGATCACTCAAGAAAAAAGGTGACGGACGCCCTCTGCTCCAATAGCCCACTAGTTGCTGGAAATGGCGATGCGAACACCGTTCTAGGCTTACTGGGTAATTGATGTTACATATTTATACCCATCATGTGATGTTTAGCTATATTAAACAGTAAACTGAATGTATATCGGCAAGCTAAAAGTAAGCACGCCCTGATGCTATTACAAATACGCTTAAGACCTGCTTTACTGGACGCAAATGGGAAATTCTCAAAAGACCAAACGGCGCCAGAAGTCTAAGAGAACTTCCAAGGGTGAAAATGACTTAACTTCTAGACGAAGTTTGGCCAAGATCGTCGATCAAGCAAAAGCACAAAGAAAAGCTCATACTACGGATCATGAGACACCAAATGGCGAAAAGTCAAGCAATGACCCAAAATTAAATCAAAGAGTGGCCAATGTCGGCGTTCCGGATCAATTCAAGGCGGTTTTTGCCAGGTTTCAACCAAAGGAAAGAAGCGATGAGCTTCGACAAGAAGAGTCGAATCAGCAACGTAAGGTGTTTGTTGGGAATGAAGAAATCGAGGGACAAGATGCAGCAGATGAGAGACAAATCAGTCAAGATAAAGAGCTTGAAATTGTAGATTTATCAAAGAAAAGATTTCGTAAACTTAACAAACCATCACTGGCGGAGTTAAAGTCTACGGTCGTGTACCCAGAAGTCATTCAATGGTACGATTGCGATAGTCCTAGCCCAAAGGTACTGGCGAAAATTAAGTCGTCGAAGAACGTGGTCCCAGTACCAACCCATTGGCAACTCAAGCGGGAATACCTCTCTGGAAGGTCAGTAACAGCCAAGAAACCGTTTGAACTTCCGGAAATAATTCGTCAAACGAATGTTGAAGAGATGCGTAATACGCTACCAACGCAAGAACCTGTTGAAGAAAAATCACTAAAAGAGAACTCAAGAGCCCGAATAAGGCCCAAGCTGGGTAGCTTAGACTTAGACTACCGCAAATTGCATGACGCTTTTTTCAAGCTGGGACGGAACTGGAAGCCAGAATACATGCTATCCTATGGAGATGAATTTTACGAAAACCGAAACTTAGAAGAGGAAGTACAGTGGAAGCACATGGAAAGGAGTTTTCGTCCAGGAAGAATAAGCAAGGAGTTGAGAATAGCCTTGGGGCTTCCCGAAGGAAAACTTCCGCCTTGGTGCTCCAAATTCAACGAGCATGGAATGCCACCTTCATACCCAGATTACAAAGTTGCTGGGGTGAATTGGGACATATCAAATATACACGGCGATGTTTACGGAGTACTAGAAACTAAGAGAGACGGTCAACGAACGACTTCACTTTTTGGCGAAATAGTAGAGCTCGAAAGTGAAGATGAAGACACGAATGAAAATGCCGAACCTCAAGAACAGCATAGTGAAGTGACCAAAGGGCACAACAAAGAGGATGAAGACGAGGAGACGGCTAAAAAAAGGAAGAAAATGGAAGACCAAATACGCGCTGAAAGTATGAAAGAGGTGCTGAAACGCAGAAAAATAAACCAAGGCGGCGAAGTTGGCCACGAGAGACCGAAGAGACTATATTCCGTTATAGGACAAAAGGATGAGGCAGGAGACAACCAACTCACAGGCAGTAGGGTTGTGTACGATATCAGTGGATCAAGACATGTTCCCGATGAAGGTCAGTCCACCGAGGAAGGCATTAAACGACATAATTCCTCTGCAAAAGAGCAAGTTTCCGGTGGGGAAGAAGTAGGAGAAGAAGATTCAAAAGATTTCAAATTTTAAACTTGGGTTTGATCTATTTTGAACAACACATCGTGCTTTTTCCCCTTGGCACGTATCTACCGGTTGCATTGTACTTGAGCACCGTGCCCTCTTTGTATACCACTCGGCCCTTTACTATGGTGTATCGAGGCCAGTTTGACACTTTGAAGCCTTCAAATGGTGTATAGTCACAACCATGCTCCAATATACTATTTTTTATGGTGGTGGGTTTAGATGGGTGAGCGTCTTGCGCAGGGTCTTGCGGATACCAAATTACAAGGTCTGCATCACTTACACCCGGCAAAATGGAGCCCTTTTTGGGATAGCACCCATACAATTTAGCAGGATTTGTGCAGTTGACTTCAACAAATTTCATCATGTCCTTAATCTTGTTGTCCAAATAACCATATGTAAATAGTAAAGGCATTCTGGTGCAAACACCCGGCATTCCGTTGGGAATGTAGCGGAATCTGCCGTCTTTACCGTCGTGGAAGGCTCTATGTTTTGATGCCGCCGACATTTTTTCGTTATAATAATAGGAACAGTGGTCGGAACCTACGATAGTGAAAGTTCCACTGTTTATACCATTCCATATATGCTTTTGACATTCTTTAGGTCTGATTGGGGGTGAACAAATATATTTGGCACCTACAAAGTGATCGGACTCATTTTGGTCCACCAACTTGCTTCCGTTGTTTTCAGTTTGGCCCATATCGCAGTCCAATAGGTTTACGGAATGATGACACATGGTTTCCTGATCCGACAGTAGAGCATACTGGGGACATGTTTCGGCAAAGACCCGCAAGCCTTTTGCTTGAGCCTTATTGATAGCCTCTATCGCATCCGGAGAAGAGACGTGAACGAATAGAATAGGCGTGTTGAGCGTTGACGATAAAACAATAGCCCTGTTGGTAGCTTCGCCTTCAATTGCCGGTGGCCTCGAAATGCCGTGGTAATATGCATGAAGTAGGCCTTTGGATTCCAAGTCTTCAGTCATCCACCTAACGATATCTCCATTTTCAGCGTGAATCATGGTGGTGAAACCATTTGTCCTCGTTGAATGCATGGTGCTGAGTATATCATAATCACTCATTTGCAAGCCCGGATAAGTCATGAACACTTTGACGCTTGTTACTCCGAAATCTTCGTACATGTTTTGAAGTTGCGCGTTGAGTAAATCCCGGCCTTCAATAGAGCTCTTCTCTAGCTGGAACAAGATTAAATGCAGCGCGTAATCACAGTATAGTGTTTGCTGAGCATATTCATCGACGACACTTTCAACCGAGTGAGACAGTGCTTTGGGCCCAGTTTTGGAAACATCTTGGGTGGCAAACGCAATAACCGTCGTGGTTCCTCCTGCGATCGCGCTTCTGGTTGCGCTTTCCATTGTGTCTGCTAAATTTCCGAGCAGTTTCAAAGGTTCGTCTACATGTACGTGCGCGTCGATTCCACCTGGGGTAATGAGACCCCCTTCGGCGTCAATAACCTCTACTGCCAAATTGATATCGATGTTGCTCGCAATGCATTCAATCAGACCGTTACCGATTGCAATATCAGCTCTGTAAAGATCACTCGCAGTGCATATTATGCCGTTCTAGGTTAAGGTGTCATTTGCGTTAGTATAAACTCAAAGGTCGCGCAGAGATCTGTTTGCTCTGCAAAGAAGCATGGATGCATACTTTTATGACAAGATCATACATGGTATAGCGTTTATCAGCTCAACGTAACCGCGCTGGACATGCTAACTGTCCTCCGATGGTTTGGCAGTATCGAGATCTTATATATACAAACCCTGCATCACTGATAACGACAATCATTGGTATCAGCAATTGATTTTTCCGCATTCATCTGATCGAAATAATGGCATAATACCACATATATATAGCTATCTCTCTCTCTCTCTCTCTCTCTCTCTCTCTCCCTCTCTCTCTCTTCAACGCAGACATGTAATTTCGAAGGGGATGATCAGTGCATAGTACTTGAAGAAATGATTTGTAGAGGCTTCTTACGCTATAATTTCCACTCTCGACTCAGGCAATGTTCGGAAAATACAGCTGTGAAATTTTGAGAAGAATTCCCACCTTTCCATGTTCTGATTGTGCCAGCCCCAAGTAAAATTGAAGATGTGCTACAATCTGGGAATTTCAATTACTGCATCGCGATCATGCCAGAAGCGTTGCTTCGCTATCAATCTTCGAACTTCTTTCATAAGCACATCACGTTTTACGCAATCCATTTGGTTGTGCCGACTTTTGTTCTGTAGCTTGTGATCCTATTATACCCAATAAGTATATGCCTGCTCTTGCGTGTTATACACCCGTTCTCGAATGCCCAGACAAGATGTCAAAAACGGTGGATAAGCTACCACAGGTGCCATTATCGCAGCACCGTAATCAATGCTACTGTCTGAGCAAAACTGCGGAGACTGCTAGCGCAGATACCTTCTTTGGCTGGCATTAGTCGTGTGGCTCCGTTCAAAAGGCAGTTAGCTTCGAGAGAGGTGCCAACACTGTAGTATATTCTCGTTCGTCAAAGGTGCTCGCATATCGAAAGTGCGCGTTGTGTCAAGCCCTTGGCTACTAATATAGGCCCTAGATTTGAATCGTGCAAATAATATTGCTGGTAGTAGGTGTGCCATATTTCCGTAGTAGACTTAGGGTATTCTTTTCTAGTTTTGATGGATAGAGGAACACTGTATACGGAGTTCGTATCTAGGTATAAACATGCGAATAATCTTCACAGGTACTTGGCAGTCATCTAACATGCTCTTTGGAAGCTCATCGCTGGCAAATTTTTGACGAAAGTAGCATATTCAGGCATAACCCCCGGTGATTTGAACATTTAGAGCATGTCCGATCCCAGTAGAAAGGTTTCGAAACATTCTAGAGATCTTTCGACAGATGCGATCGATAAAAGACGAAACGCGTATAGCATTCATAAAGGAGCACAAGAAAATTTAGAACTCACCAATGCCTATCAATACTCACAGGTTCTGCAACTGGAACATGCAGTGACAAACTTTCTGGAGTATTTCAACAAGATCATACAACTTTCTCCAAATTACAAAGTGTATTTGGAAAATGTTGACCACCTCAAGAGCACCAGTGTCGAAATCCTACCTGCCATGCTGAGGCATAAACTCAAATGTGCAGCAGAGCTCGCTTCACTCAATGAACTGGGTAAACTGCCGTTGTTGGACGAACTGAACAACTACGAGTCTAAGTTTTCTACTGAGGACAGGAAGCCCATTTTGCGAGAACTGGAGGAAAGCGATCTTGACAAAATTTCAGCTTCAGTAAACAACGAGATGGTCAAACATTGGAGCGAAGTATCCAGGAAAGCTCAAGAAGACGAAGAAGAGGAAGAAGAGGATGGCTATGAGCCAGATGAGACAAAAAAGAGGTGGCCTCCAAAACTACCCGAAATCAAAAACTCAGCCATCAGAGCCAGGGTCTTTATTCACAAATCTATCATTAATGACAAGCTGTATCTGTCGGAGCATGACATGATCAAAGCACACAACGAGCGTCTAGAATTTTTGGGTGATTCCATTCTAAACACGACCATCACCATGATTCTTTATAACAAGTTCCCACACCTCAGTGAGGGCCAGCTTTCAAAGCTTAGAATGAAGCTTATTAGCAATGAACGTTTAAAAAAATGGTCTTTTCTCTACAAGTTCAATGAAAAGCTTAGAACTAATATAGATAAGACATGCGAAACCAATGAGTTCAAACAGGGCAAACAAAAGCTCTATGCAGATGTGTTTGAAGCCTACATAGGTGGGCTGCTTGAGGATGACCCTAAGCATAATTTGCCAAGAGTACGGAAGTGGTTGAGCAAGCTAGCACTTCCAATAATAGAAGAGGAGATAAAAAAGGACGATGATTTAGACTTGACCGAGGTCGACATTAATGCTAAAAAGACGCTTTACTCTCTAATTGGCTATGCCGCACTAAATTTGCACTACAAACCAATTCAAAAACCCTCGTTCGAAAATCCAATTGCTCTTGTCGAGTGCCGCATAAAAGATGGAACGGTCTTGGGAATCGGGAAAGGCAGAAACATCAAAATTGCAGGTATGAGGGCAGCACAACAAGCGTTACGCAACAAAGTCTTGATTGAAAAATACGCTAGTCTTCGAGCCGCAGTGCCGAGATCAGACTCAGTGGTTAAAAATTTAGCTGGTAACAAACGTCCTTCCCCAGAAGAAGAAGAACTTGACGAATATGCGTCGGAATCGCACCCGACGAAAAAGATGAACACCAGTTTTGACGATAAACCTTTCGATCCTTCAAGCACTAGGATCATTCCTAATTCAGATGGCTCGCTGGGCCTTATATAGGGTTACATTTTGGCGATGATAAATCTCTACACTAACTCTACTTCGCTTTGTATTTTCATTTTTTTGTCATCGTGGACAATTGGGGATTGACTAACATCTGTCTCTACGGTGGGTGTACTTTCTCTTGCTCTCGGCCGTTTTTTTTTGAAGGAGTCAGGTCCTTCGAACTCTCTTGTTATTATCGCAAGGAGAGTATTAGCCCTCTTTGCAATTTCTTGAACAGTTCTGGACTTGAAAAACCAATTAAACTCAAATAAATCGCTCCCCATAATTTCTTGTTTTACTTTTTCGTGGAGATTCTCAGCAGAGAGCCCTATTTTGTAAATGGTGGTTAGAATAAATCTGTCCTCAAAATGGTCAAAAGTCTTCCGAGAATTGTTAGGAGGGTACTGGACAATCATGTCATAAAGCGGATTCTCGTACTGTTCAATTTTTCTTCTAAGTAGATATTCTTGATTCTTAAGCCTGTCGGCCTTCCTTTCACCAGCTTCTATGGAGTTCAAGTATTTTTCATGACCGCTCAACTCAGTGCATCGCTCCCAGAACACCTTTGCGTAGGCCTTTACGTCATCAACGTCCTTATTGTCCAAAGTTTCGGCAATAGACTCAAAGTCATCTCGACCAAATTTTGAAGAGCTATTGATAAAGACAAAAAACTCTTTTTTGTTCCAGTTCGTGAAGGCTTGACTAATTAGATCTTGTTTTAAAGTTTCGTCTTGTTCTGTGTACTCAGTAGCTTTTTGAATCTTAGCCTGTTCTTCAGCAATGCGTTCATTTAATTCTTCACTAGGAACATCAACTTCATCTAAACCAAGATCATACGCGGATATTCGATAGTTCACTTTTTTTTAAACCACAATTGCTCTTTTTCTTGAAGATCTCTTACCTGTGATGGGAAAAACTGATGGTCTTGTATGTTTATAGTTTTCGGAGGTTTTGCCATTCTTGGTTGAGGGCTATTTTTAGAGTTACCATCAACATCTTTAGGATTATCTTCCACAAAATATGATTGCTCTCTTCTTCTTTCACGCCGAGAGGGATTGATCCAGGTTTTTGTTTGATCTTCGGGCCTCTTTTGAAAGTTCTCACCATTCCACTCATAAGCAGACTGGTCACCAATGCCGTTGAACTTTTGAAGGTCATCTAATCCAAGCTTCTCGTACTTAGCATTTAGCTGGAGTGTTTTCTGCTCACCCTTCTTCAAAATTTCGTCGATGTCATCATCGATAGTCATGTTCTGTGAATTACTACCAAAAACGTCCTTTGCACCAAACTGAATCATATCCAATAGTTCACCTTTAGAGTTTCCAATAGATGAGGTCTTTTTTCCCACACCCTGTTGGATCACAAGCTGATCTAACCGCAGCTTTTGAGCTGCTCTTTCTATAACCTTTTCTTCAATTGCGTTTTCAGTAACAAAGCGGTAAACATGAACCTGCTTTTTTTGTCCAATTCTATGCGCCCTATCCATAGCTTGCAAATCAGCCTGGGGGTTCCAGTCGGAGTCATAAAGTACAACAGTATCAGCGGTAACCAGGTTGATACCAAGTCCACCTGCTCTAGTGGTCAACAGAAATATGAATTTTTTAGAGTCAGGCTCATTAAATTGGTCAATTGCCTCAATCCTGTCTTCGTGGGAAGTTGATCCATCAATTCGACAGTAGTCGTAGTCTCTGAAGAAACAGTAGTCCTCCAAGATATCTAAAAGTCTTGACATCTGACTAAAGATGAGGACACGAGAACCAGCCTCTTTCTTCTTCTTCAGCAATTTATCAAGAACAATCATTTTGCCTGCATTGTAAACCAAATGTTCCTCAGTTGTATATGGTGGACCTGGCTCAGCACCTTCAAAAAGGTACGGGTGATTGCAACACTTTCTCAGTTGCATGACAATGTTAAGTAGCCTAGTGCTACCTTCGCGCTTACCAATTGCACCGTTCACGGCGTCCAGGTCTTTTTCGAGAAGACTCTTATACCATTGAATTTGCATTTGAGCCATTCCCACATAGAGGTTGGTTTCAATTTTAGGGAGTAGAGACGTCTCAACTTCGGATTTTAGTCTTCTCAGCAGGAATGGGCTCAAGACAGTATGAAGCTGTTGGACCACAACTTCTTGGTCCTCGTCACTATTATTTTGCTCGAACCACTGGCCAAATACATCCGAATCTCCAAAAACGTCAGGAAGCAAAAAATTCAACAGAGCCCAAAGCTCGTGAAGATTGTTTTGCAAGGGAGTACCTGTTATCAAAAGTCTGCCCTTGGAGCGAAATAAACGAATGATTTGAGACAACGTGCTTTGTTCATTTTTGATTCGATGAGCTTCATCGACAATAAGATATTGCCACATTAATCTCTTGAGCGTCGATTTTTCCTTAATGACCATCTCATAAGAAGTGATTAGGACATCGAACTTGGCTTCAAGTACGATGTCGTTGAAGATACGCTGACGCTCCTCCTTGTCTCCACTCAACACAACAGTTTCAACCTCGGGCGTCCACTTGGCGAATTCTCGCTGCCAGTTGTTGAGAGTTGATTTTGGCACTATCACGATGGTAGGCCCATCGATGTTTTTGACGTAGCGCAAATAACCCAGAAATGCAATTGTCTGGAGCGTTTTACCAAGTCCCATTTCATCGGCCAGAATTCCCGATAGTTTATTTTCATACAAGGACAGCAGCCAGTTTACACCTTGGACTTGGTAATCTCGTAGCGTGCCAGATTGGATGTAGCTGGGCGATTCTGTAAGTATTCCTGCAGTGTCAATGTCCTCCTCCTCTTCTTCCATGAGCTCTGCATCCTCCTCTTTCTCGGTTTTTCTGTGGTGTCTTGAATCCTGAGACCTACCACTTGTCGCTTTCTCATGAGAGCTGCTATCTGAGTCGAAGCTCTTTAGTAACTTTTGAATGTTCTTGTCTTGTTTGGCTCTTATGCTGATGAAATGGCGAAATAAGTCTGTCAAACGAAGCAGATACTTGAACCGCTCATATGTCTCTTCTTTCAATATCTGCTTCTCTGCAGCTGCCCCTGGACGCAGGAAAAATTGTTTCTTTCGAGCGGCCCAGTATTCCTTGTCCTTGACAACTTTGGTCTTCCCCATCGCTTTAAGATTAATGCGATAGATAAACAACAATCGCTACCAAAGGTTAGTAGTGTAAGCAAAGATTGTTGGTCCTGATATGTATCAATTGAAGGCTATGAAATACTCCAACGTCGCGCAGAAATTCGCTTTAGATGTTTTTATGAGTGTTGATATGTAATTTCAGCATTTGATCCAGTAATGAAAATATACGAATAGTTGAGGTCCCATGAAAGTGACAAATAAACGCGAGAAGACGTATATCGGAAAGCAATGAGTATGTTTTTGAGCGTTCGAAAGTAAAGTATATACATGCTGTTTGTAAGGTAATCTGATCACTAAAAACCAATCGCGTGATGGCAACTCGAAGGCCTTAATACAATAAATAAATCATAGTTTGCAACAGCCTTGCAAACTGATACAACTTTTAAAGACGCGTAGTCATCTCAAGTAGAAGCTTTCGCTCCCGTTTGACGTTTATGTAGCGGCTTTCGGGCGCGTTCATGTCTGGAATGTTTTTTTCCACCCTCTGCATCCGTTTGAGAATCCTTTGGTTTGGACTTGTTGAGAAGATAGCGCTCTCTTTCTTCTTCCTTTTTGAGCTGCTCTTGAACTTTTTCGGATTCCTGAGACCACCATTTGGCAAATCGTTCCTCTTCGATGGCCTCTTTAAGGGATCGCGACGGTTTTGGGACGTTTTCCTTCGTATTGCTTAGATACAGCGGAATTGTCGAACTTTCACCAGTGCTCGTTAGCCCAACTACGGAGCTTTTTCTCTTGGTATTCTGACCCCGTATTGATTGTGTTATAGATGGGAATTTGTTAGCCACCGAGGCTGTTGATTGAGCAGATGTGGAGGACGACTTCGATGGCCCTCCACCCCAAACAGGCTTTTTTGTAACTGGTACGTCTTGCACATTTTCGTAAGTGGCAATCTTCATGCGTTCTTTTTGTGACTTTTTCTTCACGGCAGAGAACAGAGAAGGGCCCACTTTGCTAACCGACTCTGTAGCCGAGCTTACTTGAATCGCACTCGAAAGTTCAGGAAAAAGGCTCTTTCGATCGGGGGCCGAACTTGAAACATTGGCACGTAATTCTAGATCTGATGTACTTTCGAAATTGCCAGCAGCTTCAAACTTGACGACATTCAAAGTAGCAGCAACAGAGCTAGAGCCAACGGAAGTAAGAGTAGAGCTAGTTGCGGTGATGTGCTCTTTATGACTACGAGATGATTTTCGTCTACTTTTTCCGACTGTTACAAAGCCTTGGTGATCCATGTTTGACAGATCATCCTCAACAGCTTCCTCAGTTTCTTTGTTCAATGCGCCAAAGTTCAACTTGTTCAGGGCCGAACTTTTGGAGTCTAACGCGCTGGAAGACGGCCTGCGTACATTTGCAAGGTTTTCTTGGGACAACGAAGTCCTTTGGTTGTTCGACGATCTTCTTCGATCGGTACTTTTTTTGGATCCTGCAGACTTTTTATGGTGAGGCCTAGACTCGAAGCTCGGCTCAAATGGATTACTGTTGTCCATGAAAAGTGAGTTGAACTTGGTACAATTCTTTTCAAAAAGTCCTATCGAATAGTTCGCGTTGCCCTCATCACCGTACCATCCACTGAACTCCCTACGGTTTCTTGTCTTTGCTTCTAAAATGAAGTCCTGTAGTATTGTCCACAACTCGGAATCAAAATGCTCTTCAATGATTTTTGAGTTTCTTTCATCAAACAGAAGGTCGATATTGTTGTGAATGAACCAGCAGCACTCTATTATGAGAGCATTAGAAAAAAGACGATGCGCATTGACCAAAATAACCATTACGGTACTAGCGTCAATAAAATCGATTAAGATACTTGCGAGATAATGCTTTAAATCGAAAAGCATCAATTCGTCGCAAATTTGTATCACTCCTAGAACGAAATTCACAAAACCTTTATAATCATCAAATGTACAATGTGAAAACAAATCTGGAAATGGGAGTCCATGAATGTACTTCAAAATGCACGTCATTTCATTAACAGAGACATGTTCCATAAATAATTCTTTGATGGAGTCATCAGATCGGTTCCAGTCCCTTGAAAATAAGCTTTCGAAAAATGCACACCTGCTTTCTAACATGAAAGAGAAGGCTTTCAACGTCTCACCATTTGCAAGCCTTATTGTGATATCAGGCACCGATTTCGTCGAGAGTTCTTTCGAGCTTAATGATTCACTCAATAGTTTTGCGAGGGCAGAGGGAAGTTGGTCTCCTCTAAATGTGCTTAAATGCAAGTCAAGCAGTTTCATGAATGCTTTGGTTGATACCTCCATTCTCTTCCTCGTGGTTGGATCAAGAATATGGGAAAGTTCTGGAATTTTGTCGGTGTACATATAATGCAATGCGTAGTTAAGAGCCTCAGGCAAAAGTCTCCCGCATGCAACCTCAATAACTCTATGATCACTAGGAGAAGGCAAATCATTTTTAAAGCGAAAGGTGACGCCGCTGTCAACTTTCGAGGTGAAATAACCGAATTCATGTAAATGTGTTGTGAACAAAGAGGCGCGGACTTCAAGCAGGGCCCAATGGCATGCAGCAATAACAGCACCGGATTTGCTATCAGTAAAATACAAGTCATACGATGTTCTCATTGCTCCTTGATTAAAATCATCGCAATTTATTTGGTTAGGATGAAACGCAAAACTGCCATTATAGTCCAGAGTTTTTGATCTAGACCACCTCTTTCTGAAGGTTTTCCACAGTATGTCATCTTGAATAACACCGTCCTCAGTGTTGTCATTTACCTCTTCAAGGTATAATCCGTCAATCTTTTCGTTATTTGAGCACTTGACGAAATCGTCAAAAATAAAGTCTGAGTCATTTTTATCCAGTAATTCATAATCGCGGACCCTTCGACTATCAAGCTTGGCACTTGATAGCGGCGACAATGAGGACATATCATAGTACAGATGTTGTTTGACAAAACGTACAGGAATCATGTCCACATCGTCTCTTATAATACCAAACGAAGAAAATAACGAGTCGCAGCTAACCATAACGCTTTTACCCGATGCCAGCTTATTACTTACTTGACGATGAAACTGAGGGTTTGAAGCGGAATTTGATTTATAAATGTAGCCCCCACTCGTGCAGAGTATAAGTTGACCATTTGCGCCAACATCAAAATCCAAGCATTTATTCCATCCAAAATAGGGTATCCAGTATTGAGTGATAGGCAGGGAGTTCGGCAGCTTGGACCAGCCGTGAACGGAATCTTGGATCAAGTTTGATTGAAGTATACCCACGGCACCACTTTCATAGAGAACGCAAATGTTGTTGCCAAAAGGATGCGTTGTCTTTATTTTTACAACTCTATTCTTCTTGCTCAGAGAGTTGGGGGTAAACACATCGAATTGATTTAAGGAAACCTGCTTAGATATAGTTTTCGGTATACTGAAACTCAAAATTTTGTAGTTGGTAATGACGCATAGCTGGTTTTCTCCAGAAAGAATAAATGTAGCAAACTCTGTGCAGAAAAGTTGTCTGATGTGTTGAACAAAGGATGGAAGTTTTGATCCTTGGGGCGACGAGATGACCCAGCCCCTATGACCCAAGTAGCTAAAATCGCTGTCCTCGCTATAGTTCTTGGTTGTTCCCATCTGCCCAAGATTTAAGCCCCATGCATAAAAGTTATTTTGATCGTCAATGAGACAGGTGTGCACTTTTGAACAGGCAACAAATTTGACCTTAGATGGAGGGGACTTTTTCCATGGTGGATTAACGACTTTCTTCGGAATTGCACTACAAACGTTCTCAAGCGCAGAATTATCGAGCTTCTTAACATTTGTGGAGGGAGTTGAATAGCCGAGTTGAGAGTAACGATTCCAACCCCATGTAAGGATATCACCACTAGTCGTTAAAACAACTGAGTGATGATCACTAGAGTCTAATTGGTGTACGCGATGTGAGTCCATGTCAACTTTTGCATGACGAACATTCGACATGTTAGTGTCGTTGTTACCCAGTCTGCCTCTACTTCCACTTCCAGCAGTGAAAATCTGCCCTTCAGTGGTAACAGTAAGAGAATGGTACCTCTTCATTATCACAGCTTTAAATCGAACTCTTTGGCATGGATCGTTGGAATTTGATAGCAAGTATTCATCGAGTTTGTAAGGTTCTTGTCTATCTTCAGAGTCACCAGTCCCTAGTTGCAAATTCACATTAGACCCAATCGTGTAGAGCTCACGGCCACCACGTAAAAGCTGATAAACATCACGCAGTTCTTGTACGCTGCGTCCGCGGCAATTTGAAGAGTTCTCTTTGTGCGATCTGGGCTCCCACTGCACTACGGAAACAGACTCCTCAGAGGACCGTCTTTCAGGATAGAGTGCAACCGGAACATTGTGGTAATTCCAAATGTTATTTTCACACCGGTAGAGCTCGATAGGCGTCAAGCCCTCACGATCTTTAAGGTCCCAAATATTTTTCAAGTTTGAATTGTACTGGGACGACTGCTGCCTCTTCCAACGCCGGTACAGCTTGTATGCTTTCTCTAAGTACCCAAGTCTAAGGCAAACGTGTAGAGGACTGTATGCGCTTTCCATGTCGCTTGAATACAAGTCGATCTTATTCAATTGTTCCAACGCTGGGTGACATGATAAAAGGTATGAAAGGTCTCTTCCGAAAACGTCTTGAGAGACATTGTGTTTCTTGCCGCTCATGTCTTGGATACAATTAAGCCAAAAAAGGTGGTAAGGTTGTATTAGAGCGTCATAAGAGCTGTCGACTCTTGATTTTTTTGCAAGTTAATGTTGAAGCGTGTGCATTTTAATACTTCATATAAATTAGAATATTGAGACATTAGTTAAGGTCTAGATAACTAGTCACGACAGCTGGTGTCAATAATAAGCCGGAGTACATTAGACAAGACTACTTTGAAGCTCAGAAAATCAGCGTCACCATTATTTATACTCTCTAAAGATAGTGTGGGGCCTTGATTCAGTCAAGTAATGCACCAATGACATTAAGCTTAGAAGGCAACACTAACCAAATTTGGCCATGGGAACGAGTTTATGTAAGAACTAAGGATAAGTAAATGCATATGCGCTTTGAAGATTTTAACGTACAACAAGTACTTAGTTCTGCCCTTTAATTCTGCATAGAACATTTGAGGAGCTAACGTTAAGATTGTGCATACTAAACAATATCGGACTTTAATGAAGCAAAATCTGCCTAGTGACAGACGTTGGAACTCATATAGCTGAATAGTAATACGTGAACCAAATGCACCGACATTATAAGAAAATGGAATCAAGCACACACAAACGCTTTGAAACACTGAAAACACAAGTAAATCTAACCCAAGTACTCCTTTCCATTTTTAACCTTACACTAATGTGTTTATTTATCAGGCAATAGCCTGTCTTATATGAATCTTTAATATATGTAATCTTCTGTGGCCTCGTTGATGCCGAGAGCGAATCAGAGGACCTACTAAAACACTCTTTCACTAGCCATAGACTGAACTGGAAGTTCAAATTTGATTGATGTCTTGGCGTTAGAGTTCCTGTTCTTTTGGTATGTAGCGATGTTGTTGAAGTATTTGTCAAACAACACTGCGGTATCCATAGGACCACCCTTGGCCTCAGGGTGGAACTGAGTAGAAAACACTGGTCTGGTGCAGTGAATGAGACCTTCGTTGGAGCTGTCGTTGAGGTTGACGAAATAAGACTTGAAGCTGTTCTTCGGTAGGGACTCAACATCAATCGCGTAGCCATGGTTCTGCGAAGTAATATGACACTGGCCAGTGGTCAAGTCCAACGCTGGGATGTTGTGGGCTCTGTTACCATACTTCATCTTGACAGCAGTGGCACCCGCAGCAAGCGCTAGCAATTGATGACCCATACAGATGCCAAATATGGGAAGTTGCTCGAACTGTGGTTCTTCCAAGAGATGCTTTAGGTTGTCGACGGTAGCGCCACACAACTTGGGGTCACCAGGGCCGTTGGAGATGAAAATACCGTCAAACTGTAGTGCAACGTCCTGGATTGGGTAGTCGTGTGGGAAGACCGTGACGTTAGCACCACGGGCAGCCAAACAACGGACTATGTTTTCCTTAACACCACAGTCGATCAAAGCAACGTTGGCACTGGCGCCGGCGCCAGCGGCAATATAGTATGGCTGTTTGGTAGACACCTGAGCTACCAAATGAGCTTTCATGGTGTCAATGTACGCTGGAGCGGCTTGACCGTCGTCTACTACGATACGGCCAAGCGAAGATCCCTGTTCACGCAAGTATTGGACGACGCTACGGGTATCGACACCTGTGATGGCCGCGACGCCCTCCTTGATACACCATTCGGACAACGATTGAACAGCAGTCCAGTGCGAATACTTCCAGGCGTATTCAGCGACGACAATTCCGACGACGTGAGCGTTTGGACTTTCGAAGTACTTGAGTAAGTTGAGCTCGTCGCGAGCTTCGCCAGAAGGCACACCGTAGTTACCAATGAGAGGCTGAGTGAACACCAGAATCTGACCCTTGTAAGATGGGTCCGTCATTGACTCTGGGTATCCGACGAGCGAGGTGGTGAATACAGTTTCACCGGCGGCAGACTGCGGCGCGCCAAACGAGATACCTTCGTAAGAGGGTCCGTTTTCGATTTGGAAGGTAGCTTTCGTAAATTGTTGTGGCATTTTGTGTGTTGAGTTTTTAGATTTCGTCGTGGTGTGTATTCTATAGGCTGTTGGTCTTCCAGATATGGTCAGGTAGATAGTCTTGGCAGGTGCAATTGGTGTGACACAGCTTAAACATAAACAATATAGGCGAAATAGCTTTCTAGCGGAACACTGAGCTTACGCTTACCTATGACGATCGGTATTCGGGCTCCAGTTATATACTCTTGGACCTAAGCGATGAGCTAGCTCATCTCAAAATTTTTCACTCTAATCGTACTTTTCTTTTGCCCGTGAAAAAAAAATAGTCATCGTGATGTCAGGCAGAGAGGAAAACCTGTGGAAATGACTTGAGTCAATACAAGGGCGTCACGAAAGACAGAAATGAGCGGCCCCCGTATGACTAACCAGATATATTTGACGCAGAATTCAAAGCCGATAATGGTGCTGATTGCGGACTTGAAGTCAGGCTTGAAATCGCTGTTGAATTTAAGTTTTGTATAGTTTATTGTCAAAAGCTAGCCGTCTGCGTCTGTGACCCGTATTTCATAGCTACAGACACTTGCTGTTGTCAGATATTTGCCTACTCCCCTGCTATTGAGTTGCTAGCTACTCGGCATGCTGACGTTTAACCACGAAAGATGACAATATTTGGCAGATGCTCGAGGCGTAAATAAGCTAACAATGTGTGGAAAGACATATAATAATAGCGCAAACACCTCCATTTGGCTCCAGCCCACTCCATCATCCAGATCTCGTCTGACGGCGAAAAGCAACGGAAGTCTTGCAGGCAATTTACTAGTCGTCATATTCCAGGTACCTTCGGGACTACCGATGTGGATTTATTACCAAGGACCTCTGATACGAGATGCGCATTTAGGTGACTTCGCTAGAGCTTGTGACCTCTTTTCGCTGCTGCTAGAGAAAGATACTAACTTAGCGAGCCTGAAAAATTCTAGACGCAGCGTGACTTGCTCATCGTAGTGCAACATAGCAACAGTCTCACAGCCGATGTGCTGGCAGAACAGGTCTGGAATGTGCTGGCCTGACACGTCAAGTTAAGTGCTCTCTATGAGTTCAAACTACTTTTTCAGCATCGTCCTTACGGGGTTGTGCAATCTGAAGGTTAAGGGCCCACTCTCTTGAGCTTGAAGAGCGCCGGCAATCATTTCCGTTTACAGTGTGACTTTCACATTACGGTACATAGAGCAACGCGCTTTTGAAACTCAACAATTGCTTGCGTGGCGTAATGGCAACGCGTCTGACTTCTAATCAGAAGATTGTGGGTTCGACCCCCACCGTGAGTGCTTTTATTTTTTTAAATTTGACACAGTCACTCATTTTTTGGTTGGAGCCGAACCTGCCGCCTATTGTCATGCCACAGAGGCTCGATGCCGCTTCTACTTCCAAGTTTTGAATGAGGTATTGCGTGTTTTATAGATGCTATGGATATAATCGAATTCTTTTGTCAACACTCGTTGAATATATACGTATTGTGAAGTTACGCACTGTCATATCGAATGCTGAATGAGGCCTGCTTAAGCCCATTGTTTATCACTCGCTTATTATTATCGAGTTCGACATAAGACGATAAAAACTCTGCAACCCTGGAAATGCGAAGGTTGTGTGGCTGTATTTGAGTGACGTTTTGAGACAGATATTAACAATTTTGCTGGTATGTCTCGAACCTTATTAACTCTGCCTCAAATGTATGCAACTTTGTATCTCTGTCGTAGCAAGCGCCTGGCTCTCTTTGCTGGGTTCTTGTTCACAACTATAATCTATGACCTGGAACGCAACTAAATATAACCGTGAAGATTCCGGTCCCGACCAAAACTAAAAACAAGCACCACCAAGCGCGTCGCTTTAGCATGCTATTGATCAGTGGGTGCCTCACTTTCACCAGCCTGCTGGTGCCCCCTAACAAACGAAATATGAAAGGAGCTTGATGACCCATACGGTGATTAACAGAGTTTCGATTGAGCCCCATTTCGAGGTCTTTTGAAGAGACCAGGTCATTCGAAACTAAGGTCTGTGTAACACCGCATAGAGCGAATAGTATGTCAATTTGATAGATGCCACACCACAGAAAATAGAACCCTAGCAAAAAGGGAACGATCGTGGTCACTCTGATGCCTCGACTGTAGTTCAGAAACACCAAAACGTAACCGAGCCAAAATCCTAGCCAAAGAAATATTAAACCCAGTACTATTCGAGAGAGTGACGAGTATTGGGAAAAGAGACCAGATTTCCGCTTAGAGGTGTATCGTTTTTCGGAGCATTGTTGAGCAGGTATAATGGTAATATCGTCGTGCAAGTTATGCAGAGCCACACATGTCAAAAATTTGGGGAAACAGTCTAATTCTAAAAACTGAAATGCGATGGATTTTAATTGTTCAAACACGTCAGGGTCGTGTCGCTTTTCGGTTTGCACCATATAGAGAGCGGTTTGGCGCATGTGATCCGGTAGATTGATCAGATATCTGGGACTCTCTGACGGGGATTTTAAGTAGGTATCGACTATTGTTTGTGCATTGGTTAGCAGTTGTTTGGAAGTAATTTGGGCTTTGTGAGAGTCGTGAGCTTGAGTTTTCAAGAACTCGTCAACTAATCCTGTCAGAGGGCTTTTAAATGGCGCTCCCGTAGAATCCTCTTGATCCGTTTGTTTTTGCCAGCTACCGAGCAGCTTGGTGAGCCGCGGAGAATCGGTTTGTCCTTGCAGAAACTGGGAGACACGCTTGCTGTCTTCAAAGTCGAGAAATCCATCATTCATCAATGCTTCCAAGAGTAACGAGCTGGTCATAGAGTCTCGATTCTCACGAGTTTCGCCGCTATTGTCTCCAGTATTATTAGTTCTCTCTTGCGATTCTTCCCATTCAACTACACTTTCTCGAATCCCGCGCACGTAGTCTTTGCACAGACGCAGGTGAGCCATTGCATCAATCCAGAAGTCCAGGAAGTTGATAGCATATGGGTATTGTGAAAGGTAGGTATAGAACGACCACAGATCCGCAGGAGTCGTTGTTTGGCGATTTAGGACCTCATATAGAGTGGGTAGTCGTTGAGACTGCAATGCTGTCATTGCCCAAGAGAAGGAGAGTGTGTTGATCTAGTGGTTGGTACGAGTACTATTAACAGAGGATCTAGAATATAATTAAGTATTCGGTTTGTATGGATCACAGTTCTTCAAACCGTTCAATGGGCCCAAATTCTTCCTGATGATACCTATCTGCCTCATCGTTTTCCAATGCTCAATTTACCTTTTAGGAAAATGAAAAATTTGGAATGGCTGGTTAACATCGTTTTGTACTAATTGGTCATATTGCCAGGATAGAAGCTAGCTTTAATCCTTCTTCCTGTAAGATTTTAGAATGTAGTTCAATACAATATTAGATGGAATCGCGCTATCCATTGACACTGATGAGATGCACCGCACGTACTCAAATTGTATTCAGAAAGCCTAAAGTTCGGCAGCTAGCTTTCGAGAACAATTGGAAGCGTATGTAGTCGGGTTTCTTGATTCGTCTAGCAAATATAATTATGTTCGCTCTTCAATAGTTGTCTGATTTGCCTAATTTCAAGTTTTGGCAACTTTTACTATAACATTCTTGATCATATCTGCCTAATACCAAGAGAAAAGTCCCGACGAGTATAGTCCTGTCTTTGAAAGTTTAAGCTTTTAGTATTCTGCAGAAACGAAGGAGTGAATTCATTTTATGGCTACCAAGCCACGGGTTTCGGAACTTTCTCGAGAAGATAACTAAACTACCAATTTTTCTTTTTGGCTTGTTGACTTGCTTTTAGAGACCTGCTATCGTGGTAATCAAAGCTCAAGAATTCAAGGTTTCTACGCTCCTTTCGGATTGCAAATTAAGCTTTGAGACAGTTGTTGTAAGAAGTAAACATGGTTAGGGAAATTTGCAGGCAATTGGCGTGTATTTTCTAGGAGAATCCAGGTTGCAGTTCATACCAGAAATTAAACTTCGAGATGACAAGCTTGTGCCATTTCGTCTGTCAGAGCCACAGTAATAGTAAATTCCCCTGCTCGAGCAGTATTCGGGTGCAATAACGTGGTCGCATAAGACCTAATAAGTTTATAATTTGCGCATGATGTACTATTTTGAATAATATAGCACTGCTGCTACGATGCTGCTTACAATCTGGACTCAAGACAATGCATTCCTTCCACAATGCACCGACTTACAAAAAACACCCCGTTACTATTCAGTATCTTCCCACTAAAAAGGCTTGGCAAGATGCTTTAGCAGCTTCAAATTTGCGAGCGTAGTTATTTATCATATTTCTCTCGAGGAATATGTGCCAGAATTCGAACAACGTAGAGAACATTGTGTAACAAAACATCAAATATAAACTAATGGCGCATTATGATTTGTGCCAAGCATGAGAAGAGTGATGTATTGACGCTCCGACAAACATTGGTCACAGCATGGAGAGCACACTATGCTATACCAAACAAAAATCCCAGCTCATTTTTTCGAATTCTCTCTGCAATATTCTAGTAAACGCCAATAACAAAGGCGTTATCTGTTGGGCTTGTTTTCTAGCTCATGGTAATTACGCTACCAGTAATCGGTTTTTTTCGATATACCGTTATCTTGACGATCTTTACTTCAAATTTCGTTACAGCATATATATTAAATTAGAGAACGTAGAGCTGTCCCAAGCTTTTTATTGTACATATATTAAGAACCGTGCCACATTTCATGGACCCGATTTTGTTGGAGCTCGCTTTCTTCCTTGATATTTACAGCCAGTTCGCTGCATGCCCGCTTCGCAACGTGTTTGTCGAACCAGTCGGTGTTATTGCTGAATTCCTGAAAACAGGCGGCGCATCTGCCCTTGGAATTCCAGCGTTGGTTTTTAGCTACACCCACTGGATACACAAAATGAATGGATTTTAAATGCGTCTTGTAAGTGTCCTTGCGCGAAAACTCGCCGGTTGGGTGGCATCGACATTGATCACACCAAAAGGGGCATTGGAACTCTTTGTTGATAAGGTGTTTTTTCATATGACGGGTCAAGTAACCCTTAACCTTGAAAGAGGAGGAGCAGAACCCACATTTAAATTGTTGTTCAGAATCGGGCGAAGCCGTCTGGAGCCCTGTCGGGGGCGACGGTAGAGTTTCCGGAGCCGCTGAGGCTGCCGGAGTCGAAGGCCATGGCAACGACACATCTTTTGAACTGGCAGAGGAGGACGGCTTGCCGGACGAAGCATCCGTGCATGGTGACACCTTGTCCGCTGTTAAGTAGTCGAATTCCGCAAAGGGCACGGAGTCAAAGCGCATGCCGCACAATTCTTCGTCCAGCGAAGGCTTGTTGCCGCTGTTGTCCGTGCTATCGTTGCAGTGTTCTGGTTCCAGTAACGCTGCCCACATTTGCGCTAGAGACACTGACGTGGGCGACAGCGTCGTATGAACGGACTGCGACCAGCAGTCACGTGTGTTCTGTGTAGAAGTGCGAGCAAGCGAAATGCCGTCGGTTTCGCTCGTCGTCGAGCTTGTTCTGGTTCTTATGTTTTTGGCCGTTGCCGGCAGAGCAGCCGCGATTTTTCCGGCGTCGCATTTGCGAGTGTCCCCGGCCTTGAGCATTCCGCCCAACTGCTGTTTCTGCAGCTGTCGATTCAACAGCCCCAGCGGCACCACGTTGTCCTCCGGGACATCGACTTTGTCGAATTGTATGTACCCCATCGAGTAGTTCGTGCCTCGAAACTAAGTCCTAAGCGATTTTCAGATTTGCCGAGGTTTCCGTCGAGAAACGAAATGTCAAAAATTCCGGCCTGACTGTCGTGTCGCTTCTTCGCACGGCTCCAGGACTTGTTTCCGTCTTTTCTGCAAATATATATATATATCTACGGAATTCAAATCTCGAATGGTGAGTATGTGTCAAGAGATCACAGATAAGATGTGCATAATACGACCGAAAGACACTGACGACATCAGCCAGAAAGGGTACCCGAGCTGACAAGATCTTTAAGGCTCTAGCAGCGTATCTACTGGGCACACACGCGCGGGCACACCACGCGTGGTGTGCCAAGATCAGGATGTGCGCTTGAGAGCGTATGGGCTTCTCTAACGTTTTTTGCCAATTTTTTTTCATACAATGATAAGAGTGGAAAATAGTGTGAGGCTACTAAGCGACAAGCGATAGAAGAGGTACATACAAGGTTGGGACAATCAGCTAGGGCAGAGCAAATGATCAAGGTTTGAAATGATGTAGGGCCAAGCAAGTGGGCAAGACGTTCTCCTCTCGATATGAGGTGTGATAATCATTTCAAACGGCGATGGAAAATGAACTGTTCAGCATGCGAGTAGTGTATTTATTGCGTGTAGTGTGTGCATAGTGTGTGCGTAGTTTGTGCATAGTGTGTGTCTTGCTGTTTCTTGCTAGGGTCTCCCCTTTCAATCTGAGAGTCAACAAGTCAGCGTTTGCGCTTTCGGAGAAAATCCGTTTTGGAAATGCCTTTTAGCGGCGTGAGCCGAGGAGTCTCTCAGACTCGCGGCACTATGGGGTTAGGTTCCTGCGTTCACATTTTGACCTTGCGGTAGTATCGGAAGGATTTAACCGCATTGAGCGATTGAGATGTCACGTGACCCCGGCCCGTGTGTGGATGTGGATGTTGCGGCGCGGCACGGAAGCAGGCAGTATCGTGGAACCAGTGAGAGCTTGAATCTGGCCGGGGCTAGCTACTGGATGTGAGGTGATGGCCAGCCGAGAAAGGGAAAGGGAGAGGGAAATTTGGGTCTAGAAACGTACTAGTTTGGGGTTAATTTGCTGCAAACGATGCGGACCCGCAGCCAGTTCTAAATCCTCCTAGACGTGTGGGGGATCGCGCCGTTTGTTTCCAGCAAACGCCTTTAATCTAGTGAGGAATTCGCCCAGCGCCAATGTTACCGTTCTCGATGGGATGACAGTTTAGTACAAAGTGACAGTCACCGTTGGTATAAGCCTGATTCAAATGAACGGTATGTTTTTAGAGATGTGTAGTTCTCTATCCTTGGCTCAGGGAGGTGACTGGGGAGACTTTGGTTCTTCGTATTCGTACATTTTTACAACTTTTGTTAATATGCAATATCTACTTTTGATGGCCGTACAGGACGTTTGGCAGGATCCCAACATAGCTTAATCCTTCCTTCTCGCCTCGTGTCGTCACCGAAAAGGGACTGAATAAAGCTGAGATGGTAACAAAGGAGGTAAAAGTAGAATCATGCCGCTAACTTTTTTTTTTTTAGCCTTGAGTGTCTCAGTTCGAGCTCTGCAACATTTCTTCAGTATATTAAGCTCTATCTATGGCAATTGCGAACAAACTTCGGACTGTGAAACAATCCTGTGTCATTCTGAAGCTGGGACATCACAACCGTATTGATTTTGGCTTCGTGTAAAAAAAAACAGTTCTTTGTGTTTGTCGTCAAAAGCGTCATAATGATAGCCACTTGGCGATCTAGTGATCACACTATTCAACTCTAGGTGCCAAGTGTTTTCTAACATGTCAATTTGTTGTCAGTTTTCCTTCGGTTCTCATTTCGTATGCTATTACAGTTGTTGGAAAACTGACTTACAAAAGTCCGAGACTATACTCATTCACGACTTGCCAACAACATCGCAGCGTGCATTCCGGGACGAGTTACCAACGCGCAAAGCTTACACAAAGTAATTTCCATTGCAGCTAGTACTGCACCAGAAGAGCAATGTCTGATAACCTTCGGCGTGCCTTGTTGAGCAAAATAGAAAAGGCGGATACCGTAGTAAAATCTGATTTGAACCTATGTTCTACCAAGACTTCCAGCGCAACGAGCAGAGCAATGTCTGACGATCTACCCACCTGGGAAGACTATTTTCAAACAAATGAGCAAGTATCGCTAAAAAAGCGCGGGTTCAGTTTTAACACTTATTTCTCATTACCGAGACCAGAACAGATACCTGAATCGTCTGAAAACCAATCGGTACCAATATTTATATTTCATCATGGAGCTGGATCTTCAGGGCTGAGTTTTGCTCCTCTTGCCCAGTCGTTAACAGAAAGACTCGACGGTTCGTGCGGCACTTATACATTCGACGCACGAGGCCATGGATCTACCGCGCCTCTAAATACTGAGATGTCAGAAACTCCCGATTACAGTTTAAAAGCTTTCGTGACGGACTTCCAGGAGCTTTTAAGCTCTTTCTACATGGATCATCTTCAAACATTGCCCGAAAAGCTTAAAATTACTTTTGTTCTGGTAGGGCACAGTCTTGGGGGAAGCATATGTACCAACGCCTTTCAAGGAATTGACGAATTATTACGCAAAAAGGTTATCGGAGTTGCTATGCTAGACATAGTCGAAGAAGCTGCCATACTGGCGCTAAACACGGTGGATTCATTTCTCAACAAGACCCCGAACGTATTTCCAAATTACACCAGCGCTATTGATTGGCATGTTCAGAAAGGACTTTCTCGTCTTAAAACAAGTGCACAAATTACCATCCCAAGCTTATTTTATCCAACTGCTTCCGGAAAAGTAGTACGCAAGACTAATTTGCAAACTTTCAGGCCATTTTGGGACACCTGGTTCCAGAAGCTTTCTAGTAAGTTTGTCTCACTACCCACTAGTAAGCTGCTTATACTGGCAGGTGACGAAAACTTGGACCGTGAGTTGATCATTGGACAGATGCAAGGCAAGTTTCAGTTGGTTGTCTTCCACGATTCTGGCCATTTTATTGAAGAAGACTCTCCAATCAAAACGGCTATAACACTTATAGACTTTTGGAAGCGTAATGATACCCAGAATGTAGTTATTAAAACGAACTGGACTAAAAAAGACTCGCCAGTTACGTTGCACTAAGCTATTTCACAATTAAAACATAAAAATATCAGATTTTACTATTCTAATCAACAGACATCACATCCAATTCTTTGATATCTTTGCCCTCACATTGAGCCACGATTTGGTCGATTTTTTTGGATGCCCATCCGAATTTGGGGCTAATTAAAAATGGTCTCAAATCGAACCTGTTGTCATCGGGAGAGTATTGCTCAGCATGGTAGCTTGGTGTCATGACAGTTTGCTTGTGTCTGTTAATGGCATAAAAGAAAAAGAATCTCTTTACCTTCTCTGCCACTTGAGCTGGGGTCAACCTTGGACTCCAATCGTGCAGCAACTTCAAAAACATAGAATAAGGCCCACACTTCTCGACTTTTCTCAAATATCCGAAAATGCTTAGTTCCTCATATGTCATCCCCATGTCAATTTCATCTGATTGCACATAGTCCTTAGTGATAGGTTCAAGTTCGGCCGTTGGTGTAGCGGTTAAGAAATCTTCTAAGATTGGCATATCAAATTTCTTTGAGGCGTACGCAATAAATCTTTTCAAATCGGTCTTCGAAATACCACCTATGGGATTGATGTCAGCTGAAGAACAGTCGTATTTGGTTAAGTAGCCGCGCAAGCATTCGTCAACATTTGAGCTACCCAAAACCAGCAAACCACCTGCATTTGGTATGCGGCGTACCCATGGCAAAAGTTGAGCAAAAAGGTAAGCCAGAACCATACGAAGACGAGCCTGTATATTTTGCAGAGCCAAATTCTCAGTTTGAGAACCACCAAATATCTTGAATATAGGCTTCTTACCCGTAGTCACTTCGAAAAGGCTTACGACGCTGCTCACCAAACTGTCCATGTTGAGGTCGACGTGATAGGAAGAGATTTTCTCGGCGAGTTCACGACTCCTCGACCTTGTGTCTTTAGATGAGTTTTCAGTACCCATGAAGCATGTGTAAAAGAGACAGCTGGCCAGTTCTTGTGGGCTTTCTGGCACCCAATTTTTATCTTTGCGCGAGAGCTTTCTAGCATCTGCTAAAACTTGCTGATTGCCCTCTTGGCATTCTTTTATAACCATGCAGCACATCGAATGCACAATCATTGCGGTAGCACAAGAATCAATGCCCCCTGATAAAGGCAAGAAAAATCCAGTACCATTACAACGTCTCAAATAATCCCACATCCAGCAAGCAGGGCCTAGTGCAATTTCTTCCTCTGGGGTATGGTAGAAAATTGGTCTCTCTTTAGAGGGCGCAATTTTAGGATCAAATCTGCTGCTCATGGGAGCTAGCTCTTCATCAACGTCAATTCGCTCATACTTCACATCGGTGTAAGAGGCTTGTAAGCCACGAGATAAAACTGATGCCCGATGTGTCCTAACTTCTTCCAAATCCACAGTGGCAGTCACCACTTCGACGTCTTTCAGACTAAATTGACTGCCTTGTGCAACTACTTTTCCATTGATAGCGATCAATGCGCAACCGTCATAGTAGAGGCGATCACCGTCACATCCTCGTTGATTGGCATACAAGTAAACACCTCCGCACCGCCTAGTAGCACTAGTAATTAATTCTAATCTGCGGTTTAATTTGCGCAGTTCGTGATGAGACCCTGAGGAGTTTGTAATGATTTCAACACCATCCAAGGACATGGCAATGTGCGGCGATTGTGGCGTAAACAGCTCTTCGCATGTTTCGGCGCCAATACAAGTGTCCAAAGTCCGAATTACAGCATCGCCGAATGGCACAAACTTTTGACCTGTGATTTTTTGTATCAATGGAGGCAGTAAAAACTCTTCTACTTGTGCAGCTTTCATCCAAGGAGTGAAAAATCGCATTTCTCGGTAGTTGCCATCGTTGGCCAGCCAAATTTTAGGTCTGATAAACAAAATGTGACCATCTAACGACAGTAGTCGACAGTTGTATCTGACGTTTTTATGCAAAACTGGCATACCGATGTCAAGCAGAATTCCATGCGTCTCGGGAGATCTTACGATTTGAGCGTACATTTCCCACGAGTGCAAGTACAAGTCATTTTCTAAAAAATGATCCAAACATCCATACCCTGTGATTTCTAACTCAGGTCCAACTCTTAGCCTCGCGCCTTTCTCTTTGGCTATTTTAATGGATTCTAAGATTCGATCTCTGTTACCTTCAAAATCAAGAGCCCATTGGTTCAAATTACAAGTGGCGAGAGTAATCAAATGTGACATCGCTTCGAAGTTGTCTTGAACGCTTTCAAATTGCGCTATTTCTGAACAGTGGCTGGAAAGCGATGAGGTGGTACCTCTTCAAACACTCTTATCATTATATTACCTTTACCATTCGTCTTACATACTTTACATGAGTACTTTTGTACTCATGTCTGAAGATAAGCTATTGCGTACTAACTACAGATAGTTTACTGAGTCTGTTGATTGTTCATCTCCAACAATGATTATGGTGAACATCTGTTTATTTAAATAATGTATGGCCCCTAAGCTCTGGAAACGTATGTGGCAGACAGTCTTTGTTGCAGATGTGCGGCCGCCGTGATCGTTGGAAGTTTCTGGCCTTTCCCATGCTCTGCTACAAGCTTGCTGGGCACTGGGACTAGTTCAGTAGGCATTTTCTGGATGCACGAAAAATACAATTGAGTAGCGGTCGTGTTCGCGAGTCTCTCCGGGAGAAAATTTGACCCTGTGAAGTGTACTTTTCAGTACGCCGTTGGTCCAGTATGACAAAAGATCGCCAAAATTGACTACCAGTGGGGGTGCTTTTCCAGCGTAACGGGATTTGACAAAGGGCACCCCGACCCAGTCCTCTTCTGAAGATTCTCCGGCTTGCAATTCAAGCCCCTGCTGGTCCTGGCGCTGGAACAACAATGTCAGGGAGCCGTAGTCCGTATGAGCACCGGCCCTGATTGTAGCATCGTAGCCTTGAGTATCGATTTGATCATCTCTCACTAGTGGGTACCGTAACATGCGGAAAACGCATCCACTGGGTTGATCCGAACGATGTTTGGTGGTGAAAAACTCTGGGTCCTCGACTTTCAAACCTTTACTCATGACTTTCAATATCCTCATGGCAGTAGTATGTAATTTTTGAGTAGTACGAGAGATAAACTCTCTGTGGCTTTCCAGAATGGGCGGAACAGCATTTTCATTGGCCTCATTACTTTCCTGTCCGTAAAACTCTGCGTCGCTCTGGTTGAAGGCACCAGTTTTGAAGTTGATATTACCAAAATTGAAGGCCTCTTTATAATCGCGAGCTTTGTTAGGATCTAACTGTTCATTTGTAAAATGAGTATAACCAATGTTATTACTTCTGATGGCATATTGACTTTTAATATCCACTGGCGTTTCAGTAAAAAACTGTCTTGAAATTTCAAATAATGCATCTACTTCGTCCTGGCTGAAGTCGTGGCCATCCACGAACAAGAACCCTTGTTTTTGAGCTGCCTCTAACAAGGACTCGCTGATGCTGGCGATAGGTTTAGAAATGTCTACAACTGTGAGGGGGTTTGACATATAATGGGTGATTTGAACAATGCAGTTTCCAAGCAATTGAATCAAGTTGGCTTCACGATAGCTGCAGTGTTATTTTTTTTGTATATATATATATATATATTTAATATAAGCGTCTTCATTTATTCCATTGCATAAAAAATGCGAGCTATGAAATCTCTAGATTAGATAGTTAGTTGCATGAAAGCCCATCACTTAAACACTTTCATTGTTAATCTTGGCGCCAGCACGAAAATACGGCGTAAACCAATTATTGTAGTGCAATTCGATAGCTATATGTATATCTTGGTTAACCTCCATAAGCACGACCAAAGACATTCTTTATCTCGGATAATGCAAATCTCTCGAAGAGACACAATTGGAGCAGTATCCTACTCTTCTCGGGATTCAAAAACCCCGAAGCTATTATGTTGGGTTTACTGTTCGAGCCAGTATGAGGTCTGGGCAGGTTTGCCTTCGGCACCATGCCGTCCATGGACCTTTTCGAATAAATTACAGGTATTGACAACTCCAGGATGACATCGTTGACTGCAGAAGGCAAAGACCCGGCGCCCATAGTTGCAATAACCAAACCTGCGCATTGCTGGGCTACCAGCTTTATAAGCTCTGGAGAAAGCGACTGGTGACCATACAGTATGTGAACCGTGGGAAATCTGGGTTGCATTGAGGTGGCATCCGGGCAGTCATTGGGCAGGATACGAAGCTTGAACTTGTGGCACACTTCAGGCTTCGCTGGCGGCCAATAGTAATGGACTTCATTGTTAAAAAAGTTCCCTAGATAGCCTTGTCTAACGTTAAAGGAATCGAGAGAGTTGGCATTGGTCTTGGTGATGTAATAACCAGCAGAAATTTGGTCGTTCAGTGAAACGAGCACTCCGCGGCCTCGAGACTGCTTACTAGCGGCAATGCATATGGCCTGATATAAGTTCATGGGACCATCGGCGGAAACACTCGTAGAGGGTCTCATCGACCCAACAAAGACAATGGGCACATCTCCCGAGTCAATGGAGCTTTCGATGAAAAAAGTAGTCTCAGATAGTGTATCAGTGCCATGCGTGATTACTATACCGTCGCAAGTCTGTAAAGCAGTAGAAACACCGGTGTAGATCTTCAGCAAAGATCTCTCATCAATCTCTTTAGAATCGACATTGCAAAGTTGTTCGTAGTCGATCTCGCATATCCCCGAAATGTCTGGAATCGACTCCAGAAGCTGCTGAATGGTCAAATCCACATGATACCCAGCCGTATGCGACGAAGACGCTCCCTTGGATGCAATGGTACCACCTGTACCAAAAATTTTGATCTTAGGAAGCTTTATGATCCCGCCACTATCTTCAGATAAAGCTTGTTCGTCATCGTGATTGGATGACAAGAGGCAGAACTTCGACGATTCTAAGTCGGCACAAATGGTTTTTATCTCGATATCGTCGTTTGGCATTCTCCGCTAGGTCCCACACCGTTGCTACTTTCTTTGTCTTCGCTTAATTCCATATATTGAATAACATTAGCCGATGAGCTGCTTGCTCAGCTGAAGCGCGTATTCGAAATTTTTAAAAGAGCGGTAACGCTGTTTGGGAAGTTTCAACGTCAGCGGAAAAAGAGATGCACAACTGAAGAGTGCTTAGATCTGACTTCATTTCTAGGACTTAGTTAACCGTATGAAAAGTTTGTGATTGGATGGGACCACCCCTCTTTCGTTTGCAAAAATGCGGCTTCATTACACTTCGTTTCTACATTATTTTCATACATAATGGGGCATACGACAGCCGACTGTCGTTGAATGGTACATACACCTTACCACAATGGTACCACGTTAGTCCAATCGCCTCTTTTTCTTTTCTCCCAGTAGCTGTCGGGACCCCGAATTAATTCCCAGTGATTGTCAGAAACCCTGTGAAAATATTGCGGCTTGACGTCGTTGCTGTCCAAGCGTCTTGTTCGTTGCTGTTGCTCCAATTCAAGCTTCAATTGTCCAGCCTCCTCGATCTTACCGTCCTCGTAAAAACGCAGATCGGGCCTTAGTCTGGAATCTGTTACAGGAATATGGTCTTTCTCCATTTCGGTAATTTGATTCAAATTGGCCGTAAACTGCGTGAAACCATACTTTTTGTCCTGATTCTGAACCAATTCACCAACCTCCCAGATCTTAGCGCCATTATGAGAGTAAGAAATACACTTCGTCCAGTCTCCCTTGAGGGACCCAGCCTGGTTAGAACCCCGATGAATAGCAATCGATAAGTCTTCTGAACGGCCACTAAACATACCAGCAGCTTTGAAAGCCACTCGGGCTTTCATATTGTGCGAAGAAACAACCTCCATGTGGTTTTCGGGTTCGACGTACCTTTCGCCAGCAAATATATTCTTCAATATTGTAGTGGGTTGTGACCACTCGTATCGCTCCCCCGTGGACTTGATAGTAAGCTTGAGCTCGCCTTCATTAACAAACTCTATGGACTTTCCCCAAAATTTTTGGACCGGTGAAGCCGAGTAAGATATTTCCCATTGAGCGCTATCGATGTGGAAAGCGAAAATCTGAGGCTTGTGTGAAACTTTTTCCGCAATGAGCCTCATTCCTTTATCTTCGCGAACTAATTCAAATGTTTCTCCCAATAATGGGTTGAAAGGTTTACGAAGTGCGCGTGTTTTGCTTCGATGCATTGACAAATACGAGCACGAGAATGCTGCCACTAGAGCCATTCGCTGTACTTCATCGGTTGTTACAGCGGCTTGGTTCAATAGCTCAGAGTATTCGAAAGTTTCTGAAAGCATTTGCAGGATGGTGATTGGCTCATTAGATGTTATTGGCATCGATATCGATGTCAAATCTTTACCAACATTTTTTCTCAAAAATGATAGCAAACTCGGTGGACTCGCAACAGCTTCTTGAACATCATTCCGACGTTCGATCTTTGTAACGCAAGGCAAGGGATATAAATCTCCTCCCGTAGATCCCGGAACACTTTTCTGTACAAACTTTGCGTCATATTTGGACGAATTGTCATCATCATTATCCTCAGTTCTGCCACTATTTTTGTTCTGAGAAAGCAATAGCGCATTGACACCTTCTTCATCATTTAGCATGATAACACCTTCGTCAGATTCAGATTCAGATTCAGGGTTCAAGTTGTCGTCCTCTGCATCATAAAACTCATCGCTGAAGATGGAAGGGTCTTCTGAGACAACACTTTTATGAATCACATTAGTGCTGTATATCAGCCACTGCCGTACGAGGTCTTCCACTTCACCCAATTTTTTATAGAGTTCATGTTCATACGGTGAATGTGGCAATTTTTCTTGCTGGATATCTAATGGCCCAATAAGAGCATCTTGTGAGTTTTCTTTGTTCTTTCCGAAAATGTGAGATAATGATGTCGCCGACGTGGTACGTGAAGAAGAGCTTGTCTGAAGGCTATGCTTGATATTTTTGACTTCTTGGGTTGGGGGGCTATAGCCAAGAGAATTGATCCGGCATACATCAAGTTTTTGCTCTATCAGCTGTAATCCTGCAAGTAGATTAGAGGGATCCGTTTGATCTATCTTGGTAGCAGCCAATTTTTTTTCTTCTTTCTTGTAACAGTCTTGTAGTGCTTGGATCCATTCGCTCCACGTAGACTCGTCTCTCGCCTTAAGAACCCAAATCTCCATTCCTGAGTCTATGATGATTAGCCTTGTCATTTTGTTAGCACTGACAGTAGCTAAGGGAATTACGATTTCACCTCTGCAAACGTTATTGTGCTCATTCAAATAGTAAGACAACGCCTTATACTTCAGATCAAGTTTAAAAAATCTTTTCGTGAAGCCTTGAAGCTTCTTTCTCCTCTTTTTGAGGATGTAGCCTTGCAAAATTCGACCTTGCTTGACGCGGACGAGCTGAGAGCGCGACCTGCGGACAGGCATATCAAGCCCTTGGGTCTTATTTTCCACACCAAGCAAGATCTTTTTCTTCGCTGTTTTGGATGCGGTATTGTCGAGCACAAAGGCGTAATATCCATCTTCGTCTGCCTGAAAGCTGCCTTCAACAAGGTCATTTCCCGGAATAGTTCCTAGCCATTTCACCTGCGTAAACCCTTGGGTAATAAGCCTTTTGTCTAGCGGAACATCTTGGTTTGAGTGTTGCACGGCGGAGATCGATTTGGAGCGATTTCTTTGTGTGACATCTTCGGAAGATGAATTGCTGCGATTCAAAGCATAATCCAGCAACGTTTTCGTGTCAGGTGCAATATGAACGCTACCAATTATCCCATTACTTTTCGAAGGTGAGTTAGAGCCACCATTTTTGCCGTTTAATTCACCGTTCTTTTCAAACGTTTCGTTGTTAATTGTGGTTTGACGCTTGTATACACCGGCATCCACTGACCGCTTCAAGGGCTTCAATTGAAAGATGATAGTGTCCCCTTTTTGAACTTTCAGCCACCGCACCACGAAAGATCTGTTTTGGACGTCTATAGTCTCCATATTGCTGACTACAGCGATGTTTTGAGCTCAAAATTCGGAGTTTGTTTTCTCGCAGACATCCAGCTAATATTTAGTGTAAGTCTTGTAAAATCCTGAAATATAAACTTAGTTCTCACGTGTAGAAAGCAAATATATTGACTGGTTGGCAATCGTCATAACGTTCCATTGAAACCTTGATTCTTTCTATTTGATTGTGATATACCAGCTTTAACTAGAGATTACGCTTTGGACTATTGGGGCTCTCTGTAGATCCGGTTGCATCAGTTGTTTTTCTCAGAATGGAAAACCCATACGAACAAGTGCATCAAAGCATCCTGTCGCGGATTGTGAACAACGTTGAACGATTGAATGAAAGTGTGATTACGTTGAATCAAGAGCTACAGCACATCAACGCCCGGAATAAGAATTTGCAAATAATGGGCCAGATGTGCGAGAACTATCACAAGAGTGTGCAGTTCAACATGAGTGCTACAAATAACAAACGTGAGCCGCTGTAGGTACAGCGGAAAGCGTTCACCTTGGCGTACTTGTTGTGCACCTCACAAAAGGTGTGAAGCTGCTGCTACAACGAAGATAGCAGCCCAGATTGTCATTCCTACGTTGAAGCACACGAAGATGTCTAGTTTTCGTATCTCGCTTGCGGTAAAGCCTTGGTGCATAAATACAAGCCCGCGTGTGCTGGAAGACTTTTTAGTGCACTCTGTTTAATGCACTCTGTTCGAGTCCCCAGCCATCCCCAGATTTAGGGCTTGAAGAGGCCACAGGCCTTCCTTCTGCCAACCGCATTTCAAACGCCCAGATCTGGAAATCAAGGTTGAGCATCGTTTGCTCTGACAGCAGTCATATTCCAGCATGAAATGCATCTCTTATATATCTATTTACCTTGCACACATTGCTCTTCCGGTATTCAATTCAATCCATTTATTCTATTTTTTGCAACTATAATAATATACAACTAGAGGAAGACCTTAGTCACAGGGCGCTGATTCAGTTTGGAATCATACCGAATCTCTTCTTCAATGTTACTCTTTGTCTGGAGTATTTGTCGTCTGGAGAAAATCTCGCTGGGTGGGCAGATTTGGTGATCTCACCATCTTCAGTGGTCTTGTTCAAAGTGTAGATACGCTTACCATCTGGTCCCAAAGTGTACATCAAATGCATGGTGAATGAAGATACGATATGTAGTAGGTTTGACGGAATGGCTATCAAGAACTAACTTCAGTTGACGAGATGAGCTAAAATTTTCTAATTGAAAAATCAAAAAGTGATGATAGCATTTCGAACGGCGCAGCATGTTTGAATTGCCGTCTAAAGTTTTTGAAACTGAGCTTTTGGACCACGATTCAGAATAAAAGCTGGTAATCTAAAACCCATGGCAGACCCCTTTGCAGATCTTTTCTCTACCTTCAAAGGCTCTGAAAAGACGAACATATGTGACAAGAGGAGTGTGAGCAACATAAATGACGCTCAAAAGTCGTCACGAAGCATGGATGCTGGCAGAAATACACCAACAGAAATAGATCGATACTTCAATTCTAAGCCCGATGCTGTACATAGTAGAAACACTAAAGACGAACTAGATGAAGCTCTGGATGTTTTCAATACCCCAGTAATGCAAAGTCCAGTGGAAATTACACCCGAACTCTCCGTGGACTCACAAAGAACAGCGGACGTCGTCGATGAGTTGAAAGATATGGAAATTGCAAAGCTTATGTCTCTGGGAATGAGCTTTCGAAAGGCCTTGGACTATTACGAGCGCGGTATTCTGTATGAGCGGGTTTTGGAACAACAGAAACGTAAAAGTACCGCTAAATCATCCTCAAACAATTCTGCAGAAGAGGCAGATCTATTTTCTGTGGCCTCCAGCTGGATCAATAAAGGACGGACATTTCTGGACTCATCTTTCAAAAAGCCATCTAACCCGGGTGCAGGTTCATACTCCGGGTACATTTCATCTAGATCAAACTCCAACGCAACTCCGGCTTGGTCCAAGGCAGCAAGCCCGATCCAGCGCAGCTCTTCGGGAAGTTCACAAAGCGTAAAAAGTTCGAAATACGCCTCATGGTATAGCGACAAAGAGCATACTTCTGACGAGCCCCAGCTTCCACCTAGACCGTCGGCTGTTCGAAATACTAATGATCTTCAAGAACAAATCAATGCTTCGGATACTGATGCTTATTCCAATTCTTTGGTGGCCTTGGACGCTAATGTAGAAAAGCAATTAGAATCTGAAGTGCTACTGGATTTTGAAACATTCTCTCCACCAAAGGTTCCGGCCACTAGTAATAATAATATCACTTCTATTGAACTTCACGGTTACCAAGAATTCAAAGCTAAAGCATCTGATTTTTTCGTTGCAGGAGATTATGATCTCGCTCTTCAAAACTATGAGAAGTCTTTGAACACCTTACCACCTGAGCATCCGTGGCGAACAGTTTCTTTGTCAAATATGATAGTATGTCAGCTGAAGCTGGGGCAATATCGACATGCACTTCAGAGTGTAGCCTCTGCTTTAAATCTGATACCGCTTGAGAACATCGATCAAAAAATCCCTGACCTGATTCCTGCTAAAACATTCAAAGAGATATGGTCCAAAATCACCATTAACAAGGCGGAAGCCTTAGAAAGGATCGAAGATTATGCAAATGCACTTGCGACATATCAGCTCCTAATCACCAAGGGTTTCACTTCGGACAAAATATTAGAAGCTAGGAGACGCTGCCAGAGAGTCGTAGCGCCTCAGAAATTCACTCCTTCTAAAACAAAAGCATCTGTCAGGCCAGTAAAGTCTGAGAAGCCAGCGCCAATTGATAAGACATCAGAAAACTCCAAGTTTGTACAGGCTCAAAACAAGCAAGCTCGCGAATTAGAACAGCAAAGATTTCTACTTCATGACGATGTTCAACGGCGTGTGGCAGTATGGTCTGAAGGCAATGAAAACAATTTGCGCGAGCTACTCGCTCGCTTGCATCTTATTTTGGATTGGTGTGATTGGAGACAAGTGCCCTCTTCCGCATTGGTCATGCCCAAGAAAGTCAAATTTAACTACCTGAAAGCCGCGGCCAAAACACATCCAGATAAAATTCAACTGTCGTGGCCTCTAGAACAACAAATGATTGCTGAGAACATATTTATTATCCTCAGTAAAGCATGGGAAAGTTTTCAAGAGCAAAATAAAATTACATGACTCTATCTTCAGCCTTAAACGAACGGGTTGGTCACCACGTAATAATCACTTATAGATAAAATTGGCATTTTTAGTTTGTTACTGATTCTTTTAACGCAAGCAGGATCTCTCAAGATTCATATTTCTTAGCATATAAACCGAGCGCTTTGATAGGGAATAAAAATCTGTAACTTGCATACTCGATTGCACAAGAATGATTGAACACTCCTTCGGGTGCTTCGAACTTCCAATTTCCCGATGCTAATTGTCTTTGCTTCAAGAGGCTGATACCTTTATCAATAGTGGCTTTATCTGGGTAGTCTGCTAGCAATAATCCAATAAGAGCCCACGACGTTTGAACAACTAGCGACTTCTCCGCTTCCACGTATGTATGAAGCTCGGACGATTTCATGGACTCACTCCAACCACCATCTGCTCTTTGCTTGGACACTAAAAACTCGCAAGCTTTCTTCACATATCTTGAATTCGTATACTTTTCATTCACAGTACTGAAAGCCTCTAAGGCAAACATGCTTGCATACGTGAAACAAATACCCCAGCATCCGTACCAACTACCGTCCTCCCCCTGTGCTTTTTTGATGTATTTAATCCCAATGTCGATGGCATTCTCTATATCATTCTTGCGGTAAGAATAGTATTTGGTGAAGTAAGTTAAACCCAAGATCGACGAGTCTGTGCATTCGACGTATGGAAATTCAACCATGATATTACCAAAAACCTCAGCAGGATTCAGCTTTTCCAATGCTGTTGTCGCCCTTATTTTTTCATAGGTGGCGAATGAGCCATACTCAAATGACCCTGTATTTTGCAGGCTCAGAAGGACGTCTATACCTTTTGTTAATCTTTCATCAGATATTTCATCTTTTACATGAGAAAATGCTGGGGAATTTTTGACCATTATTATTGCCTTAAGCGCCTCTGCAGTACAGTCAGACACCGTATATCCTTGTGGCTTTGTAGAAAAAGGCCAACCACCTATTCTTTTATCGCGGAAACTACCTGGAACGCATTCGGTATCGAATTGAGTGCGACATAAAAATTTATAAGCACTCTCTATCGTCGATTTGAACTCCGGCTTCTCCGCCAAGCCAGCCACAAAATAATATTGGACAGCAAAAGCGCAATCCCAGGTTTGAGCACCATTGGTTCCCATCACTGTAATACCTTTTGGGCCCATAAATAAAACTTCCTTAAACCCTTCGAGAAATCGCTTGAATTGATAAGAGTCCTTACCTTCTTCGGCTAAGACAACAAGAGCGCAAAATGCCATACTCACTGGTGCAATACACAGATAATCGGTATTCTCAATTTCTTTTTTTATGAGGTCGTAACACTTCTTGTTCGTATATCTCAAGAGCCAATTAGGTCTCATATGCTTTTCATAAAAGGTAAGCGCTGAATTGGCAGTATTCAAAATTTTGGTATGTGGATAGTAGAGATCCACGTTGCAGACTGTATTCCGATGCTTGCTAAAATCAATGGAATCAAAAGGCTTCACGTAAATCTCGCCTCTAATCTCCTGTAAGAGAGGAGTTAATTGACAGGTGAACTTTAAGGATGATAAATAACCTAGAGCCTGATACACAGCCCTCGTATGCACCCACCACCTACCAGGATGTATCGGCAGTGCGTACGGTAGCAACCATAGCTCTGGAGGAGCCGGATTAACGCCTTCCCACTTGTAAAGATTTAGAATAGACAGCCAACATTTGCCCCAGTGGGGTACACCAAGGGCTCCACCGAGCCTGTGAAGGGTTTTCTGCGCTCTTTTGCACACTATATGATCAGCTGGAAGTCCGAGAAGCCTCAAAAGCACGTAGTTAATTGCTGTTCCGAAAGCAGTGGACTTGTCAACCTCGTGAAGCCCCCAGCCGCCGTCCACTGGGTGGGCCGAGTTCACAATAAATCTTACGAGCTCAATCCTTACAGGTTCTGGAATTGGAACACCAGCGCAGAAGTGAACTCCCACGTAACCAACAGTTAAAAACATTGGACCTTTGTACTGGCACGGGAAAATACCCGATTCAGGTTCTTGGAGCTTCGAGAAAAACCGAGCGCCTTGAAAGGCAGTTTCATATGCACTATGTTCCTCAGCACTTCTATCATCGATTGGGCTGGGCTCTTCAAATCCTGAAGTTCCCAAGAGCTGTTTCACGTACGATGACTGTTCATCCGATTTTGCATCAGCATTACTCAAATATTCCCACTTTTCGCTACCTAAACTGTCGACTCGCAGTCTCCAGAGCCTGTGATCTGTTTTGGGCAGCTCTAGTTCATCTGAATACAGCATTACCATCTCAATTGGCCCTATTTTGGGTATCGAAGACGGTGAGATTTGTAAATTCAAATTAAAATCATCTTTTATAGCTAAACGAGTCTAGGTATTTATAATTCGAGAAACCGCTTGAGATGAATAAGATCATAGATACGAAGGCGTTTCTCCTTGTTTACCCGTGCATTCTAGTTCAAGGAGCTTTGGTGAATTTGATCGCTGGAGCTTCGCGTCTCGAGCACCAGAGAGATACGTATTATATCCTGTCGTCAAAAAACTGGATAAATCAGATATTCGCATATCGGGGGAACTTGATATGGACTATTTTATATGTAGCGTTGGCAAGCTTCCAAATACATATGCGGGTTTCCAGGTCGGGAGCCTTGCCTCTGGATGCGCGCAGTTCACGAAGAGATAGTTTGATGAGGACCGTTAAGCCTTACTTAGTAAAGTTGGCTTTGAAGAACTTAGCACTTACGCTGGTTTTTCTTATAATCGACAGAACATTTATTTGGACTGGGGGGTCTTGCTCCATAAGTGATACAAAGTCGGCTGAAGTTTGCCGGCATCAAGGTGGGAATTGGGAAAACGGATTTGACATTAGTGGCCATTTTTGTTTTCTGACCACAGTGAGTCTCGTACTATGGCTGGAGCTGAGCGCATCCCAGAAGTATATGTCCATTAATGACATAGTCAGTTCTCGGAGTTGGCATTTCCTCAGGGCGTCGGTTGTTTTTGTACTTGTGACATGGGCATTTGTTCTGTCCGTGACGGCTATTTACTACCATACTTTTTTAGAAAAAGTGCTCGGCCTCGCCATGGGATACATCTGTCCCGGTATCATGTACTGGGCCATTCCCGCTCACCAAAAACTAAGCTCGCTGTTGTATTAAGAGATCGAATATCTTATGATGTTAGAAGATCCAACCTATCATTCAGAGTTGCTACAGGCCCCAGCAGCATTGTGGCCCAGTTTTTCTGGCTTAATGGCATGCAGGAATAGGCTACAATCTCAAGGCCTTCTATTTTCAACTTGAATAACGTGGAAACCCCAGAAATTTTGAAGGATGCTATGGTGCACGCAGGGTCTGTCGCTAGGTTCGAGACCTTGCCGCTCATTTCCAGAGAACGCAATTGTTGCATTTTTATAGACACGTATTGCAATGCTTTGTAAACCTTCTTCGCAAACGTGTGGATTTGAGAAATGTCTGACAATGTGTTGTGATTACGCATGTGCTCAAACACCTCTTCTAAACCCACATAAGACGGCACCGTGTGTCGAAAAATATCCCAATGGTCATTGTTCAGACTCCTCTTGAACAATATATAGTGTGGCGGCTCAAAAGACCGGTCTAACTCATTGAATACTTCTATCCTAAGCCCTAACATTTGTCGTTTAACCTCAACTATTCCTGACTCTTGTGGACGTAGATCACTGGGATCTACGACCGGGAATAAACTTCTTCCAAATGCCCTGTAGAAGTTCTCGATATCCAACTTTTGCAACCTCTCTTGTTGTTCTCTGGACGAAGCAAAAGATTTACGCTTGGATGGTGATTTTAAGATGTCTGTATCTATTAGGTCGGCTACACCGCTGTCGAACATCTTGTGTTCCACTGGAGGTTGGGTCCTGAGAACCCATTCAGGCTCTGAGATATCAGACGGTATTTTCTCATAGCGCATGCTCCGGGCCATGCCTTTTGAAGGGGAACCATCTGGCGTTCTCAGTAATGTTACCTGGGCTTTATCGGATTTTTGATGCAGAGGTCCTCCTAAAGCAGGGAATTTGGTGAATTGATTAGCAGTTTCTGGTATCCCTACAGTACCGTGATCATTGTAAACACTGAAGTTAAAACCTAGATCCTTGTCCAGTGCTTCTTGCTTTCTTCGCAGTTCGGATACTTTATATTGTCAGTACAATCGAAAATATATGAAAAGATGCTAAACTCGAAGGTCTTTCGAACATACTCTCAGCTTTAAGAGAATCGATTTCCTGCTGAAGAACAGCGTCTTCCGACATTCAAGATTGTAAGCGGATTTTATTCAATTTGTAATAAACATGCTAAATTTTTATAGAACTTATACCATTTTCTCTATTTGATCGCTCTTGATGAGTTCAACGAAGCTAGCACGGTCAGGAGAATAAATGGACCTTACAGCCGCAGCATAGGCCACTTTGTATGCAGGAACAACATAGCCAAGCAAAGGAGAGCAGGAACGTTGATATGCTAATCTGGCACATATCTCGCTTAGTTTTAGCCTAACACCGAAGTTTGAGACGTCTTTGATGAATTTAAGCTTGTGCTCGACGCAACTCTTCTTGAAACGGTAAATGTTGAAGACGGTAGTGGGTACAAAGCTGGGCTTTACAGACTGGCTATCTGGATTGGCGACAGTGTGAGTGTGCGACCCCACTAGCGGACCTGGTCTCAGTATCACTAACTTATCGAGACCCGGTACGTTAGTTGCCAAGTCTTGTTCCAGGTTTAACTTTGTGTTGAAATACTCGCTAGTGGAGCTCAGAAACAGATTGTTAAAACTTGTAATGACCACAGCCTTCTTTTCTATCCCGTGCATTTTACTCTCACTGAAGATTTGAACCATTAGCATGTTTAATTCGTAATCGACAAATCGACGGGATATTTTGGTTTTCCGCTCCTGGAAACTTGTGGAGCCCATGGCTGATATTATTGTTCCAACCTGCCTCAGAGGAGGAAAATTCCAGACAATCGTTTGTTCAAGTTTCTTAGTGACCACACTAGCGGCCGTTGGCTCCTCGCGAAACAATGTTCTCAATGATTCAGGCCATTTTGAAGAGTCTTTTTCAATCAACGAAACGACATTGATCTTCAAATCAACGGTAAGTGAGTGACGACATGATTCTCCGTGAGCATCTTGGGAATTTTCGTAGGTCAAATGATAAGTGTATTGTTGAATTTGAATGTCGATTGCAGTGCCAAAATTCTCTTGGGACTTATTGGGAAGCTCTAAATACCCCACGCTCACCAGATGCTCATCGCATAAAAAATTGTCACACTTGCACACTAGCGAAGAACCCTTGTAGACAACGGTGTGTTCCCAAGCGGCATCTAGTTTTTCAAAAGGAGCTACATTTCCGATTTCCAACGGTTTGCGCGTGAAGCAGAACAGGTTCTTAACAACCTCGACAGTTTTCTTTCGTGTCAAAACGTTACACAGAGGTGACTTGGATCTTTTCAGAAAATTATGACTCTTCTCGGACCTCTCGAACTTCTCGTTAGGTGGATACAAATTATTAACTTTGCGTTGAATCTCGTCGGTTGAATTCAAATAGATCCAAGGCTGTGCTAATTGAGCAACAATGGTTCCCCCGGTAAGTCCCGTGGCTCCTAAAATAAGGACGTTGTCCACAGTTCGGTGTTTGGAGACACTCAAAATGTCACCTTCCAAACTTTTGGCGATTTGCACTAATGACGTTGGGCTCGAAGAGATCAAAATTTGGTCGTGGCTTACACCCTTTTGTCTGCCCAATCCCGTTTCTTGACGACTTTTGAAAATACTTCCAGTTCGTTCTCGCAAACGATGTTTTACAGCATCTCTCTTGAGACCCGTGTCTACCACTTCTTCCATGATGAGTTCGTCAAATTATCTTCTGAACTGTTGTGAAGCTAATATGTTTGAATGCTACGCACAGATTCAAGGCGCGCTGCTATTGTGTCCTGGGATTTATATACACCGGTAGTGACAGCGTCTACAGATCTAAAGTCACTCTATCATGTTTGTGACGCGAGCATCTTCCTGATCATTGTATACGTGGGGTGTAAATTACGATGACTGTGACGACTATATCTTTGCAATATCCTGAACACAACTCTGGTATGAAAACGGGGATCGGTATAATGATTGGGCATTTCGAAGCAGCTCGGGACATTTTGGGCCGAGTTTGTTCTGTAAGTCTCAATTCTCCATTTTCATAACGGCGGCCTGTATAAATAAAGTAACCATGATGAGAACTTTCTCAGGAAACATGGAATGCATTATTAGCAGATTCAGGAGCTCTGCTGGGAAATATATTCTGGTCTGCTAGTTATGGTGCTCTCAAAATTTGGGCTTTACAAAAGGTCCCGTTTGGGTTTGGGGATTAAACACCCACTTGTTATCATCTTCACCTAAATTTGGCTGGTAAGCCCAAACAGAAGCCAGAGGATGAAAACCCGGCCTCCTCAAAACAAGAAAACTAGCCCTGCCAGGAGTACACTAAAATGAGACTGCATTTGACATTATAGCGACCTCAGACGCACATCACAAGACGTAGCAGCCCTCAATATGAGCTCATTAGCTTTTAGACCATTCAACAAATAGCGGATTTAGCTCAGTTGGGAGAGCGCCAGACTGAAGACAAACTTCGGTCACTTTGATATCTGGAGGTCCTGTGTTCGATCCACAGAATTCGCATTATTTTTTTGGTTAAGCAACACTCAACACATACTTACATGCAAGGAGGGTGATGCTTTCCATTTCATTGCGGCTTACGTCAAGCAATAGTCAAATTATAACTATATTAGTATTTAGTCTCTTATTTGGTGTTAATGTTGAAAGAATTTCCGTTTCTCTGATTCTTTTCTTGGAATTGATTATCTCAACGACAACTTCGTTGTATAGATACTTCCTGGACCATGCAGTCAATTTTTCGTCACTGATTAGAAGCTCGTAATTGAGCTTTGCCAAACACCAACGTTCCATGGTCGATATGTCTCTGCAAGACAGCCCGCTGATGCGCTGCCAAGATGACATTGAAAACGTCTGGTCGTTGAGAAATTTGTGAGCTAGGATAATACAGCATAAGTAAATGCGTTTCGAGCACCTCGAAAACTCCGGCAAGCTGGTGATTGAATCCAGCTTGCAGGTGTAGAGCTTGTGGAAATAGTAGATCGACAGCAAAATTATTTTTTTAGAGCATTTGGAGCGCTTAAAAACCTCGGTTAGAAACGCAGCCAGGTGCAGTTTATTGTTGTTGACGCGTTGGTTGGAAAACTTGAAGGTCAACGCCGATAGCATGGTGGCAATGTGGTTCACAAGAGTGACCTGTTTCGTGGGTGTGCTTGTGGGGACGACTTCCTGGGCTGGTGAAGTAGGCCTCGGGTTTCGCTTCTCGACAACGGGGGTCGTCTGCGGCGTCGAAAACGGCTGTGCGTTAACGATGTTGGCCGCTAGCATGGCGCCGAAGGATGTTCCCGAAAACTTCTGTTGATAGCACTGGGGTGGCCCGCGTGTCTTAGACAATAACACACATCACAACGGGTGTGTTTGCGACGGGGCGAAATACTAGTGGAGCTAAAGAAAAAATGATACGGGCGGCTTTGAAAAAGGCCTGCCTGGCGATGTGTGCCTGAAATATTGGACGTCCAGCTGTGGATATCCGTAGGTGGCCCAGAAATGCGAAAATTCAAACTCAATCAAATAAAACAAAAGAAAATCAAGTGCAGAACAACAAAATACAACCTTTCCAGCCTTTGTACACAACTGTCTTGTATTGGCCGGACGATACGCTTTGAGCCTGGAAAACCTTAAATTCTCCGAGTCTTCTCCGAAAACTCTTTTCTCCTAGTTTATAATGCAAGTGGCCAGACTACACCAACTGCCCTTGCGCTAAACTAAATATATACTCGAACAGACCCCTGTTGAACCTCCCAACTTCCTTCTCTACTTCCTTATATATATATCTAAAATTCTATATGAAATCTTCAGATGTGATAATGCTCTTTTTCTTATTTTTAATATTAGCCATGGGTAACCGGCTCTCCTTCTGCATATGAGTCAACAGCGTGATACGTTCATTATGATGTGGATCTATGAGCCATCATGAGCCATCGGCGTAGTGGGAGGAAGAAAGATATGATTATCTGGTAGCTTGGTGATCATGATAGTGGCGTGTGAGTGTGTAGGTTTATGAGAGTGTGTCTGGGGTACGTAAGAAAGCTCGAAGTGAGTTTGTCGAGGATTTGAAGTGAAGCTAAGAGATGTGTGGAAAATTTGAGAGCAGAAGACAGCGTGACGGCGGTCATGGGGAGAGGGAACGTGCAAGGAGTGACAGCGACAGAGTAATGTAGTTTACAGGCTGATAAGCGCACCACACTGCGTTCGTGTGTAGTGCTCGCACCGCGGTGGGATGGTCATGTGACAAATGACTGCTGAGATCCTAATTTGTTCTCCCAAACCGCACGGTGGTTGGTAATCGTTGCAGCGACTGTGTGTGTATGTGTGTGTGTTCTGTTCTGTTCGGCACTTGCACTGCTCGTCGATAGGCGCTGGTCGTAGAGTGCGTGACATGTCGCTCTGTACGGCTCCGCTCAGCTCCACCCTACTCACAACAGCTCGTCGGGGAGCTTGAAGCTCACGCAGAACATGGGTTTTGTGGGGGCCACTTTCCGCACGAGATGGAACTGCAGCTGCTCGAACGGCAGTACCGTGTCGTCCACTTTCATGATCTGTTTGACTCTCGCGTGCAGTCTCCGATGCAAATCGCTCATAGTGGGCTCCGGTCTCTCTTCAGCATCGTATTTCTCGAAACAGTGGCAATGGATCCAGGGCGCATCGAAGTCTGGCAGCTTTTTCACGTTTTCAATCACATCTGGGAACCGCGAATATAGACCCACAAATTCGTCCAAAAACGTCAGCGCGCTGTCAGGCAAATTCATAACGTAGTGATGATAGAACTGCGGAATGGGTATTGTCTGGGACTCGGTTCTCTTGGTTTCTCCGGTTTTTTGGTCTTTGTATCTTTTTCCGCCCGGAATAATGACCTGTCCACCGTTTTTCCTAAACCATTCTGCCAACAGACGTGGGCTCTCTCTTATGAACTCACGACCGTCCAAGTTCGAGGGCTTTACAAAAGACCCAACCTTGTTTTCTTCTATGTTGTCTACCATGTACTTGTAGCTCTCAGGATTCAAGTCATTGGCAAGAACTATGACTTTTTTCTTACCCGCTGGCACGGCAAAAGGTCCAACTCCGGCGAACACATCGCCGACGCATTGTCCCGGTTGGAATTTTTTGATCAACCGGTCATGTTCGGTATGGAGCCTCGAATTCCAGTACACTTTACTAAAATCGAACTTGAACTTACAATTGGATTCGCGTTGTTCCACGACCAAGTCGTTTTTTCCTGCAAGTACCTGCATGTGGAACGTTCTGAACTTAGTAGCAATGGAATCGACTTTGTCCACTACGGTCTCAATCTTGCTGTTTTTGTCGAGGATAACTTGCCCAATGAGCGGCCCGTATGGCTTAAACTCATTTCTCAAATTGATGTGAGCGATGTGACCTGTTGCTGTGAATCCGGAAGGAACTTCTTCCAGAAATCCCTCTGGTAAGATAGCCCGGAAAATTTCATCTGTTTTCCAGAACGAGTAGTCCAGCACACATTCGTACGGCTCCACGATGGCTTGGTTGTCTTTCATAAACTGCAGCGCATCGGCAGAAACCATCTCTGGCACTTGGTCCACCTGCGTCACGGAGTCCTTAAGCAACACGCCCTTCCTGAGATGATTGTCATTGTTTAAGTTGGACTTTTTTAGCGGTGGTTCCTCGCCTTTAGCATGCTTGTCTTCTAGTTTCACAACTCTCGATATCCGAGGCAGCTTCAGCACTTCTTCTTTAAATTTGGCCGAGAAGGCACTAATATTTTTGGGATCTGGGAAGTGCACTACAACCATAGGCACCTTCGTAACGAAGAAAGATCTATCCAGTGCATGCATGTTTCTGTTGACAGGCGGTTGAAACTTGAAAACAGTCGTGGGGACTGTAGAACTAGTGGCGTTATTCATTCTAAGTATTTGAGTTAGAAGATAGCGACCTATTCGCATACAAAGGTTTTATATTATTAGTTACAATTTGTTCAAGATGGAAGCGATGAGCTTGACTTTTTCAGAATCACGGTAAATCGAAAAGCATTGACTGAAATGCAACAAAATGTCTGGAGATAGATAGAAGGTCAACGAAAGCTCGAGAGTAGTACCTCGCAAATTACTACAGTTTTGTAAAATGGTCACCGTGCCCCAAAATAAACGCGTGTATATAATCTAAGCGTCTTTTCTCGATGGGCCATTGAAGTTTTAATTTAGGCAATTCTAGAGGCAAAATCCCTCTGTGGCCGTTAAATAATGTTCAGTGCACATTGGCAACATCAAATCATAAGTAAAAGCGCTTGAGAGAACTGTTTCAGTTGTTCTTCTATGGCCTTCACCATAATTCAAATTGCGAGTACTACTGTATTCGTTGTTTTTCTCAAGAACTGGGAAAATTTGAACTTAACGATTCCCGCGATGGGCTTAATCATATGGTTTTCAAGTCTACAGAACTCTGATCTCAAAGATGTCAACAGATGTATTAAGCGTGAGGAAGAGACAGGAGGGTCTGCAATTTGTCAATGGCCTTGAATCAGACTCCGATAGTGATGTAGAAATGTCGAATGATGAGAAAACGGAATCTACGAGGGAAGCCCAGGACGGCACCATCGTTACACCAGGAGAGCTAGTTACGGATGATCCAGTATGGATGCGTGGTCATGGTACTTATTTCTTAGAGAATCAAACTTATGCTTCCGTGGCAGGAACGGTCTCTAGGGTTAATAGATTGTTATCTGTTATTCCACTACGAGGACGTTACGCTCCTGAAACGGGTGATCATGTCATAGGGCGAATCGCGGAAGTTGGAAACAGACGGTGGAAAGTCGATATTGGTGCGAAACAACATGCAGTTTTGATGCTTGGGTCCGTCAATCTACCAGGTGGTGTCTTACGAAGAAAATCGGAATCGGACGAATTGCAAATGCGCAGTTTCTTAAAAGAAGGAGATCTTTTGAACGCCGAAGTTCAATCTCTTTTCCAAGACGGTAGTGCTTCTCTACACACGAGGTCGCTGAAATACGGTAAGCTCAGAAACGGTGTGTTTCTGCAGGTTCCCAGTCCTTTAGTAGTTCGCTCAAAAAACCACACACACAACTTGCCCGGTAATGTTACTATCATTTTAGGTGTAAATGGGTTTATCTGGCTGCGGAAAACATCAGAGGTTGATACCGCAAACAACACATCGACCGTCATGGGTAAAAACGCCGCCGCACTCTCGGGCTCCAAGGGTGATTATAAGCCAGGAACTAATTCGGTGAGTATAACAAGGCTTGAAGAAGAGTCATCTTGGGAAATCTATTCAGACAAAAACGATCATATCTCAGATAGCATGAAGAAAACCATCACCCGATATTCAAATGTTATCAAAGCCCTTGCACACTGTGAAATCGGCATCACAGAGGCTCGGGTCGTAGCTGCATATGAAGCTAGCATGGCATATAGTCATGCTGGCTCGCTCATAGACAAGGACAATATGGAGGCTATAGGACAGGACGTTATCAATGCCGAGAAAATGAGAGGTAATGCCTGATTTAATGATACAGAAACTATTCAATAACCGTGATTCTTCAAGATCATTTAATGAAACTATGTACAAGTGTTTATAATTAACCTCCGTCCTACTTAAGTTTTCAAGGGTCCTTCTTCTGATCCGTGGCTTTACTAGCGTTGTCGTAAGCTTCGATCTTACTTTTGATACTGGAGCCAAAATATTTTTCAACAAATCCTACCTCGGTATTCTTTTTCACGTCACCCTTCTTCTTCGCGACAATACACCAAGTCGTGCCCAAATGGGTTCTTTTCTCCTCCACTATTTCCAAACCTGAATCATCTAGAATTTCACCTAGGTCCAAGTTCCACCTACAGCCCCAGGTCTCTAATCTTTTCTCAGCTCTATCGTCCAAGATCTTGTTTATGAAGCCGTAAGTACCTCTTCCATGTTCCAAAAGCACGATTCTTCCTCCGGGTTTCAAGAGTTTTTCGAAGTTTTTCAAAGCTTTGACTGGGTTTTCTAAAGAGCACAATCCGAATGCCTCCACGATTGTATCATACCTAACTTTCGTTTCCGGATCAACACCTTCTGTTTTTGCACCGGAAGCCAGATCTACAAGATTCTCGGCTTTCCCTACTACAAACGCAGCCTTTTTGAAATTAGGAAATTCTTGACGGAACTTTTCGTGGGTCAGCTCCATCATTTTCTCAGATGCATCCAAAAATGTAATTGAGTTGATTTTCGAGAGGTCTGCATATTTTAGGTTTCTCCCCGTGCCGCATGCAATTTCAAGCACGTCACCTTGGCAATGCTTCATCAGCCATTTACGTCTCCGTCCCATCATAATGGCTTTTTCTTCAAAATTTACTCCTTCGTCGTAGTCGGCAGCCTTGAAGTCATAGAATTCGGTGGTATCACGAGCAGGTAAAATCTTTTTGTTTGTCTTGTTCTCATCATTATTTTCAAGTTCGATTCCATCAAACTGGGTCGAGGACTGATTCTCATCTTGTGGTAGCTCCCTATACTTCACTAATTTTAACTCATCTCGAGTCCTCAGCTTTCCCCGAAGCTCTTTGACTCTAAGCTTCTCATATTCGTTGGCCTCACCATTTGATTGCCTCGCTTCTAACCTCTCTAGCTCCTTTTCCTTGGCATACATTTTCTTCATGAAGTATAGACCATAGATTAAGAAGAATATGTACGCCCCTATGAGATATTTCGTCATTCCCTTGGTAAATTTCTCAGTTCTAGCGATCGCACCCCATCTCACGAAGCGATTGTCTGACTTAAGTTGCACTTCTAGTCTCTCCTGTGCCAGTTCTTCTTTAGTTTTGTTGCGCCTGATTTTGGCGCTAGGTTGAGGAACGTAGGTAGATTTCAGCCGCATAGTGTACAGCCTGGCAGTTGCTTGTAGAACACCATTAGGTTTCCAAGCAAGCCTTATCGGCGAAAAGCTCCGGAGCATGCTATGTACTGACGTTTTGTTCTCTTTAACTTTTTACAATATTCGAGATTTTTCAATCTGCCAAATTGAATAAAGAATCTGAAAATCAACTATAAGAGGGAGATCACGAACTCGGGAGCAAGCGAGAGCGAGACCATTCGTGGCCATCCAATGAACTTCGCAAGCAAGCATCACTATCTTCGTGATTCGATGTGAGGCATTGATCGTTAAAGTGTGGACGATATCATACCATTTGATGTCCTTGAGTAAGAGAAATGTAGTAACTCTCGTCTATATGACAGTTCGTTGACGTTGAGGTTTACACCAATACCTGTAGCGCTTCTTGATTCTTCTCGCCTCAAATTTTTGTTAAGCATTAATTCTTGCTTGCCCTCAAGCAGTCGCTGTTAAAACCCGATGTGTCTATTCATTACTATAAGAGTCTATCATAAAGTTATTACATCCAATGTACTTACTTTCCACTTGCAAAGGTTGCAGCGACGATCAAAGGAAAAACAATAGTAGCGTCAGCATAAATTTTGACGGATTTTGCCTCAGCTTTGATTTTGCCCCACGAGATTGCCTCATCTGGTCTAGCTCCTGCATCTGAGCCGTCGAATTCCTGACCGGTATTGATGTACACAGCATAGTCAGCACCGTTTCTCATCAAGCAAGCATTGGCAATGTGATGCTTGATCAAACCACCCCCGAGTAATAGCATACCTGCTCTCGAAGCTTCCATGGACATGCAATTGATTTTACGAATATCTGCCACAATATCCAAGCGCAATTGCCGAGGAGAAGTCTTGAAGGTATGGAAGAAGAGCATGTCCCCAATAGAACCGTCTGTCACCGCTGGGCAGAACACTGGAATTTGATTCTTGTAAGCCCAGTACAGAACCGAGGACTCGTCATTAATTTCTTTACCTAAACGGTTGATGAGCTTAGATGGTGTCCACAATGGAGACTCTACATCCGCATTGGCGTCGAGACTTTCGGTCTTGTTCTCCTTCACATATTCTTCCTGCTCCTCCAGCATCTTGTCGAGAATGGGCACAATCCACTCCTCAAATTTGCAATAATTGTCATTGGGCACCAGCAGGTTCCCGATACGGTTCAGGCCCTTTTCACGCAAAGATGCGCCCTTCAGCGTAAAATCACCTAGGTAGGTGGGCGCTAAACACTTGATAAGGTCCTCTTCAATACCGCCTCCTGTGGTCACAATAGCGTCCACTTGCTTGTTTTGTACCAGGTGACGAATTGTCTCCCGTAGTCCTGAACTGATCAAGTTCGATGTGTACCCAAGGAAAATTGTTGTCTTTTGTTTGCCTTGTTCGTCAAAGGACCCTTTTCTATCATGCTCTTCGAGCTCGTCGCGGTGCTCACCCCTCCAAGATCTCATTTCATTAATGATCTCGCAACCTTCGCCTAACGCGCTGGCTTGGAACCCCATGGTTCTCATTGATTGTACCAGTCCTGAGGCTCTCATGTCGGTAGCTTCCGGTTTAGAGTAATCGATACCTTCAACTTTGATGTAGTCACCGGACAAAGGCTCCGACGCTTTTAAAACTGCGTCATTTAACGTGTCCGGTAGTTTAGAGTTCAACTGAGACATTATCAACACTCAATAGCACTTTGAAAGTTCAACCAAGTGACCTTTTTCTTTAGATCTAGTATACTTGAAGAGTGTAACGGTCAAAAATTTTTCAGACAAAAGAGCGATGAGCTTGATCACATCCCGATAACGATAACTCTACGATGAGCATTTCTGGCGTGTCGGTGGCCGCTGAGCCCGCGAAACTTGTACATAAGGGCAACGCCAATATTTTAATTAGATTCAACGATTTCACTCGTCTTGAGCGTTGTTGTGTGAGGTTTCAGAGTCTCAATCGTAATAATATCTATACCTTAGAAAACTACCAGTACCTGGAACGCGAAGTTACCCCACTTCTTGGAGATTACCTGGTGCGCACAAGAAAGGTTGCACGTAATGTTCAACTACTGGATCTGCTTCTCGAGGAGTTTCGAGTTTCGCGGGACTGTTCAGAGGTTTTTGTCTTGGAAATGGAGAATCTGACTTTTGGCATGGATTCTGTGTTATCAGTGGACCACTTCACCAAAATACACAAATGCAGTAGTTCCACAGCAGTTGTATGGGAATTCAAGCCAAAGTGGTGGTGTGAAACTGGCCACATTTGCAGAAATTGCACTTTAAATAATGTTAAGGGACGCCGTATCCCCTACTGCTATAATATGATACTGGCAGAACCAGGACTTTTAAGACTTTGGTTAGCCGAATATCGGCTGCCGTCACAATTCTTTACAGATATGGAGCTTTATCTAAGAAGCAGCGGGAACGTTTTGGCAAAACTTTACGAGATTCAGGCAAAACTGACCCATAGTGTACCAAAGTTAGGCGATCTGAATGGCGAAGTGGATGTTTCAGAAACGCTAGCGCTGTTGATGGCAATGCGAGATGTGTCGTGTTTTATCAAGTGGGATCACGAAAATCCAATACGGGCGAAGATTGTGGATGTCGATCTGAAACCCAAGTCCAAGTGGGCACAATGGATGTCTCAGCAGAGCGTCCTTGATGAAAGCAATATGAAAGTATCTCACTAGATAAGTGGCTCACGATATTGCACTTTCGCGAAACTTCATTTTCTGCATCATTCGTTCACACTCAAGCTGGCTTTGCAATATACGAATTCTCGATTCTTGTCTCTTACCTCAACTTCCCATTGTCCAATAGATACACGGTGTGTATATATTTGGACAGTAGTGCCAGTGTGCATGAAGTGGGTATTTTTGTATCTTATGGCTTTTATACTCAAGCCTAACCCAAAGTGCATGTATTTTAACAAGCTGTGAACGACAAATGGACCTTGCACAATTGTATCTTCGTAGCCCTCGACGTCTCTGCAATAGAGTTTATCCAGATGCACCCGATGTGGATTGTTGGTGAGCGCGCTGTATCGTACGATGTCCCGATCCTGGAAAGTTAGTTGGACGGAGTGTTCGGGGATAAATGCCATTTCAGGTGCCACTCCCGATCGCGATGATGGCCTGCTTTGGGTATACACCAAAGTTCTGAATTCGGTAACTGCGGGCAATTGGCTCTCGCATTCGAGGATTTGTCTATCGACGCCCACGTAATAATCGCTCTTGATCTTTTTGACAAATCGCACAGTCTCTAGACACTCATACTTGAGGTCTATTTGCAGCGGAGTGATGAAGCGCATTGATCCTAATGCCCACATGCGCCGCTTAAATGACTGCGGAACCGATAGGTCTTGGAGTAAAGCCCTGGGAGTTTGATACGCAAAATACCCATCGGGGCTCAAGTCTTTTGTTTTCGGATTGAAAAACAACAAATGGTCCCCAGCAGACGGCAGGTGTAGAGCGGCGCTTGGTATTCTTAAATTTGGCCTCACTTGTGCCGATACCATGCAATTAAGCTTCAGCAATTGTGTCTCGCAGACGCTTTCTTTAAAACACCACTTCAAGCTCCTTAGACTCTTCTCTGGCCCCTTCATACTCGATGGGACTTCCGCGACAGTTAGAATGGCCTGGTTCTTGGTAACTCAGGTTATCTTTCTACTTTCGAAACATCCAGTATCAATAAACCTGCCACAAGTTGTTCAAATAGCTGGCCAGCCTTGTGATGTCTGGGCAAACAATCGGCAATGTCACTCCCAGCTACTGTGGAGCTTCAATCACCCCGTGGAACTGATTCAACGGAAGTGCGAAATCTTGATTTTTTTGATAGATCATCGTATTATGTTTATCAACGCTAAGTTAACTTTCAAGGAAGCTCAGTTCCAATGTAAAAACATACATTCACGAGTTGGATATTTCAGGCTGAAAGTCAGGTAAAAGTATGGTATCTTGTTCTTGCAAAGCACAGAACTGCGAACTTTCATTGCCCAGATGTTTTCCAGCTCTGATGTGAAATTGAGTGCTGATAATATTCTTGTGACTAATGGTGGCATTGGTGCCAACTTTTTGGTAGGGACATTATGGCTGAGCCTGATGTTCATATTACGTGTGTCGCGCCAATATATCAGCAAATTTTTAGCATTCCTCGCATGTTTGGAACGAACGTGAACTTCTGGAACTCAAACCTGAAAATGGCCACGTCCCCGATGTCAGTGAACTCGCTATTATGTTAAAGCCGAACATCAAGTGCATTGTGCTAAACAACCCCAAAAACCCGCTGATCAGCGTTATTCCGACCTAAATACTGACGCAGAATAGCGAATTAGCGGACAAGAATAGAAGTCGCGTCATTTGCGATGAAGTCTTCAATCCGCTCTTTCAGTCCTGCGAAAAACCGAAATCTTTTGTAAAATTGAGTGCCAGCCCAGTGGTGACGGGCTCTATGTCCAAAAAATTACTCCTCAGCGGGCCTCAGGTTGAGCTGGATTGGTTCCCAGGACAAAAAGCTTTTTGGAACCGGCGCGTTTCAGGAGAAGCTATAATATTATATCCGTATCGTTGGCGGATGATGCGACTCCAGCTAAGTTTTGAAACATCGCGATGCAGTTTTGAAACGCAATATCGAGCTGTGCCGAGGCAATCTAACAGTAATCCATAAATTTATCAAAGCTTCTGTTGGTACATTATCAATCTGTACATGAGCCACAGAATGGAGCGGTAGGATTATTGCGCACCCATGGTGTCGAATACTCATAAGAATTCTGTGGCAAGTTGGCCGATGATTTCAAGGCCTTGGCTGCTCCAGATGGTGCGTCTAATGTCAAAGGTTGTCTACGGTTAGGTTACGGCAATTCGGAAGATCAACTAATAAACGGTCTAGACCAGCTGAGTTTAGCGTATGATAAGTTTTTGTCTCAATCATGAGGCTCTATATTGCATCCAGTTGTCTATAAACGAAATTGTCGGTGGGGCCGGCAAAAACATACCAATCTCTGCTTTCTATGATCCTGAGTTCCATTTCCTTCATTGTAAGCGGCGATCCCATGGCAGCCTTGATGTTTGTAGGAGAGTTTTCCAATGTCACGGCTAAGACCTTTTGAACTATTCCTAGCACATGGTTGATATCCAGACTGACGACATCCTTGGACTTTGGACCCTTTTGCATGTTGTAAATAGTATCTAGCAGGAGCGCTGAAAACAAATCGCCAACACCTGTGAAATATGAGTCAATAATTGGAACTCTGTAGATAGTGGGAGTTTGGCCCCGCTTGGATGCCACGCAGTAAAGATGCTCGGAATCGTTGAATAGCTCGGGCGAGCAGGAGGTAACCACGATAATGGGCACAGTCTTGTGAAGCGTGTGAAGCGCGCTTTGAAGTTCCCGTAAACTGTGAATTTCTCGTCCATACAAAATCTCCAGTTCGAATTGGTTCGGAGTTATGACGTCCACCAAGGACGATTGCACCAAGGACTTGTATTCTGGAATTACATCCTTGCTCACATAGAGTTGGCCATTATCACCCATAACCGGGTCTAATAGCCAAATTAAATTCGGCTGTTTCATTTTAAGCTCTTTGTAGTTCTTGGCCATACATGCCACTGATTCTTGATTTGGCAAATAGCCAGACAACATTGCATCGTAATCGCTGAGCACTTTTAACCCGTCAAAAACCAACTGCAGTTCTTGTGCCGAAGTACAGGTTCCGAACACCCTTTCCATGCCATAACCGGTATGATTGGAAAACTGTACACTATTCAAGCAATCAACGTCCCAACCTTTACATTGCAGCGGAAATGTGGCAGCTTTATTACCGACGAATCCATGCACGACATGAGACTGAGTAGCTAGCAGACGCGGCATTAAAATTGGAGGCTGATTGAACTTTTCGATCTTTGAAGATTCGGAAAGTATTCCTACTTTTTTAAACGCTGAATTGACAATAAAAGGTTGGCAAATAAAAGATAGCTAAGGTGGAAACAAAGATGGAGATAGCATCTTAAAAAGATGGAATTGTTTTGGGTTGCAGGTTGGTGAAATAGAGATGGCTCGCGCTTTTTAGCTAACGGCAGGCTTGCTTAATGTTTTTTTTTTTGCAAGCGATCCTGAACAGAAAAACTGGTTGTAATTAGACTGACCGATAAGACTAGATTTACTCACTAGGACCTGTGCGGGTCTCGTGGTGCGAAAACTCGAATAGTGTCAACATTCTAATGATCAGAAAAGAGTCCTTTGGGGGGGACAATTTCGAGAAAAAGATCATAGTGAGAGCGAACCAGAATTGAAAGTAGATAGTATCCAACTTTCAACACCTGTATTTTATGATGAGACGCCGACTTTTCAAGAGCTCGCATTGTTCGTTGGCTCGAGTCTCGATTTCTGAGTGGTCGGAAGATACGTACGATACATGATAACAAGTATCAAAGTCTTCGCTCATCACTGTTGGAACTGCCCGAGCAGAGAAAACGAACGAGCGATAAGCGATCTTCTGGTGAGGTGGAGATCCTCATGGAAGCATGTGTGACATTTGAATAATATCTTGTGTCTAATATCACTTTCTACAATTCTGTCGTCCTCACTGTTCATTGAGAACTACATTCTAAACGGCGAACATGTTTATCGCAGCGTTAACTACTCGAAGTGAGAGTACATTGCATTGATGACCTTGTTGCGACAGACTACCAAGTGTTTTGACTATTTTCTCTGAATTTATATTCTGGCCACCAAAACTTTAATTGTTGGCCTGAGTTTACCAACAGCCATTACCAGCTTATAACACACTTTCCTCGCATGATAAATAAGCTACCTGCCTAAAAGTATACAAACCCTTGCATTCAATTCGGCCCCCCTTCAGCTTCGAGCCACAGGCCCTATTTTTTTCGTCGAAGCACCACCACCCTGGGTTGTATAACTCAACGTTGTAGACCATTCCTGTGCGCTATATGCTATTTAGCTGTAGTCGTTTGGGAAAAATATAAATACAGCCACCCGCGCTTTATTTGTCTGCGTATCGTCCCCCCTCACTCAGTAATAGTATCCGATGATCCGGCTCTAAGCTATTCCCAGACTAACCTCGCTCAAGCTTTTTTTCTAAGGATGACAGCAGTTACTTTTCGCTTATGGCTCGAATAAGGCCTCCCCCTATCCAGTGGCATAGTAGCTTCGTAAACTTCGCTCAATCTCAACTATCTCTAATGTCACAACAACCACACCCGTAACTCAGGCGAACTGCCCGACTATCTAGCATGCATCCGGAACGTGAAGTCATATCATACAAGCTTCAGCCGTAAATAACACACAACAGATCACAAGGGTAACTTACAACACTTGTCAATTCGCAGTTGCAGCAGCAGCGGCAACGGAGACGTGGCGCCTCGAGAAATTTCATCACACAACTAGCTTTATTTTTCCACTACTTAGCCTATAAGGTACCTGGGAACTAAGAACGGTCCTTGCAGCGAACTGCAAAGGACAAGCAAGAGGTTAGCAGGAGTGAAACAATGGCCGCGGACGACCGGTCCGGTTGATGCTCGACAACGATTTAATTTTCTTTTCCAGCTGAGCATATATAGACTGTAGTATATCTTGGAAGCTCTTGGGATGTGGTACAGGATCGATCTCTCGACTTGAAGAATTACCGACAGAGCTAGATCCCAATCATCCGCCAATGTCGTTCGTAAACTATCTCAGAGGCCCAACTGAAAACAAGACGGTTCCACAGGAGCCGCCTATTGACAGGTACAAATCGGCCAACAGCTTCCTGGATCTTTTCTCACAAAGGGGAAAGCTTGTGGTGGTGACAGGAGCCGCAGGAGCCATTGGAGGGGCCATTTGCGAGGGGTTTGCGTCCGTGGGTGCAGACTTGTGTGTGCTGGACTACAAGTACGACGCTGAATTGGCCAAATACCTGGCCGAGAAATACAATATTCAGGCCAAGGCCTACCAGGTTGATATCACGAAGCCGGAGGATGTGGAGGCCTGTGTTGCGGCTATGCAAAAAGACTTCCCAGGACGGGACATTGATACTTTCATCGCAAACGCTGGTGTCGCTTGGACCCATGGCAGTATCTTGAGTGAGGATGCCACGCCCGATGCCTGGAAACGGGTCATGGACGTCAATGTCCAGGGTACTTTCCATTGCTCTAAATACATAGCCAAGGTTTTCAAAGTGCAAGGGCATGGTTGTCTGATTCTCACGGCCTCAATGTCATCGCATATCGCGAACGTGCCCAACTACCAGACATGCTACAATGCCTCGAAGGCTGCCGTGAGACACATGGCCCGTGGATTTGCCGTCGAATTTGCGCATTTAACAGATCCTGCAGGTCGCATCCGTTGTAATTCGGTATCTCCAGGATATACTGATACCATCCTGAGCTCTTTTGTTCCTACTGAACAAAGAGCCCAATGGTGGGGATTGACTCCACAAGGCCGGGAAGCCCTCCCTCAAGAACTAGTCGGCGCTTATCTATATCTGGCTTCTGACGCTGCCACATTCACGAATGGATGTGATATTACCGTGGACGGCGGTTACACTTGTGTATAGCATCTTATAAGAAGACCATGTCGATATAGACAAGAAATATAACACGACTAGCGAGTGCTATAAATGTGGTGGAAAGCATAGCTATATTTTGGCGACTCGCAGTGCAAGCAACCATATGGCATATAAGAGCTACCTGACAGATTGCACAAAACTCTTTATTAGCCGAAAACTAGCATGGCAGGAGGGGTCCGTAATTGAGTTACCAGTGTTCGTTTTGCTACAGAAGGGCAACTTATAAATCCTAATTTATGCAATGTTTCCAGGTTAGGTGTTACTTGTGCCTTGTTATGTTGACAAATGTCCCGCTGTTGTAAATCCTAGGGCTCGTTGCTTTGCATCATTTGCAAAGCAATATGAATGACTGCAATCTTCTAGCTCCGAGAATTTGTATTCCTATCTTTTCGCACTGGCACTACAGATCGGCACTCTGAGTCTATTTTTTATTGGCTACTATACAAAGTATGGTTTGCGGGAGCTTTCACGACGTTTGGTATGAAAAGTTTTGAAATAAAACTCGATTCTACAACATCGAGCAGCATTGTATGCCACAATCCTATTTGCTTTTGATTGCCTTGATCTTCTCTCTGATTTCGGTCAATTTCCTCTTTTGCACCCCTTCGTCAAAATTGTCTTCACTTAGCCACGCTGTGAATGTTGTGCGAAGGTCTGCCCATTCACTTTCGGTGACTGAGAGCCAGGTGGTATCTCTGGAACGTCCCTTGTATACAGCCGCATTTCGAAAAGTACCTTCTAGCTTGAACCCAAGTCGCAAAGCAGCATTTCTAGAAGGACAGTTCAAGCTGTCGCATTTCCACTCGCATCTGCGATATTTCAAAACGTCAAAGATGTATTTCATTAGCAGGTATTGTGCTTCCGTGGAAATTGCCGTTCGTTGTAGCTCTGGCGAAAATATGACGTAGCCGATCTCTACGGTACCATTTACGATATCAAACCTCATCGCTGCTAGCGTGCCAACTGCCCTTCCATTACTGTGATTTACTATGGCGTACGAGACTGAGTCACTGGAATTGACAACGCCAAGTAGGAAGTTTCTGTAGTCACTATAGTCTTTGAAGGGGCCTATGGGCAAATAAGTCCACATCCTATCATCTGGCGCTTTGGAGTATGCGTCGAAAAGTGCTGCTGCGTGCTTCTCAACATCTAAAGGCTCAAGTTTGCAATATTTACCCTCCAGATCTACCTTTTTAGGGGCCTCGCTACCCTTCCACTGTACCACCTCGTCTCCGATTTCCTGTCCGTAACTATTGATCCTCACCATATCGATCGATGCTCGTCACTTGTAATGTTAGATAGGTGATTCTCGAGCTGTAAGTTGATTATTTATTTGGCGACAATTCGAAGCGTCTTCTTGGTGACTCATGCTACAAAATACGCCATTCATTTAGATTGCGGGCAGAAAGCTGGGTGTCTGAATTCCTCCATACAAATATTACCGCTCGGGAAAAGACGTATTGTTCTCTGATTAACAAAACCGCCTGTTTCTACACCGCGCTTGGAAGAAAGCAGTACCGAAGACCGTGATTATCTGCACTAGGTTGGTATTATATGATACGGTGCTCAAGGGCTTGAGTACATTTGCCACCCGTGGGTGTGTTCTGGTACCTTCACCCGTAGAGCCGCGACTAGAGCAATCTACGAGAGGCTACTCATGTTGGCCGCGCTTGATAGATAGCTCTACAGAAGTATTGAAATGACAGCATCAGATCCTATGACATGATCCAATTATCAAAGCGACTAGGTTTTGAACTTCAAGTGCAGCAGAGCAAACTCCCATGCTAGTATTGAAGTAAAGCGCCAATAAGTATATCCATCCCGTTCTTGAGCTGATCCGTTGTAGGTGAACTAGGATTCGTTATAATGGTAAACTCGACATCAGAGTCATCAAAAACCTGAATATATAGTATCACGGATGTTCAATTGTCAATAGCAAGCGCCGTGGCGCAGTGGAAGCGCGCAGGGCTCATAACCCTGATGTCCTCGGATCGAAACCGAGCGGCGCTATTATTTTTAGCAAATTTTTATAAACCCTCATCACTACTTTACAAGCAACAGCCAATACCTTGGACACATTGTGCTAGTTAACTTTAGTGGTTAAGTGGGCTTGCGACCTTTTTCTTGCTTACAGCGGCAAGCTTAGCGGTTACTCGTTAAAAAGTGCTACAACGGTCTAATTGTTTGAAAAACAGACGCAAATTACCGAAAAGTTCTACAATAAGCAGCTTGAACGTACTGCGCAAGTTTTGCCGCCCCAGGCTCTCCTGAAAGTTGCATAAAGTATCTTGAATACTGTTCTCGCTAGTTTAAGTTTCGTGAATAGACTTTTATTATTGAAAAAATGTAGACTTGGTGATATTTTATCAGACGCTGAGGTACACATAATCACTGCTAAAAGACGTGCCAAATTAGCTATAAGGATGAATGACGAGTTCAGTAAATACATCCACAGCAGGCTAATCGAGGATGTGCAGATTGTACTATTCACGGACTTGATGGCCAATTTCTCGATTTGCAGTGGAAAAGCGAAAAAAGCGATGTATGATTTCTACAAGACAACGACTTCTAAGGTGAATTGTGTGATAGTCTGTGGATACAAGAACGGGCTTATTCAAATTATCGATAATCTGAAGGACTTCAAAGATGATGATGAGCTTCTGGACGTTTTCATTTACGCGTTCAATCCCATGAATCAATTTGTTCCAGTCAATGCAATGGTCAAGAGGCCAGTAGCAATTAGCAATTGCTATGAAGTAGCACATGAGATATTACCAGCAGCACCAGTAGTACCGACTAAACTAGATGTCGAAGAAACAGAACCTTCAACTGACGTTAGACCAGAACAAAAAAGTTTGCCAGCTGGGACGAAAAGGGTAGCAACGAGAGCTCAAACGTTGCCCGCCAAGCCACGCGGCTCGAAACCTCAGCCGAAAGCTCCAGTCAAGAGTGCAGGAGAACTGAGATCCACGGTTCTACTACAAAAAATGCGACAGGAACGCGAAGACAAGGAACGCGATCGGCTCGAAGAATTACACAAGCGCCGTCAATTACAGCAGCAGAAGGCTAACAACGATCCAAAACGAAAACAGGAGATGGAAGAACTTTCGAAGATGTTTGATAGCGAAGAGGAGCAGGAAGGGAGCGAACTCGAACAACGCGAAAACGAACATGAAGAGAGCCAGCCTGAGCAAGAAGATAGCGAGCCCGAACAACGCGAGAACGAGCTTCCTTCCACGCTTGAAATGGCGAATCCTACCGAGGCCGAACTAGGTGAGTTACTAGAGACAACTGCCGAAGAATCACTTCTGGAGATTAAAGCAGAGCCTCGAGAACCTGAAGCACAAGAAGACACCTCCCTTATGTTTGTCGATGACGAAGGCTACACCGTCACACAAAAGCCATCCCAAAAGACATCGTCAACTCCTGTGAAACGGCCTACAAAAGCGGTTTCAACGCCATCAGAACCTGAGTCTAAAAAGCGAAAGCAACAATCTCTCATGAACTTTTTCAATAAACGCAAGTGAACGTATTGGTCAATCTTCGAAGAAGTTACGCCGGTTTCTCACTGTTCCATTGATAAATCAATCTGCAACAAGATATCATTGCGGATGCGGTAGTGAAATGGAACTTTATCTTCGGGAACTTAATTGAAAGCCGCCAAGTACCTGTCAAGCACGTCTAGCAGGATCCCAGACGCTTTCACAGATAGCAAACAGTCGTCTAGGAGTCTACCATTTGAAATACTGCAGGTAGTATCCCAGACGACTGCATTGCATTGGCGAAAGCGATGCCAACGAATACGGAGTTCCATAGCACATGCTTCAAAACTGCCTACGCTATTCAAGTGAGCCTCCTCGCTGCATGACATGTGTCTTCATCCGAAAATTGACACTTTATCAGCGCCAATCGATGCGTATGTTTCAATGTCACGAAAAGCCCAAGGACACGACGTTACTCGAAGAGGCTCAGGATCTCTTAGACGTTGCGGATGTGAACGTGCGCAGAAACCTTCAGGCCTCCATGCTTAGTAGCCATATACTATTGAAATATTACTGAACTATCACTCATCTCAGCAGCCATATACTATTGAAATATTACTGAACCATCACTCATGTCATGCTACATTTTTACTGAAATATTAATGAAATATTAATGGAATACTACTTGAAGTTTACTCCCGAATAACGACATCTCTCTCCCCTCTCGCACACGTTTACCAAAACCCAAAACGGGACCGTTCAGGCCGTTCATACGCTTCCTCGAGAAGTTTCGTGAGATTCACGGTGTGTCAAAAAAAGTTCAGAGTGACTAAGGCCCCTCCCCACCATCACAGCGCTGTGACAGCATGGCGCAATCTACCATCTATGCAGCTTGCGATACCACCCGTTCCAACGTTCTTCCAGTATGGTCGCGACTGCTACGTGAGTCCGCCGTTTAAAATGCATGATAGTCACCCAACTCCGAGAGTACATATGTATTCCCATACAAGTTACAAATACTTTTGTACTCATCTCCCTCACGCCACTGCTCATCGCACCGCACGACGGTAGTTACCCTCCTCCCAAAGGAAAAAACGCACCGAAAAAAAAAAATTTCGTATAATATAGGGGATTTTTTTCGCAAGATAAAATTACCAGAAACAAGCTTGAGCACCTTACTATCTTTCTTACTTCCGTGTGTAACATTTAAAGTTCGCAAAAAGCCAGATCGCAATATCATAAAGGCCGGTTCGTTATTCAGTGTGTGCGTGTGCTTTCCAAGTTCCCATTCACTTTCTCGCGTCCAGCTTTCCTGCATTCACAGTTTTTCGTTGACCGAAAACTAAGCCTAATCTCTCTCTCCTAGAGCCAGAGCCTGAACCGCGCATCTAACAGATCTCCGCTACAAGCCTCGTTTTACAACATGACTGATTTGTGTCCTGTGTACGCGCCATTTTTCGGTGCCATCGGTTGTGCCTCAGCCATCATCTTCTCGTCGTTCGGCGCCGCCTACGGTACTGCCAAGTCCGGTGTCGGTGTGTGTGCCACCTGCGTGTTGAGACCGGACTTGTTGTTCAAGAACATCGTTCCCGTGGTCATGGCCGGTATCATTGCCATTTACGGTCTGGTGGTGTCCGTGCTGGTGTGCTACTCGCTAACCCAGAAACAGGCCCTTTACACCGGGTTCATCCAGCTGGGTGCTGGTCTCTCCGTCGGCCTCAGTGGTCTAGCTGCCGGTTTCGCTATCGGTATCGTCGGTGATGCCGGTGTCAGAGGTACCGCACAACAACCTCGTTTGTTTGTTGGTATGATTTTGATTTTGATTTTCGCAGAAGTGTTGGGTTTGTACGGGTTGATTGTTGCCCTTCTATTGAACTCGAGAGCTACTCAAGACGTTACTTGCTTGTAATCTCCGAAGCTCACCGGACTTCTCTTCCACCCCCCACTCCTTTCGGCATTTTGACTGTCGAAAAATGAAAAATAAAAATTTATATCCAACGAAATACAAATAAAAATCACGGCTGTCGCCTGTCACGCACCGCTTGAAGCCCTAATGCGTGGCATGGCTACCTGCCGCAATTCCATCAATGTTTGGGGCGGGAGTTTTGGATTCCAAAACTGAAAGGATATTTTCTATTTCTACTCCTGTCTCTCGCAACCTCTAGATTTTTCTCCTTTTCTTATTATATAAAACAGTTAAGATCGATCTATCATTGATTTCGAATAATTTTGGTCCTACACGCATATCTACTAGTTCATGAACTCTAGACAAATCTTGTAATTCAATCGTTGCCTCACCGATTTGGTCAACTCCTTCAACTGAGCGGGTAGCATCTCATTTCCCGGCCGCTGTTTTAAAACCTCATACAATGCAGTGCTTTTATCATCTTCACTTAGATTGCCCATAGCCTTTATGATTCGCATTATGCTATCCTCAGCAATTTGCCGAGAGTCTTCTTGCAAAAATACCGGATACAAGAATTTGGCAATCAGTAACGAAACGTAGTGTCTTGGCAAATACCGAAACTCGAGGAGGTTCAAAAGATTCTGTAACGCACCATCCCAGTCTTGTTGTGCCAGTTGTTGATAAAACTGATACAAAACCGCATATGGTGACAAGGTTTGTTTCATAACATCCGTTAACACGTTTGACAAGACCTCTTTAGGAATCTTGGTGTCAATCTCTTTGCTTACTATTGCATCTATCACAACATCTTCTAGTGGCGAGCCTTGGATAGCGGAAGCTTCAAATATCATCCAAGAATAATGCTTTACCCATTCAAACTCGCCAGCTTTACTGAAATTGGTCATTGCCTCAATAACGTTGTTGTCATACAGAAACTTATTACCTAGGATTCGATGAATGGTCTTGGCAATCTCGGGCAATCTCCATTTCGCACATAACGTCAGTAGCCACTCTATGTCATCATTGTTTTGGAACGGGTAATGTGGCAAGAGTTCAGCTATGGCTAACCTCACGGCGCTATCGTTGCCACTTGGTGATAGAGCCAAAATTCCTATTGCAACTGACCATAGATGTTTATCATCGTAAGAGCAAAGCTCCAATGCAAACCCATGAAGCAAGAAACTCGCCATGCTGTTATTTGAAGAGAATAAATCTCCCTCAATGCCTTCGTATCTATTTTGATGATTGGTTAAGCTATTACTGGACTCCAATAAGCCCTTTGCTTCACAAATCGCAGCAAAAAACACTGCTACGCAAAAATCCAACGACTCAAGCATCGGCAGAACTGCATATATTTTGCCCTTTATTACCTCCACACTTGCTTGCTCCCAAGTGTTACACACATCAACGGGGTGAGCGTCCAGTGATATTTGAAGATATTCTTCCGACAGATCCAGCGTTGGAATATAAAACATGTAAAGCCCACAAAATGACTCATACCATGTGTTAGAGTACTGTAAGATCTTAGCTTGGGTTCCGCCAATCAGCAAAATCATGTCATTGATGAAATTGCGTAGTTCAGGGTTCAAGCCCGATGAGGACTCGGAATATATTTGAGACAGTTGTAGAGCTGCTGCCTTCCATTCTCTAAATTCTTCTCCGCCGCTCGAGGGATACTCTTGCAGCAGGGTTGTTGCGTCAGTCAGAACATTGAAACTGAGCTCGCACTGAGACTGCAATTCCGAATAAATCTGAGATCTTTCCAGAACACCAACAGCCTGCTCAAAAAGACCACGTAGAAGTAACTGGTTGACAAGGTGCCAGAATGAAGACGTATCATAAACTTTAGCGCTCCCATGCTGCTCAAAAACGTTTTCAATGACGTGCTCCGAGGGCTCTCCGTCAGCCCTGTTAATCCACTGTGTAAGCTCCTGCACAAGTCCACTCTTTTGAGAATATTCGTCCTCTAAATCTTTAGTGAAGTGAACAGCCTTTACGCAATTCAAAATAGATAAGCATTCCTCCAGCTCCGAACCTCGTACGAAACTTTGAGTGGCTGCAAAAGTTTCAAGTTCATCTACCAGTGCCTCCATAGCCAAATTGACTGCCTCAGTATGCTCTCTGCGAGAAGACTGGCTTATTAAACCCATCGTGGGAACACTGAAAATTCGGTCCTCTCCCAGATTTTTGTAAATCTCAAAACAGGTTAGGACAAACTGTTTGTATGCTTCAGATGAATCGAGACGAGGAAAAGTTGGTGTATATAACCTGGAGTTTGCCACATCGAAGTCCTCCTCTGTCTTGACTCCAGTAACATATCCCACACTGCGAGAGGCAACAGGGGCTATTTGAAACTTCAAGAAACGCCCAGAAGCCCTGAAAGACTCCACAGAAGTCCTAATGGGCTGCTCCCCCTCAAAATACGACTCTGGTGCCCCCGAGATTGAATCTACTGCCACGTCTTCTATTTCGTGTTCATTTTGGACCGTAGTATCCATACTCGAACTTTTAAGGAAGTCTAGGCCGTCCACGTCCATCAAAAAATCATTTTTCTGATCCCAGGCAATAGCACTCATTCTCAAGTATAGTGTAAAAGAAGAATCGGTATTTTGAACCTCAGTTGCCTGTGTTTTACCGAGGCTTGTATCCTTTACCTGAGCTGGCAAATCTTCGTATTTACACTTCTAAGTATTTCACTTTCCATTTCAATTTTTTGAAAAATTTATGCGATGAGCTTTAACCGACGAGATGTTACTCCAAATTAAAATCTGCAAAGTTGATTCCATCACTAAGCGACAAAATTCTGCCTTCAAACATCACTATAGAGAAATGGCGGATTGTGCATCAAGTGCTGGAAGCTTGTCAAAAAAACTGCGATCTAAGGATGTTTCTACCGCTGAAATATACGATATCTCGATAAAGCTCTTAGAGGGCGAAATAGCAGCGCATTTTCCAAAGAGAGAGGTTTTTATCCTTGACCTGCTTGTAGACCGGTGGAATAATCAGAGAAATACTGATTTCAAATGTGATCCGAGCATGTGGCAACTTTTCAACAAAACATGGGCTACTATGAACTCAGATACTCTGCGCAAAAAAATCTTCAAGAACTTGAAATACGTACCGCATCTGATTCAAACACTTGAAATGGTGGATGCAGAGCTAACAGAGCTAGCAGGCGCACTCGCGACAAATTTTGAACTTCTCAATTCCTGCTTGACTGTGGACATGGCTCAAGATCAGGCCATCGCCATCATTGCAGGTGTCTTGAAGTTGGTACTAGCGAGCGCGAACATGGAGAGTGACCTGCAGAAGGCTCTCATAAGTGAAACCCTCAAACTAACCATTGTGAACCTTAATACATCAACTATCAACTTCAAGTTATCCAGCATGTTCTGTATGACCTTACTTCCAAACATCCTCAAGTATAATGCTTTGTATCAGGATAACTTCACAGCTTACTTTAGCAAGTTACTTGCTCAGTACTTATTTGCGCCGGAAGTTGATAGTATGAAGTTAATGACGCAATTTCTGGCAATTCATGGTGCTGAGCAATCTGATCAATCCTTACTTATCCTATTCCGCGAGTCTATTAAAACATATTCGAAGACGTCCATCATTCAGTTAGAGCAGATTTTTACCCTCATCACTGGAGTCAATTCTTCGGTAGCCGCCGTTCTACTCCAAGAGCTGTGCTCTTTGAAGAAAACACTTTCACAACCTTTTCTGGAAACTTTGTTCAACAAAGCATTTGATCAAATTTCTGGTGCATCACAAGACAATCATTGGATCTTAATAAGCAAAATACTAAGACTCGACATCGAAGTCGGGATCATGAATACGGTAAAAATAATGGACAAACTTTCCACAGAAGATATGTCAGAGATTACTCTTGGGGTTTGGGGGGCTTTAATAGAATGTTATGTTAACGCAAGAGAAGTGCAGAAACTTCTTGTGGAATGGAAGAACTACTCCACATCAGCCGGAAATCCTACATGCTTCGTTGATGATTTCAGACTTTCATCCAAAATCACAAGAACAGTTCCTGCCATGTCAGTCACACAACTCAAAGATTTTTTTAACGACATTTTTGAGAATATTGCACAGAACGAGGACTGTTCAATCATAAGTTTCAAGCTACTCAACGTGATTATGAGTGGTCTCTATTCTGTATCCTACAATCTTCTACCCAATATTGAACCTGTGCTCCTCAAAATGTTCGAGTTCAAAGGAACTAAATTTCCCGAGTATTGGACATTTACTTATCATTTTCTGAATATCTATGATGATATTTTTCCCGAGAAGCGTTTGTGTCAGATCGAGTCCATGATAATGGCTTCTCTCGAAACAGGAAATCAATCTAGTGATCTGTTTTTGACTATTTTCAAGGTCAGAGAACTGAAGCATGTTGAAATGGATAGTGTGGTAACTGAATTTATGACTTTCTTACGCACGGCTTCTAGCGCCGAACAACGGAGTCTCCTCGATAAAATGTTGAGCAGGTGGTGCACCATTGTTAACCTCTGCTTTCCTCAAGGTTATCTATCCGAATTAATCGACCTATTATTATTACCTGGAAATATTGACATAATGGTCACAATTGCAAAATCCGACGAATTCTTTGAGGAAGACAAAATAATGCATACTCTCATCAACAAGATGTGCGAACACCTACACGACGAAACGATACTAGAGCACTTTTCCCACATTCCGATTCAATGTGTTCCCAAGGTTACACGAATCAAGGCCGTTGACTTGCTATGCCAAAAACAGGTCTTGTCCCCCGTTGATATGGTTGCTCTAACTTATCTTCTTTCAAATCCAACATTCAAGTCAAGTGTTGAAATGAATGTGGGAGTTTTGGAAAAGGTGCTGAATCAGGACTGTTGTCTATTTGATCTCGGGAACTCAGTCGTTGAACGAGTACTTGCTAATCACACGTCTCAACTAAAGGAGGCTACTAGCGAGCGATTAATCGGAAATTTGGTGAGCCATTTGAATTCCAACCTGAATGCCTCCTTCAATATTGTCACTGCAAAGATGGTTTTTTTACTTTTGAAGGCGGTGAACTTCGAGGAACCGCTAGGCAGAGGGCTGGAAACTAGATTGATAGATGTCCTTTCTGAACTTGTGTCCAAGCAGCTAAATTCGATGGAAAGAAATCTTGAGCTATTGTGGTCACTGAGGGTACTTTACGACATTCACCAAGGAACAAAATCGACAGAGTCCAGGGATAGTATCGATCTATTGACAAAGCAAATTGCCAAGAAAATGCCCTCTGAAGCTTTAGGTGAAGAATACAAAGCAGCTGTTTTTTCTTTGTATTGTTTTGCTTACCGTCATGAACCAAAGTTTCTCCTGGCACATTATATGGTTCTAAGACAGCACATGTCGAAGAAACAGATCTACGGTGCGACTGAGACATTAATTGTAGAAACAGCCTCGGACTTCGTGAAATTCAATGATTTGCTTGCTGCAGCTACTGCATCAATCCGCCACGCTGATGAGAACTATGCTGACAGTGCTCTTGAGCTCTTGGGTTTGTTGTTTTACAACTTGCAGAAAGAAAATGCTGAGGGCAGGAAGCTATTCGCGAGATCATTATCAGAGCTACACACGTATATGAACAACATCGTAAGCCAAGATCATGATGTGTTCTTGGGTCTACTCGACGTTCTCAAAGGGTTGTTGGTATGGAAGCCCTGGCTTTTCAGTCAACACACTATCGAAACATTATTTCCTTTTTGCTTACGAGCCAATTCATTGCTAATGGAGTTGAATGGTAGTAATAATGACAATATTGTTATTTGCACGTCACAACTTTTGTCGCACATTTTACTATATCACCGTTTCAAGTTTACAAGTCGCCACCATTTGATTATATCCTACATGTGTTCCATGCTTGAAATGTTCGCAGTAAATTCTCATTGCAACCTTTCTTTTGAATCCGCAGAAGCATTTAGCAGACTTATTACTATCTTTTGCGAGCCATCGAGCGACACGAAAAATAATAAAAGCCAAAAGTCCCTTCAGTCACAGGTGAGTCAAATTAAGAAATTTCTCAGGAGGCATGTATCGGTGCTGTTGTTGAAATACATCAGCCTGGCTATCAGCTCTTCGTTCAGTAATCGGGTGAAAGAGAGTTTGAGCCGGGGGGTTTTTTCTGTTTTTGATGTCATGTCACAGGCCGAGCTGAGTGGCGTAAATCTCTCTCTAGATAACCCAGGGAGAGTTTACTTCAAGGCTTTGTATGCCGAGTATAAGAGAACAGGTAAATGGCACGAAGATTGAAAGGTAAAATCTTGAAGGCTCCATGATGTTAGTTTTACCGCGCACAATTTGTGATCTATCAGTAATCAGAAATTCTGAAAATAGTTTTTATAATGGACCAGAGTTTTTGGTCAATGTTTGAATTGAATGTGTATAGGGGACCATGGAGTTCTCTGTGCTTAAGTCTTTCGAACTTCAAAAAGTCTTTTTTCGTCAGCAGACCCTGCAAACAACCGCTAGCTTCAACAATTACAAGCTTGCAACCAAGCTTCTGAAAGTATCTATTCAGCAATTGCAGAGGCATGTTGCTCGCGACTACAATTGGGGAACGATTAACGATATGGTCGAGCGGTAAAATTTGTATGTCAGATTCGGAAGTTTCCTCGTTTTCTCGAGTCAGTAAGACTCTCGGCATGTAGGTGGGTCCATTAACGGCCGCTGCCTCCGCTTCTGCGCTCAGAAGTGTTCTTTTAACGTACCCGATGCAAGAACCACTTTTTTCGTCTACCACTGGAAATTGTTTGAATTTCTCATTTCTCTCGAGGAAAGCAGTTAATTCTGATAGAGACAAGGTTTTTGGCAGAGAGACGATATTCTGAGACATAATATCTCCAACTTTATAGCCGTCCAAATAACTTATCTCGTCTTGCAAATTCTCCAGGATTGGAAATCCGTTCACGGTAATCATTTGGTCTGCAATGCCACCTTTAGAGCTAATGAATCCATAAACCGAATGTGTGACAGCCACCACAATCATGGAGGGAATAATATAAGAAAATGCACCAGTTAGTTCAATCATGATCACAACTACAGTTAAAGTAAGGTTTGTTATCCCACTCAAAGTGGCCGCCGCACCTAAAAACGCATAGGTGCCGGGCGTAATTTTATGTTGCCCTGTAATCCATCTTTCCACCATCAAACTTATCCCGCGACCAAAAGTGGCGCCAACAGCCATAGATGGTACAAAGATACCAGCCGGAACGCTGCAGCCGTATGAGACCACTATGAGGAGAGAACGTATCACGGTGGCAAATACTAAGGCTAGAAGTATTTGGACAAATAAACCCGCGTGGGTATCAGAATCCAATTGACAGATTCGGTGAGTCCACAAAGATTCACCGTCATCGCCAACACACTCGTGAAACAGGATACCCATACTTTCAGTCATATCCAACTTCAAAAACTCATTGAAATATGATACTAGAGCCGTAATCAAGGTCAAGATGACAACTTCCTGTATCTTCCAGCTTTGTAAATATGTTTTGCGGAAATTTACGTAGCGAACATTCCAGTTGCTGATTAAAATGCCGTAGAGTCCCCCAAAAATTCCCAGAACAACAAAAATAGGTATTTCTTGAAAGCTCCATTGATTGTCATAAGTTACTTCAAAGAGCACAATTTTCCCATTTCTGAAAGGATTCATGTATTGCAAGGTTGCCACCGCCCCAAGGGCAACATAATACGATTTCCACAAAACTGATAAATTGAAATAAGAAGTGGAAGACATCTCTTCCAATCCAAAAAGAACTCCCCCTATGGGTGCACCAAAAGCCACTGCAACTCCTCCAGCAGTGGAAGCTATCAAAAATTCAGATTGCTCGGAGAAGTTAAGATCGTGCCTGAGTAAAAGGTTGGTGATGACAAACCCACAACAGGTGGCATAATGCACCGAGGGCCCTTCTTTACCGACGCTCAGGCCGGAGGAAATAGCAAGTGGCAGAGCTATACTTTTTACAAGGAGGGTGGCTAGGCCTAAGAATTCGTCTTTATACCTAAATCCCGAAACCCAAACTTTGATTTCGGATATTCCTGAGCCGGTGGCCATAGGTGCAATATATATAACCATGAGAGCACTGGCGGATGCAAAAATCAAAGAGAGTACGACGAACAATGAGAAATCCAAAAATGGGTTGGACCGATCGACCCACATTCCGTCCTTAATGCACTGTAGTTCGTCACGTTTGATTAATACATGCTTAATATCTTTGCTGGCTTGCACACCTGCACAGCAGAATGACTTATTGAGTAACCAATTACGAGCACAGTGACCGGATTTCCAATTCACTAGCGTCTCGGTAACAATTTGTATGCTGCCTGCAATAAATCCTAAAAGTATCGCAATACAGGTGAGGGTTATAATTTCTCGGAACCGCTTCCAGGCCCAATAACGATAGCGATGCCACGAGCTTTCAAAATTGAGATCCGGATTGTCATGTGAGGTGCTTGAAGCATGTTTCTGGCTTTCCTCTATCCAATCTATTGTTTGGAATTGTCCGAAATTTGCGGTCCCCGGGATTTGCGATTCTCCAACATCATCTGGATCCACTAGCGCTAGAGGCTCGAAAGACATACGAGGATGCTTGATAACCGCAACGATATGCAATAAGCTCTCAAACAACCTTGATATGGAGTTATTTAGCTTGCCCTCTGGCATATGCAATGCACCTTACCTTTGGTTTTTTTAGGCAAGGCAGGCCTTCGTTATTCACGATTACGGTCTGGAAAAGTGTGTATTTCGAAGAGCGAGTGTCCTTCTCGTTGGTATCAAACTGGGATAGCTCTTGAGTACGACACGATAAGCCTACGGTATTCATAGAAAAGAGGACTAAGTGCCACTTCGAGGAGGGCTTCTCGTGAGGGTATGGGTTCACTAAACAGTGAATCCACAGCGTATCTCCAGCTTTTTTAGTATATTCATGTTCGAGATCAAAGCTATACCAAATAACACCAGGCCGCTGTGCTACTGCTAGATAGTAAGAGTTTTTTTCAACGCTCAATCAATTCTGATATATAAATCAGCTAGTTGTTCCACCCGACAGCTTAACCTCAAAGCTGAGAGAATAACGGAGAGATAACTGGAACCTCTCCATAATTCGTTTTGATTATCGATACCACGAACGACGAGAATAATGCCTCAATCGCAGATTTTAGACGAATCAGACCTCTCTTAATGATGTAGTCACGACAAAACTCAATACTAAGAATTTGTACTTCATGATCAACTTACAATAAGTAGATGCAGCTCGCCGGCTCTATGAGCTGTCTCAACTTAAGGCAAAAAGTCCAAACAGCTCAGAAACGGTTGAACTTCAAATACACTTCATTAAGGCAGACAACATGATTTAAATCTCTGTTGGGTATTTGCTTCCCCTGTCCGACCATGGAATACGATTATTAGCGCTTAAAATCGTTGCTCAATAATAGACAATGTCTATAATTTCAGCATAAGTCGACTAGCTGCAAGAGACCACCTCTGTCATCCAGTCATTCATCCGATTTTCTAATCGACACCTAATCAACTGGCTGGCGCGGAAAAGAAATAATTTTTCACGGTGAAAAAAAAATTTTCCAAGCTCATCGCATCTCATCTCTCTCTTTCTAACTCATACTTGAATACATTTGTTATAACCTAAAAACCATTCAAGCGAGCTTCTAATTTGCAAGGAACTTGAACAACTGTCGGTTTTCGAATCATTAATCATCAAAATGTCTGCTACTCCAAACCCTAAAGCCTTCCCATTGGCCGACGCCAACTTGACCCAGCAAATTCTAGACGTTGTCCAGCAAGCTTCCAACATGAGACAACTAAAGAAAGGTGCCAACGAAGCCACTAAAACTTTGAACCGTGGTATTTCGGAATTCATCATCATGGCCGCCGACTGTGAGCCTATCGAGATTTTGTTGCACTTGCCATTGTTGTGTGAGGATAAGAACGTGCCATACGTCTTCGTTCCTTCCAGAACCGCCTTGGGCAGAGCCTGTGGTGTTTCCAGACCTGTCATTGCCGCCTCCATCACCACCAATGACGCTTCTGCCATCAAATCCCAGATCTACGCCGTCAAGGACAAGATCGAGACTTTGTTGATCTAAGCAGCTTTTTGTCAGCCACTACACTGATCATCGAGAAAAACTCGCTGCGATTAACGCTGGATCCAGATGTGGTGTCAAGCCGAAACCATTTTAAGCACATACTTGTATTTCCAGTCTGTATAGTAAAGAGTATCATTTTCATCAATAGATTTTAAGACTACGGAAATTACAATAGAGGTAACGCCTCATGATCAAAAAGGCGCCCAGGACTGGTGTTTATTCATCCAAATAGACAGTAGCGCACGTCACCAGCAAGCTTGTGATTTGCATCAAAGAGCTGAAAGGCGTCACTGTCGACTAGCGAAACCGAATCGTTGTCGCTCCTTATCGCTGCATCCTCAAAACGTTTTAGCGTTTTTGCTGAGGTGATAGCGCTCACCAGATAACAACTGCCATCGGTGGCATTGAGGAGAAACATGGGTTTGAAATCGGTGCGCGAACATGCATCCTTTCCGTAAGCCTTATTGGAGAACTCGCCTTTGGGCGAAATCTTGACTAGCCCAATACTCGTTATCTGATGCGATATCTCAAAGCGAGCAATTGAAAGCGGTTCCAAAGAATTTGAAAATTCGTAGATAACAGAGAGTCGCCCTTCATCGTTCATTGCAGCAGAATACGTAGCGGTAACGTTCCCACCATCTTCATCAAATCCAAACTGAGCGCAAGACAAAAATCGTGTTTCTATGAAAGGTTTTGCGAGCTCTTCACATTCAGATATAGGTAAATGTTTGAGAGATATTTCCTTCAAGTTGGAGCTCAAGACTTCCGTGCTTGCGTGAGCTGATACTTCACCCCGTATTTCTATTTGTTGTATCCCTTTGAATATATTATGCACCCCAATGATCTCTCGAAGGTCGTTCAACTTCTGCCTTTTTTTCTGGCCCGAAGTAGCCAACAGACTGTCCAGTGGAGGAAAAGGAAAGCATCCGCTAATATATCCATCCAAATTCAGTGCCTTGGAAATTTGCTTAAGACTAAAAGATCCCTCTTTTGCCGAATAACCTAGTTGGAATGCTTGAACACTATCTCCTAAGGCAAAGATTATGCGATTTGAATAATTGAGCAGTGAAGTTACGTTGAAGTTGAGTCGAGTTTTGAGTTGTAGCTCAATTTCCCCTGTAACTTCATCAAGAGTGAAAAGCAACACATTCTCCTCTAGCTCGTCTTCAGCAAATTCGAAATTCAATGAGACCAGAAAACATTTTGCAAAGATGAGCTGTTTTGCAAAAGATGTCTCAGTATCCAGGTACTTATTCCACATCACGTCCTTTTTAAAAGGGACGCCAATAAGATCGGAAATAATAGCTTGTGGAAACAATGAAGTGATGCTGTATCTGTTTACTAATTGGCCTAGGGCTACGTCATAAACTTGAAGTTCTGAGTCGTAGATGGTCTTTTCACGAGCTTTGTCGAAATTGTTTGCCAGTGCGCTTGTTATCACAAATCGGCGAGATTTTTGCAACGTCAAATGTTTCGTGATAATATATAAGTGGCTTTCTAATGACTTTTTGATGAGTTGTTGTCGAGCATGCACAAATTTTGTAATGTCGGCCTCATACAGAGCGGAATCGTTGCCTAGAAGAAATATTTTTGAGGCAGAAACGACTTTCATATGCTTCATGCGTATAGGCATTGTTATTTCTGCTGCGTCCAATTCGTTATTGTTGATGCCAACCAAGAAGATGCTGTCTAAACAAGTTGCAAAGAACTTTTCAGAAAAAGGAAAATCGTGTAAGGAAATTCTGTGGCCATCAACTTTGAGCTGAGATCTTAATGTGCCGCCTATGTTGTAAACGTGAACATTTCCCATAACATCGGCAAAAATCACCGTTGTGCACGACTGACTGACCTTTACCAAACAACTTGAGATCTGAGTTAAGCCTTGCAGATGTATTGATATGCTATCGGCATCGAAAAACCATATAGACCGGGCATTCCATGCAACCACTGATAAAATCGTATTATTCGGTAATTTTGCCGAGGATATATGGTACTTGACTGTAGCCACGTTTGCAAAATCGGGAATTTTAGCCCTAAGATTTGTGGAGCTCCAAGTAATCATTCCCTGCTCATCGATAGACATGAATTCTTCGTTGGTAGAACCCCGGATAGGCTCGATCATGAAAATTTCTTTGCTTCTTAGAATTACTTCACCCTTGTAATTCACACATAATGGGTTGTTTTCCGCCTCTAGCAGACCCTTTTCATCAAAAAGACTTCCCTTTACGTCGACCCAGTAGATTCCATGCTCTGTTAACCAAAAATCAAATACGTTTTGTGCTATAGTTTCCGCTACAGCTTCAAGACGCAAGGATTCTTCAAAACCCAAGTGTGTAGAGTCCAGAAAGCCCCGATTACCTAATGATCCCCCCGATATCAGCAAACGTGAAAAGTTTCCGCCACCTCCAGAAATACTTGAGTGCAAAACCGCTGATTTTTGGCAAGTAATGGTGAACTTATTTATTAGTGAAGATCCATCCAAGTTCAGTAGTAGAATTTCTTGGCTACTTGTAGAAATCAGGTAAGTACAGTCTTTCAACAGCATAAAGCTCTCGATCAGGTCAGAATTTCCTTTTCGAATATGTGAGAAGTTTAATGGTAGATATTTCACCATGTCAATTTGGTTGGAGGAAGGATTGAAGTTCAGTCTAAAAAAATGGCCGGAGCTGGTACAACCGAGAATGTCTGATTCTGCTCCCAATAACTGCTTAGATGAAAAAAGGACACGATACTCTAGGCATTTGAAGTCTGAGTATGATTCAGGACCAATTTCTAGTATGTCCAGCTGAGGTCTTTGCGTTTGATAGTATTTTTGTGTATTGCATACAATAGATTGACCATCAATCACACATATAAAACCAAAATTTGATCTTGCTACTAACGATACCTCAGCTGAATATTTATTTTGCAGCGTAAGACACTTAGACTTAATGATAGGTTGCCACTTACTGCGAATCATATCAAGCTCTTCCCAGACCTCTAAGCAGGGATTGTCACTGTTCCGCGATTGTGAGATTACACACATGTTGTAAACCTCCTGCAGATCTTCACTGGTGTTCCGACAAGCACATAGAGACACAATTGGATACTGACATTTGAATGCTTCTTTCAAACGATTTTTGGATACCAAAAGCTTGAATTTTGATGGCCCTATATGGTAGTCCACTCTTGAAATGGACAATCGGTCCCAAGTTATAAAAAAACGATTGAATTCTGTATCAGTCACCACCAGAGGTTTTTGAGTAATGTGTCCAAACCCTCCCACTCTTACAGTGTCTAGAATTTCCAATTGGCTATTCCTCGCCTCTATAACTCCAGAACTGTAAAGAAATAATGTATATTTGGAGCTCGACACTAGGTCTTGACACGTCCAGACCGCCAGTACACGAGCTTGAGTCACAAATTTCAGTATAGGGACATCTGTAGCTACTGGGAAAGTGAAAATTAACAATTCGCGATCCTTCACAACCAGTAATCGTTCATCGTCGAGCAATGATCCAGTGATGAATTTTTCAGGAGCTCGTAGCTCAGTAATCACCAAATTGGGTTCTATAGTCGATTCGCGTTCAGCATTACTCATGAGGTCGCGAGGAGCATCAGAGAGATGTTTTGTATAGTAGTGCAATAGCTTACCACTTGTTGCAAGTGATCCAGAAGCGTACTTAAGTTATTTGATCTCGTTGTATACGGGTGACAAAGTCGAGAGGGTCGAGAACTTCTAAATTAGACTTGGCGCCCTTAAATAGCCTGACATTCAACAAATTTCCTATACAATTCGGAAAGGGGCATTGTAGGCTTAGAGAACCTGGATGTGAACTTGGTTTGTATAGCTGTCGATTTAATTTACTGTCGTCAATTCAATATCGTCTCAGAAAAGTTGAGGATTTTTGTGACGTTCAGCCCAGAATTGTGTCAGTGTTGTTCTTCGAAAATTCCAAAGCTTATCTACAAGGCGATACAATTCAGCCTGTACTTTGACCTGAGATTATTGTTAAGGATACATGCACGCTTTTTCGGAAATGGTGGGGATAGGCGCCTTTAGGCGCAAGAAGAACACAGTTCCCGCTGAGGGCATCGAAATCACATTTGCTAGCCAAGCAGTCAAGGATCCCGAGAACCATTTGAAAAAACCAAATGCAAAAGCCGCTGAAACTGTAACCAACTGTTGCTGCTGTGGAACTTCACTCAAGCACCCGCAATGTGTGCGGAAGCTTAAATGCAGCAGGTGTCATTGCACCATTGACCTCGCACCCAAAACTAGCCACTACGTAACGAAAACACTGAATTTTACAATGCAAGCATTTGAGAGTGTTGTTACGTTGTGCTATGCCCGCTATACTGAAGATAAAAGCAGATTGGGCACCCATATCACCAAAAATCAATTGCATGATGCATTTCAACCTATAGAAGTTTTTCTCGAAGACTTATTCAGTAGTGTCGATCATTTGAACTCTTTTTGTGATAGTACTGGCGCGAAATGCAAAATATTTGATTCGAAAACTGTGTCGCATTTCTACACAGCAATTCTTCAGCTTCCAACCAAGAGGCCCCTGTACAAGCTATTAATTAATAGCAACAATCGTTTGAAAAGGCCGCAGGCAAATCTTAATAGCGATGAATCAATTTCAAACTTAAAGCAGCTTCGTTGGATTTTAATGATCTTCGAAAACCCACTACTCCGGGAAAGTTTGGTGTTTAACGACGATGCAAAGCCAATGGCACCCCATATAAGGGCCATCCAATACGAGATTATAAAGCGCTGCGTAGGGTATTTGGCTTTGGTAAATGCAGCGACGGGTAAGGAGCTCGTAACATATCTGCAAAGCTTGAGCTCTGCTCATTTTGGTTCACAGCTCGATTTAATAAACTTATACGTCACTTTCCACTTCTCAAGAATATTACGCAAAAGAGCTAAAGCCGAAGCCTCACTAGGAAGTCCCGACTTAGATGAGTTTTGCACAGATGTCAAGCTGAATCCCAAGAAAGCTAATAATGACTTTGAGACAATTCCGCAAATGGTCAGTAAATTTTGGAATAACAATCGCCGTCCTGATAATGAGCTACCTGCCAATTTTAAGTTCAATGTTGCAGATTATGGAAATGACTGGCATGTGAGGACTGCAGCGAAATTAGAATTTTTCTATTTTGTTGCAAATCAATGTAAAAGAAAATGCTCGATTTCTCGCTTTTACAATATGCTCTCTGATTATTTGGACTTTAAGAAAGACTTTGATCAATGGAGAACAAAGCAAAAGCGCAGGGCACCTGAGTCTTTATTATTTTCTTTGGAAACACTGGATGATGTCGTGTTAATGCCTCATTTTTTAAGTGGTTTGAAACACCCAGAAACTCAATTCACAATGTGTCAGTATCCTTACGTGCTGTCACTTGGCATAAAAATATCAATTATGGAATATGAAATAAGAAAAGCAATGGAGCACAGTGCAGAGCAGGCATTTCTGAAAGCTTTGGACAAAAAACAAGTGGTTGACGTATACTTGCGCGTGAGAATTCGCCGAGACCATGTGTCTCAAGACTCACTACGGTGCATCGAGTCGCATCATTCAGACTTGAGGAAATCGCTGAGGGTTGAGTTCATTAACGAACCTGGTATTGATGCAGGGGGTTTACGGAAAGAATGGTTTTCACTTCTGACTAGAGAACTCTTCAACCCGGATAATGGGCTTTTTGTTGTGGTTGAAGAAAGCAGATTTTCTTGGTTTAATATAGCATATGAAGATGTGGACAATGGAATTGGACATGCTACCAAACTTTACTATCTATTTGGTGTTGTATTGGGTCTAGCAATCTACAACGGAACAATATTAGACGTTTCTTTCCCCATGGCCCTTTACAAGAAGCTCTGTGGCGAGCCTTTGAGTACAAGGGACTTTTTAGAGCTATATCCTGTGACTGGAAAGAACTTGAGGAAAATGATGGATTATGAAGGCATGGATTTTGAAGAAGTTTTTAGCCTCAACTTCGAAATTAGCTATTCAAATGCTTGGGGCACTAAAATACATAAGAGGGAACTACGCGAGGGTGGGTCCTCCATACCGGTTACGCGAGAAAATAGGAATGAATATGCAAGATTATGGATGGACTTTCACATGAATCAAGCAATCGCGATTAGTTTTGATGTTTTTTTGAATGGTTTCAAAAAAGTGGTCAAGAGTGACGCTTTTCAACTGTTCAATTCTGAAGAAGTTGAGCAATTGCTATGTGGTAGTCATGAAACAGACCTCGACGTCGATACCTTGAGAAGTATCACTAAGTATGGTGGTGGAATTCTACGAAGCTCCTCAGTTGTTGAGTGGTTTTGGGAAATTTTTGTCGAATTCAATGGCGATCAAAAGCGCAAGCTCTTAGAGTTTGTGACAGGATCTGACAGAATCCCTGCCACTGGAATATCTACAATTCCATTCAAAATTAGCCGGTTAGGGAGCGATTCCGATCGACTACCACTAGCGCACACATGTTTCAACGAACTATGTGTGTACGAATACAGCAGCCGTTCTAAGCTTCACCAAAAACTGCTTATAGCAATAAACGAGTCAGAAGGTTACGGGTTTCGATAGAGCTGTCAGATGAGATAGGGGACCCGATACATTTTTATGGGTAGTGGCAATGAATTTTATAAATCTTGAGGCATTCTCTTTTCATGCTCATTTTTGATTAAGAAAGTGTATCGTGGTCTTCGACGGAGTAACAGGGAAATAACTGTAGCATCTAAAGCTGCGAGTGTTCGACCATTTTCGAAAACTTAATCTTTGATGAAAATCTCGAATTTTCTAAATTTCTACTCTGCTTGATCTATAAAAGAACAAGAAGTCATTTGATGTTGAGACTTTAACGTCTTACTGTACTGTTCTCTAAGTTGTCATTCCAATCTTTGCAATATACTGATAGCTATATACGAATGTGTCGCTTTCTCTTCATAACTGTAATTCACTCTCCTAGCACTAACAGTAAATGAAACTAACTAGACTGGAATACGAATGGCTGTAATTACATTTCCTAATGCCCAACTACCACGCACTACCCACAAAATTCAAGTTTTAAAATAATCATTTAGAAGATGGGCTCTCGCAGCATTTCAACAAACTTAAAACAGAGAACCAAAAACTGGCCTTCAGCTCTTTGCAAACTATCACGGAAATCAAACTATCACGAAAATCAAAATGCTGCTAAGCTACTGCTCATCTTTCAGCTGAATATCTTCAGATGTTGACAACATACCAAAATCACCACAAACGAACCAATTATATTGCCCAAAATTTTTCTTGCATTAATTTTCTATAGTCAAGCTAGCCCGCTAATTTCGGTTATAGATGAAATCTTAAAACTACTAATCATCGATTTCGCAAAACAGGTTTCGAACTAATTTGTTGAAAACTTCGTGAATATTTGATACTCTTTGCCAGTGTTTGCAGATTCCGTGGTTTGAACTCTTTGGCTTATTTTCCAGAACCCTTGAACTGCACTGAATTCTCGTGTTAGCTCCAGTGAGAATACCCAGACCTTCAACTTGAAATACACCACAACAACACATCTAATATTCTTACAATGTTGGGTTTGAGAACTTCTTTCAAAAGCTCGTTGAGAGCGTTGAATTGCCAGTCCAGATTGATTTCTTCGTCTGCTGTGTCTGCGAAATCTACTTACAAAACACCCGATTTCGGCGACTACGTCAAGGAGAAAAATGACGCCGACAAGAGCCGCTCGTACGCGTACTTTATGGTCGGTTCCTTGGGATTGTTGTCTTCAGCCGGTGCCAAGTCCACTGTCGAGACTTTCATTACTTCGATGTCCGCGTCTGCCGATGTTTTGGCTATGGCCAAGGTGGAAGTCAACCTTGCTGCGATCCCAGAAGGTAAGAACGTCGTTGTCAAATGGCAAGGTAAGCCTGTTTTCATTAGACACAGAACTCAGGGTGAAATTGACGAGGCAAACTCCGTTGACATGTCCGCTCTAAAGGACCCACAAACTGATGCCGATAGAGTGAAAAACCCTGAATGGCTAATCATGTTGGGTATCTGTACCCATTTGGGTTGTGTGCCTATTGGTGAAGCCGGTGACTTTGGCGGTTGGTTCTGTCCTTGCCACGGTTCTCACTACGATATCTCTGGTAGAATCAGAAGGGGTCCCGCTCCATTGAACTTGGAAATTCCAGAATACGAGTTCGACGACCAAAAACTGATTGTCGGTTAAATGTAATGCATTTTTCGCCCAAACCTGCATTTTTTACCCTTGAGCTGTGCATTGCTTTCGGCTCGCACGCTCTTTTCACGTTTACAAAACAACATTCACCATAGACCCCTCTTCTATTTCCTGTTGTTTTTTGGTTTTTTATTTATTATTTCAGCTGAGAGGACTGAGGAAAGATGAACATATTCTATTGATTTAAAATCGCCGAAGCTGCACCATTTTGATTTGCAGTATACAAACCGGGCGAACAATTTTTTCTGGAGTTTTGAAGAGATTGTGTCTAACTCATTCTCAGCCTCCAAAAAAACATCTACCAAAATTCAACGACTCATATAACTCTGTTATTTATAATCTATTCATGATGCCAAGAACATTTGCGATAAAAACAGCCATCAAATTTGGCCGCGTTATAAGTCGGGGTTCGTCTTCAGAACTTCCTCCAGATCGTCTGGTATTTCACAAGAATGATCGCTTTCCCACTGTTCCAACCATTTACGGGCTTTAGCTGCTACCCGCTCGTAGTCATCACTTTCGCATGGTGGACATTCAGGTACTTTACTTGCCTGCAAGCCCTTAAAGATATTTAAACCACCTAGTCGCATCCAAAAATTAGTATCATCACTCTGTTCCTTGCACTTCGAATGATTTGAATATTCTTTCAACAGATCAATTGCATATTGTGGTAAATTGGATGGCCTGTAGTGTTTATAATAACGTATTCTCCAAAATACAGACCAATGTAGGTCGCTATCGCGGCGAAGTTCACGGCGTTGACCAAAATTCGGCACGTAGGCATTACGCCACTTGCAGTCCTGGCCTTGCACTTTTCTTTTAATAGGAACACATTCCACAAACCACCATCCAATCACTTGCCACAAAGGTTGACTTCCTCGCCCTGCTTTACTGCGCTTAGAACAGTCGTGCCGACGTTCATACTGAGACTCTGCCATATCAGAGCTACTATTCGCAAAGTCACACGATTTGAAAAGCTTTTGGCTGCGCTTTCTTGTATAGCATGGTCCTATTCGGCAAATCCATGCAATTTTCATCACGAATAGCATTGCAAGGCGGTGCGGAATCCAGTAGCACAGAGCCCAGTTGGAACGCTGAAGTTCGAGAAGACTGCTTTCAGCAGTTCCTCTACTTTCAAAATTTAGCAAATCATGGGACAGAGCCGTAGCACTTCCATATGCTGAGTACTTCTCTGAAAACTCTCTGATTATGTGCTTTTGGAAACGAACTTCATTTTTAACAGCTTCAGCAAGCATCCACCTTAATGCCATATCTGAGAGAAATTGTTTAGTATTGAAATCAGGAATCCATCCACCTCCAATATCGGCATGGTCACCTGGAAACCACTTTTCAATAATGTCCGGAGACATTGATGGGGTGTTTATCAAGCGTGTGCCTGATCCTGTTGTGAGCGATGCTGGCCCGACACTCGAATGATCGACTAGTAGTTGAGCCTGTTGTTTATTGGAATTTGAGCTAGGCAGTGTCGCAACAGAATCTCGAATATTGGAAGAGCGCCGACTTTGTGGGAAGCCATTGAAGCGATTAGAAGAATCCAAGCTGCTCATCGAACTTTTCACATAATCACTGGCAGAAGATTTCGAGAAGATTCGGCTCAAACTATGCCAAAAGCTTGAAGAACGGTTAGATTTTCCAGCATGTTGAATAAAATTCTGTTGCTGAAATTTCCCTCTTCGTTCGTCAAGACTGAGAGCATGCCTGACATGCTTTACAATGGTACTTCTTGCTGTGAAAGGAAATTGTCTATCTCGAAGAAAACCGGCGGAGTTAACCGAATCAAATAGGCCTTGAAATGATATAATAATCTCGTAGTTACGGGAAAACGTTTTTTTAAACTCTTCTGCTAGAGTTGTGGTATAATCTGGCTGACTGGGTTGCGCCGCATATTCCCATAAGGCGTAAACCTTCCACGCTGTATTGACTACGTCCTCAAGTCCATCATTGAGTAAACCTACTCTCTCAATCATACCAGCTAGAATTCTAGCCACAAAAGCTCCTCTACTGAAGCCGAACATATAAATGAGGTCGCCTTTTCTATAGCACCGCATTAAAAACATGTAAGCGGTACAAACATGATAATTGATTGTGAAAGCGAACATAGAATCCAGACTGTTTTTTGCGTTCGCAACAGTCAGTTTTCTTCGATAATTTAGATTAGCATCAAACTCTACGGAGGTCCCTACCCCAGGTTGATAATAACAAAGCTGCAAGTTCTCGTCACTTGTATCGAGCATCCGATATATTTTGAGAACATTGGTAAATGGTTGCGGTCCAAAATTTCCGTCAGTACCATCAAAACAAAGAATTATCTTTCTCGGTTTTCTCGATTCTCCGGTGCCGTCTCCGTCTAGGTGCTCAGCTTGACACCCACTGTATTGGCTGCCTGTTGTCGGCATCTTAATAAGTTGATAGAATACGCGTTATCTTTCAGACTCAAATGATTATGATTCATCTTCCTGAGACAAGAGATGGTACTTGCTGAACATGTGTCTGGTTTTGTGGTTTCAACTTCCATGTTAATACTGACGCTGACACAGAGAAGGCATTATGCCGTAGTAGACGATAGATACTCTGCTAGCTCTTAAATTCGTCTTTCAATACCCAGCGCCCATCTTCTGACTGAAATGTCGCTATCTGCCTTAGTAACGCTCGTATTTTGATCACATCTTCTTTGACAGATAGTTGAAAGCCCACATGATGCACAATTTGAGCAGATTTAGCTGCTAAGTCAGGTTGTTCGTTGAGATATGACAGAATCTTGGAAATAGTCTCGGAACTATCACGACTCTTTGAGAGTGAGGTGCTCTCATCAATCTCTTTTTTCTTACGCAGGTTTGATAGGATGGTAGAGGATCCCAAGGAAGCCCCTGGGTTTTGTTTTTTTCTTACCTTCCCAGCAGTCCCAAACTTTCCGGTCCAAGTTGGTGTACCAACATCAAATCTTTTTGTTATTTTCCTTGACTTTCTCAAAGCAGCTACCGCTTCTTCCGCTACTCGTGTAGCTTCTTTTGCTATAATATCTTCCGAAGGTTTTGAATGGTTTTCTATTACAGAATTGTGACTTTGAACGCCTTCGACGCTACCGCCAAACAGGCCATCCATCAGACGATCTTCTTCGTTTTTACTTTGTTCGTCTTTGTCTTTCCCACTGTAAAAGCCCTCTAGCTTGGAAACCCCGGAAAGTTGAATTACTTCCTCGAAATCGTCACCCTCTTCCGTTTTAGCCTTTTTGATACTTTCTGTTTCTCTCTGCACCTCGCTTTGGAGAGTTTCATTTGAAAGCCCCGATTCCCCTCCCAAAGTGAATAGGTCATGAAGCTCGTTCATTTTGAAAAAACGTTTCTGTTTCGGATCTGTTAGGATCTTGTTCGTTAAGAATTGCTTGAAGATTTGCCGGTGATAAATCTTCTCCTCAATCGAACCCGCAATCATGAGCCTATAAATGGAAACTTCTCTTTTTTGACCTATCCGCCAAGCTCGCTCACGAGCTTGCATGTCAGTTGATGGATTCCAGTCAGGATCAAAAATTATGATCCTATTGGCGCCTGTCAAATTCACCCCAAGTCCGCCGACTCGGGTGGTAAGTAAGAAAACGTCGTAGGGCCCATTATTAAAAGAATCTACAAGAGCATGCCGAGAAGCTATGCTTGTGCTGCCATCCATTCGTAGGTAGTTCAGTACCATTAAATCTGAGTCATTATTGAAGAATTTTTCCAGGATGTCCAACATCTGTCGTGTCTGAGCGAACAACAAAGTCTTGAATCCTTGATTATGCCACAGCTTCAGAAGTTGTTTAACAACTTGCATCTTCCCAGATCGTCTGGGGTCTCCATACGAGACTTCATGTTGCATTCTATCTCTTACCAGCATATCTGGATGATTGCAAATTTTCCTCAGAACGTCGATACCAAACAATACTTGTCGTTTCCCGTTTTTTATTTTGACCAGGTCGTCTGAATTAAGGAATTGCAGGTATTTATCTCGTTGATAAGTTGTCAGCTTACAAAATAGAACCATCTCGTTTTTTTTCGGCAAGTCTTTAGCAACGTCAGCCTTGATTCGCCGCAGCAAGTAAGGTGATACTAAGTTGCGAAGCGCTATGGCACACTTGTAGCCCGTCTGCACTTGCACATTAGTGGCATTGGCATAGCCACCCATGTTTATGGGAATTGCAAATTGCTGCTGGAATACAGGTAAAGTGCCAAGTCTTCCTGGGAATATGAAGTCAAAAAGACTCCACAATTCGGTCAAATTATTCTGAATGGGTGTGCCTGACAGAATGATTCTATTTTTTGTCTTTAATTGCTTACATGTAAGGGAGATGTCTGCGTCGGGGTTCCTAATCTTATGCCCCTCGTCTAAAACGGCGTAGCTCCAACGAACATTCAGTAGTTTATCAGAGTGTACTCGAAGGCCCACGTATGTAGTTATCAGTACATGGCCATCAGTAATTACCTTGTTTATCAAGGTATCGCGAGCCATACCACTTTCTACTGTACTTTTCGTTTTTTTAGTGTTTGTGTAAGCGTCGAAGGAGAATTGCTCGGGTTCTGATTTCATCAAGAGTTCTTCAAGCTTTTCTTCACTGAGATTCTCCTTTTGAGTCATGCCGGAACCTATGGAATGTAAAATCATAGTTCTAAAAGGTGGCCACCAGGTGTGGAATTCCTTGCACCACTGACGCAACACTGTAGCAGGACATACTATGAGTACAGGCCCATCCAGTTGATTTGAGTGATGCAAGGAAGCCAGAAAAGCTATTATCTGAATTGTTTTTCCTAGTCCCATCTCATCGCCGATGATACCGCCGCACTGCTGTTGGTTTAATTCATACAACCATTGAACGCATGTTCTTTGATAGTTAAATAACGACTGAAAAATTTCTCCCGGTATTTTGAAATCATCATTGAGTCTAGCATCGGGGATGCAAGGATTAGGCTTAAGATATTCTTCAAGTTTTGGATTCCTGTCTTCATGTCTTTTCTGGCTTCTTTGGCGAATCCATTTCTTGAGCCTCAGTCTATAATTCAGTTCGTCACCATCATCAACAAATCCTGCATTTTTTTGCATTTCCCTGCCAGGATTAGAATCCTCGGCCGCGCCGCTATCACCGCCATCATCGTACTCGAAATCGGAGATAACCGCTTCATCGCTTTGATAGTCATCATCATCGTCAGGCACTTCTAGAATCTGGTTATCGCTTTTGTCTAATATGAACTCAGACTGCGTACCAAAAGCTGTTTTCTTACCGATACGTATCAAATAATCCTGTTCGGACTCGCCAGGTTGTCTGTCAGTGGGACTTTTTTCCTGTTCCCCGGGAACCTTAGAATCAGAAAGTTCTTCTATACGCTTTCTGATATCTAGTATGTCTTTTCGCAGTGGTTCAATCTCAGACGTAACGAGATCGTTAACTTGCTCTTGGATCTTCGCCTTGGCTGTGATTCTCGTAGCAGTCTTAAGCTTCCGCTTCAGCAATTCTTGCCTGGTATGAAGTTTACCCAGAGCATTTAGACTTCGCTCCAGCCTTTTATGTTCTTGACTTAACGCTTGCTTGTCTATAAGACTCTGCGCGTTGGTTTCTATTTGACCTTCCAAAGCTGTTTGAGAAACTAGTTCAACGCCCAAATCTTTCAGGGTATCTTCATTTTCGCTTGGATTCATGTGAAAGAACTTATTTCTTTACTCGATGTCAGGAACGAAGTAGTTGGGCTCGCCTCAGAAAATTTTAAAGTCCTGATAATGGTGTCCGAACTACTTAATGATGTTGTGGGTGCTGTGCCAGTAGTGTTAGAAAGTTTGTCATTTGCTGAACTCCATTTCCCAAGATTAGCAAAGGGAGACAAAATCTGGAAAAAAAGGCTACATACATTCACTTAACAAATTCCGTTTTGTCTATGTAAAGAAGTCCTGAACTGAATTACTTTGACCTCGCAGAGCTTGCGCCTTATTGCACATTTGACGCAGTAAAAGTTGTAGTAATAATATGTACATGAATTTAAAATAGACACTGTGCAAGACCATACGTGGACGCCTTCAAGTCCTGCTAAGTCTTGCTAGTTTTTGTTTGCACTTGACAATGTTTCAAGTTTCCTAAGCTCTTCTCTCGCATCGAAATTGCCACTCGTCAAATTGTCATATTGCTGATCATACTTTCCAGTGGACAAGGTTCCGTTGCCTCTGAAGCGTTTGGTCATATCCACCATGCCTCGCTTACACTCCAAAAAGGCTTTCATCTGTGCGAGACATAGCTCAGGCAGGTCTTTATTAAGCTCTGGATCTTCCAGACACTTTTTTGGAGTGTTGCGTTCGATCAAAACGCAAGGCGACCGCTGTAAGCAAATAGCGACGGCCTTTCTCTGATCATTACAGCTGGCTCCCATGCCCTCGGTGGTGAAAATAAGGAAGCTTTAGAAATGGCGTACTGTGTTACGCTTTCAACTATGCTCAATTTGTTATAGGAAAGTATAGCTTTTTACAATGTTGATTTAAAAACAGCGAGAAGCAAGAAAGACATATCAGATAAAGAATTCAATATGTGTATCGTCGTCTAAATATTGTTACAGGCTCCGGTGGATTGTAACGTAGGATGCCTGGATAAGCTCAGGTAGAGAGAATCCTGGCGAGACTAAGAATGACAATGTCGTGAACTGTGATAGAGTCCGTTATGTTTCCGACCAATATGTATGCACCTGTTCTTGTATTCCCGATATACTATTCTTACAAGGGAAAGCCAAAGTATCGGCAAGTTAATGGCGTTAAACTTTCTGCCAGGACAACCAAATTATACACAACAGACAGTATGCCAGAGTTCATGGCAAGACCATACGCTATTGACATACTGCTCGGGAAATAACTTAATCATTCTGTCAAATGACTTTAGCCGTTTGCAAACACTTTACTTTGATAATGATTGCGTCGCAGTGGACATTGACGCTTCTAGTGGGCACATAGCAGTGGCTGCTGGGCCTACGGTTATCATTTATAAGCCTCTTCATAGAGTTATGAAAAACCCACGCTGGGTATTCTGCACTAAGATTTTCCACGACGAGTCAAGAGTGAACACCATTAGTTGGGGTTTAAATGGTGATCTGGCTATTGGTTCGGACTATTTATCTTTCTGGAAAATACGAGATGAGTTTGGCCATTTCGAGCCGTCTTTACTGTGGACTAAAAAACAATTTCACCCGGTATATCGATGCGCCGTTTCTGAAGATTCACAAGTCATTGCTAGCATGCACAAATACAGTCACACCGTGAGGCTCTGGAAGCGCATTTCTTTGGGTGACGACCGCGAACTATTCGATCTCACTCTTATATCACATCCAGATTTCGTCACCAGTTTTAGGTGGAAGCATTCAAACAATCTATGCGATAAAGAAAAAAACTCGCATGTTTTTTATACACTATGCGCCGACAGTAAGCTCAGAATATGGTCTTATCATGAAACTAATGGCCGAAAAACTGTTCAACAATGGGGAGAGCTCGAACTAGATGCTAAAAAAGATCAGAAGTTCTGTCTTTTACTGGACAGCTGGCTGGTTCAGAAGGCGCTGCAGGGTAGTGACCTAGGCAAGACAATCTACTATACACAAATACATCCAGATATAGCCGTTTTGGCGAGCAAATCGGGACAGCTGGAATTTTATGCCTTAGAAAACCTCTCCCATGATCCTCCAAAATTAATGAATCACAAACTCATTGCTTCTACAGTGGTAGCTGTTGATGCTTTTGTCTATAACCCTGAATTTCTGTATTTTGCAGAACCTCAAATATTAAGTGGGGATACAGCAAGCCTTTCACTTATTGTGCACGATTTGAAAGGGGTATTGCGCCATTCAAGCCTTAATCTCCAAAATGTTTTATCTACTAGGAATGAAGCTCCAGCTAAACTGTTGCATAAATACACTGGTCACAATAAATCAATCCAAAAACTTATTAGAAGCAGCGACGGAAAGGCCATGATTAGCATGTCGAGATTCGCTGAAAACTGCATATGGGTTCCACAAACACTTTCCACTGGCGTTTCCTTGCGCAAGAAGAATATAATTTACTCCGAATCTCCATTGATTGATGCTGTCGTGCTTGAAAGCGGATCCCTCGTTGTAACGTTATCGAAAAATGTTAGATTACAGGCATGGAATTGCTCTTCTAGTAAAGGAAGCAAAGACTCCCAGCTCAAAGCTGAATACAATCTCGATCCCTTAAAAGGGGCTCCTCGCCTCATGCTGAATACACCTGAGAAGAAACATCGCCACGATCGTCATTATATCGCATTAATCTACCCCTCGGGAGATATTTCGGGCTTCCTCATTTCTTTCAATGACGGAATTGTTCCAGTGTCTTCTAATGCTCTTGATATTAGTGGCGAAAAGAGTATTTATCTAATTTCCGCAATTGATCCGGTGAACTATGGTTTCTTTGCCAATAGGTCACTTATTTCGTTAATTGACAAGAACGGCTTGATAAAAACCTTTAAATGCGTTGTTAATGAAGACCAGCTTAAATGGAAACTAACTTTTCAAGTACAAACCAATCTTCGTAACACCGCTTTGATAAGCGGATCATCTATTGACAAAATATGTGTTGTTGACGAGTTGCGAAAGAGACTGACAATCTGGGATTTAAGGACAGCTTTTTTAGAGTACGAAAAGAATTTTGACGAACAAATAAGGGACATTGATTGGACCAGTACTAAATTTCACCAAAGCATATTTTCTGCGGGGTTCAGTGATCATGTATTGCTCTTTACTCAACAAAGATACGATTACACTAGCAAAATTCCCAGCTATTCTCCTGTGGCACAAATAGAGCTTAAAGAGCATACAACACATTCTGTAGGTGACTCTATTTGGCTTACAGATGGAACTTTTGTAGCTGCATCGGGGAATCAGCTTTTCATCAAAGATAAGCATCTTGACACTCGCGACAAATTCACCAACCAATCAATCGGATCTCGCAGAATTCTTTCGAATGATATAATGCACTTGAGCAGTGTGTTAAATGGTCCCCTTCCAGTCTATCATCCCCAATTATTGATTCAGAGCCTTTACACGGGTAAGCTTAAACTTGTAAAGGAAATTTTGCTGCGTTTGTTTTTGACATTAAGAGCCCTTGAGTTCAATTCAAATGATGTGGCAGAACTGGGAGCGACGCTGGGTATTAGTTATGAAAAGTTCATTTGTCCCAATGAAGAGTCTTACATTACTGATTCTTACTCTGAACCGTATAACGAATTCAACAGCTTAGTTTCATGCTCCTTGAGAGAAAAGCTTGTTAAACATGCTTTGCCATTCATTACTCGTCACCAACAGGCAACACTCATAACTGTCATAGAAGCAGTTGAGGACATCGAGAAGAACAAACAAGCATTAGACTTGCCGGGGATGTTATTTATATTGGGCCTCAAGCTATTTGAGCTACATCGGAAAACACAAAAATCGATTAACGTCCGGGATGCCCTGTGGTCGCTCTACTCAAAAAACAAAAAAGTGTTATTCTCTAGTGTTCTCCCAAATATTGACTCTTGGGAAAGAGCACGGCAGTACAAGATTAGTTATTGGGTGGAGCACGATGACCTCGTCGCGTCATTTGATAAGATAGCCAAACATGCGTTTTCAAAGGGAGCCGAACGAGACCCCAAAAATTCGGGCTTGTTTTACCTAGCTTTAAAGAAAAAGCAAGTTCTTCTCGGTTTATGGCGAATTAGTGCTGGTCACCCAGAGCAGCATAAAATGCTTAAATTTCTAGGCAATGATTTTAGAGAAGAGCGATGGAGAAAAGCTGCCCTAAAAAACGCATTTGTTCTCTTGAGCAAGCATAGGTTCATAGACGCCGCCTGTTTTTTCTTGTTAGCAGACTCTCTCAAAGATGCTGCTAACGTTATTTTGAAGCAACTTGACGATTTAGCGTTGGCGTTAGGGGTCTGTCGTCTGTACGAAGGTGATTACGGTCCGGTCTCGAAAGACATTCTACTCTCTTGCGTTCTTCCGGAAGCTATTCTGAACAACGATAGGTGGATCACTAGTTTCATCTATCATGCTTTAGAGAAACCAAACTTAGCACTAAAAGCACTTGTAATGCCCCCCATAGATCTGGACGACAATAAAAGTTTAGTTCGTCCAGAAGATATGGTAAGTCGATCCTTTCTTGTTGAAGATCCAGCTCTTTTAATGCTCTTCAGACATGTGAGAAGGAAGGACAAAACTTACTTAAATGCTGCTGCAGAAGTTGACGAAACCTGGGAGTATAAAACTATACAAAAAGTTGCAGCTATTTATTGCAGGATGGGGTGTGATTACTTAGCACTTTCCTTAGTTGCGAACTGGAAATTTCAGGACAAGACCAACAAACGTCACTCTAAGTTGCATCTCGAGACAGATCGGACAGGCGATCTCAATGGCAATACCACCGAGGGGAAGCCTCAGAAGCTGAGAAGCATATTTGACAAATTTGATGACATGTCTCGTCAAACTTCAGGCGCTACTCTTGAGCCGATTAAGGATAGCACTAATGCTGCTAAGCCAAAAAATTTACTCGACGGCTTTAACAGCTCTGATCAAGGAAGCGCACAAACCTATTTCCAACAAAACAATGAGAGCGGTACCGATCTTAGCATAAACTCGCCCGATATAGTGGGAACAGATCATAACGGATATACCTCGGCTACAACCCCTACCTCTTTCAAAACGCAAAATGCTATAAGTAATGAGAGTTCGAAATTCGCATTACCGAGCAAACCACGAAACTTATTAGACGATTTTTTTTGAGTGAGAGGTTTACCAACCACAATCACAATTGTAACGGGGCCAAATTAAGCCCTATATATTTTACTTGAATTCGCCTCAGATTTATGCTCTACGTGCTACTCATTTGGTCGATTTGATGTTGGTGCCTTAATAATTCAATTTATAAATATCCTTTATTGACTTTTTGAATTGGATGCTATCAACTATGTACTGAAATCAGCTAAAAAATTTCGCTATATTCTTTTTAGTTTTTTCCTTTGCTTCCTCTAATCGAGTTTCGCTCTCTAAAATCTTTCTGTCAACTACCTCGTCGCTGGGGTTATTTTCTTTGCAAGATTTATAGTCATCCAAAGCCTTGTCAAATCTCTTTTTGGCGTAATGGCAATTTCCGCGTCTATAATAAGCTTTTGCTTTGTCGACCTGTGACGTCTCCGACATCTCTAGTAAATAAGTCGCATACATCGAAGCTTTTTCATAATCTTGAACCTGAAATTGAACAAGAGTCATGTTCAGATATAGCTTAGCCTTCAAGTCAATAAACTTGGCGTTGTAGTCCTTGTTGACATCTGTTTCAGGTATAAATTCATTGACGTATCGCAGAGACTTCGTATATTTGAAATGTGCATTGTGAAAATCCTTTTGCTTGAACAAAAGGGAACCGGAATTTTTGATGATGCTAGCAGCTTCGAATGCCTGTTCTGCCGATTCTTTATCAAAGTTTAGATCATCGTCTGGAAACTCTTCGTAAACATCACCTCCAATGGTATCGTTCGAGGTATTAAAGACGGGAATCCCCATAGACTGTTGCCACTCCCCACAGTTTTCAATAACTACCGCTTCGACTGGGAAACCATCGGAGTCTACTTTGCAACGCTCGACAGTGCGAACCACAGATTTTCCATGAATGACACGACCGAATATGCTGTGTTTGTGGCTCAAATGTGGTGCTGAGCTGGTTGTGATGAAAAACTGCGAGCTGTTAGAATCTGGTGCACCCATATTGGCCATAGCCAACATAAACGGCTCTGGAAATTCGCCGAGATTTTCATCTTCAAAGTCTCCATAACATTGAACGCTGGCTGATGGCTCTGGCGCTTCGTTACGCGCTTCAATTTCCGTTTCCTTCGCGTATATGGAGCACCCGCCTCTGCCAATTTCAGAGGACTTATTGACTGTACGATCACCTGCACCGTAGACCACATCCCCAGCTTGGATCATGAACGTCTGAATCAGCCGGTGGAAACAATTATTTTTGTAGCCAAAAGTCTGCTGGCCAATTCTGACGCCGTCTACGCATAATTTATAAAAATTTGCACAACTCTTGGGCGCCTTCTCCCAAAAAAGTTCCAACACAATGCGCCCTATTGACTGTGAGTCGATTTTTATGTCTAGAAACACTATTTGGCCTGCCATTCTTGAGCTATGGATGTAAACCTCTATGCATGTTTTCAACAGATATGAATTTGAAGCTCATCGGCTATTTTTCAGATCCTCCACGATTTAGTAAGTCATTTCAAACGATAAGTCGTTGATCTCTGGCACCAATGTTCTCACGAGACAATTCTTCTACTAAACCTTTCCATACTATACGGTAGATATCACACTCGTGTCGGCAATTGATTAAAGCGTTTTTACCCTTCGCCACAAATAATTTCTTAATGTTTTAGCTTATTCCAGTATAATGGCGGCTATATCGCAAGAAGATCGAGGTCTTCAAAAATTTAAGAAATACTGAGAGGTTTTCAAGCTTTTAATTTCATGCAGTGCTCGGTGAAGTTTTGTGCTACTTTAAATGAAATCATAACGGTCGACGAGATAGTTTGCTGGAATATGTAACACCAAAAGAATAATTGCAGAAAGAATAAAGCTAACAGGCCATGCAATGTACCACATTTTTAGCTTTCAGCGATGTGCAATAGGATTTTACGAGGAGAATGGAATACATTCTGTTTTATATCTCTATGTGTGTTTAGACTGCAATCCCATGTTTTACACTCGTGTGTAGTGCTGCCACCCATCACGAAAATGCAAGAAATTTCGATAAACTACAGATTAATTGTCTTCAGATGTTTACAGAAAACAACCGAAGAAAACGAGATCGGGGCAGTCTAAAATCAAGATTTTCAAGAATTGCTGGCCCAAATCTGAACTACTGAAGACGCATTTCCTTTCATTTTATTTCCCCGGTGTTTTCAGACCTACAGCATGTCGAGAACTCACCATGAAGTAGCTGTTGATCCAGTGACCATTGTGATCAAAGAGTGTATCACGCTCTCGACTGCAATGCGCAAGTACTCTAAATACACGTCGCAGACTGGTGTAGCGGCGCTCTTGAGTGGCGGAAGTGAGATTTTCAGCAACCAAGATGACTCGCTGGCCGACACCTTCAATAATTTGTCCACCACCAAGAACAAAGACCCACTACTGTCTGGATTTGTGCAGCTGAGACTAATGCTTAACAATCTTAGCTCCCTAGACTACATTGACTCGCTGACGCTCTTGCAACCTTTTTTGCTCGTGATTAGCACACCTACCATTTCGGGTTACATCACATCTCTAGCGTTGGACTCATTGCAAAAATTTATTACGTTTAACATCGTGTCAGACTTATCCTCAAACCATACTATCGCGTATCGGGAAGCCGTCAATGCTCTGACGCATTGTCGATTCGAAGGCTCTGAGCAGACCAGTGATGATTCGGTGCTATTAAAAGTGCTCATATTACTTGAAACTGTTGTGAAATCTAAGCATTCCGATATTTTGTCCGACTCCATAATGTACGAGGTCTTGCAAACCGTGATGTCGTTGGCTTGTAACAAGAAACGGACTGAGGTACTTAGAAAGGCTGCCGAGATGTCTATGATGTCAATCACTGTCAAAATTTTCGCTAAGTTACGTCAGGTAGAGGCCAACGACTCTCAGAAATACATCAACGACGAGGATTTCTCCAAGAACCTGCTGAAAGATGATACAATCGGTACTGCGGTGGACGGGAGTTCGGTCGATGACGACGCAAAAGATGAATTGTCCTCGACGGGAAATATTGAAGCACCACAACGTTTGGGGAACAAATCACAACTTTATGAGGAAAATTATGGTCTCCCAGTTATCAAAGACTATCTTGGCATTCTGGTCTCGCTGATAATGCCGGAAAATCAATATAAACATAATAACTCAACGAAAGTTTTCGGTCTCAATCTTTTGAACATGGCCGTGGAAGTTTCTGGAAATTTGTTCCCCCATCACCCTCGTCTCTTTAATCTGATCTCGGACCCAATTTTCAAAAATGTACTATTCATCATTCAAAACACTGATAAGTTATCATTACTACAGTCAGCATTACATCTATTCACCACCATGGTAATAATCATGGGGGCCAACTTGCAAAGGCAAGTTGAGTTGACGTTCAGAAGTATTTTCGATACTTTAGAAAGCGATAAAAGCAATAACTCCAGGGCTCGGTCTTCGGCAACCAAAGAACTTATTATCGAGCAAATTTCTATCCTATGGACAAGAAGCCCTTCATTTTTCACAGTCTTATTCAAAAATTACGACTGCAATTTGAATCGGTCTGATCTTTCAGCAATGGTTCTGAACTCGCTAACTAAGTTGGCGCTGCCAGAGTCAGCCCTTATAACAGCTGATAGTGTTCCACCTATATGTTTAGAGGGTCTCATTTCCCTTATTGACAATATGCACAACCGCATTGACGGTGAAGATAGTTTTGTCTCCACACAAAGTTCTGCAACTCAAGCTCTGGAGGAACGTGCGAAGAAAACTGAATTTATAAAATGCACCGATGCGTTTAATACAAAACCAAAGAAAGGAATCACTCTTTTAATTGAAAACAAATTTGTAAACTCTGATTCAGAAGATCATATTGCGAAATTTCTTTTTGAGAAGAATGGGAGACTTAACAAAAAGGCAATCGGGGAGTATTTAGCTAGTCCGGATAATGCCTCCTTGTTGAAAAAATTTGTGGAGCTTTTTGACTTCAAGGGTTTGCGTATTGATGAGGCTATAAGAATTATGCTCACGAAATTTAGATTGCCAGGTGAATCTCAGCAAATTGAGCGTGTTGTAGAAACTTTTTCTGCTACATATGTTGAAAGTCAGGAATACGATCCCAAGAGAGCAGGGTTGGATATTGAGAATGATTATAGTACAGTACAACCAGATGCCGACTCCGTTTTCATTCTAAGTTTTTCGGTAATCATGCTCAACACAGACCTACACAATCCTCAAGTTAAGAAGCATATGACTTTTGATGACTATACTTACAACCTGAAAGGTTGTAATGACCAAAAAGATTTTCCTATGTGGTACCTTGACAGAATTTTCTGTTCCATTCGAGACAAAGAAATTGTAATGCCAGAAGAACACCATGGGACCGAAAGGTGGTTTGACGATGCTTGGAACAACTTAGTGTCTTCCACCACTGTTGTGACGCAGACAAATCAGGATTCTGACGACAAAGTAGCCATTTTGGACAAGAAAAGTTTGTTGCAATTCGACAAAGCCATTTATGAGATTGTTGGCCCTTCCGTTGTTCAAACCCTGTTCAAGATTTTTGAAGTTGCTTCTGATGACCATATCAGCACGCGGATGCTTACTAGTATCGATAAATGCTCTCATATCGCGTCCTTTTTTGGGCAACATGAATTGTTCAATGTGATTCTTGAGAGGATCGCGAGATCAACTCTATTAACAAAACAATCTGAGCATGCTGCAAATCCTCAGGAACCAGACGAGATACCCGTTGTCCAAATCAATCTTGAAGACTCGAAAGAGGCTCTTACTGTGAGTAGCTTGTCGGTGAGATTTGGTAAAAGTTTCAAAAGCCAGTTATGCAACGTTGTATTGTTTAGACTTTTGCAAAAAAACAGTGCTCCCGACATTATAAATGAGAGCGTTTGGTGCCTCATTGTCGAGATTCTCCTGAATTTGTTTGAGAATTCCATGATTGTACCTGATGTGTTTCCAGACCTCCAGAAAACATTGAAAATAGGGAGATTACCTCGGCCTGCTCCAGAATACTCAATCAACAAATCTAGAGTAAACAAAGGTTTACTTTCCACATTTGCATCGTACCTAAAAGGTGATGAAGAGCCTACAGACGAGGAGTTGAATTTCTCGATAAGCGCTATGGAGTGTATTAGGTCTAGCCGAGTCACATCTTCAATTTTCGGAAATGAAAATAATGTTATGGGAAAACTTGTTTCTTTATTGATGAACTACGTGCCTACTACGAGAACACCCGAAAATACCAGATTTTTTGAAGCTGAAATTCTATTCATCATGGAACTGGGTCTGGCGTCTTATTTGTTCTGTAAGGACAACAAAGATATTGGAAGAGCAGTCTTAGTGAAATTAGTCGATATCACTACACTTGAGAATGTTTCAAAGTCCTTCAAGCGTCGTGTTTCAGCTTACAAATTGTTGCTTGTCTCGGTTTTGGAAGATCCCCAGGCGATTACGAAACTGATAAATGAAGACTTGCTCGTTGAGAATGAAGTTTACAATACCGAGTTTCTTTCGAGTGAGCAAGGCTCAGAATTACTTCGAATGATATTATCGTTGACTGATATTGAAAACTATAGCTCTGTATTGCTTCGGGACAATGGATTCTGGAAAATTCTGCGATCGTTTGCTGCCGCTAAGGGACATACATTTACTGTCTTCGAATATTTGGACAATTCCATCTTGAAAAAGGAGTATACAATATCTGGCGCTAATTTTCTATCCATACTTGGGCTCTTGGATGAAATTTCTAGCATAGGCTCTATAAGTGGGGAGTGGGAGGAGAAATACGAGAAATTGAAGACCAGAGGACAGGCAGCTGAGGTGGAAAATCCACATCAAGAGGCTGTTGATTTGTCATTAAAATCAATAAATGCCACGTCTCATTTGATAGAATTGAAAAGGCGCGATCCTTTTAGCAAGGCTGAACTTATTGGACTATTACAGGCTCTGGCTCATCAATGCTTCAACCCATGTTATCAATTGAGAAATTATGCTGTGAGCTCGTTGGATTCAATGCTTCTTAACCATCATGATATATTTGCAAACGTTCTCTCAGTCTCTGAAGTCATAGAAAATGGTCTCTTGATTATTATGGAGGGTGAAACTAAGCATACAGCCATTCCGGAAATTATGACTCTTTTTTCGAAAGTTTACACCCGTTACTTGGATGCTGGGAAAGCTGATAACGAGACCTTCTTGAAAATTCTTAACGTTTTCAACAAATATGTGGAGAATCCAGTAGTTGAGAAAACGTTGCAAGACCTACTAGAGGAGAAGAAAAAATTTGAGAAGCTACCAATTTTATCAAATGAAGACAGTGAGCAAACGTCAGATGATGTGGCCAAGACCTCTCAAAATGAGAAGTAGCTCAGCATCAGCTGTATTGATTAGTTATGTAATGAATATGCACAGAATTAATGACAACCTGGTGTTGTCGTAAACAACTCTCGAAGAGGGAAGTATTGTCTTGGCTCGTATCCCGCATGCTAGGCTGTAACTTCGCTAAATTTGTTCCTCATTAACTCCAAAAATAATAAGCCTGCCGTAGTTCCTGGAATGATCGCTAGAGTATTTCTTACGAAGCCTTTGTAAAGCCATTTGCATGTCGAGCCGGTACTTTTTTGAATGAAATAAACATGCTGAAATGTATCCAGATAAGAATGGTAATAAATGTGAAATAGTCTTTGATTTTTCGGCTTCAACTTTATTCTAGTTGAGTTAACGCTCACCATTTCGTTAGGAGTCCCAACCTTATTGCCGAAGTTTGAAGTCGCCTTGGTGTAAATATCAAAAGCCTCGAGTCTTGAAAGATGAATTTTCTGAAGTTTCAAGAAAGGATACTGGATTACTTGTAAAAGTAAAGCGGCAGATATGCCCCCAACGAAAACGAAAGCTTTACGGAACCAATTTTCCTCTCTAGTGCTCATGAACTGTGGCATGGGAAAGCTAGATCCATCTTTGTTGTCATCTTGAAAAATTCTTGCCAATCTAGATTGTCCTATCTGGAATTTGAATTCCCGATACTGTTTAACAGAGTCAATAGCACACTGGCAGATCTGGCCTTTCAGTAACTCAAACACGGTGAAATATGTCGCAAAGCCGGCACATTCCTTAACGAGCGAGAGTCCAAATCCTCCGAAACAACCAACAAGTCCTATTTCTTGTAACTTTCGAAACCCGTATACCCATAGGTTATCGTAATTTTTGGCCTGAGTAAGCAGCTGGTCTACGGTCGATCTTGTGTAGATAGCATCGATAGGCGCTGAAGCTACAGCTTGAGCAGCACCTGCAATGAATCCTGCTCTCATAACGTCCCATGGGTTGTGATAGTTGGGAGTCAAAGTGTCGTTTGATTTTGCAAAATTGTTTAACATGGTGAGGTAAGTTGTGTAAAGAACCACACCTGCTGCAGAGTTAGCAACCAAAGGAGGTAAAACTCTTTCGGGGATGACTCTCCACCCGTATTTATTTAAACCCTTAGTCAGAAGCCCTACTGAGGAATTTTCCAAGTAATAAAAGTATCGCGGATTCCAGAATTGAGAGCTTGTGGCTAGCCTGGTCTGTTTGATATTGCTTTCTCCCCCTCCCTTGTCGTCTCCCACCATTAAAACTCGCAGATAATGAAGATAATCAAATCTCGCCGGCCGAAACAGCTTCAGAGGTGTACGTAAATAAAACGATGTCATTTGATACACCAAGGACCGTCCACCAGCAGTGGTGGCCCCGATCAAAGAGCTTGATCCGGAACCACTAGTCGTGCCATCCTCGAGTACTGTAGCTTCTTCCTGAACCATTGCATCAGTAACAGTCAAATATCGGAGTCATTCACTACTGTAGGGGCAATTTTTTTGGATAGTTATTGATATCTATAGATGCCCAAGTCTCGATTTCCCAAGCACTAATGCTCGTATTTTTGATGTCAAAGACGTCAAGCTCTTGCTATCTTACCTGAAAGACGTCTGTCTGGAGGAGTTCAAAACTTCAGCAGTATCTGTAAATGCTTGAGTAGTCAACGATCGATCTCTGTAAATATTTTTAATAATGACGTCTTAATCATTGTGAATTTCCTCAATAAAGTGTATATGAAATTTTTACAATATCAACTAAATCGAGAGACCCATGTAAGATACATCTAAATTTTATGACTTGTATCTTGCTTGTCCCTCATTCGCACTGTTCAGGATCTTTGGATAAGTAAAGAGTGTGCAATGTCTAACCTTACTTACGAAGCGAGATCTCAGACCCATGCCAGTCCCGTGGCAGCCAAGTTACTGGCTTTGATGTCCGAGAAGAAAACCAACTTATGCGCATCTCTCGACGTTCCTACTACCAAAGAACTGCTAGATCTGGTGGAGGTTTTGGGGCCTCATATCTGTCTGCTCAAAACACATGTGGACATCTTAGTTGATTTCAGCATGGAGGGCACTGTTAAGCCATTGAAAGAACTGGCTAAAAAGCACAATTTCATGATCTTTGAGGACCGCAAGTTTGCTGATATCGGAAATACCGTGAAACTGCAGTACTCGTCTGGCGTTTACAAAATTGCTCAATGGGCAGACATTACCAACGCACATGGGGTCACAGGGCCAGGCATTGTTCAAGGATTGAAGCAAGCTGCTCAAGAGACCACTGACGAGCCCAGAGGTTTACTCATGCTTGCAGAATTGTCCTGCAAGGGTGCTCTGGCGCATGGACAATATACAAGGGAAACAGTGGAAATTGCGAAAAGTGACAAAGATTTTGTGATCGGGTTCATTGCTCAAAATGACATGGGTGGCCGGGACGAAGGCTTCGATTGGTTGATCATGACACCAGGAGTGGGGCTTGATGATAAGGGCGACAGTCTGGGTCAACAATACCGCACTGTTGACGAAGTGGTTTCCGGAGGGTCCGACATTATTATTGTGGGACGCGGTCTTTTTGGTAAAGGCAGAGATGCCAGCTTAGAGAGTGCAAGGTACCGCAAGGCCGGGTGGGATGCTTACTTGAAGAGAATTTAATGAGATGTATTTGTGGGGCGGGAAGATAGATATATTGGCAAATATCTGTGAGCTCGAAGAATTTATGTACACACCGCGAACTCGGTATGATATCCGCATGCAATTGAATAACAAGAGCTGGATAGTCTCGGTAGAACTTCAATCTTCAGCATTTCCGTATTAGGTGACCCTCATATAACAATTTCATATAGCGAAAAATCTTTCAGTGTTGATTGCAACCTTTAAAGATACTCCTTGGTAGGATTCAAAGGTATACTACATAGACACCGTACCCCACCACAGTATCAGCTCAAGATGGACGCACTAAACAGCAGAGAACAGCAGGAATTTCAAAAAGTTGTAGAACAGAAGCAAATGAAGGACTTCATGCGGTTATACTCGAATTTGGTGGAAAGATGTTTTACCGATTGCGTTAACGACTTCACCTCCGCTAAGCTTACAAACAAGGAACAGACATGCATCATGAAGTGCTCTGAGAAATTCCTGAAACACAGCGAGCGCGTTGGCCAACGTTTCCAAGAACAAAATGCCGCTATGAGTCAGAGCATGGGCCGTTAAGAATCACTGGCTCAAGATGTCGTCCGTTCTCCATCCATCCCACATTTAAACCTGTATATAAGAAAGATTAATGCAATTTCATTCGTGTTGAAAAGCTCGATGGCAGGTGGGCCCAAGACCGTGCTCCTAGCGTAGTATTATTAGAGAAATTAGCCAGCGTAGTCGCAGAACAATCATCTGTTTTTACAGGCGAGCTACCCCTTGGTGTAATCAGTAGGCTCAAGATACACTTCATCAAGATGCGCTTGTTCAAGACTCTTTCTAAAGGTCATATCATACTAACCAAAGCGAATGTAGTGGTGACGAAAGAAAAAAACGAAACATCAGCAATAATCGGTATCGGGTTGAACGCCATAAGACGTTCTCCTACCATTGCACTCAACAGACCTTCACTCTCGCGGAGTAAAGTCAAACGAAACATCCGTTGCCATTCCCATCACGACAATCCTAAGATTTGCATCCGTAATTGACGTGTAAATTTCTGATAACAACGACCACACTCACTTTCCAGTGAAGTTCTCTCACGAGATACAAGACCTTTTAAGGGTCTTTTGGTAAATCGTTTCGCTGTGTTCCACCGAATTTCCCACCTGCTTTAGAAATCATAACAGATTGTGCGCAAACAGGTTGTTTTGGTAGGAATGCTGGTGCTTCGCAGATTCGAACCTGGGTCCCGAACTGGTGCCGGAGCTGCTGCTCCAAACAGAGGTCGGGAGGAACAAACCATGAGGATTAAGCGCAATCGGCGTATATATATTTGTGATGCTGTCATGTGTCTAGCACCATCGAGCCTAAGGATTAGTACAACACAGAGGGTCATGTCTCCAGGAATACCGAATTACTGCTTCGTTAATACTAGGTGTCTATATTAACATGAACCGTTATATAGCGGTACCATTCCTTTTGGACCGATTACTTTATTGGGTTAGGATATCATGGAACCAAAACTTCAGATCTTACAACTTTGACTTATTTTGCCAGCCAAACGAAAGCTTGCCTTGAGGTCCAGGTTCGATGATCACGTTCAGCAAAGCAGGTTGACCCGTAGCGGCAATTTTCAAAGCTTTCTGGAAGAAGTGCTCCACGTCAGCAATAGTCCGAGCGAGAAAACCACAACACCCGAGCCCCTCAGCTACTAGATCGTAACGGCATTCTCGTGTTAAAGCTGTGGAAGCCAAGGTTTTGAGATCCTTCTCCTCGCCGTGGTAAATGCCGCTGTTGTTCATCACTAATACAACCATCCCGATTCGGTATCGAGAGGCAGTCTCAAGCTCCATGCCCGAAAACCCAAAGGCTGAATCACCTTGTATACACAGCACACTTTTCGAAGGGTTAGCTAACTTCGCAGCGATTGCGTAACCTATTCCCACGCCCATCGTCGCATTGGTTCCTGCATCTAACCTTTGTTTAGGATATTCTGTGGGAAACGATATTCTTGCAACATCCATGGTGTTTGCTCCTTCGCTTACAATTACAGTTTCTTTATCCACAATATGACGCCTCACTGCTGCGTACACGCAGTTGTAATTGAGCAGAGGACCGACCTTAGTTTCTTTGACTCTCAATCGTTTCTCGTTGGTTTGTATCCCTTTTAAAAGCTCTTGTGATACGCCAGCATACCTAAATGCCCTCAAAAGAGGAGTCAGTTTATTGAGAGTCTGACCTATATCTCCACATAGTGAATAGGAAGTTCCTGATGCGTTGTTGTGACCGAGTTCCTCGGGTGTAGTATCTACTTGAACAAATACTGCGCTCTCCTTCCACTTGGGAGAGTCTCCAAAATGCAAAATCCAGTTCAGACGTGCACCGAGAACAAGCACCAAGTCTGCGGAACGCAGTGCTAGTGATCTTGCAGAGGAAACATTTGATGAGTGAGAATCTGGTACCACGCCTTTGGCCATAGGAGTTGGTAAGAAAGGAAGCTGGAACTTGTTAATGAATTTTCGAACTTCTTGTGTGCTGGAAGTAGCGCCTTTGCCAATCACGCACAGAATGCTCTTCGACTCGTGGGATAAAATCAATCTCGCAACTCGATCCAAATCGAAGTCAGTTGGTTGGAATTTGACCGCGCTTAAGCTTATGGGTGGCTTGATAGAGCTCATATCCATATTCTGATTAATTAGGTTTCCAGGTACGTCCAAATACGAAACTCCGGGCGTGCCCAATTGCGCCTGGCGTAAGGCATTGTAGAGCTTCTCTTCTACGGTGTGTATATTCAAGCGGGAACTGAACTTCACATAGCGACTTAAAAGTGCAATCTGATCGAGTTCTTGAAAACCACCGCGATTTGTGTCTTCGCTGCTACCCGCAATGACCAATAACGGCCACTTGTTTGAAATCGAATTGTAGATGCCGGCCAGCGCATGTACAACACCCGGGCCTCCTACGACTAACAGAACCCCGGGCTTTCCAGTCAGGTACCCGTATGCTGAAGCTGCGTAAGATGCCGCTTGTTCGTTCCTGAACCCAATGAACTTTATTTTACCCTTTAAAATCATGGTGTCCGCCAGCTCTACGATCGGGATGCCTACTATTCCAAAAACCGTATCTATGCCATAACTGAACAGCGCATCAGACAAGTAGTCTGGGAAGGACGTCATCTCATGTACTTTCATGAACTGTGGGATGTTCAATAGCGTATATGTCATTGTTTAAGTTGATGATAATCAACTACTTATATACGGAACTTCTATTCGAAAGGTTCACTGCCCTTGGTGATGAAATGCAGCCAACCTATATTCGGAATCTGTCCAGATGAGATTAAAAGGCAGTTTTTTATACGGGCAATTCTAATTTCTACTCACCTACACACTTGGGTACATTTCTTTCCTATCCTAGCGTACTGGTTACACGCTTGTTGTAGCATCGTTTCCTGCGTAAAGACAACTTAGCGCCCACGACTTTGTAAAATGCAAGGAAGTCATCGCAGATTGAAGATAAATTTGGTAATCAATACTCGAACGGAATAGGCCTCGGCGGAAGAATTGGCCCGCATAATAAGCTGACGCTTTAAAGCAACAGTAAAGAGAACGTCACTTGATGAACCCAGAGCTTCCCGAGGAGTCGGATCAAGCAAACTCGGACCAACATACTTCAGTGGATGTTAGCTCTAATCTTTGAAAACTTTGTATGATACTGACCGGATCTATTACACCGTGCTTTGACCGGCATGGATACTAAACTGTAATTGGCAGCAAGATTAAACGTTAACCTTTTTCATCTCACTCGAACGATTCGCGAACACACATCATATCCAAGGCTTACATATCTATGGAGCCACCAGCACTCCTGTGGAATGGTATGGCGTCTCTAATGTTGTGAGCACCAAATAGCCACGATACAAATCTCTCGAGACCCAAGCCGAAACCCCCGTGAGGCACACTTCCATTTTGTCGCAGGGACGTATACCATTCTAAGTCATTGTGTTTCATGCCTCTGCGAGACAGTTCTTGCATAAGCGTATCGTATTCATCCTCTCTGATGCTTCCACCAATGACCTCGCCCATTTGAGGCACAATCAGATCAAAGCAAGCAACAGTATTGTCGGTGTTTTGCTTCATGTAGAAAGCTTTGCAATCGCGCGGATAGTCAGTTACAAAGACTGGAGATTGGAGATGCGAAGCAAGCCACTTTTCATGCTCACTTTTTAGGTCTTTTCCCCATTCTGGGATGAATTTAAATTCTTCAATGGCGTGTTGTTTCAGTAAAAGTTCGATAGCGGCTGAATAAGTTAATCTAGGCCATTCAGACGCCAATAAAGACTTCCAACGGGCTATAATAGTTTCGGAATCATCGGCATTCTCCGGTGGTATGACTGAGGGTAGTAGTATTGCTTGATTCAACAAGCACTGTTGCACAACAAATTTGAACATTGATTCTGCGAACATAGTTAAATCTTGAACGTTGTCTACAAAACACATTTCAGCCTCAAGCATCCAGAACTCTGCAAGGTGTCTGTTGGTGTCGCTTTCCTCTGCGCGAAAACAGGGAGTAAGTGTCCAGCACCGGTTGAGCGCCATAGCAAGTACCTCCAAATGCAATTGGGTTGAAACTGTGAGATATGTGGGTGCGCCAAAATAAGAGGACTTGTCAGTCAGTCGTGAGTTCGATTCAACACGGAAAAGTTCCCCTGCACCTTCGCAATCTCCAGAGGTGAGCACTGGAGGCGAAACTTTAGTGAAATCATGTTCATTAAAAAATCGGATAAGTGATGTCTCGACTTGTGAACGAAATCGCATCAAAGCGCCAAGATAATTGGATCGATGTTTTAAAACGGGGTTCGACCTCAAATAGGCCAGAGAATGATATTTTTTTTGTAATGGGTAAGTATCGCAAACTTGACCAATGATCTGGAACGAACTGACAGACGCTTCCAGCTCAAACGGCTGCTGTCTCGTTGGTGTTGGTTTCCAAAGTGCATCTTTTACACGCAATGACTGCCCAGTGCGCAATTGCTTCAAAAGCTGGCTATCCAAATCGTTTCCGTCTCGGCGAATAATCACTTTTAAGGGATAAGGAGTTGTTCCGTCTTGTAGATCCACGAAAGCCATCTTTTTCATCAGCCGTACGGATTTAATCCAGCCGCAAACACTCTCTATCTTTTCAGGAGGGTTAGCGACATTTTGGAAAAGAGATTTAAAGGTTGGTGGCAGCCTAGTCGGCAGTCGTCCTATGAGGCCAGGCATTTTCAATGTAGGTAAAGCTGCTGCCTTATAATCTTAGCCTCCGAAATAGTATTCATAACTCAAAATCATCGAAAGTTGAAAAATTTCCTCTATCCTGTACAGAAATATACTCACACCGTATGGAGAGCCTCTTCTGCTTTGGCTGAAGTGCTTTTCGTAGCCGCGACTTTGCATCGTAGTTCCATGACCTCGTCCCTGATCAGATCTTTCATAGCAACCTTTTGGCCACAGCCGCTCTGCGGACAATCCTTTGTGGGTTGACCAGCTAAATGCTGTTCAATACCATCGAAGTCGAATACATGGCCACATTTTCTTGATATCATTGGCTTCTTGAACGGCATGCAAGTGATAGGGCAAGTGAGCTCTATCCTTCCACCTTCGATCTGCAAATCGTCATCGGTCCGCTCATCTGGCAATATACACTGTGGATCGGCAAGAATGTGGGGCAATGCTTTGAAAAGTCGGGACAAAGAGTCGTTAGGCATCGCGCGAGCATTCCCCTTCTTCTCTCTTTCTACATCTGCAAAAACGTTGCTGAGCTTTGGCGCTTGTAGTCGGCCTTCACGGTAAGCATCCCAATTTTCCCACGTCACAGGCGGGAGCTCATCACTTTGTGTTCTGTACCGCGTTTTCGCATCCGTTATGTTCCCCTGTAGTACTTTTTGCTGCGATTCCAGGTTTTGAAAGTCTTTATAAACTTGTGCGAGGCTACTTAGGCTTGACGCGTCTTTCAAGTCCGTTTCTGCTAGTTGATTTAAAGTATTTGAGAACTGAGAGCGGGTTTCGTTGAAAATAGCGCTTATATCTCTAGTTCTCCAGCTGTGTAGCTCTTGGACCGTAGAACGGTGTAGTGGTACGCTTTCGGGGATAGCATTGACCTTAGAGTTTGACATTTCGATCTAACTTACTTTTTGGATTTTCGTGAACCTATAACATTATTATGGCAGTTGGAATCAAAGAAATTCTTGATATCATAGAGCAGAGAGATGCGATGATAAAAGAACTCTCAGAGCAAAGCACCTTGTGAGGATACGAATGGACGAGATAATAGTGCTGCAAACGCTGTATTCTCTACTGGTGCAAAACAAGACCAACAGAGTATCTTTGGTACGACTACAAACTGAGATTAACGAAAATGCATTGATGAATAGATTGGTTCCCTGCACCGGCAAACAGGTTCTTTCGGTCCACGATATCCTGGAGATTATAAAGCGGCTTTTCCCAAAGAAAACGTCGCTCACGGAGGGTCAATTGACGTTCTACAATCTGCAGTTGGGAGAGATGCGGGACACGCTCTTTGAACTTTTCGAGAGAATCAAGAATGAGCTCACCTCTCAAATTAGCGAGTCCGAGCCCCTAATAGACGTGCTGATTAAGGATAAGACTACTTCGCAAAGAACACGGCTCCTGGTCTTGTGCAGAGACACGCTGCTCAACAAGTTTGAGGAACACGGAAGGTCCAAGATGTATCTGAAAAGTGTAGGAGAAGGGGCGGTCAAAGAACCGCTGGATCTCGAACTAATACGCAAGAGAACGCCGGCAAGTATTTTGGAGCTGCAGGCGTGGCTACAAATGTGCGTCGCAAATGCTACAATGTTTCACCAGAGTGGCAGTCAAGAGTGGAGGGATGCAAGGGCAAGTCAGGGTGAGCTTGATGAGACTATTGGGTTTGTAAGAAGTGTACTAGAGTAATGGAGAATTTAATTTCGGCAGAGTGATGATCCTCGTGAGCCGCAGGCGTCCAAGCAGGCAGCGAACGATCGTGCAAAACTGTTGAATAGTTTCACTCTGCTGTAAACGAAAAGCTTTCGTGTTTTTTGGCTTGGCACACAGATTAAACGTACACACATATACAAATAAACAGTCTATTGCCACAATACGCAACACAGCGAAGTAACCCCACATGAGAAGCGCTTGCACGCGAGCGCGCATCGTTCAGCCCACACACACAGAGCAGAAACGACAGCGAAAAAAAGCGCGCGTACAAGCACCAACTCCCACACGAGACCCGCACAAACATACGGTATCACACCACCACAACGGTCACATTACACCACACGACACACACACACACCCACATCCACACCCACTTTCGACACAACGTTCAACACAAACAGAGCATACATCCTAAAGAGCTCGGCACAGAAAAAAAAAACATAGCGCGCATGGCGTTGCTTAAAACTTCTGCAAACCCTTCTTCTTGGCCTGCACTCTCTTGAAGATAACAGTTGAAACAACGAGAACGAAGGCCAAGAAAACTAGGACAAACACCAAAATAACACCGGCTGGCAACATTGTTTATTTGTATTGAGTGTGTGGACGTTTACGAGTGTGTGTGCTGTGACAAAGAGAGAAAACAAGAGAAAACATGCTAATACCAACCTGGAAGAAAGGGGCGAAAAGGCTGTCTTTATATAGTCAAAAAAAATTAATATCGAGGATAAAAAAATTTTTAGGATAAGCAAACGGACTAATGAAAAGCCGCGGATAGCAGAAAGTGAGAAGAGTGAGAAAGATAGAGAGTGAGGTAGATAGAAAGAAAGAAAGAGAGAGAGGCGAAGCCAGTGTAGGTGAGTGAGTGAGTAACTTATCGAGACAGAGAGGTTTCCGGATGGCGGGACACGGAGCGAAAAGCGACTTGGGCATGGAGTTACACACGGCGGAAGCGCAGGAGACGGTGGCACGGGTCGGCTCGGTAGTTGCGCCAAGCTGAGAGATATTGGCGATGAGTCTGAGGCGGTTGGGAAGGCAGTTGGGCGGCAGTTGAGATAGGCAATGAGGGAGATTATATGCGCACTAAGCACGAATTACGTCTTACTATATCCTAGTTCACACTGTGCAAACGGAATGCTCGCTGGAGTGTGGTTCCGCTTCACAATAGCCGTGGCCAAGCTTCCAGTGCCGGTTGACCCCTCATGGAGCTGGCAAATAAACAAACAACAAGCAAACGGACGTTCTTCCGTTGTTGTGTTTCCCGATTGAGCATGTAGCGCACGTGATGTGGTATTTGCGGATGTCACGCGATTATGCTCTAACAGGCTGTTGTTGTACGATAACTGTGTGTACATTTCGAAGCGGCGAAACTACTCAGAGGACGGATGTAGTATTGAGGGTATACGGATAGAGCCTGGAGAGAGTATTGGGTCTGTCGTTAGCGGTGATTGCACTGCGGTTTTTTTGTAGTGTCATAAGAGCGATGTTGTAGTGCTTGATATTCTTGGCTTATGGATTCTTTATTGCGTAGGGCGAGTTCGGTGAGGCTGCCAATAATGAGAAGACTCATGGGAAATCTTGCGAGAGAGTGCTAATATCTCTATTGCTGAGGCCTGTCTTAGCCAGCAAGCTTGCTATCTCGATTTGGCTCTTTCATGTTCGAATTCGTTATTTCGTAGAAGATGGTGAAAAGCTCTCAACTGAGTTGCCACTTATTGGCCACTTTGTTTGGACATCGGCATCAAATCTACAAGTCCAGGCCATCCGTTCATTCTTCTTCGAGCACAACATTTACGGTAGTTGAATATTCTTGTCACTTCGTACTATTCTGTCATTGGTCGACTTGAGTACCATCACCGCTTACATCGCAGCAGAAGCACTATATAGCGTTGGCCAAAAACATCTAGATTGCTCATTAATATATGTCAAGACGTTAGCTTGCTGAACGGTACATTTGGGTCGATCATGGTGGGTTTCTATTGAACTGCACTAAAATATGAGATCACGTTTATCTCCTTGGATTCCTCCTCGCAACCCTGTCCGAATGTTAATTCTCCATCAAAAATATTAATCCTCCAGTTCAACGAACATCCTCGAGCTTACGTCATTCTAATCTTACAGCTTCTTTTTATACAAAAAATAGATTTACAGTGTTCTCTTAACATATACTGTCTTACAGCTTGCTTGAGCTTCAAAAGTACTCTCACGGCATCGTGGAAACTAAAACCCCTCTCGTTTTTCACAAAACGTACAAACACAATGCGGATCCCGCACACGCCAAGATAAATGGTAATAGCCCTAGTTCTAACTTCCACTCAGTGAGGGCAAAGCGAAACCAATGGGACGCTTTTTCATATACTGTGACATCTCCTGCAACGTCCTTCACCGCATAGGTGGCTTCATCAACAAAAGACGGTTGCCACTGCGTCAACAGGAGCGCCAACAAGGCTTTTGTAATATGGAAAACCATAGGGTCCACGGACACATCCGGCAGATCATAACGTATGAAATTGATGTAGTAAGACACAAACGCAGGTATGGCTAACGACCACACACTCCAGAATGAGGCCAAAGCACCGATTTCTTGCCATCTGGACGTAAGAGTCACGAAGGGTCTTTGGGTAGAAAACTCCAAGTGTTTGTTGACAAGGTAAACGTAGGCTTCGATAGCCATAAACACAAAATCGACTGCTGGGATAGTAGAAAGCGCCTCTTGAACGTTTTCGTTAGTCTCGACCGTCTTGTTCTGGACGTCTTGCATAAATTCGTTGAATTTGAATGCAAATGATCCCTCTGCCGGGCTAATGCGTTGAAATTGAAGCTTTGAATACCAATTTTGGAATGGGGTACCTTGAGGCAAGCGCAAGCCCGATTCTTCCCCTTCATCGTCTTCTTCTCCTTGTTGATCTTTGTCAGAGCCAGAAATGACATTTGTGACCGCGTTACTGACGGCTCCGGCCACGGCCTCTGCGGCATCTTGGACCTTGCTTTTCAAACGGTTTTTCAAATCGTCCGTCTCTTCATTCGGATCACTCGACGACTCGTCTTCACTGCTGGCAGCGGACTCCTGATAGTAAGTGGCCAGCTCTGGAAACTCCGTGAGATCCAAAGCTTCATCCAAATCCTTCAAATGCTCGTCAATGGCGTCGGCAATTTTAGCCTTGGTCGACGATTGCGAGACGTGCAGATCCAGTTTGTCTGCCAAGTCGAGAAGCTCGATCTTTTTCCACTTTTTGAGAGACATCTTGGTTTAGTGATTTGATATGTGTGATTTTGTAGTCAAATGACAGAGTTGAAAGCTGGGAAATATTCACGCGTTCAGCCGAAGACTTTATGAGTACGGCCTCTTATTGAATAGACTAAGCTCAGGTAAAGCTTTTTGTAGTGACCTCTTTGTGTGTTGAGATTGCTCTATGTTTGTGTGAGGGGGGTTTGGATTTGTTTACACTAAACCCAAATCAATTAATTTTTGACGCAGGATTTCTGTCATTAGAGACGGGAATATCGGGAAAAAGTCTGGTAGAAAAGTGGTTAGAGAAGTGGTGAGAGGAGCGACTAGAGAAGTGATACGGGAAAGAGGAGGGACAGTAGTACCACTTAAACAATTTGGGCATCAACTCATAGTTGTGGATAGTGAGGAGGTCAGCGGTCCGTGAAGGGAACAGTGTTTCTACTGAACAAGTACCATAAGAAAGTCGCTGCCCCCTGAAAGATGGACAGTAAGAACAGCACCATTCAATATCCGATGTTGCCCTGTGACAAAAGCACCATTCAAAACTCGCTAACGCTCGTATACGCTAGCACGCACTTTGAGGGGAGCTCAAAACTTCAGTATGACAAAAATACACGCGGCTTGGTTGTGCAGTACCAGTCCCTAGCACGACGTCTTGCTACGTTTGCCCACGGAACTTTCTGCTACGCTGTTCCATCCGTTGACAAAATGACCGAATTGAGGATTTCTGAAAGCCACTGTGACACGATTCTCGAGCCCTTGTTTCGCTTTTCAATAACATCTCTATTTCCGCTTCTCTATCTCGAGAGGCTTCCTATACCTATGTTTCAAACATAAAGCTACAGCTGATTGACTAACATCTCGGCGACAGTTTTGGATACACGTTCTCTACAGCACCAGCTTCACGTGAACACAACGGCTTCTTTTTCCTGTAGTTACGTAAATTTTCTCCGGGTTTCAGTTGATAACAAGTAGAGAAAGTGTTCCAGCCTTGGCGGTGAGTATTCAGCCATTGTTTTGCAGCGCCAGCGACCTTATCAGCAGGCTGCACAATGGCGAGTAGTTTTTACGAACGGCCTACGTAAATCGACAATGTAAGGCGGCTTACAAACTCGGATATTATTCAATATGCACACTGTATTGTAACTGGACCGAAAACGGTTGATGAATCAGCGACCCACCGTGAGGGCCAATATAATAGCTCTCCAGTGGTAGATATGTGAAGCTGCAGTGGCTAGTAACAAGAAACAGTGCGCCGTGTCGAGTGACACATCATCGCACTCCAACTACGCACGCACAATTGCCCGATTTCGGCCTCTGTCGCACGTCTGCCCGAGCGCTAAACGCGCGTTCTCGACCACTCTAGTCCAAGCTTCTCGCTCCAAGCTTCTCGTCCGAGCCTCCTCGTTGCTTTTTCCACGTGCTAAACGTACAACACGATCTGCCCTTCTCTTTTCTCCCCAGTTCTGCCTCAATTCCTTCAACTACCTCCCCGTCTACCCGCCATACTCTCAACTACTCTGTCCCAGTCTTCTACGCCTACAATGCGTCTCCTGGCCCAATCTTTCTCAACTTTCACTTCCCTCACGTGCTCTCAGTTTCCTTTTTGCAAAAGAAAACGTCACACCCAACGTCACTTAGTAAAGCAATGCCAACGACTTAAGCGAGTCTGTGGCCTGGCAGTCTCGAATATAAATAACAGGACAAGATTGCAATCTTGGAATATTCTTTTGCGCGGTTGATATAGATATTAGTCTTTCTACAAATCATTCAAACAGGTTTTCCTCGGATACTGCAACCCAATTTTGACTCAAACTTGCCGTTTCCAAGCTAAAATCTACCAATACAACCCTACACTATGACCAACAACCAAAACCAAGTGGAATCCGCACAACAAGACTTGCCCTCTATCCCATCGCTCGCAGAGGTTCTTCCCTCGTTTAGACTTGACGGACACGTTACAGTCGTGACAGGTGGTTCCGGCGGTCTCGCTCACACGCTCACTCAGGCGTTACTAGCGCAGGGGTCGGAAGTGGCCCTGCTGGATCTCAACGTGGAAAGACTCGAGTACACGGCACGTGAGCTACAGGAATTCCTCAAGGCCAACAAGTTGCCCAAGACCACGATCTCGACGTGGCCTTGCGACATTGGTGACGCCGCGATCGTCGAGGAGGTGGTGCGTGCCATCCCGCTCAAGCACAACGGGCTGCTTCCCGACAAGCTTGTCCACACCGCCGGTTACTGCCAAAACGTGCCTGCTATGGACTACGACGCGCGCCAGGCCGAGCTTCTGGTGCGCGTGAACCTGCTGGGTTCGCTGTACGTGTGCCAGTCCATGTCGCGCCAGCTGCTGCACAAGTCGCAGAGACGTCGCTCGGTGGCGTCCGACTCCAGCGAAGCCGGTGAAGCTTATCCACAGCTCACCAATGTGTCCTACGTGCTCATTGGCTCCATGTCCGGTTGCATCGTCAACAACCCACAGCCTCAGGTTGCGTACAACATGGCCAAGGCCGGTGTTATCCACATGGTCAAGTCCTTGGCCTGTGAATGGGCTCGCTACGGCATCCGTGTCAACTCCATTTCTCCAGGCTACATCGCCACTGCGTTGACCAAGAAAGTCATTTCTGGGTCACCAGAAGGTGCCGCTTTGCAACAGGAGTGGACCGGTAGAGTTCCATTGGGACGCATGGCCGACCCTCGCGAATTCGTTGGCGCCATGCTCTACTTGTTAAGTTCTTCGGCCTCCAGTTACACCACCGGTGAAAACATGGTTGTCGATGGTGGTTACACCTGCTGGTAAGCCTAGAGACTATTAAGAGCGGGAGATTTGATGCTCCTGCTTTTCTAGACTTTGCATCATCATCATCATCATCATCATCAGTTGAAGATTCGACGTAATATTTTTTTATTATTTTTGTTCGTCTCCTTTACCTCACATTGTATAGTACTCTACCCTCAGTGTCTAGATAAATCTATAGCACAAGACACTTTTGATGGCCCTATAACGGCCCTTTAACTAAATATTGAAGCTGGTGGTTGTTTTTTTTGTATGGTCGGTTCTCACATTAGTTTACACCCGGCGCTCGCAGCTCCACCAGCCTGATCTAGTCCTTCGATTCTCTTCAGCAATTGCAACACCGCCTCCTCTACACCCACGTTCATTTTGGCACTACTCTCCACAAATCCAGCATCCAGTTTCTTGGCTAGTGCCATACCTTCTTGCTTCGTGATCACCCCGTTACTTGCCGCGTCTCTCAAATCGATCTTGTTCCCTATTATGATAGTGGGGATGTGCTCAAGCCCCAGCTGGTCCAGGATTTTGTCTCGTATCAGCTCCACGATTTCGAAACTAGCCCTGTTCACGCAGCTATACACTATTGCTACTCCTTTGACGCCGATTAACGACTTTGTGTTAACTAGTGAAAACTCATCTTGGCCTGCTGTATCGCAGATCTCTAAGGTGTAATTGGTCTTTCCTAGTACCAGCTGCTTGGTAAACTGGTTTTCGATAGTTGGATAATACGACTCTACGAAGTGTGATTCAACGTACTGAACTGTTAGCGAGCTTTTCCCCACGTTTCGAGCGCCCACAACGGCTATTTTACGATGTTTCGAGACTCCTGATTGCGATTCCATTTATAATACAAAAATATAATCAGATCTTTCTTAGAATGTTTGCCAAGATGTGTTCTACTGGACCTGAGCTACTGTAGTTTTTTCAATCTGCAATTGGCAAATCAATTAAATATCCATAACGAGTCTCTAAGTCACTTAAGACGTCTGGATTTACAGCTGTCGTTGCTGTACCATTAGGCTTGGCCAAAAGCGTAGTCAATAGAAGCATGCCCACTTAACTTTCGGTCTCGGTTAATGCAATTTGTGGCAAGTTAGTTTCGACTTCTGCCCGCTGAAAGCGGTTGTAAGCTGCAGTTGAAAGTTGGTCTTGATAAGCGACATGAGTGTGAACGTAAATTTCTATCAAACTTTACGGAGTGGTACTACACTTCATTGGAATGATCATATCTGAACTTACGCAGAGGAGACCATCTTCTTTTGAAGTTAAGACACGATCTGGGGATTTACGCTGGGTTTGGTGGGCCTCAAGAGCATGAATTATCGAAATCCACTTCAGCGTTTCGCCAATACCGCTCCAGGCGCTAACCATCAAGTATCTTACTGCTTCTTCTGTAGCTATCACTATGTGTTAAAGCGACACTGCTCGTATACACGAAGTCGGCGGAAATTCCGTTCAGGTGAGTATCTTGGTGTCCAGCACGTATACAATTGTTTGTTCCTGCTTGGTACCTTGAATTGCCACCTAGCAAGCTCTTCTTGTCGCACAAGTGAGAAACCATACAAATCGAAACATAAAGAAGTAGCAGCCCGAGTTGTGGTGAATTATGCGCATAATATTAGTGATGCTTTTTGTTTGCATAGACCCATAAGCTGAGATTTCCCGGGCTCAGAGCGTGTTTATCTTTGGCATTGAGTGGACATAACACATCTGAAAATCGATTGTCTGTGCAACACTGGCGGAAAACATGTTGACTAACTTTGCCACAATTCGTGCAGTTCTCAACTATCTTCAAGTATTGATGTACTTTTAGTGCCTTATTCTTGGTACACCGATGGACAGTCCATGACGTCCTGACTCTTCTTGAAGTAGTGGTTGTACATGAATTTGGCACATGCGTATCTTTTCAAATTACTAACTACACTACATCAACTCCCGAGGGAGTCTGCGTCAATGTTAAACGTGTGAATTATAAGCATTTGTCTTCCGATAGAGTATATTCGAAGCCTGATAGAGAAAAGAATCATGCAATTTGGAGGATTATTTTAAACATGCTCAGTAGCTGAATGCTTTCACATTTAGCTGACCAGAGTGACTGAATAGTCAAAAAAAAGGCCTTTGAGTTTCTTCTTACTAATGCTGGCGAACCACTGCTCAGAACTTTCATTTTGCGTTGCAACCAAACATAATAAATTCTCTGCCAATAGGCACTCAAGATGGTTGGGATACCGCTATCTCTGGACAACCAGCGAAGAGCTTGTAATGATCGAAAAGTTGTACGCGCTCTCTTGGATCTTTAAAAGTGTACGAATAGAAGACATTATGTGATTTTACGCTTGCACCTACCACATCATTCCTAAAAAGAGCTTTAAATCCGTATGACCAGCCCTTTCGAAAACACAAGATTGCGAGGGACATTTATTAGGCTTATAGCTGTTTAAGTAGTCTCAGATGAATATCAGTGTATTCTACACATATTCGTGTTTAGTGCTATACCTGGATGGACAATTTGTAGTATGCAAAAAAGTACCTGAAGAAGCCAGTAAGTAATTGGTAGGAAAGGGACAATATACAGCCTCCAAAGTTATTGAATCTTGTATTTGCTATTCAATTGAGGGCATCTTTATTTGCCAGCATATCTCAACCAAGTTCGCTATACAAAAAATTAGATCTTCTGCGTTGCCCACAATTCCACGTTCCCCATGTCACAATTCACAGGTTACGGAGTGGAAGTAGAGCTGAAAGACGGCAAAAAAATAGCTGGTACGGTTGCTAAAGCCAATAGCAAGTCTTTAACTTTATCTGGTGTGAATTTTAGTGATGGCGGCACCTCCCAAGTTTTCAAAGTCAAAGCCACGCGATTGAAAGACTTGAAAGTGGTGTCAACGCCCAAACAACCTGCAAAGACCAGCCCCAAACCCGCTGCGATCCCTGCTAGCAACTCTCAAATTGATTGGCAAGATGACGACGCTGCAGCTATCAAGCAACAAGATGATTTTGATTTTCAAGAAAACTTGCGTATATTCAACAAAGAGGACGTATTTGCCAAACTTAAAGAACAAGATCAAGTTGAGCAAAACTCTCGCCTAGTTTCACACAATATAAGGGATAAAAAACTCGATATAGATGAGCTTGTAATCCCAGATGCCAAGCAGGATAACTGGGACAGTTTGGAAGAGGACTCGACCCATACAGAATATCTGCCCATCACCAAGTCCATAAACATCACTCATTTATTACAAACGGCTGGTGATGCGGACGCCAAAAACGACCAAGTATTATCACAACTACAACGAGCCTTGAAACGTCCAGGATCGCTATCAGGTTCGAAGAGCGCAGGGTTTGTGGCGGCCTCTACGGGTGTTCCAGTTCCATGCGCTACTCCAGTACAACTCCTCGAAATTGAACGAGTATGCAGTGACTCATTTGGATTTACGTCCAAGCTAGCCCTAGAACACTGGGCAATCCATATGTCACTGTTTGTGAAACAAAAGCTAGGCGGAAGAGTTCGTTTGCATGCTCAAAACAGCAACCCACAACCATTAGTAGTTATCCTTGCGGGTGATAACAGGTGTGGTACTCGTGGTTTGGCGCTCGCTCGTTTACTGTGTCAATCGTCTCTAGTTCGTGTGGTGGTTCTTTTTACAAGTTCGCCAGAGGATCAAGAGGTAAATGAACAATGGCAATTGTTTCAAAAAAGTGGTGGCAAGACAGTGGAGTCTTTGCAATCGTTAAAATCAAGTCTCGAAAAACTGAATTCACCAGTAGAAATCGTCGTGGACGCGATGCAAGGGTTTGACTCTAATTTACAAGATACGTGCTCTGACGCCAGCGATGAAGCGCGTGTGGAAGACATCATTAAATGGTGCAACTCTCAACAGGCTGTTTGGTCTTTGGATATTCCTAGTGGGCTAGATGCAGCAAGTGCGTTGCCTAACTTTGGTGTTCATGTAAATGCAAAAATGGTAATATGTTTATGCTGGCCATTGACGGGGACTTACAACTTAAGAACTCAACTAGCAGAAAACGGATTGGAAGTTCATTTAGTTGATATGGGGGTTCCTCAGGCTGTTTACTGCATGCGTAGCTCACTGCGCAAGTTCCAAACTGCAGATCTGTTTGTCACGGAAGGAATGGTACAATTGCAGTAGGATGGTAGAGCCGGAAAGATGAAAAAAATAACGTTCGTGTTTATTAGGCATAATAAGGTTGTTTTTTTGGAATCGCTGATCCCCAATAATTCTAAATCAGCTTGATTTAGACAAGTTGCATAATACTCTAGAGTTTTGTACAGATTTTTTAAAGACTTTGTTGCACCTTCTCAAGTCTCTTACTTGGCGTAATGATTACATTACCAGCTATTCCCTGTATAAAAAAGAAAGTTCAAGGCAAGCTAAGTCCCCTTAACAGAAGACGAATACTTTGATTTTCATGCCTGCTCAAAACCCAGTTTCTAAACTTTGCCGTATGCAACAAACATATATTGCCGTGAAAAAAAGTGGCATTCAAAGAAGTGCTAGCTGTGCTTTGGGTTTTCTCACAGGCATTGTTTAGCACGGTAGAATCGTTTGTTCATGAAGACGCCAAAGGCAATGTGCATGACTCATTTTCCACGCACATTTAAAAGACAAGCTCGATTAAGTTTATACCACTCCATTAGCACATAAGCAAAACTGAGAGCGTATTATACTTGTGAATATCGCCACGTACTACAAATGAGTTCTACGGAAGAAGTAATGCATGGTTCTTGTTTAAACTTAAGAACAGCTTTGGAAGCCTCGCAAAATCTCAAAAGTAGTGCAGTGTTTTAGTTCACCAGTCAGCTCTAATGATCTGCAAACGTTGAGACATGACAGTTTTCTGCAACGGTGGCCAGCACATCTCCTTACCACATAGACTCTAGGTTGTTCCGTTTTGAGGAGCTCGCGACATGAGGGAAAAAAATCAGAGAATATGAGTACATTAGTCGGCATAAGGGCACGATGATCCGCAACCTAGTAACACGCACCATGTGTATCTTCTCCCAACTCTTCGTTGGAAAGCGTCATCGAGGTATTTCTCCACTCGAAGCAATCGGAGAATCAAGTCATTTATTACGCGAACGGGGAAAAAATTTGATGGTCCGTGTAATCACAGTTTACTTTGTGAAGAGAGAATTACATTCCCCTGAACTAATAGCGTTTGCAAGGACGACAGGACCTCATATAGCGGAAACTGGACCTATTTATCACGAATAGCTACCTCCCAAACACTAGCGGGATTTGTCTACACGTTCAGGACTGGGACTAAATCGAAAATAAGGTTGCTTCGCCGATTGTTGGCTCGAAAACGCGGGTTTACCTATATTTACTACTGGGAAAGTAGTTGAGAATTAAGAAATTAAGCAGTTCGAAGAGGGTTTTAGTTTGTAAAATCAAAAGAGCAGCCAGACTGGGAGGCTATTGGGTTATTTACTAAGGTCAATTTTATCGAACTAAAAACTCGTCAGATAATCAATAATGGGGTGTTGTTGTAGTTGTTTGAGTGATGCCAGCGATGATGCTAGCGTGCTTCCCATTGCAGATAACGAGCGCGAAGCGGTAACTTCTTTGCTCGGGTATCTTGAGGATAAGGACCGGTTTGATTTTTACAGCGGTGGTCCGCTTAAAGCGCTCACTACATTGGTGTACTCGGACAATCTGAACTTACAACGCAGCGCAGCGCTAGCGTTTGCAGAAATTACTGAAAAGTACGTGCGACCCGTAAATCGGGAAGTGCTGGAACCCATTCTGATCTTGTTGCAGAGCAGCGACTCCCAAATCCAGGTTGCTGCCTGTGCAGCACTCGGTAATCTCGCCGTAAACAACGAAAACAAAATCTTGATTGTCGACATGGGCGGTCTAGAGCCTCTAATCACGCAGATGATGAGCAGCAATGTCGAGGTACAGTGCAACGCGGTCGGTTGCATCACTAACTTGGCCACGCAGGACGATAACAAAGCCAAGATTGCAATTTCGGGTGCACTTGTGCCGCTCACCAAGCTTGCCAAGTCTAAAAACATCCGGGTTCAGAGAAACGCCACCGGTGCATTGCTCAACATGACACATTCGGGTGAAAATAGACGTGAACTTGTCAATGCTGGTGCGGTACCGGTCTTGGTATCTTTGTTATCCTCTGTTGATGCCGATGTGCAGTACTATTGTACAACTGCGCTTTCCAATATTGCGGTTGATGAATCAAATCGTAAAAAGCTTTCGCAAACGGAGCCCAGGTTGGTTTCCAAACTAGTCGCGCTCATGGATTCTCCCTCAGCACGCGTAAAGTGTCAGGCCACATTAGCTTTGAGAAACCTTGCTTCCGACACAGGATATCAATTAGAGATTGTGCGTGCCGGCGGCCTTCCTCATTTGGCCAAGCTTATTCAAAGTGACTCAATGCCTTTAGTGCTGGCCAGCGTGGCGTGTATCAGGAACATATCCATTCACCCACTAAATGAAGGACTGATAGTTGATGCGGGCTTCTTGAAACCTTTGGTCAAGCTATTGGATTTCAAAGCTTCAGAAGAGATTCAATGTCATGCAGTTTCAACGTTGAGAAATTTGGCAGCATCTTCAGAGAAGAATAGACAAGAATTTTTCGAAAGTGGAGCTGTCGAAAAATGCAAAGAACTGGCTCTTGACTCTCCAATGAGTGTTCAAAGCGAAATTTCCGCTTGTTTCGCCATTTTAGCGTTGGCAGACAATTCTAAAATTGATCTCTTGGATTCAAACATTTTAGAGGCTCTCATACCAATGACTTTTTCTAAAAACCAAGAAGTTTCAGGTAATGCTGCCGCGGCTTTGGCCAATTTATGCTCAAGAATTAACAATTATACCAGAATTGCGGAATCGTGGGAAACGCCCGGGGATGGTATTCGTGGATTCTTGATAAGATTTCTGCGCAGTGAATATCCGACGTTTGAACATATTGCGCTCTGGACCATTTTGCAACTATTGGAAAGCCATGACGAGACGATTTTCAAACTCATCAAGGATAACAAGGAAATAATTAGGAGCATAAGGCACTTGTCAGACGTGAACTTCGAGAGTGCTCAAAAGGCTTCCGTTGCCATGAACTCTCAAAGCGGGTCGGGCTCAGCTTCTGATCAATTCGACAATGCTAGCCTCGAGCTCTACAACATCACGCAGCAAATCATTCAATTTATAGATTGAGCCCTCGCGAAGCATCAAAGTTTACTTCGACGTAACCGCATTCATAAGTGGTCATCCGAACGTGGAAGCGCGGAGTAACTACCCCGGAACAAATTAAACACATGCACTGCAGCGCACCGCACCAAAAACTATACTAATACTAATAATACCGTTCTTCAAAACTCAGCAGCGTTTTTAAAAAGCACCGAAGGCCACGTTGTTACCAACCATTGCCAGACTTGTTTCCTGGCGGGACGAGACCTTTCAAAAAGGACGCCCTTCTTTTACAAGGTCTCCTGTATTTGTAGTTGCAATTTTTTAAGAGAAGTTTATTGCATTAAAACATATTATGTCGGCAACCCCTACTTATAGCACGGAAGGCATTTTCATAACTATTATTACTTATAAAAAAAGGCATTACCATCCTGTGCACAATGCACTACGCCACTAAGGCAGATAATTCTGTTTAAGAAGTGCTGAGAACAGCTGAGCAAAAATAAAGGTCTTACCCGGATTCGAACCGGGGTCGTTTGGATCAAAACCAAAAGTGATAACCACTACACTATAAAACCAGATAGTTAAAGTCACCATTTAGTTTGAGCTATATACCATGGACTTATTGCAGCGCGGTCTTGAAATATAATAAAGATGGGATAAGATCTTGGGAACGACGACATTCGGACATAAATTGGACTCATTGCTGTAAACGAATACCATACTTCTAGTTACATTTGATGCCAAGGTAACAGATCACTTCAACATCCGCTTGGAATTTTGTTCTTAGCTTCTACCACTGAAGAAGTAAACGCTTTATTGCTCTAAAGCTTACCTTTCAATCCACTTCTACTCGTTAAGGCATTCCCAGCCTTGGTAGGAAGAATACCATCTTGTTAATCTCTTGAAAATCATCATATCACAAACGCGCGATTTCACAAACTCACAAACTCATACTTCACATTCTTCGGCCCCTCGTCCACTTCAAAAAAGGTCTTCGTATTCATTTTACCACATGATTGTCGAGCTAACGATAAATTTGTAGATGTCAGTCGTAATCTTCCAAAATGTTATCACCAATGAATAAGTAGGGTATACGGTACAGCTGGCATAATGGTTCTGTTCACCACCAATGGGATGTTCATCCTGGATGAAATTCACACCACTCAAAACAGTTTCCAGAATGTCATCGGCGGTGGTGGCATGTTCGCAATGCTGGGAGCATGCATTGTTAGTCCAAACCAGAAAATATCTAAACAACTGAAATGGATCGTGGATAGGGGCTCTGACTTCCCGGATTTTGTTACCGACCAGATTGACAGTTGGCAGACAGGAGTTGTTTATAGAGATGACAAGACAAGGTTAACTACGAGAGCGTGGAACCTTTACGGCGAAAACGACTACAGGCAGTTCAAATACCTATCTGAGAAAAAACGGATAGATGTAAACGACTGGCTCGAGAAATTTGGGCTTGACGAGCTGTGCGGAATCCCTTTTTTTCACTTGGTATGTTCTGATGAAAGGGCCAATTCCATCTTGGACAAACTCAAGGATTATGACACAGCAGAGTGCAGAGTATTCGTTTGGGAACCAATTCCAGAATTATGCGACAAAGCACATGCAGAAGAAATTCGCAAAGTGGTCAATCGTCAAGAGTGTGTAATCCTTTCACCAAACGCCGAAGAAGGTGCGCGTCTATTTGGGGTCGAAGAGCCTTCCTCGCTGCAAGAATGTAAGGCGCTCCTGTGCAAGTTTGACGATTTTATTGCCGATCATAACTTATGCGTGTTGAGATGTGGTAAATTGGGGTCTCTCTCGCTCGGTGAGCGCGCTTCAGGTGGCAAACGGCAAATTATTCACCTACCGGCTTATCATAGTCAGTCACCTTCCAAGGTGATTGATCCTACTGGTGGCGGAAATACATTTTTGGGCGGATTTTCCTTAGGCTTTGTGCTCTCCAAAGGGGACCTTATTACCGCAAGCATTTGTGGTAACATTGCTGCAGCTTGCTCTATCGAACAATTAGGCGTACCACAACGCGAAGGCGATAAATGGAATGGACTAACTTTTCGACAGCGTTTAGACAGCTATTTGAGGGTGTACGATCTACCGTATACTGTGCATACAATACTTATGGCACTCGATATTGAAGTCTAGCTCTTATTGTTGGTAACAGGCCTCGAAAAACTCGAACTCGAGTTCAAGAACCATTCTAAAGGTCTCAGAAACCTCTTCGTAGTCGCACTTATCGACTTCGTCCCTTAGGAAGTCACACCAAGTTTCAAAATGCTCGCCAGCATGCAGATCGATCCAAGTTTGGTGTTTCCAGTGAAGGTTTGCAGCATGGGGAAAGTACTTGGGCCATTCTACATAGACCAGTTCCATACAATATACAAAAGTGATCAGCTTGGCGTATGATGTCTCATCTTTGGCCGATCTCTCCAAATATTTGATGTATTTCTTGACTTGTGGCAACTGATTGTTCTTGAAATAGTCTTGATCTGAGGGGCTCAAACTGTCCGACACTTCAGCTAAACAATCGTAGAAATAGTTATTCTCATCGTTGGCAAAAAATCCGATTTTCTTTGCCAAGGTGAGCAAGCTGTGGTTATCTGGTGCCAAAGATGTGGTTTTCGTTAAGAGTCGCATACCGCTCTGGAAGAATTGCAAATCCTGAGCCAAATAGATATAGAGTTTTTTGTCAGGTAGTGTGCCCGCACATAAATCTCCCGCGAGCTTGTGGTGGACAGCCTTGTCGAAAATGACCTTATGGTTCTCGATAAGTTTCTGAGATACAGACATACTTAATGTTAGTGTTGGTATGATAACAATGGCTTAAGGCTGACGTTGACTGAAAATTGGCAGACGAAGATACGGCGTTATATAAGATCTTCGGTTCTAAGAGTTTCCCTATCATCTTTGGCTGAATTTTTGAAGAAAAGTGGTAAGGTGTGAAATCTATGGAAGTTCCTTAGGTAATAAGCATATTTATGGCTCTTCTTGTTTCAAACAATGACTTGAATTTTGCACGCGGCTGTGTATCTTACAGTTTTCAAGAGTGCTATGAATACTCTCTTTCGTCAGCTTCGAGCTTCGGGCTTCGAGCAGTGATAGAGTTGACGTAATCAAATAGGGTACTAGACACTTTTACTTGAGTGTTGTATGTCTGAGGTTGCAATAGGGTGCCTTCAAATCTGGTTGATTTTAACCGAAATCTAAAAAAACAAAACATACGATTGGCACGAAAAGCTTGCTAACATTTCCCGTAACGCCGTTCTAAATAATTTCTGTCCCGCTTTCGCTTCGTTCGGTTGCGGCCTTATCGGTCAGTGATGGCTGTCATAGCTCTCGAGAAAGTTCTGACTGAGTGACGCGAGTTCGCGCGTTGTAGGCTCAAAAACTCCTCAAAATAGTAGATTTCACAGGTTACTTTCCATGCGTATTTCTCGTTTGTTTAGTGTCAATTGACACAAGAACAAAGAAGGAGTCTTTGTCTACCAAGCTAAATCTTGTACATGCACTGCGTCTTATTGATCTGTAGAACGGGGCTGCATTGCTCGCCAGGCTTCGATAAAATCGCACCATGGTGGTTCACAATTAGGACCTGTCTTCGGATAATATGAAGTTAGTATCATCTACCGTAGGGTATATCTTGGCACCTTGCGATAACACTTGATTAATGGTGTGGCGGCTATCTCAAAGGGTCTTTAAATCTTGGCTTCAACTTCTTATACGCAACATTTCGAGATTCAGCTTTCCACAACTCAATTCGAGAAATTAAATATAGTGAGAGCACAAGCTTGGTCGATCTCTCGGCCAGAACGTCAATTGATGGATTAACCTTTTGTATCTTCGCCATCCTTGTCATCGTTCCTATACAATTTCGTGAGACCAGAGCTGCTTAGATTTCTCTAGGTTTTCTAGTTGTGCGGTTTCCACTTTTATTGATTGAATTGTAGCTTGCGGGACGCTAATTAGCCCCAGTTTCCGACAAGAATCACCGGTTATCTCCTCGACATCATCCAACAGTAAATTGAGCTCTGAGTCGGTGGCTACTAACGTTCCCACGAGCATGCGAGCATGTGTGACTGTGACGTAGATCCTTGAGCCTATGTAGTCAGGGAATTTCAAGTTTTGCATGCCTTACTTGCCCAATGCAACTGCACTATAGAGTTGGCTGGCGTCCTCTAAATCATAATGATTCAGAAAAAATCTCTGAACACTCAACAATCACATGACGTAGATATAAAAAAATCTATAAGTACCCCTGCTATTTTAATTATCAGACCAACCGACCTTTCATTCAGCAAATAATAGAATACGATTTTTTACTCTTTTATTGCTCACTCATTCATGATCTTTTGATCTCTCTGGCTTGTGCATGCTTCTACCTCTCTATGCATTAACAGAAGGAACTGACAACCTGTTTCCTATCTCCCATGTAGTACTTGTATGTAGAAAACCCGGGCTTCTCCAAGAGTCCGGTTTGTAGATTCACTCTTGTCTCAAAAAACCTCGAGGACTCCATTCGTATAAAAAGTTTCAAGTTCCGCGAAGCGTCCCACTATTAAGCTCGGGCTTATTTCCTTCAGTAACTTGTGCTCTCATTGTTTGAAGGAAGCCAAAAAAAAGCGCTTTCTATCTTCATCAGAAACCGCACTATTTGGATTATTTGCTTTCTTGTTATCTTCTCAAAACTCGAAATTCTTGCAAGCTTTCAAAAATCTTGAACGAAAAAAAAGATATTGAAGAATCCATGTACAACTTCTACATAATAATATATTAGTTCCCCGGACTTTGACAAACATACTTCTAAATCATAGCTACCTCCTGCTAACTAAAATGTAGCAGTTGTTAAAAACAACAAATCAGACAACGAAGGCTGAATCTCAGCAAATCGTAACAACAAGGCTACTCAGCTTCTTACAATACACTGTTTTACATTTAGGTCGTGTAAAATGATATATATTCACATGAACTGACATTGCGATATATTGTATAGAATATTTAGAGATATTTGATTGTCTGAAGCTAAACTTTAAAACTAGAAGTCGTCATAAGTTAGTTTTTCATAATTTTCATCTTTCTTTATAGAATTCACTAAGGTTTTTGTCTTTACTAGATCAAAAAAATTATGGCATTTAAACATATTTTTAACTTTTGTCGTCTTCCAGCTTGTTACTAAATATTCATCTCTATAATTCTTTGTATCTAGAAGTATGTCGTTTTGTACTAGGGAGTCGCCATACGCCGAAGCAAATGTCGAACGATCTTCCGTTGACTACATATTCCCTCGGCAGTTTCGCTTGACTTTCGCTTGGTATCGAACGTAGTTGTCAAGCGCTGCGTCGAACGTCGCGTCGAACTTGTATATTTCTGCTCCGTCAGTTTTACTTCCCAACAGCACGTTTTGAAGCCCCTCCTAACTCACAAATTAACTGCACGTTGATGGTTGAATTTCAAGCACAGCCCGAAGCAAGGATGCAGATCTGTTGTCGTAACAAGCCAGAAAGAAGTATCCTATTTTCGTCCCGAAATAACAGAATTTACAAAGAAAGTGAGGGATAATTAGCAAGCAAAACTCATAGCCTCCTAAAATTAATAAGACGAGGTACATATGGCCCGCTGCTCAGCGACCTTTAAATTGACTACTTGACGATTAATCAATAATCTATCATTTGTGACGATTGGGTTAAAAATTATCAATTTAACGACTTCATCAACTGTCAACATTTGAACACTCTCGAAGCTTAAAAGAAAGGGAGACAAAGGAGTTTAGTCTGTTTGTGTGTCTGCCAATCTGCTAAAATTCAGCCCAGCTAGCCCTTCAATTGTTTTATCAGGTTGAAGCCCGCCGCAGGAACAAAAAATGACGCAAAATAACACCGTAACGCTCAAGACCCTCACAGCTCATGAGCTTTTATCTTCACGAGAAAACATGTGCGAGCTATTCGGGCTCATTGATGACTCTGAACGCCGCTCTTTGCTTGTTGGAGACGATCGGGAAGCGCAGCTGGAGAAGCTGAAGGCCAAACAGGAAAAACTGAAAATCGACGTTGAAAATATCAAAAAGGAGCTTTCTTGATAAAATTAATGTGTTTTAACCTCCTACTGAACTCAATGCCTCCTGTTGTATCCTTTAAAGCCTCAATAAGGCCATGTTTGGTACTTATTAGTGTCTCAAGTTGTTGCAGCTATGCACGTATAAAAGTACAGGAAGGCATCGTTTTTCAGTCATAGGGAGGTTTTAAAACTTGAGCTCCTCAAATATCAGAGCGAAGCACTCACCTGAGTTTGAGAACTCAACAGGGTTTAAGAACTTCAAGGAAGACTACGAGGTTTGGCTTAAACAAAAATGAGGTATGTGGCTATTGTGTATCTCAGGTGAATTTTTACACCTGCATCGGAATTATTCCGCATCCTAACTCTGCAGCAGTAATTCGAAGAGAAGGATCGAAACAGATGTGATGAAGCTTCTCATGAGCGACCACGACGTGGATCTAGTCAACGACAACATGCAGGAATTTCACGTCAAGTTTCATGGGCCCAAAGACACGCCCTATGAGAGCGGGGTTTGGCGACTGCATGTCGAGCTGCCGGACAACTACCCCTACAAGTCGCCTAGCATCGGATTTGTCAACAAGATATACCATCCGAACATCGATGCAGCGTCCGGCTCTATATGTCTGGACGTGATAAACTCGACCTGGAGCCCGCTATACGATCTGATCAACATCATTGAGTGGATGCTCCCAGGGCTCTTGAAGGAGCCCAACGGCAGTGATCCGCTCAACAACGAGGCCGCTACGCTACAACTGAAAAGCAAGGAGCTTTACGAGCAGAAAATCCGCGAGTATATCGACAAATACGCAACGGAGGAGAAGTACAGCGGAACTTTTGGCTTGGGAAATAACAGCGACGACGACGACGAAGACGGCCAAGACGATGAAGACGAAGGTGCGAGTCAAGACGAAGGTGCGAGTCAAGACGAATACAGTGATGCTGTGGCAGGCACACGTACGCATGGAGACAACAACGAGGTCGACGATCTGAGCGACGTAGCGCTATCGGACGCCGATGACACCGACAATCTGAGCGAGGAACTCACCAATATTCAAGTCAGCGACGATGACGACGACGAAGACATGTACGACGACGACGACGATGATGATGAAGATGATATCGTCTAAAATTTCGGGAGCTTCCTCTTAGAGCTCCCAGCTACGCCTAAAAAAAATTCAAAATATACCATTCCAGACACACACTTCGCACAATTTGCCCTATCTACGCCTACATATCGTTCCAAAAGTCCTCGTTGTTCTATTGAAGTTGATGTGTTTACATCTTACTTACTCTTGTTTCTCTTTCAACAATCACTTTTTCTATAAACACTACATACAACAAGGGGCAATGTTAGTTCAAATCGTCAAGAAAAGGTATAAAAGCATGGCAAAGATTTAGAATCTGTACTCACTTGCTTAACAAAGAGACTCACAGTTAATTCAGGTGACGCCAGAGGTTGTTTGACGGGAGTAGCAATTCACCTTAGAAAGGGACGTTTCGCGAGATTAGCGATCATCAAGATATCGCAGAATTAAAGAGGGGTTTGCAAAAAGTATCCAAGTTAATCTATGGCAGTCATACCGGAAAACGTGAAAGGAGCCGTGGACACGGATCCCTGGTTGGAGCCCTTCGCAGAGGTTCTTTCAGAACGGCGCTATTTGGCCGATAGATGGTCGTATGACATCAAACACAGCACTTCAGACAATTCGGCGCAGTCGCTGGCGACTTTTGCGCGGAAATCGTACCAGGCGTACGGCTTGCATGCAGATCCCGAGACCAAGCAGATAAGGTATCGTGAGTGGGCTCCTAACGCTGTCAGGGCGTTTCTGGTGGGCGAATTTAATAACTGGTCTACAGAATCTCACGAACTTAAGAGCAAAGACGCGTATGGGGTTTTCTCGATCACAATTCCACCTCTGGAGTCTGGTGACTTCGCCATCGCACACGACTCCAAACTGAAGATACTGCTGGTCTTGCCAGATGGCTCCCACATTTACCGTTTACCAGCCTGGATCACAAGAGCCACGCAGCCAGACAAGGAGACGGCGCGGCAATTTGGGCCCAGTTATGAGGCTCGTTTCTGGAACCCGTCCGTGCAATACCAGTTCAAAAATAAGAGACCTGCGTTCGAGCGGAAAACTGACTCGCTAAGGATCTACGAAGCTCACGTAGGAATCTCTTCTCCTGAGCCAAAGGTCGCCACCTACAAAGAGTTCACCCACACGGTTTTACCTAGAATTCGAGATCTCGGCTACGACGCCATTCAGTTAATGGCTATAATGGAACACGCATACTACGCTTCATTTGGATATCAGGTCACGAACTTCTTCGCCGTCAGTTCCAGATACGGTACTCCTGAGGATCTCAAGGAACTCATCGATGTGGCTCACGGGATGGGCCTGCTTGTGCTATTAGATGTGGTCCACAGTCACGCTTCCAAAAATGTCGACGACGGGTTGAACAAGTTTGATGGATCCGATCATCAATACTTTCATTCTCTTGCGTCTGGACGAGGCGAACACCCCTTGTGGGACTCACGTCTTTTCAACTACGGATCTTTTGAGGTTCTCAGGTTCTTGTTGAGTAACTTGGCTTTTTACATCGATGTCTATCAATTTGACGGATTCAGATTCGATGGCGTCACCTCGATGCTGTACAATCACCATGGAGTGGGCGCGGGCGGCGCATTCAGTGGTAACTACAACGAGTATCTATCGAAAGAAAAGTCAGATGTCGATCATGAGGCACTGGCCTTCCTAATGCTGGCAAACGATTTGGTGCACGAAATATTACCCGATAATGGTATTACAATTGCTGAGGACGTTTCAGGGTATCCAACGCTTTGCTTGTCTCGTCACATTGGTGGTGTCGGGTTCGACTATAGACTGGCCATGGCCTTGCCAGATATGTGGATCAAGTTGATAAAAGAAAAAAGCGATGATGATTGGAAAATGGGTGACATAGTTCACAACTTAGTCAATCGTAGGCATGGGGAAAAAGTGGTTGCTTACGCGGAGTCTCACGATCAAGCTTTGGTTGGTGATAAAACGTTGGCATTTTGGCTCATGGATGCCGCGATGTACACGGATATGACCTTGGCCAAGCCACTTATTCCCGTTGTGGATCGTGGCATAGCTTTGCACAAGCTAATTCGCCTAATCACGCATACACTTGGCGGCGAAGCTTATCTGAATTTTGAAGGTAATGAATTTGGTCATCCGGAATGGCTTGATTTCCCCAATGCAAACAATGACGACAGCTACCACTACGCCCGACGCCAGTTTAACTTAATCGAAGATCCCTTATTGCGGTACCAGCATCTGAACAACTTTGACAAGGGCATGCAAAATTGCGAACGTCAATTCAAATGGCTCAATACTCCGCAAGCGTACGTTTCGCTGAAACACGAAGTAGACAAAGTAATTGCTTTTGAGCGGAATGGACTGCTGTTCATCTTCAACTTTCACCCTGTTGAAAGCTTTGCGGATTACCGGATCGGAGTCGAACAGCCGGGGTGTTACAAGATCATTTTGAACAGCGACCGTCCAGAATTTGGTGGGCACAACAGAATTGACGAGCCCAGCTCAAGATTTTTCACCACAGACTTGCGTTGGAACGACAGAAGCAACTACATTCAAGTCTACATTCCCACAAGAACTGCTATAGTTCTAGCCTTGGCGTCCTAACCCGCGACCTCTATACGTTTAATGAAATCTACAGAGAAAGCAACACAACACGATGCTTCCGAATTACTCACATTAGTCCCGCATTACATATTCTAATACATAGCTATTCTGCAGTGAAAATCGCCTGAGCAAAAGGTTTTACTCTGTTTGAGAATTCTTGTTTAACGGTAAGTGTTCAGATTTCGTTTTTCAAATTTCGTGATCAGTTGAAGAAATTAACACCACCAGCATTTACTCTATATTGAGAAATAAAGATCGCTTCAGCAGGCATGGTTACCGTCAATGCCAGCATTGTGCCTTTGGTACACACGGTTTGTGCTTCAGTAGCTTTCTTAGCTGCTCTCATAATTGGTTGTAAGCTGCACTACTACAAAATTATAACGAACTCGCATTATGCATACCCTGAGGAGTGGTTTCCCAGTGTTTCGGCTACGATCGGTGACCGCTACCCCGAGCGGTCTATATTTCAGATTCTGATAGCACTAACGGCCTTCCCACGGTTTTTGCTATTGCTAGGTCACTTTATGATAAATAAGTCCACACCCTGTTTCGTCGTTGGCTTTGTTAGGACTATCACCTGCGGCGGCTGGGTTTACATTACCTCAACCGACGACCATAACGCGCATGATGTATTTATGATTTCTTACATTGTGTTGACTTTGCCGTGGGACATTTTGGTAACGCGAAGCTCCGAATTTAAGGTCTACAAGAAACTTGCCATGTACACCTTTTTCGGCACTCTCGTTCCGTTGATCTATTGGTTCCTTCAACATAATCTGTACCACAGAGCCGGTGCTTATTCTATTTATGCTTACTTTGAGTGGTCCTTGATTCTCTTAGATATTGCTTTCGATGCGTTAGCTTTTCAGGATTTTAAGAAGCTAAGCTTGAACTTGGAGCTCAAGTCGAGCGTGGGCAACTGGTTCTTCATGTTTGAAAACAAGGAGTCTTTACCACCAGCTGCCGCGCAAGAAATCCAAGAAGTGATTAATGAGGAAGATACAGATGGTTCCCTCATTCAAGATACTACAGTGGAATCAGACGATCCCGATTACGCTCCTCCACAGCATGAATCAAAATATGAGGTGGACGCCTCCGATTTCATCGAAGAAGAAAACGCAATGCTTCTCTCAGCGGATGAAACCGAATTGAAAATTATGATTCAAGAAGATGAGGACTTACAGTTCTTCGCGAATAATGGTGCGGCGTTGCGCATTCCATCGCATGACTCAATGCTTTATATTATGGTGAATGTAATAAACTCACTTATGTTCTGGACCATGCTCACCTCTCTATTATGTATGGTTTGGTACTTCCCGCTATGGTACATGGGCATATCTGGTTATGAAGCATCAATTTTTTCTGTTGTTTCTCCTTTCCTCCTTTACATTCCAAGTATTCCTATGGTTATTGACGTATATGGTCCGCTGTTAATCGCTGTTATTGGTATCGGAGCTTTCCTTGTCGAGGAGCCAGAGATGCGGCTTTTGACGGCTTCTTTAGCAGCGGGAATAACGTCCATGACATTCAGCAACACTTTGAAAAATATCACTAGTCAGTCATCAACTCAGATGTACACCATTACCTGGATAATGGGGTTAGTGGCTTCTGTCGTGCTCAAGATGGCTTTTTTCTCGAATAACCCGCTATGGCCTATTCTGAATGAAAATAATGGAGGCTGGAACAAGACTGGATTGATTGTTATGATGCTTGTAGCACTCTTCACTCCACATGTTAATGCTGTGCACTACCAAAAAGCGGATACAACAGCGTTTAAAAACCCACGTCTCGTTACAAAACTGCTCGTGTCCATAGGTTTTGGATCTTTAGTTTTTTCTATCCATCAACTACTCACGGATGCGTCTACTATTATTTATTGGTCTTGGGAGGGCTGGAGCACAAACGGCCCGCAAGGTCCCTTGACATGGCCTTATAGCTCTTTGACATGTGTCTGCATGCTACTTGCCGCTTTAACTTCCAATAGGTTTTGCGGAAAGCCTCTCGTACCCTCATTGCTACTGTGCCTTTCAACTGGTGTTTTAGCATTACCATCTATCACTGGTTGGACAAATTACATATTAGGCGGTCTCGTCTACATTTTTGGTATGATTTGGATCATTCCAACTTACTTTACAAAGATGAGTATTCTCAAAAGTCCCTGGGTTTTCAGCTTGGCCTTTGTGGTATATTTGATTCTGGTATTAGCTCACGTTTGGACAGTCGCATACGCCTTTGTTCCTCATGGGTGGATTTTGAGAGAGAGAATAGGGCTAGTCCTTGCAGCATCGACAGCACTTGTTGTCAGTGGTGCGGTATTTGGTATGAGAGGCCAAGTGACACGTCAAAAATTGTCAAAAAAATTCTGGAATCGCATATACTTTATGGGCGCGATATTTTTGGCTTTGATTGGTGCGATAACCTACCGCTTAGCTCCCACTGGAGTACCTACTCCGTACCACATTGAGGATAACACGATTACGGCGGGTATCTGGACCATTCATTTTGGGCTTGACAACGATATGTGGTCGTCAGAAGAGAAGATGATAAAAGTACTCAAAGACATGGAGGTAGATGTCATCGGTTTGCTTGAAACGGATACCCAGCGTATTACTATGGGGAATCGTGATTTAACCAGCAAGATGGCTCACGATCTAGAAATGTATGCTGATTTTGGACCAGGTCCTAATAAGCATACGTGGGGCTGTGTCCTATTGTCAAAGTTTCCAATTGTTAACTCAACTCATTATTTGATGCCATCTCCTGTTGGGGAACTAGCTCCTGCGATTCATGCCACTATAAAAACTTACGATGATATTTTGGTAGATGTCTTTGTCTTCCACAGCGGACAGGAAGAAGATGAGGAGGACAGAAGACTGCAAAGCGAAAAGCTCGCCAGCATTATGGGTAGCACAGACCGTCCTTCCATATTGCTAAGTTACTTGGTTACTGATCCACTGGAAGGAAATTATAATACCTATGTGAGCGAGACCTCGGGCATGCACGACATAGATCCTACTGATGACGACAGATGGTGCCAGTACATCCTTTACAAAAAGCTAGGAAGAACAGGGTATGCTCGTGTGAGTCGCGGATCCGTCACCGATACTGAGCTGCAGTTTGGAAAATTTAAGGTTTTGGACAACGAAGAATTGGCAGCTTATGGCGATTCCATCTATGAAACCGAACTGGTGGACGACGTTGAAGATATTCCTGAGTCACAGAGGTTTCCTGAAGACTACCACGGTGAGGGTCAAAACGGTCATTACTATCACGTCTTCGATGCGCCTCGGTACTATCAAACACCTTGGTGATAATCTCGCATTTTTCAAAAACAAAATATTAGCTGCTTCGTACATGGCATGCGAGAACATGAAGCTCATTTTGTGTTTTCACTTTCGGCCACGTAATCTACCAAGTCTATCTCTTCAATAATTAAGTTTGCCATATGCTGATCTTTGCTTATAATTGGCATATCATTTACGTTTTGCAGGTTAATATCCTCAACTATCAAGTTGGTAGGATATTGGGGAGCTTGAATAGTTTCTCGAAGCTGGCTGCACCTTGCTACAATTTCAGAACTGTAGTCGGAGAGGTTTTGAAGTATAGAGTCGCATTTTTTCTGGGCCATGTCGGTAAGCTCTGGGTCCTTAGATATAGCTTTGTAGTAGCCGGGAAGCGCGAGCTTCAATTTAATAGGAATAACATTTATATCAGTGAAAGTCTCCAAAAAGCGCAGTAGATGATCTCGAGGAATTTCATCCATTGATCATATGTGAACTGAGACTTATATAAAGATTGATAGAGTTGAATTTCAGGAAGTATAAGCATTTTTCATCCATTTGGATATGTGCATGTGTGATTCACGTGCCTGAATATGGCTTTAGCGACGTCGAAGTCGCAAACGTAGACAACTTGACAGAGGTTGCGTTAGTTGAACTTTTCCCCACTTTTAATTGAAAAGTTAGTGGTAGATCAAGATGTGCTTAGTGTCGTTGCAATTGCTATTTTTGAAGAATTCCAACAAAACAAATGAAAGTTCCAAGATATAGCTAGAGGATTAGTGTTGAAATGCATAATATATACGGTGATGAACGGGGAACAACGATTATTATATAATGCCTGCAAATTCAACAGTGAAATTTACGTTAGTTGCCTTATAAACCTAGCTACGCGTGGTGTAGACACTATATAGTAGTGCTATTGCTTAGGACTTGACTGAAGATGTATAATAAATACGAGGTTGGCGAAGCGAGGGTATAAAATAAGTCGCAATACGCTGAAATATGCGAGCTATGCTCTACAAGATAGATTCATTAACCGTGATTTTATATTAGACAGATTATTTATATATATATTGAGCTCGCTCAAGAAACAATATCTGAGTTATGCAGTGCATTTAAATGCAGAATTGCGCAGGTACTAATTACTGCGACTGGTACTGTTTTGAATACTTTCTTCGTGTTCAAACAAAGGCTTTTCCGATTTTGAATTTTCGATGTGCTGAGCTCTACCGAGCAAACCCAATTTGTTACCTTCCTCATCCTCAATTACAGGTAATTCTGGAATGTAAGAACCAGTCTTCCAGGCAGGAATGTTGTCGGCCCACATTTGATCAATTTCTTCCAAAGTCTTACCCTTGGTTTCGGGGAACATGAAGTAGGTCTGGATGGTAAGGCACACGGAGAATACTCCAAAGATGATATAGGTTTTCCAGGTGATGTTGCGGAAGGCGGATGGCACGAACATGGCGAGGGCAAAGTTGAAGGCCCAGTTGACGGCAGCACACAGAGCGGAACCCTTGGCTCTCTCCATGTTGTTGAAAATCTCGGAACAGTAGATCCAGATACCGATACCCCAGGTAGGAGCAAAAGAACATACAAACAGATAGGAGGCAGCAATGACACCTTTGGCGGCATGACCATTGTAGTCGGGGATTCTGATTCTGACGGTGTCGTCGCCGTCGAATCCGCCGGGAGCGGGGACCGAGTAGTTGGCCAAGAGACCGGCAACGACGAATAGCCAGATGAACATGAAAATACCGCCAGTGATCAAGACCGGTCTTCTGCCGACTTTGTCCACGAGGAACAGGGCGGGGATGGTCATGACCACGTTCAAAACGTACTGGATGGAACCCGAGACCAGCACGGTGTTTCCGGAAGAGCCCGCCATTTCGAAAATATACACAATGTAGTACATCATCACGTTCATGCCGCACAGCTGCTGCCACATCTGGGCGCACACCCCGACAATGGTCTTGTTGATGGTCTTCTTGCGGAACAATTGGCGGTAGCCAAAACTCACGGCTTTTTGGTCCAGGATGACCTGTTCCTTGATCTCTTCGATCTGCAGTTTGACCTGGGGGTCTTCACGGTCTCCGTTGGCGCCGATGCGGGCCACGACCTCGCCCGCTTCTTCCCAGCGGTCGTGGTTGGCGAGCCAGCGGGGCGATTCGGGCAAGAAGAAGGTCGCGATCAACAGCACCAAGCCCGGGACGATCTGGAGCCCCCAGGTGACGCGGAAGGCGCCGGCGCCGTTGATGAAGTGGCAGCCGTAGCCCACGTAGAACAGAATCATGATTCCCAGCGTCACGCTGAACTGGAACAGCCCGCAAATGGTGCCTCTGATGCGTGGCGGCGACACTTCGGAGCAGTACACGGGCGCGGCAGACGAGCCGAACCCTATCCCGATGCCGCTGATGACACGGCCCGCGACCAGCATCGCCACGTTCTGCGACGCGCACTGGATGATCGCGCCAAGAATCCACAGCGAGGCACACAGGTGCAGCGAGACACGGCGCCCAAACACGTCGGAAAAGTGCGACGACACCAGCGACCCGGCAAACGACCCGGCAGACATCGCCGCCGTGATCCCGCCCTGTTCCGTGGAGTTCGGGTTGTTGAAGTAGTTTTTGTAGTGCACGGTGCCGATCATCGACGACATGGACGAGATGTCGAACCCGAACATCAGCCCGGAGATGCACGCCACCATGCCCACGACGTAGATGTTGTAGATTTTGGGGAACCGGTCGTAGAGGTGGCCCCGGTAGTTGACGTTGCGCATTAGCAGCGCATCCTTGAAAGTCATGGGAGAGAGTGAGAGGAGTGAGAGGGGTGAATGGAGAGCGTGGAGAGCGTGGAGAGCGTGGGGAGAGCGCAGCAACGAGCCCTGGTTATATACCAATCCCAGTCTTCCCACGCCTGCCCCCACCTGTTCGTGTTGCCGATCTCCCCACCATACTGCCTGAGACCCTTGTCCAGGAGCCAGTGGTGGTAGTGGCGGTGGCAGTGTGTTTAGGGCCTTGGTACCGAGTGTTGTGCCAGTGTTCCGGTGTGTATCCCTTGCAACGCGACACAAAAGCGGCAAGAGCGGCGAAATGCGGCGCCGTTGCCGCAGGACCGGAGAAACCACAGACCACAGAGAGCGCTGCGGCCGTTGCAGTTGTTCCGGTCCGCGGCGCTCTCCGCGGCGGTCTCCATTTCATCTCCATCGCTGCATGACACTTTTTTTAGTGGAGAAGAGACGAGAAGAAACGGGCTCGGCGGCACAAAGGGACTATTCGGCCAGATGGGGGGGGGGGGATGCAAAAGAGGAGTCGGGAGACGCGGGGGAGACGCGAGGGAGTGGTGGGTGGTGAGTAGGTGGGGAGTAGGTGGGGAGCAAGTGGGTAGGTGAGTGGGTATTTGGGTATGTGAGTGCGTACTTGGGTATGTGGACATCTGGTAGCTGAGCCCGTGACACATTGTCGGCACGTGACGCGCGCCGCCCTCGCGTCGCCCTCGCGTCGCCCGTCCCCGCCTACAGATACTCGTCCAGCTTCGACCCATCGCTCTGCAAGTCCCTCCAGTTGGGCAACTTGTACACTACGTTTTCAGGCGCCAGCTCCGGATACGCCTGGCGGATCTTCTCCACCAGCGCGTGGTAAAACACCTCGTAACCTTTGCCCGTAAAATGAAGTCCGTCACACAACAGCTCTTGCCAGGTGTTGTCGCCGTAGCTCGCAAACGCGCTCATCAAATCCACAAACGGGACTCCCGCCTTTTTGGCCACCTGTTGCACCGCATTCGAGTACCGCTTGTTGTTCTCGTTGCACCGGAAAATCCCGTCCTTCGCCGCGTCAACAGGTCTACTCGCCGCCCAGTGTTCGCGATCGTGAAGCGCGGGACCCACCAAAATCGCTTTTATGCCCTTGGCCTTGAGCATGTGCACCAACTTCTTGGTGTTTTCCGTGAATTCCGGTAGTTCCACTTGTTGGTCGCCAGCAGATGCGGCGTCATTGGAACCAAAAAACACCATGCACATCGCTATGTCGTCTGAACCTTCGTTTTCGAGAATGTGCGGCAGCAGCTTGAGTGCCCAACGCGAGTTGTAGCCGCTGAACCCTCTGTGCACAATGTCCAGCTTCCGCGCGTATGTGTTGCACAGCGCAGCGCCCATGGAGAACTGATCGCCTTTTCCCTCCTCCATGCGCGTGTTGAACACGAACTCTGTGATAGAGTCACCAAAGAGCACAAATTTCTTGTATTTTAATGACATCTGGTGTTTGTAATTGGCTGCTGCGGTTTGACAACTACTTGCGGTTGAGAACTAGTTGATATCCTTGCCGTCCTCGTCCTCTGCAAAATAAAGCTTTGAAAAAGGTCAACTTTATATATCCCTTTTGCAACACCATATCATGCCTATCGCACGTGGTAGGCTGGGCGCTTAGCGCTCAACATTTCTCAATCACTCCACCCTCAAGCGCTCCCCATTACACATCGGAACCTCTTCCCTGGGGTCTCATAAGATTTAACTTCTAGTAAATGATCCACTTTCATTACACAATCCGACAAAAGCTTGAAAATACATACCTAAAAATTCAAAACCTTTGCCAGACTATCCTACATCTCTCCCACACACACACACTCTCTCTCTCTCTCTAGGGCAGGCTATCGTACATCTCTCCCTTTGGCGACTCTTTTTCACCTGGCACGTAAAGGTTACAAAAAATATGCACGAATGATTTATCTCCACCCAATGCAACTAAAACTCAAATCGCCTACTTCTTATACTCCTTTCATTCGCGAGCTTCCCCTCTATTCCTGCTCTAAATATTGCAGCAGCCGCTTAGCACGCTGCACTTGGTGTGCTGATGGAGGCACCTCGGAGATTGGTGCCTTTTTTATCTCAGCTTTTTGACCCTCCTCAGTTTCGTCTACCGATTCTTTCTTCTCCTCGTCTTCCTCTTGATTGGTTTCGGCACGTACTTCGGGAGTGGGCTGGGTCTCCAGTTTGGCCTTCTCGTCTCTGTCAATGCACTCTTGACAAGATTTCATCAGCGCCAATCTCGACCCGCCTTTCAAGTCTTTGAAGTAAGCGTATACCAGTTCGTCATAAACTTCCGGGATTTGAATGTCATCCAAAATGTGTTTCAACAGCCAATTTTGCTTCTGCTTGGAAAATTTCCAAACCTCCACCACTTGCGCCTTGTCACTGTCCTTCTCCTCCGATTCCTCATCTGGACCTCCCAACTGAGCCCGCGCTGGCTTATGTTCCCAAACCTCTTGCGGCAGTTTACCCACTTTCTCGCGATAAAAGTCGATCAAGTATCGCAGCTGATCCTTCAACACTTGTTCTTTGTTCAAAACTCTTTCCTCGCGAGGCGCTTTGTCCTTCTTTTGCTTCTTATTTGGATTTGCAACCTTCTTGCTCTTATTACCGTCTGGTTCTCCTCTAATGATTTTACGTTTCTCCCGTTTACTCAGATTAGCTGTCGCGAGATGCGTTGTGACGTTGAGGGCCGTGGCATCATCGCTTGTATCAGCTTCTCTATTTTTGATTGCAATCCTCTTCCAGGCAGGTATGTGGTCCATGTTGTAAAGTTCCTTGATAGAAAACCAACGCTTAGATGCTAATATTGGCCTTCGTATTTGAGTTAGAGAACAATTTGAATGGAAGCCCTTCCTATATATGAAAGTTTTCAATGCTCATCGATTTTTTCATTCAATTTTCAATGTATAAAAAAGCTTTCCTTCGAAAACAAACTTTAACTTCTGGTTTTCATACTTATAAAAACCACATTCAAAACACCTGCGCGAACCTTGTGGTAACAATCGGGGATTATTCTGGAGCTTTCGAGCGTCCAGTGGGTTTTCAACTTTTGTATCAGCGCATAGAATAATAAATCACCGGTTTGAGTCGGTCCGTAAGCTTGAGCAAAGAACTCAGGCAAACTATGGACTGATATAGAAGTGTGCTAACAAATTTTAAACTTTATCTTCAACTCCTAGCCGCGAAAGTCGAAACATCTTTTCTTTTGAGTTCGGCCTAGATGCGCGGTCCGGAGAGCCTCCAACGCTAGCTTATGTAGACATTTCAAAATCTTGATAAATATTCTTCGGTAAATTAAAAATCTTGGTGATTTTAGGCTCACAACAAACACATGTGAGACTTTCACTTCTGATCTACTTATTCGCTGTCTCACACAATAACAAAGCGACATACAATACGGCTATGCATATAGTGGTGAGCGATTTTGACGAAACCATAACCAAAAAGGATACAATTTCGGCCCTTGCTGAACTTCCTTATCTATACAAGTCATTCCCTATCCCATGGTCTCATTTCATTGATACTTATCTGCAAGGGTTTCAAAAATTTGAGACGCCTGCGCGGGATCTTCCAATTCTCCATGCATGGATTAAGGACCAAAACCAACTTATCACAGATGCAAATTTCGAGCAAATGTTCAGCTCAGAGATCGCCTATCAGAAGGCACTTCGACCCATAGAGCTTAACAGTGTCAATGAACTTGAAAGCAAATCCGCTTTTTCCGGCATTACACAAGGACAGGTAAAGGAGTTCGCACAAAGTAAGACATCGCTACTGCGTGATGATTTTCTCGCAGCTTGGAAAAGTGCCTCCGAACTTCATATCCTATCGGTAAACTGGTCAAGAGATTTTATTGAAGCGGTGCTATACGCCGCCGCTTCCAAATGGTCTTTGATGAGTGTGGTCCCCACGATTCAAACTACTTGCAACAATCTTGCGGCGCAGAATGGCAACCTCACGGGTCAATTCGAAAAGTCCATTGTGACCGGGTACGACAAGGTTGAGAAGCTTGAAACCATAGTGAAAACTTCAGAATCTGACAGCACGATATGGTATATAGGAGACAGTGAGACCGATTTGCTATCCATTCTTTATCCTAGCGTTAATGGTGTCCTTCTGCTGGACCCTAAAGAGAGCCTCAAGAAGTTTCAAAAGATTTCATCACTTTTGGGATTGGATTCTACAGATTTCAAAGAGTACTTGACAAACCCAAAATGTGATACGCTAAAGATATCTTGCAAGAAAACCGGTGCTTTCTATTTTGTCAAGACTTGGAAGGCTTTAACAAAAATGTTACGTTGAAAAATACAGTAGATGATTTAGATAGTGCTTCACAGGTAAAATTCACAAGCCAGATAGTCCTAAATATTGCCGTAAAGAGTTCGGTAGAGACAAGGGCTTTAAATTAATTGGAATTCATATTTTTTTGTTTTCATCAACATTTGTTAGTGGTTAGTGAGATTATCTTAAAACTACCTGCAGCCTCAAAAATATTAAAAACACCGAAAAATCAGTTGCTTGTGCAAAGCAGTTGAACATCCATGATTGAGGTTTGCGAATTTCTGCATTATCTAAGTTAGCGCAACATTCAGGTCAAGCTTTATCTGCTTGATGTCAATAGTTTAGTGCAACTTGCATACCATCGCTACTATCTGTACGCTAGATAATCTCTGGGTTATCAAAATGAACTCTTCTCTATTTAAGGGACTAACATTCCTGATTGTACCCTCACTAGAGCCCCCTAGAGTTCAGCACCTGACCCAACTAATAGAGCTTCACGGTGGAATAGTTGTAGAACAGTGTATTGGCAATACATTTGTTCTGGTCAACGAATCATTTGTAGGGAAACATGGATTGAATAAACTTGAGCTTTTCCACAGTGAGTGGGACTACGGCGATGATCTGTGGTTTGAACTTTTATCGAAAGAGAACTTATCCTGTTATAAGCTAGGGTGGGTCAGTGAGTGCTTGAAGCGTAACGAACTAATTGAAAGTCAAGAGTTCAGAGCGTCGCTTTCGGAGGAGCATGACACTGTCGTTGAAATCGGGAGTGATTCATCTGCAAAAGATGCAGGATCCATTGCACAAGAAAGTTCAGACGAAGAAACCGACATTGGGTCTCAAAATCTGGAGGAGACTTATCAATGCACTGAAGCAGCATCCAGTAGCGCGAAATTGGAAGTAGTTTCTCGGAGCACTGAAGTACCAAGCAATTCCAGAGAACTTGGCGCTGTACTGCCGACACATCCACTTGAACGCTCAGTAGAAAAACACAACGCGGCTCTTATTATAGCACTTGAACAATTATCGAAAAAGTATCGCCTTAAAGGTGATACGTATCGAGCCCGAGGCTATCACCTAGCTCTTCAATCCATCGAGAAACATGGACGCCCTATTACTAGTGAGCAAGAAGCACTTTCACTACCTAATGTTGGACCTAGCATTGCTGGCAAGATTCAAATGATTTTAGACGTTGGCACGTTGCCTGGACTTCACGAGGCAAAAAAGCATGAGGAGCTCTTGGATTATTTCATGCTTTGCCATGGCGTAGGGGCTCACACTGCGCGAAAGTGGGTTGCCAATGGAGTTCAAACGTTCAAAGAAGCTCTAACGGTATTCCCCACCGATTTAAATTGGAATGTTCTGTTTGGATGGAGATATTACGAGGAATGGTCATTACGTATTCCAAGAGAGGAATGCGCTCAACATTTGGCTTTGATTGAACAAGTGCTCCATGACGTGGATAAGAGTGCACATATCGTGCTGACTGGAAGCTACAGACGTGGGGCGGAAACTTGTGGCGACATTGACACTGTACTATATAAACCTGGTTGTGACGATATTAACATTTTGTCTCGTATTCTGGAAAGAACAATCCTAAAATTACGAGAAATGGGCTATATCTTGTGCCCACTAAACCTAAATCACAATTTGGGACAAGCATTCAAATCAACAATCGACGAGATAACGTCGACAGTAGGACTTCGAGGTGATTATATATCGGGTCCAAAAGAGATTCTTAAGAAATTCTACTTCGGCGGCAGACTGCCGGTAAATGTTATCAAGAGCTCAACGGTTCTTGGCCAGGCAGCGATCAAGCTCAAACCCGCTGATCAGTTTATGTCTCAGAATTGCAACAGCAGGAAATGCCGGCGAGTAGACGTTTTGCTGAGTAAATGGAGTCAGCTAGGAGGCGTTATGATATATTTTACTGGTAACGATGATTTCAACAAAAGCCTGAGGATCAGAGCTACTAAAAAAGGGTGGAAACTTACGAACAACGGACTCTACCAGTCCAATATTGACGCACAAGATACACTCATAGAATCTTTTGACGAAAAAAGAATAATGGAGTTGCTCAATGTAGCTTGGGTACCTCCAGATCAACGCAACGTTGAAGGTTACATTTGAAGGTGCATACTAACATAAACGTTGGTAAAACTAAAAAACACTATACTTTGTATTTTATCAATGATTTCCAAAATTGCTTATTGGATTATGTAGTTGTTTAAAAAGAGGTCATACACACATTACGCAGTCCTGCTAAGCTCTTACTTTTTGCTGGACAAGAAGGTAACACCTGGCAAGTCCTTACCTTCCAACAACTCCAAAGAAGCACCACCACCAGTGGAGACGTGAGAGATCTTGTCAGTGACACCGTACTTCTTAGCGACAGTGGCAGTATCACCACCACCGATGATAACAGTGCAACCGCTTTCGGAAGCCTTGACAGCGTCGTCCAACATAGCTTTGGTACCGCCGGCGAACTTTTCGAATTCGAAAACACCTGGAGGACCGTTCCAGACAATAGTCTTGGCCTTGGCGATAGCAGTAGAGAACAACTTTCTAGATTCTGGACCACAGTCCAAACCTTCCCAACCTTCTGGGACACCTTCCTTGTCAGTGACGACCTTGGTGTTAGCGTCTGGGGAGAAGCTGTCACCGCAGACAAAGTCAGTTGGCAAGACGATTTGAACGTTGTTCTTCTTGGCCTTCTCGGCCAACTTTGGAACGATCTCGGCACCAGCCTTGTCGTAGATAGATTGACCGATGTCAGTACCTTCTAGAACCTTCTTGAAGGTGAAAGCCATACCACCACCGATGACAATGACGTCGACCTTGTCCAACAAGTTGTCGATCAATTGAATCTTGTCAGCAACCTTGGCACCACCTAGGATGGCCAAGAAAGGTCTGGCTGGGTTTTCTAGAGCCTTACCGAAGTATTCCAACTCCTTGGACAATAGGAAACCAGCAGCTCTTTGTTCTAGCTCGAAACCAACAATCGAAGAGTGGGCTCTGTGGGCGGTACCGAAGGCATCGTTGACGTAAACGTCGGCCAAAGAGCACAATTCCTTTCTGAACTTGGTGACGGATTCGGCGTCGGCCTTGACCTTCTTACCGTCGACCTTCTTGGAACCTTCTTCTTCGATGTGGAAACGCAAGTTTTCCAACAAGATGACGGAACCTGGGGCGGCGGAAGAGACGGCCTTGGAGGCCTCTGGGCCAACACAGTCGTTGACGAAGGTGACGTCCTTGTTCAAAAGCTTCTGCAATTCAACGGCAACTGGCTTCAAAGAGTACTTCTCGACTCTTTCACCGTTTGGTCTACCCAAGTGGGAGGCCAAGATAACGCACTTTGGCTTCTGTTCTAGAACGTATTTGATGGTTGGCAAAGCGGCCACGATTCTCTGGTTGGAGGTGATCTTGGTACCGTCCAATGGGACGTTGAAGTCAACTCTGATGAAGACACGCTTGTCCTTGACGTTTAGGTCTTTGACGGATAGTTTAGAGGATAGAGACATATTCCAATATTTGAGGGTGCGAATGCTAGTGTTGAATTAAACCTAATACTCGTAGGGAATTAAGAAAAAGATTTTCCATCTATTCCATCGAATCCATACGTTCTTCTCATCCCATTTATATACTTTTCTCATTACTTCACCACCAGCACCTCGTTGGTGGTACGTTCTGGCAATTTTTTGCCATTTCTCATGGTGCCATGGACCCATTCCACTCACGCTCTGCTACAGGTGATTGAGGAGGAGCCCGGATTACGTGCTACCTAAAGAAAACTGATGTTGTTGAGGCCGTCGCCCGGAAAACCGAATGCAAGCAAACCAAAACCCGCCGTAGAGCTACGACTAGCGCGAATTTACCTAACTAAACTGCACACAACATATTCTTGCGTTAGCTATCTTTTCACCTGTCTCCAGACGTCGTTTGATCTAAATTGTGACGTCCTATAGGCGCCGGCAAAAAATGGATTCTTAGCTTTCGAGCCCAATTTACAAATATTTCCCAGCTACGGGTGCTAGCGGAAGCTGATGGATGCCAGCCGAAGCCCGAGGAAGCTCGCTTAAGGAAGCCAGGAAGCTGGATAAATTGGTCCTAAGCCGGGTAAGGGAGGGGGAAGAAGCTTTGGTTGGGAGGTGAGCTAGCCGGCAAGCTAGGCGAGCTGGGCGAGGTAGGCGAGTTTTAGGCGTGCTAGGCGTCTCAGCCGTCTTTTATTGTAGATGGCAAGCTGGCGCCAATGTGACAATGCAAGTTTTTTTCGGGCTTTTGTGTGCAGCTCATGATTCTCGACTTTAAGACTTGAGCTATATCGTACGCCGGGAAAAATGCGAATGCATAGTTAATTCGCGGACTTGTCGAGCCGTTTTGAAAACGTTGCTTTGCTGTATGAGTTCAGTCACAAACATGGCGACATATTAGTACAAAGTGATCTTTGAATGAAGCGAAGACCATTTCAGGCCCTCTTGCAAAGCCTCCGACCACATGCGAGTGATCGATGCCGATTGTGAGCGAACGCGGCTTGATCGGAGGTCCCGTGTCTTCAGTGCCTGGTGAGGATATTTTCGAGATCCACGTGATGCCACTTTGAGACAAAGTGATATGAGATGCGCAGTGGAATGCCATGGCGTCGACGTTGCCAAGCTCTTTAGAGCATTTATTTGACAGTAGCACAAAAGATTAGACCATTAACTAGACCAGCCGGCTGGCATGCTTTCAGAGGGTATTGGTGAATGATACCAGTCGTGCTATCACCATTATACTTACTGGCGCACCCTAAATAAAACACAAACGGAAACATTTTTCTCTCTAATGCCTTCATTGTCCCAAAAACATCAGTTCTAAAATTAGCGATTCCGACAATCATCTCACCATCTTGCAATCTTAACAAAGCTAACATTGGTTTCCCACGAACCTTAGAACCACCACCTCGAGTAAACATTGTCATGAAGTGCGGCTGAAATAAAACGCTACCCGGGAAACTCAAAGTCAACCACTCTACCAGTCAACCATTGAACACCTGATTATGCCGACGAAAGTCTAGACTTATCTCAAAATGGGAACCCAGCATTAATGATTATAAATTAATAGATTGTAACCTCTTCCATAACTGTAACACTTGTTTTCCTCACACCAATTCAAATGCCAAACAACTTGTTGTGACAGACCGCTTTTGCCTAGCGTTGACATTCTATCTCTACTAACTCTTAAGTGCAATTTCTGTCCGTGTTAAAGAAAATGCAAGAAAACATACTAACACTTTGAAGACTATTGACTGCACACCTAGAGTTTGGGCTGGTATGCGACCCGCAAAGTTATTCGTGACAGCTTTCGAGCATTTTCACGAATGACACTACTTCGTAATTGCACGAGTATACTCTCTCACATGACTCTTTTTTCGACTAGGACCATAAACCCTATTCCAAACTCATTTTAATATATACCAAAACGCATACACTAATCAAAATGCTCCTCTCCGATCTCATAAACCAATATTCAACTACTCAAGATCATGATCTGAGATATATGGCTTTGCGAGAGCATGTGTTGAATTTCAATGAACCTTGGGATGAGCAGGAACTTAGAGAACTAGTATCACGTGTGCTCATTCCTGCTCTGGGAGATCAAGACAGGGCTATTGCGGAACTTGTTTCAACTCAAATATTTCCTTTTGTTGCTCGCATGCATCCTCTAGAAGCAGAGTCGTGTCTTGTTTTGCCTTTATGCCGCAAGTTGTGCGATTTAGTCACCCATATGCAAGACGGTCCTCAAGTTTTGCAGTCCTTGAAGAACGTGCTATCCGAGCTGAAAACCAAATTGCAAACTCCCGAACCTCTTCAGATGTATTGTGAGTCCATGTTTTCAATGCCTGAGAGACCTTACATGGCATGGGAAGCATTGGCATCGCTTTTACAAGAATCGTCGACATATCACATGATTCAAGATTTATATCCTAAGCTCTACCGTCTGGCACTGGATGATGGGCGATCTGCTGCCATAAATGCCGTGCGGATTGCTACCGCAAAGACATCACCAAAAATAGTGCGTTCGGTTTTTCAAGAGAACGCTCTATTAACCGACGCTCACCTAAAATTACTTTCTCAAATTACGCGAGTACAGGCAGCATTTCGATTCATTTACCTCGACATTATTGACAAACTCCTGTGCGAAACATTCACCGAGTCAGTTTGTTCAACGTTGGTAAACCTTTCAGTCTGGCTGCTTGAACCAGCCATAGGTACGGATTCAAATATGAAATCTAAAACGAGCGCCAAGTTGTTTGAGAGATGTCGCGAAGTTCTGCTCGGCACTGCCGAATCCAAGGAAATGGTATCCGATGAAGAAGAAGATCCTGATCAAGATGCTTATCTGCGAGAACTCTCCGACGAAGATGCCGAAAAAGAAATCGAGTTTGAAGTAGAAGACGACGTTGCCTCTGCAGACCAACTATGCCTAGAACTACTGCGAAATGTTCTATTGCCGATCCCTGAAGCAATAATAGATACTCTTACTTTGCCATGTTTCGATGGAGAAATGCTTTTCTCACTCATTCGGGATGGAAGAGTCGACAGCAGGTACGCGGCGCGCAAACTTCCTCACGATGTTGACGAGTCAATTATACAATTCATGCCTTTAGAGTATCTGAACATGCTTCCTAAGACCTCCTTGATTGATAGGCGCATAGAATTCCTCTCCGGTGCCTCGCTTTTACACCCTTCTTCGAACCTGAGCGATGTGGCTGAAATACTCAAGGAGGAATGCCATATCAATGAAGCTACTAAGCTTGAACTCATTGAGCTGTTGAAAAAAGGTCTAGATCCCGGAGTCGCAAATCTTTCGGACTTAGAGCTCGCCGTTGATGCTGTCTCTGCTCTTTTGAAACTTCGAGACCTTCAAGATTTACAAGATGTCGTTGCACAACTGCTATGGCCACACTTAAAGCCCAATAAAATGTTTATCAGAACTATAAAGGTTGGAAACATGAAACAGTCTATCGACGACGGAATATCATTCAGACTGAACTGTTACACTCTACTTCAACAATTGGAGCTTTCGTACAAGTTCAAATGCTTGACACTCCAAGAATGCGTCGAACGAGGGTTTAAGGATGAATTTACAATAAAGGAAGCTTCTACAGAGCTGTTCAACTACATTTTTGAGCGCACTTGGCCCGAGATTCGAATTCGTGATGCTTCTTGGTTTCTCGAAAAATTATGCCCCAGAGTCCAAGACAGAGTAGATAAAGCTCTTGCCGCCAAGCCCAACGGTACAGCAACGTCTCAACAGATTGCACACTGGCTTAGAAGCATCGCTTGTCTTGAAAGCACCGGATTGATGTTAAGTGATACATACAGAGTCATAACCAACGACTTACTTGATGAGTACCCTTAATTACGGACAAGGTATAAAATAAGTGAATATTTCCCGATCCACACAAAATCTGCGTACCGTTAATCCTGAAGTAACTTCTAATTTGCGTATATCGTTGCAATGGCTTCCAATAATCAATATATTGCACAGCCACCATATGAAGATTTTTCAGATATCAACAATGCTCCAGAATATCGGAAAACTCCAGAAGTAGTTGATTTAGGTGCCCACGCAGGCCTCGAACAGACAGGTGCTGGACAAACAGAAGAAGCGAATAGAGTCAACCCATTGTTGAGAAGACAGTCCACAAACTACTCAGATGCCTTGGAATTGGAACGATACTTGCCGGACGAAATTGCCAATAATCTGAACATCGTCAAAGGGCTCAACACTAAGCCCATGCATCACCAACTTCACAAGCGTGACTTGCAAGGAAAGGCAGAAAATCTGCATGATGACGAGGCATTTTACAAGTATGACAACGTAGAGATGGGCGACAAACTTGTCCCAGTTTATGCGACACCTCGTAGCCCTGAGTCTTCCAAACCCCGCTCCAAAATATCCGCACCTTCAGAGGCACCTTATGGGATCACTTTCTGTGATAACAAAACGCAAGACCACACTTTAGCCAACGAGCTTCGTCCAAGACCCCCTTTGAAGGAAAGACGTTCCTCACTTTTCGAGGATTACAAAAAAGATATGTACAACCAGCAACATCTGTTTAGTAAATGAACAGCTCTGGATCAATTCCAGAAGGAGTTATGTGGTTGGCAAACTTTCAAGGTGTTAGATTGCAACGATCATAGCTGTATGTTTATAACATTGCATTATGTTTATAACATTGCATTATTATGTCTGTCTTCAACGCTTCCCTGCTTCCCGCGAAAAATAAGCAACTTAAGGTTACTAAGTAATTGTTACAAATATTTCATTAATAAGTTATCTACAGCCCAAACCATGTTATCAATTCATAATTTCGATCACGCTGGCTCGGCGTTCAATGCCGTTGTTACTATTCAATTCGATTCTGGCCTCAAGTCCACTTTCAATTTGATGTATCTGTTAGACAATTGCACATCCCCTGAATGTCAGCACCCCGAAACTAAACAAAGAACCATCGATATATTCAACGGGGATGATATAAAGGTAAATCGCGGGTTTGAAGAGGCCAATAAGGTCGTCCAACATCTTTTCGACAATACAAAGCTTGAGGTTAAGAATAACAAATTAATATGCCACTGGTTCTCAGGCCATCATTCAGAGTTCCCACGAGAGTGGCTGATTTCTCATTCCTATGCCCCTAAACTTTATACTCAACGAAGTCTATTGCCGGAGACAGCTTGTTGGGATACTAACAGGTTCGCGGAAATTGCTGATCATGGCCACAAGTATACGTATGGTCAACTAGCAGAAACCTTGCCTCAATTTCTCAGAGAGGTCTACACGTACGGATTTGGATTTGTGAATGACGTTCCTGTGAGCCTGGAAGCCACGCGCGAAGTCTCGGAAATGATCTCGATCATCAGACCAACCCACTACGATTTAGGGGTCTGGGATTTCACGTCTGATTTGGCGAAAAATGATACCGCGTACACAAGTCTGGCCATTGACATGCATACGGATGGAAATTACTGGAATGAACCACCGGGCCTGCAGTTATTCCACCTTCTCGAACACTCAGGAGGTCAAGGGGGTGAAACCCGCATAGTAGACGTTGCCAAGATCGTTGAGATTTTGGTGAATCTTTCAAAAAGCGATGCAGCCTGGAAAACTGCATATGAAGTGCTTACCACGCAGCCCATCTCGTTCCACCAGGCTGGTGAAAAAGGTGCGTGTTACACTCAAAATAATAAATGCATACTTTCCGTCTCGAAAACAGGTCAATTACAGCAGTGTCGCTGGAACAATAGCGATAGATCCCCTCAATTTCCAACCCCTACTTTATTTCCAGTTGGAAAAATATATGAGGCGCTGTTCCGCTTTAACTGCTTGATCAACGATCCTAAAAACTACGTTCAGTTCCAGTTGACCCCAGGTAAGATTCTGGTGTTCGATAATTGTAGAGTGTTACACGCAAGAAATTCTTTTACGGGATATCGGCGCTTATGTGGCTCATATTTAACTCGCGATGACTTTTTGGCAAGGCTGCGAGGCATAATTAACGATAGAAACGCGATTCTAGATGCCTTGTAATGTTTTCATCACTGTCGTCTTTGAGGCCGTAGGCAATTATTATTTGAAATTTCACTCGGACTGAGTTCTGTAAAAATCAGAGTAGTTTGAGTAAAGAGAGTTGCGTTAAGGAAAGGCTGAGAGTTATGTTAAAACGCCTAACTGTAATACCGCGATCTAGCCTGCGACTGGATTACTCTATTGGTGTACATGCTATTTGGACAACTTATCATTTAGGTGCAAGATGTTATGCAAAGACAACTCTTTCAAGGAAGAAGACGAGAAATGAGCAAATGAAGGTAATCAAATTCGAGATCCCGAATTACACCTCTGTGAGCGACCTGTCAAATATGATCAACGTCAAAATAGAGAAATTAATGCGAGATCTGACCAAAATGGGATTTGCCAACGTCACCCATAACTACATTTTATCCAGAGAGTATGTCGAGCTGATACTTATGTCATACAACTACAAGCTCAACGAACAAGCTCCCGCGGTTACTCCGGAAAATGTTTACGATGAGCTGAAGTCCCCAATAAATCCTGCCAATCTGGCCAGAAGACCGCCCATCGTTACAATCATGGGGCACGTCGATCATGGAAAGACCACGATTTTGGATTACCTGCGTAAATCGTCGGTTGTTTCCCAAGAGCACGGTGGAATAACTCAACATATAGGTGCTTTTCAAGTTGAGACCCCTCTGTCTAAAAGGAAGATCACCTTTCTCGACACTCCAGGGCATGCAGCATTTCTCAAGATGCGGGAAAGGGGTGCGAATGTCACCGATATCGTTATCCTGGTCATTTCAGTCGAAGATTCACTGATGCCGCAGACATTAGAAGCTCTGAAACACGCCAGAAAGTCCGGTAATCAAATGATAGTTGCGATCACGAAGATTGATCGAATTTCTAATAAGAAACAGAGAGAGAAGGCAATTGAAAAAGTGAACGTTGACCTCATGAATAAGGAAGTTCCAATTGAAAGAATGGGAGGTGATGTACAAGTTGTCCCAATAAGTGCCAGAACAGGAGAAAACATGGACCTCTTAGAGGAAAGTATTGTCACCCTCAGTGATGTGATGGACGTAAAAGCTGAGCAAGATACCAAAGCTGTAGTGGAAGGATATGTGATTGAAAGTGAAGTCAAAAAAACTGTTGGAAATGTGAGCACAATCTTAGTGACCAAGGGAATTCTACAAAAAGGGTCAATTATTATATGCGGCAACACGTACTGTAAAGTTAGATGTATGACAAACGACAAAGGTCAGATTATAACAAAAGCTGGTCCTGCTACTCCAGTTGAAGTAACTGGATGGAAAGAACTGCCAGGCGCTGGAGATGAAGTAATACAGGTCAAGAGTGAAACAATTGCGAAAAAATCAGTTGCCAAAAGGTTGGCCACTATTCAAGCCGCTAAGGAAGCGGAAAATGTAGACAAAATAAATGACCAGAGAGCGTCAGAAGCTATACTTAAAGTAACGATGGACAAACAGGCTGACGAAGAACACGAGCAGCTGCAGGATAACAATCAAAAACTGGGTCCCAAGAAGATAAATTTCATCGTCAAAGCAGACGTATCAGGCTCAGTTGAAGCAATTGTCGAGAGCATATCGTCTTTGGGAAATGAGGAGGTCAAGTGCAACATAGTATCAGCCTCTGCTGGAATACCTAACGAGAGCGACATGAAAATGGCTCGTATTACTAACAGCAAAGTGCTATGTTTTAACTTAGGCTCGCTTCCTCACGATGTTATCAATAACAAAGATAAAATTGAAGTCGGACAATTCAATGTGATTTACAAACTGATAGAGGATGTCACAGAAATTCTTACAAATAACCTGAAACCTATGTTCGAGACAAAAGAAGTTGCACAAGTTGAGATAAGGGACATTTTCAATTTTAGTGCTAAAAAGAAGACCATAAAGATTGCTGGGTGCCGAGTTCTCAATGGCCAAGTGATGAGAAATTCGATGATCAAAATTATAAGAGGTCCTGAAGAGGAGGTAATCTTTGATGGCCATATTGCATCTTTGAAGCAAGGAAAAGAAGACATATCCCAGGTAAAAAAGAATAGCGAATGTGGCATAACATTTGAAAACAATTTCGAAGATTACGAGCCTGGCGACAAAATTATTGTCTATGAAAAACTCAAAATAACAAGATATCTTTAAACAGGGCATTAATTGAGGTAGAAGCTCTTGTAAATATTAAATTAAAATTAATTGCTCTCTTTTTAGCATTTATTTGACTCCCACTGAACTCTGACGCACTCTTCAACGTATCCGACCCCGTGTTCGTCGAACTGTGGTGTGTAGTTCTCAAGATCGCTGAAAACCAAAATAGTTCCCCACTCCATACCCCCTGTTTCCAGCACTGTCTCTTCAAGGTCAAGAATCATCTTGGGCATTAGTTGCATTTCGAAGACCCTCTTGGAAGAAGGGTTGTACCCTGGCGACGGTACAATTTTTTCAAGGTCGACATTAGTCGCTGCATAGTACAACGGCCTGCCGCCAAAGTCATATCGGAGAACCTGTAGTGGATTGTAGCCGGCCACTTCCTGAAACTTTTGGAAGACGTCGTCATCCAAGAACTTTGACAACTTTTCAGTCCTGGGGTCCAAAGTTATGGATGAGCTACCAAACGAATCTTCATCTTCGATACTCAAGTCTAGAGCTGTCTTGTCTATTTTCAAATTTTCGGGCAGTTTCAAGTGATCGGGGGTCTTATTTTTGAATGATTCTTCTTCGACGTAAAGAAAGAATCCCGGGTAGCCCTTATCAAAGTTTTTGTCAGGTAATGTATCGTGTTGTTTTCTTGCGGCTTTTGCATTGGTGGTCTCTACGGGGATGGTTTTCTTTTCTTCGACCTTCTCTTCCAGCTTTCCAAACGGATTTTCGGCCGCTTTAGAAAAAGGGTTGGCGTCAGTAGATTCACTGGTGGTAGAAGCAAATGGATTTTCCAAGCTTTGCTTGAGTTCTGCTGTACTGATCTTGAAATCTTTTTCCGCTACCAAAGATTTCATTTTGCCCTCCAAGGTCCTATTCATACTGGATTTTTTAACGCCACGGACACAGCGAATGGAGTTTGACTTTCTGGGGCATTTGGTGCACAAAAAAACGTACATAACTCTTGCGTCATCGGGGTTGATGCTTCTGTGTGTGGACGATATATTGTTGTTTTCAGATACTTTCTTGGCTAGCTCAGGATCGAGAGGAGCGAACGCCTGCAACAAAAGCTTCATATAAGCAGAAGATTGGCATGCTCCACACTTGAGAAGTTCCTCCTTAGGTACGGAATCTGGATGTAACCATACTGGCTCACCTCCTATGAATGTGTCTTCAGTAGAAACGTTGTCGGATTGTTTGATGGCAGCGTCCACGAAACCCAAGTAAACCTCGCTTGGTTGGGTTGCGTAATTTTCCTCTGTATCAGATAAGCTTAAGTCTTCAATGTTTGACATTATGGAGACGTGCTAGCGCTTCTTTTGTGGAACTAGTTGTATTAACTACCCAGCGGTGGAGCTTAATTTCCAACTTTTTTTCAGCCATTTTTCGACACATGAAGCGATGAGCATTTAACTTACAGTTACAATAACAACTTGCGTCCTACTCGAATCCGGGACGATACAGAAAGCTGCACGGATACCAAATTTATGTTTGTGCGCTTGAATAAGAGTCTTTTATTCATCTCTGCCTGCTTGCCTAGTATACATAGCACGCGTAACTCAGACCGCTTAACCTGTCACCTATTTCAATTGGCAGAGTTTTAGATGCCTCATAGCCTCTCAGATAGCTACCCCTACGCTTTTAAGTATTAGCTACTGCGCGCTTGCTACCATTTGAATCATCTTTCAGACGCCGGTAGATAGCTTAGTTTGCACCTGTACCAAAAGGTTCACCAGACGTTCACACAAGAGCGCAAGTGGTTTAGTGGTAAAATCCAACGTTGCCATCGTTGGGCCCCCGGTTCGATTCCGGGCTTGCGCATGGTTAATTTTTTGGTCTGACGTCGACATAAAATTTTCTAAATCATGTCAGGTATTCCGCGAAGACCAAGGCATGATGAACTTGACAAAACTAAATCTAAAGTTTTCCTTGCAATCTTAGTGGCAGGAAACAACCTAATCATTAATTTGTAAACGTACTTGCAATGTCAAACATCGCATTCAAGATCCGCCAAGCAGCTCCAGGAGTTGACCAAGTCGTCGCCGACTACGCCAGTGGTTACTACAATCACTTACTCAATGCTACTTTTGATGCTGTTCAGAGTAAGCAGTTGGCATTGCCACAAGAAATCTCGTTTGTTCAGGACTTGCTTATCAATGCAGGTGGAAGCAAAGAAAAGGTGGAGGACATTTGCAGAGAGATGCTCGAAAGACTCTCGCTACAGTTTCAAGAAAATCAATCCAAATTAGAAGTTACTGGCGATACAAGCAAGAGACTATTGGATGTAAACATTCTTCAGCATCACAACAGCAAAGCCAACATCAATACTTCACTTGCTATGCTTGGTGTAACTGGTGACATCGAACATACAGGCCGTAATATGGACACGAGAGTGGACTTGAGGAAACTAGAAAAGGCGGAAAAGAAGATCGCCAAAAAGGTTGCGAAGCGAAACAACAAGTTCGTCCAGTACGAGGCTTCTCGTCTCATCAATCAGTCCAAAGAAGACGATTACGACTCGTTCTTTTTAACAATCAACCCGTTGGAGTTTGGATCGGCTGCTGGTAAGTCTAAAGACATTAAAATCGATACTTTTGATTTATACGTTGGTGATGGGCAGAGAATTCTATCTGATGCTCAATTGACCCTAAGTTTCGGCCACAGATACGGTTTGGTAGGCCAGAATGGTATCGGTAAATCTACGCTTTTGAAAGCCCTTTCACACAGAGAATTAAATGTCCCTAAACACATTTCTATTCTGCATGTTGAACAAGAGCTCAGGGGTGATGAAACCCTAGCTTTACAAAGTGTCTTAGATGCCGATGTTTGGAGAAAGCAACTTTTGACAGAAGAAAGTAAAATAAACGAAAGACTACAAGAAATCGAAAAATTACGCACTGAGTTCGAGGAAGAGAGTCTAGAAGTTAGAAAGCTCGACAATGAACGGGAAGACCTGGACAGTCATCTAGAACAGATTTCAGAGAAGCTAGTCGATATGGAATCGGACAAAGCGGAAGCCAGAGCTGCATCAATCCTGTATGGTTTGGGATTTAGCACGGAAGCTCAACAGCAGCCCACGAATTCGTTTTCTGGTGGTTGGAGAATGAGACTGTCGTTGGCAAGAGCTTTATTCTGTCAGCCTGACTTGCTGTTATTGGATGAACCTTCTAATATGTTGGATGTTCCCTCGATTGCATATTTATCGGAGTATCTGAAATCATACCCATCCACACTTCTAGTGGTCTCGCACGACCGTGCCTTTTTGAATGAAGTGGCAACTGACATCATTTACCAGCACAACGAAAGACTTGACTATTACAGGGGCCAAGATTTTGATACGTTTTATGCTACGAAAGAGGAGCGTCGTAAGAATGCTCAAAGAGAGTACGAGAACCAGCTTGCTTACAGAAAGCACTTGCAAGAGTTCATCGACAAGTACAGATACAACGCTGCCAAGTCACAGGAAGCTCAGTCAAGAATAAAGAAGCTTGAAAAGCTGCCTGTCTTAGAACCTCCTGAGGAAGAAAAAAGCATCAACTTTCATTTCCCAGAGTGTGAAAAGCTTTCCCCACCAATTATTCAACTCCAAGATGTTTCATTCGGATTCAAACCAGATAACCTATTGCTTAAGGACGTTAATCTGGATGTTCAAATGGATTCACGAGTTGCTTTAGTAGGTGCTAATGGTTGTGGTAAGACCACTTTACTAAAGATTCTCATGGAGCAATTGAGTCCGTTGTCTGGTTACGTCTCCAGAAATCCCCGACTACGTGTTGCTTATTTCACTCAACACCACGTCGACTCCATGGATCTGAACACTTCGGCTGTGGATTGGATGTCGGTCACTTTTCCGGGCAAAACGGATGAAGAATATAGACGCCATCTTGGTGCGTTCGGTATTACTGGTTCATTGGGCTTGCAGAAAATGCAGCTCTTATCCGGTGGTCAAAAATCAAGAGTCGCTTTTGCCGCCCTGTGTCTGAACAATCCTCACATATTGGTACTTGACGAACCTTCCAATCATTTAGATACTGCGGGTCTGGATGCTTTAATGGATGCGCTGAAAAAGTTTACTGGAGGTGTTCTCATGGTTTCTCACGACATTTCTGTCATTGATGGTGTCTGCAATGAAATTTGGGTTTCGGAAGATGGCACTGTGAAACGTTTCGATGGTACTATTCATGATTATAAAAATTACATTATTGCTTCCGCTGGAAAAGCAGGAGTGGTGAAAAAGCAATGATTGTGTTCTTCTGTTATTGGTGAGTGCATGTAAATTTTTCAAGGCATTCTTATATGTATGCTGATAAGCTATTTAAGTAAAAGCTGTGCCTTACGTTTACTCGTTACTGGATCCAGGATAGATTTGACTTGGACATTCACCTTGTCGAAAATGTAGATATCTTTCATTTCCTTCGAGGCTCCTTGCTTGAAACTTAGTTTAAATTCCTCTGCTCTAAATTCTGCAGACTGTTCATCATCGGTCAGGTTCTCTAGTCTTATTAAACCTTCCACCCCGAATTTTGGAACCAGAACAACTATGCCGTTGTGGAAAACTCTTATAACATAACCAATTTCTTCAGATTCATTGTTTCTCATCACTTGGCCAACGTAATATTCAATGCTGGCTCGCCCTGCAAATTGCGCATTTCTATGTTTTTTGTTCATGTTTCTGCACATAAACTCCATTTTACTTTTGTCTCTGTGACTTAAGTCCAGCGGTTCATAACCAATAGCTGCGGCAAGCTGTCTATGCGCCACGACGTCGCAATAACGTCTGATCGGAGACGTGAAATGTGTATATATGCCTACAGCTAACCCATAATGACGGTAATCAGCGTAGGAATATGCCCCGGAATAAAAGTATTGAGCTGCCATCATGCAACGAGTGGAAGCAATACGCACGAGCGTGTTGAAATAAGGATCGTTAGGGTCCACACATCTATCCAGAGAGGCCGCTAAAGCTTTTGAGGACTCGAGAGATATCGACATTCCTTTTCTCAATTGAAGCATTTCGTTTAAGATCTCGAAGTTTGTAGCGGGCGGGGCGGCGTGTCTTCTCAGCATCGCAGTTTGGGGAAAAGCATCATAAATCTTGCGAGCAACTGATTGGTTTGCGAGCAACATGAATTCTTCGACCAAAGAGTTTGTGGCCAAGAGTTTTTTAATCTCAACCTCGCCTGGATCAGAAGTTTCACTGTCCATGTGTACTTTAACCTCAGGAGAAGCCAAGTTTAAGGCACCTGCATCTAAACGCTTTTGTTTCAGCTTTATTGAAAGCTGAAGCAGGGCTCTCATGCCTTCTGTCAACTCATCTTTTTGATTAGGGTCATCAATACGAAGTTGTGCTCGTTCATAAGAGAAAGCCTCTCTCGATTTGATGACTGATTTGGTGAAATCAACGTTCACAATGTTAGCGTCCCCGTCAAGCTCCCATAGGATAGAAAACGCAAATCTGTCAACATAGGGTTTCAGAGAGCACAGATTGGTACCCAATAACATCGGCAGCATATCGATACGCTTATCAACCAAGTAGACAGAGGTACTTCTCGAAGCACCCTCGGCGTCAAGAGGAGTATTAGCTTTAACGAAATGTGTTACGTCGGCAATATGAACACCAATTTCCCAGTTGCCATTAGGAAGTTGTTTGGCATGTAGCGCATCATCGATATCAACACACCCAGGGGGATCGATACTACAGATTAATTTGTCTCTAAGATCACGTCTTTTTGGCAAAAGTGGATCTTTTGAAATCGCTTCGGGGTCCGATAAATCTTCAGGGGCCTTCCACTCGTCGCCATCTGCAGGCAAACACTCCAAGACTTTCTTGGAAAAAGGTCTGTATTCAACATCGTGTTCGAGTAAAAGAGCTTCGGTCTCGGCTTCCACCGATTCAACATCACCAAGCTCTCTGACGAAGTGCCCTAAGGGGTATTTGTATGTGTCAGGCCATGAATCGACTGTAACAACGATACGCTTACCCAGAAGTTCCTTAGCGCGCCTAGTACGGATTCTGATTTTTGGCAGAGACTTGTCCATTAAGACGACGAACGCATTTTGAGTGCCACCATTTTGTAAGTCAATAGAAGTTGGAGCTATTTGTCCCACATACTGTCTCCACGAACGTCTTGTAATTGATACAACCCTGGCTGTTGGTTGGACTTTTCCGGATTTTTGTGTACGAATAGCGTCTTGAACAAGTAAACGACGCTGCTTATCAGAAATTGTTTCTTCTTCAACGGTTTGACCTTCGTCGCCATCAGGGTTATCATTGACGTCAAAGTGCTCGGAATCCAGAACAACAGTTGATGGTGCCTTCCATTCTACCTGTGGTAGTAGCTCTACAACAACTTGATCTCCATTGAAGGCTCTGTTCAAATTCTTTTGCCCCAGTATCAGTACAGGTTTTGAGAAATTTGGTAAAGAGACGGACCCTTCCAGAAAATTATATTCTGAAATCTGTACCGAGCCTTGATACAGTACACCACTTTTTATACCACCCATAATTCTAGCCGTCGAATAGTAATCTGGAAATTTAAATTCTGACCTGGCCTCGAGGTCTTTGTCCTTAGACCTAAAGGTTTCCAAGTTTGGAAGCGCATCTTTAATGTCATCAGAATTGGATAGGAGCTCGACATAGTCGGCCAAGCTTTTGGCATTCAAACCTTCCTTGATTGCATGTTCTAAATTTCCGCGATCATTAGTCACCAGCAGAACGTTTATCGCGTATTCCTTCAAATGCTGAGCATACCAAGAGCAAGTTCGTCTTATAGCTCTGTCGTTTCTGTCATTGATGGACTCGCCTTGCAGTCTCTCGACAAATGTTTCCTCACTAAACTCATTATGGAAAACTATAACTCTCTTGGTGTCATCACTGTCACGGCATAGTGTTCTCAATCTGGTGTAAATAGGGTAAGACTTATTTCTAATTTCATCCAGCGCAATTTGGGGAATAATAACATCCGAAAAACATGCTGGATTTTCCAATAAATCAATTGCTTGAAGTACGATGTTCGCGTCCAAAACCACGTAGTGCCTACTTCCATTGGCAAGTTTAGCTGGATTTTCCGACAGCACAAAGGTGGGTAATTCATTCTTGGCATCAGGTACCACAATATTAATACATTTCTTGCACGCTTTTGACAAACATGGAATATCGCGTCGTAAGTAATGTTCCCTTACAATCTTCGTTGCGCCACCATTGCGAGAACGAACAAAAACCTTCTGTGTGACTGTTAGCCCATCTGCCAGCCTTTTCCTTTGAAGGACCATAACGGTAAACTGGTTTGCTTTGACACTTAGGATAAGTTGTAGGCGTAGCCATTGTAGATAGACTGTTAAGTGATGAGCTCCATTGATTTTTTAGACCTCGAAAATTTTGTGCCTCATGATCCACGAACAGAAAATCTAGCTCTCGACCCTAAGAGTAATTAGTGCTCATCGATCCAGCTAAGTTCCGATTCAGTTTATGTGTGTCTCCCTTTACAGACATGAGAAGGTAAAAGTCTTGGTGAGTGTAGTTTGCCGGCATAAGGACATGGGGTTTTAGAACTGGAAATTTGACTTTAAGAGTGTTGACAACTTCGTCGGCGCTAGCTTGCGTGAATTTGCCCAGGTACAGCACGGGTTCTGGGTCTTCAGTGTTGGATACAAAGTCTTCGGTAGAGCTGACGAGGTTCAACGCATTCACGTTGGCGGGCGAGAATTTGTCCTTTAGCGACTGTATGTATATTTCTTCATCAAAACACGCGGCGGAGGACAGGCAGACGGCTATGCTAATAAGCATTTGCAAATGATAAAACTTCATTTGATCTTAAATCTTGATTCTGTTGCGATTTGTTTAATTTACCTTAAAAATTAGATTTTCCTGACATACTTGTGCATCAATCGGGTGAATGTTTTCGAGCAACTGCATTACCTTATATACACTACATCCCAGGGTTTCGAGTGGGCGGAAACATCGAGAGAATTTTCAATTAAGTTAGGACTGAGAGAAACTCGAGCGAAACTTAGGTGAAACTCGAAAGACTTTGAGTGAAATTTTGGTGAAACAAGCAAACCTAAGTTTCACCCTGCAATGCTGTCATCGTCCTCTCAGATATATCGATCTGACATCGCCATTGCCAACCCAAGAAGATTGTTTATCTAGACGCCGCAGAAATTGTTTTGTGGAGGTTTTTCACTTCAATCGAGAATAGTTTTGTTTCTCGCAATTTGACCATCGGGTTAACAAACAAGCAGTTGTTGTGAGCAAATTTTTTTTACTGAATCAAGCGGTCGAGCGCATCTCAGGATACGCTTTTTTCTTGTAATCATCGTAAGCTACAAATGTTGATTGCGTTTTTGGTGACCCCGATCGAGTCTAAAATTTCGGTGTTAGGTTACACTTCCCAGATGCCCCTCCGGTAAGATTGCATTTTCAAAGCGAGGTGATGGAAGCTGTGATGACTTCCTTCGTCGCTTGTTGGAGAACTCTGTTGCGGTCAGTCACGCAGAAGACAATCTGATATGAAATGTGACTAGGTGGAGCTCGAAACTACAAAAGATGTCGTAATTGGACTGCGACCCTTTAATCTCCAAAGCTACACGAGGCTGCCAAACGATGTGGATCAAAAAGTGTTCTGACCTACACAAAAAGAAAAAGATGCACATAAGCTGTCATTATTAAATAACAAATCATCCGCTTTTCGTCCGTGGCAATGTTCGCGATCACAAAATATGCGAACGGTCGTGTGGATGTGACAGACAGCTTGCCGATGCCCGCAGTCCTATTTCGCTTTTTCTAATTAAGAAAGGAACAAGTAGGAGCACTTCCAGAAAGCATGGCTACTACTAGAGCATAGCTGTTTTACCTATGAATGCTCCAACGCAAGGAACTATTAGAGTATATTAATGGACTTCATAACTTCGAAAGCCAAGATTGCGCACCTCAGATGATGCATCGCCATTGCAATACTCATTAGGCAGACAACCGTTCACAATATTAGAATTCGCGACTGTTATGTCAAAATGAAGCTTTTGATTTGAAATTACGCAAAAAATGAACCTCGCTGGTCCTTTGTGAGACTGCCGCTAGGTCTTTGTAATTTTCTAAGCACATATCTGCAAAGAGTACGCCTTCGAGTCATGGTAAGGAATTGTGAGCAACTTACCCCGCGGCAGGCGGATGATCAATTTAAGCATTCACCGGTAAGTTATCCGAGTTCGAATCTAGATTTTTTATTAATGCGCACCCCGCTTGTTCTTTAGGATTGACCTAATGGATGCGGATGATTATGTTTCGCTCAATCATAGACGACCAGCTTTTTTGCCTAGGTTTTCATTTCGTATATATATTATTAACAGTTGTTTTTTTAATGAGATTGGAAAAAGTAAAGGATATTGAGAACTGCAACACTGTTAGTAATTCAGTTGAGGGTTTACTAGTTGAAGAGATGAAACAAGGTCCTGACAGCTTAAGGTTACTGTATGCTTTAAGAATAATTTATACAGTGTTACAGCAAAGTGCTACCTTTTGATAGTTTCCATTAGTGCTAGTTCTCTCAAAATGGCTGTGGGCAATATGAATCACGAATTCTCGGGAGACCATCATGGACATAGTCATGGAAGGAAACATATGAACGAAAGCAGCTCGCGACAACCTTCCACCAATAATCATGGAAAGAATCTGAAAGAATACAACAACGAAGAAGCTACCAGGGAGAAGTTCAATTTAAAAAACCAAAATTGGGATGTTATATTCTCTTGCTTCGGCATTTCGTTTACCGGATTCTTTTTCGGTTACGACACCGGGACAATTGGAGGAATAACAACCATGCAGGCATGGCTTAAGCGTTTCGGACATTACGATCAGGCAGCAAATGACTACGACATGGCCACGCCTTTGATTGGGATTATCGTGTCTGCATTTCACATTGGATGCATCGTGGGCGGTTTCACTATCGCAAGGCTTGCAGACCACCTGGGCCGACGTGTGCCCATTGCTATTGCTTGTGTCACATACATGATTGGGCTATCAATTCAAATTAGTGCAGGTCAGGGCAAGTGGTATCAATTCATGATAGGACGAATGGTAACTGGTCTTACTGTTGGCGCCAACGCGGTTTTGACCCCCATGTTGCTTTCGGAAATAGCCCCGCCCGGTATTCGAGGAGTGATAGTCAATTTTTATCAAATCAATACGACGCATGGCATTTTAGTTGGATATATTGTGGATTATGCGACTAAGTCCATCTATTCGGATGACAGGATGTGGAGACTACCGCTGATCGGTGGCTTCGTTTTCTCACTCATAATTTTACCTCTTCTAGCAAGGGCGCCAGAGTCTCCCCGGTTTCTCATAAAGACTAGACGCTATGATACCGCTGAGCGATGTCTAGCCAGACTTAGAGGTCTGAACCTGAGCAAGCTCAAAAACTCATCTCCAACCACAGAACAGCTGTCCGTTCTGGAGTCAGTCAATGACGAATTGCATTATTTAAAGGGAGTCATGCGCTATCAGGAACAGAGACAGCGGAACGTAAGATTTTGGCAGCTATTTTCTAAAAGATTTCTGAAAAGGACAATATCGGGCATGTGCATTATGGGGTTCCAACAAATGTCTGGTATAGACTACTTTCTGTATTACGGGACGAAACTGTTCAAATCTGTTGGAATAAACGATTCTTATAAAACCTCGATTGTCTTGGGAGCTATTAATGCCGCGATGACCTACGTGTCTATTTTTGTCGCAGATAACCTTGGCCGCAAGAAGGGTTTGTTCATGGGTTCAGTGGCATGTTTCATCTGCCTTTTCATTTTTTCGACAGTAGGTGTTGTTATGATTGACAACGCAGCCGATCCCAACTATAAACTCTCTGGATACATCATGATTGTTTTCACATGCCTTTTCATTGTAATGTTCTGCTGCTCATGGTCAGCGATTGCTTCTGTTTTGATCAGTGAGATCTTCACTCTGGAGATCAAGTCTCAAGCAATGGCTTTCTCGCAAGCATTCAACTGGGGTGCTAACTTCTTCATTGCCCTTTGTACCCCAATAATAACGGCTCGCATCGGATATGCCTTCGGATACGTCTTTGCAGGTTGCATGTTTGTGGCCAGTATCTTTGTTTATTTTCTAATTCCCGAGACTAAGGGTCTGACTTTGGAAGAGATAGATGACATATATGATAAGGAGAATTGAGTTGAAGGGTTAATCTACGAGCCCTATTGAGGAGAGAAAGTAACTCATCCGCACCTTGTGTGTGCATTCGACCATGTGACGCTCAATCATATATTAAAATATTTAAATTAGCGGCGGTTTGCCACCTTTAACAGCCCAAAGACATATGAACATAACATAACGTTAACTAAACAGAGATGAGCCTTGAATGTGCGTATACCCATACCAATCCTCTGCGAATTTTTTTAATAACTTTATACTAACCAATACTACTCCAGTTAACGTTAAACATGCAGGGAAGGTCTATCCAGTTTCATTAGCTCAAGATGCTAAAGGGACCGATTTACAACTGAAGATCGAGGAATTGACTCAAGTACCTCAGTCACGTCAAAAGTACATGCTGAAAGGTGGGTTAAATGGTGAAACATCTTTGGCTGGCTTGATAAAGGATGGTCAAGTGGTAATGCTGTTGGGCACTCCAGACGCAAAGTTGGTTAGCAAACCGCAGAAGGAACAGAAATTTATTGAAGACTTAGATCCTAATTCGCAGGTGCAACACCTATCTCAAACACCACCCGGTCTAAAAAATCTGGGCAATACTTGTTACATGAACTCTACAATTCAAGCTCTCTACCAAATAGTCCCCCTTCGTGACGATGTTTTGAAATTCCAAGTCGCCAGTGGTCAATCTGCGGAAGAACAGAAACATCACCAACTTGTGGCTGAGCTCAAACGCTGCTTTCAGGCTCTGAAAGAGAAGAGGGAAGAATCCATAACTCCTATGCTTTTACTAGCAATGCTAAGAAAATGTTATCCCCAGTTTGCTGAGCGTGATGATCAATCAGGCTTTTTCAAGCAGCAAGACGCCGAAGAACTCTTCACACAAATATTCAACTCTTTACAAGTAGTCTTTGGAGAAGGATTTACTCAAAAGTTTCAGATAAACTTTCAAACAACTATTAAAGACACCGCGAATGAACAGGACGTGACTGTTAAAAACGATGATCACGACATGAAACTACAATGCCATATCAATGGAACTACAAATTTCATGAAAGCGGGGTTGGCGGAATCGCTAAGTGAGAAGATCGAAAAAAGATCCTCCATCACTGGCGTAAACTCAGTTTTTAATGTAGAGAAAAGGATCACAAAACTACCTGAATATTTAACGGTGCAATACGTGAGGTTTTTCTGGAAGAAATCTACCAACAAGAAATCTAAAATCTTGCGCAAAGTTGTTTTTCCGTTTCAATTGGATGTCAGTGACTTGTTAACGAATGAATATGCCCAAGCAAAGATTGGAGTAAGAGAAGCTCTTCGTGAAGTAGAAAAAGAAAAGATTGAGGACGACCGTGAAAGTAAAAGACGCAAAATAAATGGAGATAGTAATGAGAACGAAACTTCGGAGACTATGACACCAAGAGAACTTGCTGAAACACAAGAAGCACTTTCGGACAGCAAGAGAGAAAGTTGGGTTCAAGAATTCCAAAAAAAATTCCCTGCAAACCTGGCCCCTGGAGAGAACCCCTCATGTTTATATAATTTGATAGGTGTGATCACTCATCAAGGCGCCAATTCAGAAAGCGGACACTACCAGTCGTTTATTCGTGATGAGGTTGATGAAAATAAGTGGTACCGCTTCAACGATGATAAGGTGTCAGTGATTCCTAAGGAGAAAATTGAATCCTTAGCGGGTGGCGGGGAAAGCGATAGTGCTTTGATTTTGATTTACAAGGGATTCGGGTTGTAATCGTTTAGTGCACTACGTAGTCGCCACTTTGTTCGGCACGTTTCATTCGCTCAGGACAACTTCTTATTTTTATCCGTTAATTTGTTTTGCTTGATAGATGTAGTTCGAATATACAGAATTTTATGAATTGCATTGGTCATATCATAACCAGCTTTAATGTTCGAAAGCCAGTTTTTTGAAATTTTGCACCTCTTCGAAGCAATTGAGAGGTTTGCCTTCATTGTCCCTCAGACAATTAGCAAGTGCTTCCTTGCATTGCTTCAAGCTATCGTTTGAGAGTTTGATAGCCTGGTTTTCTTTGATCTTGGCCAAACGTTCGTTTAAGTGGGTTACTTTTTCACTTAGCGCTTTCGATGACAATTCATTGTTCGAATGACCATCTTCGGACAGCAAAGAGGTGTTGAGTTTGTCTTCGAATTTTTTCAGCGTCTCTTCTTCGAGTTGTGACAGTTTTTCCGAAACCCTTTGTTCCAAATATCTATTAGCCAACTGTTGTCTGGTGTAATCACCTTCCGTGGATTGTTCTAATTGTGCCAGAAGAGTGCTTGTGAAATCAACCTGCGTCTTGGGAGTAAAAACTTTAGTTTCCGCTGGCTTGGATGGTTGTGATCCCATCGCGCGAATGCTATACCTATCGATATTTATATCGTGAGCTTAGGTTCTGCAAATCTGAATTATTTGGTTTGGGCTACTGATTTTTTAGCCAATGAACAAGTTCGCACTAAAGACGAAATGTTCTCGTCCATGATGCTTTGAACTCAGTTAAAGAAAGTCCGAATGAGTTGGTGAGAATGAACCGCGTCAAGAAAGAGTATCCATCAATTCTAGATGGCTTCTTTCTTTGTATACACCAAGCTTGCAGCTTTTGCGAAAATCTGTGAGCAATATAAATTTTAACACTAAGCCAATAAAAGAATCGGTATGTTCTGCCATAAAAGATCAAAACTTCAAGTCTCTTACTGTCCCTGTGATACGTCGGAAGTCAGTCGACTTCTATATGACTACAAAGCTTTAGGTTTCAGAGAGATGAGCTCAAAAAAGTTTTAAATCCTAACATATTCCGCTGCAAGTTGGGACTTTCTGCGTCCCAAGGACCGCTTCTGTCTCTCTAAAGGGCAGCATTATTTTTTAGCTGCCACAACGCGCTAGTGCTCAGGCTCAATGACTTCACGTTATGTTGTGCTTTAAAAGCCTGCTCGTTCAAATGTTATCAGACATCCCAAATCTGTTCAGCACTCAACAACTGCAAAATAAGGAGGCAAGGATAGCATTACTGCCCACTGGCGACCTAACTAACGGACTCTTAAGCCCTGGTGGTGACATTACGCTCTATTTTAAGTGGGCGCTCAAACTCGTATAAAACTATCTCAAGATGCAGGGACGAAACTCTGAACTTCTCGAGAATAGATATGATACGGTACGGCTTTATCGAGATATAAACAGCAGTCAGAGAATTATTATATAAAAGTTTCACTAAGTTGCTGAACGAACATCATACCGCGTTATCTGTAATCTCTTTGTGGCCACACACTTCAAGAGAACTCGAGGTCGTGATTTGTATAGGCTCGAGAAAGCTTGATTCTGCTGAAACCAGTTACAGAATTGGGAATTTCGACTTCTATTTTGAGAAGAAACTTGGAAAGAGTGTAAAGAGAGGAGCAATATGGCTAGGATCTTCAACTTTGGGATCTCCAGTGTGATCTCCGCGATCCAATTTGCCGCGATGGCATTTCTAATCATCTGCTGCGTGACAGCTCCTGTTTTTAAGCAGATTGGCATCGCGAAAACGAACGACGTTGTCTTTGGTACATTTGGCTACTGCGAAAGTGACAAGTGCTCCTCTGCGGCGGCCAACTATCATCCAGAATTGCTGGCTTCTTCTGAAACGTGGAAAGTCAGTTCCTCGGCGCGCGGAAAGTTAGGGAACATTCTTATTGTCATGCCTGTTGCCGCAGGTCTCACCTTCTTTGCAATCATGAGCAATTTTGTATCGCAGTTTGGCAGCATAAGTGCGTCAGGTGCGAGTTTTGTCGTCAATCTACTATTATCCATCCTAGCGTTCGCCGCTTCCGCTCTGATGTGTGTGGTGACCTTTCTGCTGTTTTACCCCAAAGTGACCTGGTGTTCTTGGCTCTTGATCCCAGCAGCTGTTATCAATCTCGCATGTGTCCCACTGACTTACGTTGCTCACTCTTTAGCACCTAGAATGGACACAGATGAAGAGGGGTCGGAGATGAATAAAGGCTTCGGGCACGACGTAACTCGATTGGATCAAGATCCTGTCTACGATCGGTATAGTATGAATAATTACAATGAGAATCCCGAGGGAACTAAGGCCGATAAACCAGCTTATCCTGAATTCTACAAGGGTCCACAGATCGTCACTTCCACAACTTTGAACTCTGCCACGACAGATTCGAGGTCTGACCGTGAAGCTTTCATTCGTGACAAACAAAGTTTGAGCGCCGATCCTCAAGACCATCAATCGCAACTTGTGGCGCCCGGTAAGGAGGCGCCTGTCAACGACTTCTCTTTCGAAAATACATCAAATGAGACGAAACCATATTCAGCCATTGCCGGTCCTTATGGTGAACCGAGATCTGGGACAGAAGATTCCATTCCGAAAGCATTTCCAGCTTTACCTCATATGAATCGTGGGCCTTCGAATACGTCCTCGTTCTATTCAGAGAGAGCAAATGGCATTTCGCGTCAAGGTACCTTGAACACAACTGACTTAAGACCTTCTTCCGCACTAAATTTACAAACAGTAAAAGATGAGAAGCCTAATCAGGAAGAGTTACAGAAGATCATCAATGGCGCGATCCGCGAGGAAGAAGACGAAGAGTTTATCAAGCAGCAGACGATTGACCCAAGCGAGCGCCCACATCTAGATGACGACGATGGAATCAAAGACGATGACTCTGATTTTACCTCTGTTTCCCAGCGTGGTATTAATCCAAATTATATGCAGTTTACGACAGGGCCAAGAATTGGTCATCAACCACATCAAGCTAAGACGATGTCAAACATGAGAGGTCCCGTGAATCAGCCAGGTGTTCCTCTTGCTGGCGCCCCTAGTCACACATATCACATGGTTCCTTCGCATGCCCAGAGGGCCTACGTTCCTCAGCCAAAGGAAGTTGCAACGCGTCAAAATTATCAACCTTATTCAGCACATCAACCTCTTCAAGGCACACAGGGGATCGCACCGTCAAAATTTCCATCCTTACTCGATACAACAACCGCCTCAAGGCCCCATTCCTGCTGCGTTTCCCAGGGCGCAACATCCAGCGCCAAATTTGCGCGGTAATTCTGACGCTGTCCTGAACACAAATCCTGATTTCATGGTCTCTGATGTAGCTACTGCAAGAAGGCCCGGGGTTGGAAGGCCCCAACAAGGAATGTATGCCCCGCCTCCGCAAAGTGCGACTTCACCAATTTACCGGCCGGCCTACAAGAAACGCTTACCAAAGCAAAATATGCCGGCTGCTTCGATGGCCAGGGATGGCCCATATAGCGGTATGATGTAAAAGAAACTAGCCGGATTAGTTAACTGTATATTAAGGACTTTAAAATTCAAACTTGAAATGCATTTCACGTCACTAAAACAATTTATTCTTCACTTATGTTGTCGGAAAAATTGTCACCTTTCGTCTCGGCTGGTGGGCTCACTGCCGGTGGCGACTGTTTGCTGCCACTTTCGGCCTTGTCTACGTGGGTATGTGGCTTCAGCATCACAAAAAAAACAATGTCATGACCACCAGGGATAACAATAGGATAACTTTACATTTTTGAGTTCTCTTTTGGTAGACTGTAGCACGCTCTAGTTCGCGTTGTGCGCCTTTTAACTCGGTCACCGTATTCTCCAGATTATAGTCGATGCGGTCGATTATAGTACCTTGATCGATAACCAAACTTTGCATCTCACGGAAAATGGTGCTAACCTCCAAAACTCCACGAGCAAGCAGCGTTATTTCTTCTTCTCGCTGCTGCAAAAACTGTAGATTTTTGCCTTGTGTTTGTCTGTGAGTCTGTCGTTGTAGCGTTTGGCGTGAATACGAGTCTATTTCCTGCTGTGTGGAGCCACTTGCTTCCTCTTCTTCTTCTAATACAAGTAAGGCATCTGCATCGGTAGAGGAGCGCGGTAACGGCTTGAAATCATCTTTGTTCAGAAATTTCAAATAGTTGTTTTGGAGCATCCTGAACTTGTTAGAACTTATCTGGATCTTATTAGCATAATTCTTTTCCAAATTGTCCAAAACTAATAAGTCGCCTCGGCTAAGAGGATAGCCCTCAAAAACTTGTGCAGAGCTTATTGACTTCAAGGACTTTATGATTGTGTAGCAGCGTTGGAAGAATTGAATTATTCTAAAACTCAAATCCTCAATTTCCTGTTCGTCAGCTGCCTTGTCTTCAAAGCCAGGCAAAGAATTTTTGCGGTACAACTTGGTCAATTGTAGCATCTGTGACTCGGCCTGTTTGAGATTGCCGTCGATTTCCTGTGTAAGATCCGTGAATCTAGAAGACGGGCCTTGAGAAGTCTCACCCATGTTGATCATTGGAAAAGATTCGTCAAGTCCACCTTCTTCAATGTCAAAAAAACTCTCATGTGCATTGCTCTTCTGATGTCGGTGGTTGTGCGGGAATGTTCTCCGATATGATAGAAAGAGGTTCGTTCTGTCTCTAAACATTAGTCAATTCTCGAACTTTTGGCTCTTCCATTCTTTAAAGGGACATAAAAACCAGAGGCCATTACAAAATTAATTAATAATTTAGGCGTAAGCTCGAATCTAAAAACGATAGACAAAAAAAGTTGAAGTTGAGGTAAGCAAGCGATTCAGAACGCGGTAATAGCGGTCAATGATGAAACAACACACCCTTCCTCTATCCAGCTGACTACTCATGGATCTTTCAAGGTTGTTAAGATTACTTACTATTACCAGGGGAACATCGGAATTACTTCATTTTTGAGATAGGTCTTCGAAACGGAGAAGACAATTAGTTTGTCAAGAATAAGCTTGATTGCTATCAAACCGTACCCGCTGCTGTTCTTAGCACTATAGAAAGCGACTTCAGTCACGCATGTTCGCTATCGCACAAAGCTCTTCTTTTCATTATGGGTCACCTCCACCCAAGCTAGCATTATGTTGTTGGTAACCCAATAGCCTCGCACAATTTGTTCCATCGTCTCCTCTGGTGTTCCTTGTTCTATCGTTTTGGACCGAATAACGGAACTACAAGCCATTTCTAACATGACTTATTCAGAGTCATTGGAGTTGTTACCAGCTTCTATGCGACTCTTCAGCTAGCAACATGTGTTAATTGCCATTGATGATGAAGGAGTTTACTTAGACTCTTTTTTCTTTTTTTTGAAGCAAAGAGATCTTGGTCAAAGAAAGCTGCTGCTCTTGTAGTACAAATACCTAATGCTGATCAATACCTAAACCATGTCCGAAAGACTAAGTTTCGCCAAGGACTAGAAAAAAAACTGGAAGACAAATCATTTTACCATCTTTCTCCGCTTTCATCAGGGAAGTAGCTTAATTAGTAATACCGTTTGCAAGCGAACCATTGCTTTATGTAATGCTCTTCGTACAATTTAGCATGCTAAACACTGTTCTCAGCTAGTCCTTCTTGTAAACTCACAGGTCCAGAATGGAGCCTTCAGTTGGCTTTGACTTTCCTATTCATTCCACTTAGATCAGTTGTCGGGCGTGAGCTTATACAAAAAGGAGATCGGCACACCGGCACACACCCTAAACTAAACGCAAAAATCTGGTTGTTAATAAATAACTTTCATTACTACATTAATATCTCTATCATCAGTTTTCGTAAAATAAATAATCAGTCGCTCTACTCAAATATCAATAAACGGTTGTTTTATTAATCGATTAGTATTCAAAAGCTTGTCTGATAATGGCAATCACCTCCTCTTTCTTGAACTGGATTGGGTTAGTCAAGTGACAAGCATCTTGCATGGCGTTTTCGGCAAGAATCTCGAAATCTTCTTCTTTAACGCCAAGTTCCTTTAAGTTTCTTGGAATGTTTAGATCTCTGTTGAAACGGTGTAGACGGGCAATAGTAGCATCGGCAGAGGCCTCCTTTTCACCGAGGTGAGTTGCAATTTCAGCTAGCCTCTTGTTGGTCTTCTCACACTTCATGTTGAAGGATTGAACATGTGGCAAAAGGACAGCGTTACAGACACCATGAGGCAAATGGTAAAAGCCACCAAGTTGGTGAGCAATAGCATGGACGTAACCCAAAGAGGCGTTGTTGAAAGCCATACCAGCAAGGTATTCAGCGTAACACATGTCAGTTCTAGCCTTCTTGTCAGAACCGTTCTTATAGGCCTCAGCCAAACTCTCTTCAATCAAGTCAATACCTTTCAAAGCACAACAGTCAGTGATTGGACTGGCAGCAGTAGACACATAAGCTTCGATACAGTGAGTCAAAGCATCAAGGCCAGTGGCGGCAGTAAGAGCTGGGGGAAGACCATACATAGCAGAAGGGTCATTAACGGCGACGCTTGGGGTGACATTGTTGTCAATGATGGCCATCTTAACCTTCTTTTCCTCGTTGGAAATAATGGTGAATCTAGTCATTTCGGAGGCAGTACCAGCTGTGGTGTTGACAGCCACCAAAGGCAAGGCAGGAAGTTTAGATTGGTTAACACCTTCGTAGTCACCAATTTCGCCACCGTTAGTGGCCAAAAGGGCAATAGCCTTGGCATTATCGTGAGCAGAACCACCACCGATGGACACAACAATATCACTGTTGTTTTCCTTTAGGACTTTGAGACCAGCAGTAACATTACCAATGTTTGGGTTTGGTTGAGTTTGATCGTAGATAGCCACGGAAAGACCACGATCTTCCAAAAGCTTGGTGACCTTACCAGAAAGACCGATTCTGGCAATACCAGGGTCGGTGATGATGATGGCCTTTTTGAAGTCTTTGGTTTGAATGTAGTTGGCGGCTTCGATCAAAGCTCCCTCACCGAAGTAAGAGACGGGTGGAATGAAAAAACCAGTGACAGAGGACATATTCTTTTTGATGATTGGGGTAAAAACTTTGGTGAGTCTAGTTGTCGATGTTCTGAGACAACGAGGAAACATTGATTGTAGCATTTTTGGGGGGGAAGCACCAGTATCTTAAATAGTAGCTTGAGTGCGCAGGGCTTCTTTGATGCCGGAGAACGCTATAACCTCTACAGTTCGTAACTTCAAATTTTTAAAGCTATCGGACCATCATCCTTGCGCTGGTCTCATGTTGAAATACTCAAATGCATTAGAACTACTGTGGTAAGTATCAAGCTTCCCATTCCCTCTCCTGATCTTGCTTGTGATCAGGTCACTTTGTTTCCCAGGCCAGCCTCGGACTGCACCGCGTACTTTTTTTTTTTTGGCCTGCGGGGTCCAAATAGTACGTTAGGAATTTAGCCAAGAGGGTAGTTGGTTAATACAGTGGAAAAAATTTTCAGTCGCAAATGACCGTTGAGGTCAGAACCGAGCAGCACAACCTCGAGGAAATCATATCACGATCTTAGTGATATCAGGTACAAGAAGCGCTTTGCGGGGTTAGAATGTTGTGACGGCCGCCAATAAATTTTTGTCCAAAAAGAAAAGGTGGGAGTCCACCAGCAGTTGGCAGGCAAAAAACTTAACGACGCGCAGCTCTGTCTTCAAGTTTCTCTTTTAGGGCCGACTGTTGACACGCAGTGGCCAAAATGTGCCTGAAAGACAACATTAATAGAAGTCTTTGAGAAGCTAGTCTATAGATGCCGTTTGAGACTTGAATCACGGGATCTCAACGTCTCGCTTTAGTAGTGGACTAATAGGTCTCCCTTATCCCGTCCGTCCTGAGCATTACAAACCCAAATGTTTGGCCTCGTACATTATATGCTCCCCAATAGGCCAAAATGTTTCATCGACATATGTCAACAAGTAGGTATCTCTGTCAACTACAATGGGCGTACATATTTCTAACCCTCTTTGAAGGAAAACCCAACTTGATTTACGCCTAATAGGAACGATTTATGAATACACTGTGAGCGGATGGCTATTCCAATACGCTAGTAGAATGATGAAATAACCATTAATTAAAACATTCGAACTCGTGCATAGATCTGTAGAAAACTCCGCTTGTAGCGGGACGAGGCAATACTGCCCAATCTTACCTTACTAAATAACTGTGGAACACTAACAATGTTAGTCGTATCAAGGTCACTTGTGGTTTCATGCTATAGGATATGCTTGTGATTGTCGTAAAGCGTCGTAAAGCAGTTGTATTTAGTACTATAGCCACATCGCCTGCGGCAAAGACAGGTTTTCTACTTATCACATCCTAACAAGTAAGACAAAAGCATTGTTCAATGTCTTTCCATTCTTCTATAGAAACTCCACGGAGGTGGAAATCCTCGGTAAGTATCTTGGATATCTGAAGAGTCCTAAAAAACACCCCATCTTGTGTCTACCAAATACAAGTTTGTTGACACAAACAATTTTAAGCTGCAAAGAGTTATGATATACTTGTATGCTAGATAAGGTCTTGGATCTCCGACACGTGCTTGATACTTGAGGTTTTATTTGAGATAAAACGTCTTGGCACTGATTAATGTCTATTCAATGGGGAAAAAAACATTCTGAACACAGAAATGAGTTCGATATCCCTGTCTTTGGTTCGGGGCCAGACATCTCAGCTACCCACAAACCAATTAAGAAACCGGTACACAAGGATGCTTCACATGTATACCACTATGCATAAAAAAAAAACCTTTGTTATAATTACTTTCACCGTTTTCGCCTGTCGGGATGCATTACAGCATCAATTCTCATTTATTTACATATTCAGCGGATTAGTTTTTGTAGAATATTATGGGGTTGTTGCCCGCCATGTTGAGGAGTAAAAAAGTATCGTGCACTTTCAATGGCAAGGTCTTTATATGGCACAGGAGGTTATTGAGATAAAGCTCAGCCCTCACTTGGAGAATTGGGATATATTTGCGCTTCATAGCAATGCTTATTTGTACGAAAATGAGCCTATGACCCTCTGCCTTCTGTTTTTCGATGGAGAGGAATGTTTTGAGTATTTCAAAATTTGTCGTTATCCTTCATACGTCTTCGAAGATTTAGATGACGAAAACAGTCGTTGTTTGCAAGATGCTTTTCGTATATACGGAGCTAGTCTCGCCGAATACTGGAACTCGGACGAGAATATCGCGGCCCTGGCTAATGACGAATATGAACAAAAACTGCCCAAAGAGCTATGCCGAAGTCGCTTTACGCGAAATGTAAATACTTTGATGAGGTCTCTTTCTCTTGGTTCATGATTTACCCATTTCTAATATGCATCCCGTTGGGAAAGGCTGCCTTTCTAGGACTTTTGGTTGGGGCAGCTCTTTCGTTGCCAATATCATTTGGTGCTATGAAGGATACCAAAAGAATCACACCCAATAGGGTACTGCATGTGTTAGCATTTTTTAAGATGAAAGCACGTCAAAAACCAGAATACGATCTTGATAAATGGGATGATATTGCAAGACCTATGAATGATTATTTGTCCAGAAAGAAACTTTGGCAAAAACATGGGTATTTCTACGACGGAAAGGATTGGCGTGAAAGGTTCAAGTCAACATCGTCAAGCATTTTTTCAGTTCAGAACTTGCAGAACAGATTTTGGCTTCCTGAACTAATTCCGTTTGCGAGAATAAGTAATGCAGGTTTCGAACGTGATGGCGAAAGCCCAGTTTAGCGCAATATCATACTTTCTTCTCAAGCCAAAAAAATAATTCGCCTCGAACCTTTATTTTTATCATGCTCTGTGATGCTCAACAGCGTTACTCAACCTTACAAATACCCACGAGTGCCAACGCAAGACGTAGTCAAACATTACGTAAATATACCATGTACTAATAAATGTAGGAGACGATGTGTTCTCATTAGCATTCACATAAAGACCATTAAATCGACATTATTGGCAAATTCAGTGAATCAAACTCACCGGCTCTTGCTAAATTTCATAATAGATTGAAGATGGTGTATTACATGTGACTTTGCAACAAAATAATGATAACTCGAGTTGTGGTCTCACAGTCATTACGAATTGATCTTAATAAAATCAACAACCTTACATTGCGTACCTTAAGTTGGCAAAAACCTCAGCATGCGGGACGTAAAAAGAGAAGTAAATTATAAATTTCACCACACTGCATTTAAGATGCACCTAGATTGAACATACATGCATTAAACCAGCAATCTCTAAGACTTTTACCTGAAGATAAAGACCAGCAAAATAGTGAGTATTGAAACAAGAGCAGAATCTAATTAGTATATCAGTACTTCAGTGTCATTTAGCATTGATACCGCCCCGAATTCTCAATTGGTGGCATCCTCAGGTAATGATGTACATGTCGAAGTTTGTCCTCCAGCTCTGTAGAAACACATGGTTATACGTCCCAATCGATATTCAAGCTTCTCTCTATTGGCATATAGTGATTGTCGCAACAAACATTCACTTTGGTCATCATTCAGATATTTTCGTTACCAGTTTTTAGTTTTTAGTGAGATTGGTATATTTCGACCGGGTTCATGCCTTTAACATTGCTTATAATGTCGTCAACAACCAAAAAAGAGTACGTCGCACTGTTAAATAAGCGCTGACTAGATCTGTCTCTTCGTGACATTCTGGAGGAGAATAGGACTGCGATACACTAAAAAATCATCAGTATTGATACTTCTATTTGGTAAGCTGGATATGCCCATCTTATTCACCAGACAAGCACTCTAATTATGGTTTTGACAGAATATAGCCGGCGTACTACCGTTACATCGCGACACGGGTGGAATCAATGCAGTATAGGATTTTAGCAAAATTTGTAACACCTTTAAGATCACTTCGTACCAGTATGACGCGGTATAATTTCCGATAATTTTGACTGACCATCTCGAAAGTATTAAATAACCGATATGGCAAAGCTGCGTAGTTAGTCGTATGGGAAACGCGTGTTACACTTGCATACTCTGTTCAGCCTTTGTTATTCTGTAGCTACTGAAAATGGCCTTTTTCGAGCAGATTCGAGTCTTCAAGGTTGCTAGTAAAACGATCAATGGATATAGTTAAGTAGCTCTAAAAGTAAGCGACTTTGGGAAAATAATAAAAAACAGAATACGATTTTTGGGAAAACAAAAGTTTAGAATCGACGCAGAGGTGAGGAAACAGAGAGGATAGAGTTTGTTTCTTCTCAACATATGCGAAGACTAAGCACGGAAGGAATTTGTTATGTTGAAAAACAAGACGGAAGGGTCTATCAATTAAAAACAGAAAAAAGAATAAGGAAGTGAGTCCTAGGATGAAACTATTAATAGTTTTTATTCTGAAAAAAACCTTTACTTGATGAGAATTTTTATTAAGGCATATCTGTGTCAATAGTAGCTAGCCTCCTGGCCATTAAAGTTGGTTCATATCGTTCATGGTGTGTTCAATTGATCCGTGTTAGGATCTGAGATACTATCCGTGGTCTTTGTAGATGTGAAGGTTCAACATCTCAACATATAGAATAATCATCGGTATTTATACAATTGATTGCATGAGGGGTATTGGTGATAAGAGGTTTTCAAGACTGATGTTTAATGTATAAGCCGAACGCAATGATACTGAGACAGTGCAACTACACGCACTAATTAGCGACAATCTCTAGACCTTAGCTCAATGCACTATCTGGATGGCACGCTGGATTAAATTTCTAGCTCTGTCAGGTTGGACAACTCTGTTATGGTTTTCATTATGCGATTGACGCTGTCGATCAATAGCGCAGCGATCCTGACAGTTTTTACCCAGCGGGGGTGGTGGACATTGTAATCATTTCAAGGCTTTTGGAAATTTGGATGACGGAAAAAGTTTTTTGGAGAAACGTGAGGGTAAAAGCTGACACTAAAGGGGGAAAGTAGAGAGGAAAAAAAGTTAAAGTTTTGATAGAAAAGATAATGGGTAAGCGCAGAAGAAATAAGTAATATAGAAAAACAGACCTCGAGGTACTTCATGCCAAAGCAGTTGAAAACAAATTGAAGTAAGGATAATGCTAAGAATTTTTTATTTTCAAAATAAACTCGAATTGAAAGAAATTGCAATAGATGAAGAACTAGAATTATTTGAAGAACAAATAGAATTTATTAAAATAAAAGATTTCGATCAATTGGAAAAATATGTCTACATGGGATATGCTAAAAATCATACAATAGAATTTTTAGTTTATAACAAAACAAACTTTTTTTACATTCAATTGGATTGCCCATTGTGTTGACATATCCTTTAAAAATGGACAATGAATCTATATTTACAATTATTTTAGGGCTAATAAACGGAAGAATGTACGGTGTAGATACTATTCTTAATCACAATAAAAAAAACATTGTGAAAATCAAAATAAAATTCTAGTATTCTTAATTAACTCGGAGATAAATATCAAAATTGAAAAGGTTAAATTTGTGGCAATTAAGGACTCAAATTACATATACAAACAAATATTCAAATACGATTTTATAAGATATTATAACCCACATTATTTACTAATTGAAGATAATTCGATAAAAATTAAAAATATCTTTGAAACCTACGAGTCTTTTAACATACCAAGGGAAACAGAGTTAAAAATTTATTATTTGAACTATAATATGTAAAATTGATTTTAATGCCGCTTAAATGTTTTACTGTTTGCAATGTTGCAGTATCAAACCACGATACTTTGTTAGATCTAAGTTTCCGTGAAGAAACTTCTAGTTACATCAAAACAGACGATAAAATTATTTGCTTCTTTTTGGTACTTCTAAAAATTGGTTCATACAGTTACATAAATAAATCAAAAAAATAACGATTTATTCACACCTTTTTTACGACGTTTTAAATCGAAATCATTCCTCTTTCTCAAGTTTATTAGCTTTATGATATTTTCTACGCAGGATTTCTACCTAAATATTTTTTTGATGTTTAAGCCTTTTTTACCCCTCCTAAAATTTATTTCATCATCAAACCGATGATTCAACAAAAATAATGATACTTATTTAAATTGAGCTTTTAAAAACTTTGTTATCGCAATAGTAATTGAACTTAGTACGAGAGGAACAGTTCATTCGGATAATTGGTTTTTGCGGCTGTCTGATCAGGCATTGCCGCGAAGCTACCATCCGCTGGATTATGGCTGAACGCCTCTAAGTCAGAATCCATGCTAGAAAGCGATGATTCCTTCCCTCACACAATATAGATGGATACGAATAAGGCACTTTTAGTGTCGCTGAACCATAGCAGACTGGCAACGGTGCTCTTAGCGGAAAGGCTTTGGGTGCTTGCCGGTGAATTGCAATGTCATTTTGCGTGAGGATAAATCATTTGCATACGACTTAAATGTACAACAGGGTATTGTAAGCAGTAGAGTAGCCTTGTTGTTACGATCTGCTGAGATTAAGCCTTCGTTGTCTGATTTGT